ATTGTTTTATTCGGATAAGGTTTATTAGTGATAAGGTTAGTATTTATTTTATTATAGATTAATTTTAAGAAGTGGTTAGATAAATATCCTATATTTTAAGTTAGTCGATTAACTTTAGTTAAGAAATACTTAATATTTTTATTATTTTTAACGTTTTTTAGGCTATAATATAGCCGGTTAAGTTGTTATATAGCGATAGTTTTTAATATTTTAAAATATTAATAGAGGAAAAGAGCCTAGGCTTTAAAACTATATTTAACGTTTCTAAGTTCTTTTTATTATTATATTTTTAAATCGTCGGTATATTACTTATTTACGGTTTTTAATAAGTATTTATTTAGGTTAAGGATAATAGTTTTTATATAAGCGGGAGATTATTTTATATATTATTAAAATACGTTAATAAAACGATCGATATTAATTTAAATAATTTTTATATTTTTTATTTTTATGTTGTAGGTGTTATTATATTTAATTATAGGTTTAAATTATTTAATATCCTTTATTTAAAAACGGAAATTTATTATAGAATTTTTTATTAATAAGGAGGGTTATAAATTTTTATTATCGTTTAGGTTATTATTAAGGAAATTTTTAAAATTCTGCGGTAAGTAGTAAAATAGTGGTTTTTAAAAACTTTATTTTATTATTAAGAAAAGTAAGTGCTTTATTTTGTGGTATAGGGGGTTATGTTTATAATTAAAATTAATATTAAAGTCTTTTATTTATTTTTAATTTATTTTTTATTAGGTTTATTAATTTACATTGTTTTAATATTAATTTTAATTAGTTTATTTTATAAATTTATTTAACGCTATACGATACGAGAAGTCGTAATGGTTGCGGCTTTATTATCCCCTACGTTTATTTTTAATATAAATTTCAGTATAGTTAAGTATAGTTTAATATAAAGTTTTTTAAGAAATATACGCTTTTTTTTTTTTTTAAATTAAAATTCCTTAGCTTAGTAAAGGGGGGCGTATTTTATTTTTTATATATGAAAATAAAAAGTTATTAAATAAATACGCCGTATTTAGTAAAAAGTTAATAAGTTAAATAAAACTTTATATCGAACTTTATAACTTTTCTTTTTCGTTAAGTTAATTTAAAATAAAAAATATTTTTTTTTTAAATACTTTTTTTTTAATTAACGATTATAATAATACGGGGGTTTTCGGCTATTTTATAATAAAAAAGATAAAAGGATTAGTGTTTATTTTTAACGCTAGGGGAGTTTTTTTTATTTATTTTAATAATAGTTTTAATTTATATAGAGATAAATTAAATAGAATTTCTTTTATAATATTTATAATATTTATAACGAAAAAAAATAAAAACGCTTTACGCTATTATAAATAAGGATATATTTCGTTTTAATATTCGTTTTTGTTTTTAAATTATTTAAAGAACGTAGTTTTAAATCTTGATAAATATATATTTTATATTTATATATAGGAAATCTTTTAATATATTTAGGTGTTTTTTTTAGATTTAATAGCTACTTTTATAATACGTAAGGTTAAAATAATAAGGGTATTTAATTAATTAAACGTTTTAAATTAATAGTAATTCTAAGCGTAGTAGTTAATTAGCTAAGCGGTTTAATCGGCGTTTTTTAGTAAAAGGATAATATTAAGATTTTAAAAAAGATAGATAGTATTATCGCCTTTTATTAATTAAGAATAGTTAATAATAGGATTACGGTTTTTTAATTAGCTTATTTTTTTAATAAAGTCGATATTTTTTAGTTAGTTTATTAGATTTAAAAGAGTTAATACTTTTTAACTCGTTTTTTTAGAATATAAATATATTACTTAGTTTATTAAAAAAGAGTTATACTATTAATTATTATACGCTTTCATATAATAAAAATAAAATAATATATTAATACCTTTTTTTAAGATTTTTTTATAAATTTCCTAACGAAATCTTTTAAATATATTATAAAAGTTTTAAAAAAAATTTTTAAAAAATCTTAAGGATTTCTTTATAATTTTTTTTAAAAAAAACGGAGGAAATCTTAAGGATTTTTTTACGATTTTTTTTAAAGAAATTTTAAGGAAATTTTAAGGAAATCTTAAGCTTTTTTAAACGCTTTTTTTAAAAGAAATTTTTGGGAAATCTTAAGAACTTCGCGGCTTTTTCTTCTTAAGGTAATTATATACGAAAGATAGGAAATTTAGTTATAGACCGTAATAGGTATTATAAGTTTTTTATAATATTTTTTAAAATCGTAAGGGTAATAAAAATAATTTATAATTATCTTAGCGAAAAAGGAAAAAAAGGACTTATCATCTTATTTATATATTATTTTTATTAATAATCGTAAAGCCTTTTTTTTATATTAAATAATTAATAGTTTTATTTAAGCGTATTTTACTTTTTTTTTAATTATTTTAATCCTTACTTAAAATAAAAAATAATTACTACGGTGTAAAACGAAAAGTTATTTAATTTAATATAATATTTATTAAAAACTTATTAAATATTAATAATTAATAGTCGAAAATATCTTTATAAGTTAAAATTACTATTAAAAAATAGCTCTGCCTATTCCTTAAATATATATTTAAATTAAATAAAACGAGGGATATTATTTAATATTAAAAGTTAAGAAAAAGGTTAAAATATAAATTAACGATAAATTAACTATTAAAGAAGTAATATTATTTATATTAATTACGATTACAACGTTATAATTTAAAAAGCCGTAAAATATATCTTTTTTTTAAAAGGTTTATTATATAACTTCTTTTACTCCTCGAAACGGTTAATAAAGTATTTAAAACTTATTATTATTTTTTATAAACGGCTATAGCCGTTTTTTTTACTTTAGCTTTAGTATTTTATTATTTAGAAATAAAGTAGTTTAAGTACCGCTTTTAGCTCGGCTAATAATTATTAATTATTATTATTAAAAATATCGTTAATAAGGATCCGTTATTTTAGATTTTTATAAATTTAATTAATTATTAAAAAAGTATAAATCTATTTTTTTTTATAAAAAGCGTTATATTATAAAATATATTAAATTCTATTTTATATTGTTATTAAGTGTTAATATAAGCTCTTATAACGACTCTTTGAAAAAAATAAATATATCGTTTTTATTAATTTTATTACTAACTTTAAAAAAGGCCTTATGTTATTAAGACGATAAGTAAATAAATTTAATAACGTTTTAAAGTTTATTAATAGGGCCCTTAGTATATTAAAAGTTAAGATTTTTTTAAAGTTATTTAGCGTTAATTAATATATTTAATTTTTATTTGAATATCTTTTTATTATTATTAAATAAAAAAGCCTTACCGACGAGGTTAAAAATATAACCGTAATACTTAATCCTTTAATTAAAAACGTCTTTTTAAATATAAATATAAAATAATATAAAATATAAATAACTTAAATAAGTATTATTATTTAAAATATTATCGTAAATAATTATTTTAACTTAATCGCTTAATTCCTAATCGTTTATTATTAATTTTATAAATTAAATAATATTAGCCTTATCGTAAGTATTATACTAACGTTATAAAGTAATAAAGTATTATATTTATTATTTAATATAATTTAAAAAGTAAATAAAAACGGCGATAATAGTATTTTATATTAATAAAATTTATAAATTAAATAATAAATAGACTTTTATTATTAACCTTTAGATCTCTATTTTAATTATATTTTTCTTTTTAATAAAGATCTTATTTAGCTCTTTTTTTATATTTCCGTATAATAATAAAAGTTCGTTAGTAATATTATAATTTAATTAATAAAAAAGGGCCCGGAGGTAAGGATCTTAAAAAGTTATAAATAAGCTATTATTATTAATAATATATCTAATTATTAACTCCTCGATTTTTATTACTTAGCCCTTCGTAATAATATTAAAAATAAGTTTTTATCTTTTCGGTGTAAAGTTATATTTTAAAGATTTTAATAAATATAATAACTCGCTAAAACTTAGATCTATTATTTAATATTTTAATTTTAAATAAGCTGTTATTAAGCTTATAATTATTATTTTAAAATAAATAATAATATTTATTTTATTATAGTGACGATAAAACTAAAAGATTTCGTTTTAATTATTTTTATTATAATTTTCTTAAATAAAGACCTTTTTTAAATAGATTTACGATTTCCTTAGCTTTATACTTTTTTATAATATTAAATCGTCGTTTATAAAAGTTTTTTTTTTTTAAATTACTTTTAAAAAAGCGAGGAGGTTATTACGAATATTAAAGTTAATTAATAATATAAAATTAGCGTTTATTAAGGCCTATAGTTATAAAGTAATTTAAAACGGCTGCGGCGTATTAAAAATCGTACGACTTATTATTAATTAATTAATTATAATATAACGAATCGATTAATATATAATTTAATTAATTTTAATAATAATTATAATAATCGTAAAAGGTTAAAAATAATAGTACGTAATTTTATTAATTTTATCGATATTAAAAAAAAAAGGTATTAATTAATTAAGGAGGTTTTTTTAAATCTTAGATATTAAAAGGTATTAAATCTAGCGTTATATATTACTTAGGCTTTTTTTTTTCAATAATAATTATTAATAATATTCTATATAATTAAATAGTATAATACTTTATTTATAATTATAAGTAAAAAGTCATAGGTTCGAATCTTATTATAAGAGTTTATATTATTTATAATAAACTTAACGGTTTGCTTAAGTAATATATATTTTTAATTAACCCGGCCTTAGATTTTCTTTTTTTTAAGCGATCTTTATTTAATTAAATAGGTTAAATATAAGGCCTTACGATATTTAATTATTTAACTTACTAAAATCCTTATATTTAATTGTTTGTTTGATTTATTTATTTGATTGATTTAAATAGGTAGGTGCGCTGCTATTTATACGGATTATTGGACTAAGAAAGTCCAAGGCAAAACAGAACGAGTCCAACCGCTAGCAGGAAGTATCCAATCTAATTAAGCTTGGATAGCTTTTCCAAGGTAGAGAGCTTCTTCTAGATATCTATTTGTGGGGGGTTGTATACCACGACGCAAAGTACGGCAGCGATAAAGTACCAAGCCATAGCCATGTAAAAGTAATATCGGAAACCTTCGGAAGCAGGGTCGCTGGTTCTATTGAAAGCACCCCCGACGATCAGCCCGGTGATGCTCCCTAGACTGTTGGATATCATAGCCGATGCCTGGCCATATGCCCTCCACTTTCTCGGGAGAACTTCCGAGATAACTGTGTGAAGAAGCGGCTGCGTACCAAATGCGATGCCGATGATGCAGAACCCGGCAATAGCGGTGTTTACATCTGAAGCTCGGGCGACGATGATAGAGCCTACCGCCCCAAAGAGTGTGGGAACTACAAGAAACCACTTTCGGCCCCAGTAGTCTGCCGCCTGTGAGACGATAGGACCCAGTACCACGGTCATTATGGTGATTGTGGCCGAAAACCAACTTGTTTTATCTGTTGCATTGAAGTGGCCGGCGATGGTTTGCCCTTGCTACAAGAAATGCGCATCAGCATCCCGAAGGAGACACTGCATGATGCAATATGGGGGTTCCTTACAGCACCAGCTCCTACCAGGCTCACCAACTGGGCAAAGTAGATGAGACAAGTAGCAAAGACTGCGACAAATGTTTTTGCATGAAGCTCGTGATTTGGTTCATCATACGTCGTTGTTGTCTCTAACGACGACCCTGTCGCGGCTTTCTCGCTGCCGACAATCACGGCTGAAGGAGCTGGCTTCTCTGTCAAGCTGCCTTTTGCGGACATGGTTAAAATGGAAGTTGAAAAGCTTCGAGAAGGCGACGATCTTTCTGAGCGCAGCCACAGGAGAACACGGGTCCTTGTGAGAGAGAGATATTCCACGCTTCCAATTCTCGTGGGGAAGGGGACTGCATTGTTGATATGACCGATTTTGACGGGGTTGCTGACGTGCATGCAGCTCGGAGGTCCGTGGAACTAAAGTAAGACATCGGGAGCAACCCTGAGGTCTATGGCACGCAGATGGCCTTGCGGTACGATTATCCGAGTAGTACCTAGAGTGCTACAAGCTTATTCTGTATGACTTCGTGTTGTGACACCTTGAACATGCTGTGTCGATGCAGCTCAGCTTGCACGGAAGAGACACAGTAGGCCACTCCCGTCATCGCGCCGGCAATACCGGATCATGGCTCCGGTGCGGAACACTCAGAATTTATCTGCGGTCTACGGATAGCTGGAGACGATGTCTGTCATGTCGGTCAGCGTAGCATTGCCATCATTACCAACTCGTACATCTATGAACGCGGGGGTCCAAGGTCTTCCAGAAAGACACCTGCGTCATCCCGACAGAACTTCAGAAGCAATTATGGATACCAGAGGTAAAACTCTAAAGTTTGCAAAGAGCACCTGACTGGCTTCAGTACCAAGGTTCTTACGGACCACTTCTTACGTCTGATCTCACTTATCACGACTCGACAGACTGCACAGACTTCCTCGACCGACTTCGCACTTGCAAGGATCGGCCCGCCACCCCTTGGTAGCCCGGAGCTCCCCGGCCAACGCGGCAAGGGTGCACGGCCACAACGTTATAAGGTGGATCTTGATCCATGGTGTGCCTCGGACTCGGGCTCTGGATGAATTGCAGCCGAGAGAATTGCCTACGTAATCCTCTCTTTATATGAAATGTCTGGTGCCACTGTACGGATACAGATTCACTTTGTGCTTGCAGATGGCTGAACTAGGGTGCGGGCCGTCGACCGGCACGCAACAATCCCAACGCTTTTCGGATGCCGCGCTCCGTTTCCGGTTTCCTGCAATCTCGGTCACTCCATATTATCAAGTAATCCTTTGGATTGGAGTTTCCCAGTCTTGTCACTTGATGAGGGAACTCCAAATTGGGCTTATCTTGGCGCTGGTGACAAAGCCACTGTCAGAATACATCCGAATCGCCTACTCCGTATTGTCTTGCCGACAAGACTAAACTGAAAACCGTTTCTCCCAGTGAATCAAATTTTCTCCGACATGGGTTCGGCACAACGGCTTTTGACAAGGGCACCTGCAGGCGGACTCCATTCGTGACAATCTCGCCCAATAGCGGACCAACGGACAGACTCCGACGCGTTGCCCTGGTGGGACTAATTTGACGGACCCTGGTCTTCTCCGCGACTTTGGAGCTCACCTCGGGTATCCGTACTATGTAATATACATACTATCAAAAGGCAGAAACTCACCGAAGCGAGAACGAGTCATTACAGACTCTGAGTTTCTCCGGACTGTCATAAACCTAAACAGTTCAGTCTCCGGATTGAGCTGCCGAGTTGCCCCGTCTTGTACGAGGACACTAATGGAAGGAGGAGAACAGGCCAACTATCAACCCCACCGAGGGAAAGAAATTGGGGTTGCATTGAGCATATTCCTACGTTCCGTCCACCTTCCCAAAAAGCCAAGTGTGTTTCGAAAAAGGCCAATGGGCCAGATTACACATCAAGATGCGTGAATCGAGACAACTGTTGTTTTCTCAGTTGTCCCGCTTCCCCCCTTGGCACGGACCCCCGGCAGTATCCTCAGGTTGATGGCAAAGACTCCTCTATTTCAGCCATTGTCCAATAGCTTCGCGTAGTATCGCCATCGAATCCCGATCCCAGGGCCATGTCTCCATCAAAGAGCGGGTTACGCCGCAGATCGCGGTGGTCGTAACCCTACAGTGTCCCTGTCGGATACAGGCAAACGCAACGGCGTCCTCACCCCCGTGTTGGTTCTCCTGTTGCGGTCGAGGCAGACGAATTTCTTCTTTCTTGGCTTCTTCCTTCAGCGACGTGACATCTTGCAGACAATTCCAACGAATCTGCCACGGTGATACGAGACACCAAAGACGAAGCTTGCTGTTCCCTTTGCTCTCAAGAGAACTAGCACCATGTTGGACGTGGTCATTGTCGGAGCTGGCATCGCCGGCCTCTCGGCCGGCATCTCGCTCCGCCGTGCGGGCCATGTGGTGCGCATCTATGAGCGATCTGCCATGGACAACGAGGTCGGCGCCGCCATCAACGTCTCTCCCAACGCGGCGAAATTCCTTACTCGATGGGGTCTCGACCCTAAGGCTTCCAAGTTCGTCAAGGCTGAGTCGGTCCATTTCCAGGACCCTGTGACGATGGAGATCATGTCAACGCTGTCACACGACGCCAACGAGGAGTTCTACGACGCCGATCTGTGGTACGCTCACCGCGTGGATCTGCACGATGCCCTCAAGAGGATAGCGACCCAACCTGCAGGGCCCGGCGTTCCCGTCACTATCCATCCGAACTCGCGGGTCGTGGGATACGTAAGTGTGGGGAAGATCCCTGCCGCCACCCTCTCCGCGATGTTTGCTTTTTTTTTTGCTAATCTTCAGTAGAACCCTGAACTGCCGGCGGTGCACCTCCAAGATGGCGAGGAGATCCAGTGTGATCTAGTCGTAGGCGCAGATGGCATTCAATCCATTGCTAGCGAAACAGTCCTCGGCCAGAAGATGCCTCTCGTGGCACCTCTTCTTTACAACTGCTGCTTCCGATTCCTGATTCCTGCCGACGTTCTCGAGGAGGACTCCGAGACCAAGTTTTGGAATGAGGACTCCAGTGGCCTCATTCGCCTCTTCCCCGACAACGAAAAGAACAGAAGAATAGGGTCATACCCATGCCGCAAGTATGTCCGTGGTGTTCCTCACAGCCGTACCTCCTCTGACCAAATAGCAACACCATCCACAATTTTGTCGGCATCCTTTACGATGAGAAGATGAAAGATGCCATAGGCGAAGGTGTGTTCCCCTTCCTCAATAAATTTAGGCACTCCAACAGGCTCACTAACATCCCCACGGTAGATTACCAGACCGACGTCGACAAGGCAGAATTACTTGAAAGGTTCAACGGGTTCCACCCGAGTCTTCTGGCTATAATCAAGTTTGTAACATAAAACCACTCCCAGTTGATCTTCAACTGACTTCGAAACCAGCAAAGCAACTGAGATTAAGCGATGGCCTCTGCTGTCTCGCGCTCCGTTAGCCACCTGGCGGAAAGAAGAGATGGTTATCATTGGGGATGCGGCGCATCCAATGCTACCTCGTCAGTACTACATCTGATTTATCCTCGTTAATTTTTCGTCGCTGATATATCATCTGTCGGTAGACCAAGGGCAAGCCGGTTCCATGAGTCTTGAAGACGGCCTGGCCCTGGGTGTTGTGTTTGCCGGTGTGTCTGACACTTCTGACGTCGAAAAGAGGCTAGAACTCTTCGAAAAGATCCGCAGAAGCCGGGCCAGTGCGATCCAAATTCTCAGCAACGTCGGAACGGATCAGACAAGCCTGGTTGAGAAGGATCTTCTGGAATTTGTTCCGGCGGATGAGATCCCGAGTAGGTTGAGGCTTGATAGCTTGAAAGACCGGTCGAAAACTGACGATTCACAGAAAACCCCCAGGAAAACGTGGCCTTTACCTTTGGGTACAATGTCGTCGACGAAGCTATCAAGGTCATGGAAGAATTCGACCCATCATTCCATGTTCCCTATAACTTCTTTGAAGATGATTTCTTCGACATCAATCATGTCAATGGAGAGCTCTCCAAAATGAGTGAACTTGGTTTCATCAAAGTCGAGACCTGCATCAGCATCGACACTGAGTGAAGCAGCATCTACTCAGATCACAAGGAACTATCAGATTTCCCGACACCATCAATACGAATCAGAGTCTTACAAGAAACAAACCATGTGTGTGTGAGAGAGGTGGAGAAAATTAGAAGTTGGACAATGTCCCAGTCATTTGACCAGAATAACAGAGAACGAGCTTATAAGCCGTCATTATTGTGCAACAGACTAGAGTATTCCAGAACCAGTTGAGTGTATCAAAATTCGTTGAGGGTCGGCAGGTCAAAGGAAAGAAGATGATCTATTTTTGCGTATTTCCAACACGGGAGACTCACAACTTGATGCTACAGTGAAGTCGGAGGATCATCTACAAATTCTAATTAATTATTGTCTAAGTCGAAACATCTTCGAACCACTTCTTGAACCTCTTACTCTGCTGGCTTCAGTCTTTCACCTGATAGTCTTCCTAGCCTTTCAAGTTTCGCCTGTCTCACCAAACTCTCGACCGCGCTGCCAACGGCTTTCGCTATGTTTGCCGCACCACAAATGTAGAATGCAGCATCACCACTCAACAGCAAGCAATTTACCAACCTCCTTGCCTCTTGCCTACACTTGATGCTAGACGTATTGCTTCCTGCTGCCCGCTCTCGAGAAGGCTGCGGCGACCTCAAGCTTATTTGCGAGTATTCTCTATCGAAGTTCATTCCGACTCCCACTATGCCGGACGGCAGACTGCTCCTAATTTGACCCCGACTCCGTCACTCACGACTTTGACTGGGCCAGCCACCTTTTTATCTAGTGCGTGTACTTCGTCAAGTTCTGCTTCGACACGAGTGCGGACCGCACCGTCGAAACCGAAGACTCAAAGATACTAGCTGATCAATGGAGGGCGATTGAGGCCTTCCAACACAATTGGGACACACATCAGCCGCCGCACTTCATCCCCTTGGCCTACCAGTAACGAAACCTGGATAAGGGAGAGAAAATTCCAACAGTATGGCATGTCAACGATTTTCAGGCGCTGGCGCTCCAACATATCGAACTGATGCGTACTGTCTTGGCTGTGCACTGCACCAAAATTAAGAACCAAAGCCTCGGGCCGCCGTTGGCTTCATGGACATGCTAGAGACCATGCATGCCTGGCCTACAAGTTCGGTTATGGATGCTTTGAGGACAGCCTGGAGCACTCATACGAAGGCTTGGCAACTTGGCAAGTTCCTTGCCGCACGAATTGTCCCGATGTAGGTGTTGGTCAGGCCCTGCCCAAGTCATGCTGCACGCCGTTAACAGTGACCGCATATTCATTCTATGATTGAAAACACCAGAACGGACAACCTTCGAGGTCCGGAAGAAGCTTTCCATTTCCATCAGGCGCGTTATGAGCAGCTTGAGGATCAGGTCACAGTCCGAGTCCGGGAGCCGTGGTTTGCTTCCTCAAGCGCAGATGGCAAACTGTATCAGTTCAAACTCAAGGCTGCGCGCGTTCTGGTATATCGATCCATCGCTTTCGGCAGTGTCAGAGATCGCGAGTCAAGGCTCTAAGCGGATATCTATAGCTCGCGGTTTTGCGAGACAGACAAGATATAGACATTCTCATTGAGCAACTGGACACTGCAACTTACTCACTCCGGTCAAAGCATAAGTCACGCGGCAACACAATGATGCGCATGGAAACTGGGGTCTAGACTTCCGCACAAATGGCAAAGGGCAAGGTACGCCCAACGATCCTGAGGAGGTTTTCATCATTTAAGAAGCCATTGCCCCCACACAAGAACTCGCTCGCAACGAGCCTCGTATGAACGACAAAGATTGCCATAATTGTAAGAATGTCGTAGGAAATGATGATTTTATTCGCTGACAAGTTTTGTAGCATGGACCGCACGCATGTCAAAAGGCAAACTGTGGCAACTTCGCTTTCGGAATTGCCGGAAAACTTGACATCGAGACGGGGCCCTGCACACAATTCTTAGTGTACCATCTCATCGATCTTCAGCCTGGCGAAGAGCGGCTCTTGCTCGGCTCCGGAAGCCAAGGAGAAGCAAGCGTTTTCCCTATCACTCTTCTGTTTCTGTCATTGGAAAGTGTCAAAAAGCCGGAAATAGCCAGCCTTTCGGGACAGAATTCGGGCCATAATCAACCAATGATACGGCGATGTCTCGAAAAAGCCCAGAGGTCTTCACGAGGGCCTCCTCCGACCTCGAAGCCCAGTGGCAGCCCGCCAAAAGCTCTTTCAGACCTCTCCCGAGTCCTAGGATCAAAGAATACAGGATCCTACGAGATTACCAAGGACGTCATCTATGAGTCTGAAGCAGGTTTCAAATCTACTAAAGACTCAGGGTTGTTATCCGCAGACAATGTCGCCAATGCCCTCGGCATTTCCAAAAATGATATCATCTGGACTAGCTTTTTTGAACTAGCCCAGGCAATAAATGTAACAATACCTCGATTCAGTGGAGGAAAGAAGTTGAGGTTTTCTGTAGTAGGCTTTATGGAGAATAACGTTCAGGGGTCTCATCAGCATTTAGGACTATCGATCATGAGACTTCCGCCAGGCTTTGCGGTGTAAGAGACGTGTACTCGCACACGACAGAGTTGGTAAAGCCATGTTTCTGGCATATAGATATAAAATATTACGACATGGTACACGAAGACTTGTGCGGCCGCTCATGGCCATGTTTCGGTATGTGACGTTCCAGCGCACAGCACACCGAGTGAGCATGAGGTCCAAAACATTCCGGGCCAAGATCAATCACCCGCGCTTTTCGATTAGCCCATCCCTCGCCATAGCTTGCCGTCGCATGATAGATGCAGTAGACCCGGCTCCTGTCATGAGGATTGGGCAAGAAACTCGCATGCCCTGGACCGTACGGACCTCCGCACCGCTTGTGACTGACCATCAGTGGTGTCGATCTCTTGGCCCAGGCGCCAGGGTCAAGAGGATTATGTCCTATGAGCGGCAGTATACCGAGCTTGTATTCGCTGGTCCAGCTTCCGTCGGCTGAGTAAACGATGCCTCTGAAGACGCCTGGGATATCGACCCATGTCGGGCCCTCATTCACGCCCCGACGGCCTTCGTCGGGACGTTCCCATGAGAGCTCAGCCCTGGAAATGCAGAGAAGTGTGTCTGTAATGGCTTCTTCTGGGGCGAAAAGTTTGATCAAGAATAGATCTTGCTGGGTGTCGGAATTATCGCCGAGGGGCCATCCCGACCAGCAGCAGTACAAGTCGTGCCCGTCTGGACTGAACACTGTGGCGTCGATGGACCAGTGATCCGGCATACCCTTCAACGGGCCTAGAAACTCCCATGCAGAGGCATCCATCGGGTCCTGGGATGAAGACCGGAGGACCGTGGTCCGATGGCCCGGGTTTCCGACCCCGGGCGGCGCGCCGCAGGTATAGATGTACCACCGGCCTTTGAGGTAGTGCAGCTCCGGTGCCCAAATGTTGACGGACCACGGGCTTCCCGGCGCGGGTTGCCAGATAACACTTTTGTGGCAGTGGTGGAAGTTTTCGAGCGTATTGGAGCACCATATCTCGATGCGGTTGTCGAGGGTGAAGGTGAAGTAGAACTTGCCGTTGCCGGCCACGATCCAGGGGTCCGGCGTGTCAACGTCGCAGATGGTTCGGTTGGACATGATTTCGAGCCTTTCGAATGGATTGCCAAGTTGATCAGAAGTTTGTCTCAGGTGTTGAGGTTCTTTGAGATGTTTTCAAGCTTATTTATGGCGTGGTCAAAGAATCAGGCCAGAGGCTCGATCAAAGGGTTGGAGTGTTGCAACCGCGGCGCTGCTCGGGCTGCGGGAACGTCACTGGCGTTTCAGCCAAAGTCATCTGATGTTCCGGCCTTGGAGTTGGAGATTTGCAGGGACAAGCCAAGTAATTAATTGCCCTAGCGTCGTTTCTCCTCATTCTTTGCCCCAGATTGATCAGCAAATTCCAATGCAGCATCACCTGGGAAGCTCGGATGGAGACTTCATTGGCAAAGTTTAGACCTGCACCTTGCTTCACATGTACAGGGCTAGCTTCAGGGCCTGAATGCGTGGCATTGAAAAAGAGCAGCTTTGAGTAAATAGGCAGAAAGGCACCGGTGAGGACATCTGGTGCCAGATGCTGGCGCTTTCACGAGTCATGACACGAGTGTTGTTTTTAAGCCAATTGGATCTACAATGTACAAGTTTGCGGGATCAAGCTCATTATTGAGATTGCTTCAGCTGTCAAGGTTTACTGTCAAAGTCACACTTGGAAGCGGCTCTTCAGATGCCTTCAAAAGAAAAGAAAAGACGTGGTTCGTATTCTTCGGTCTTCACACCTGATTGAAAGCACCTCCAGCACCAATTACTCAGAAAAGTCTTTCCTGTGGGGAGTGGATGCGAGATTTCCACATTTCATAGTTGCTTTCTTCGCTTGAGAATGATATGTTTCGTCGGGTTTGGTAGAATCTACAACCTCTCGTCAGTCGTTTCGGATTAGGTAAAGAGCATTCATGACGCATCGATGCACGAGAAAGCAAACAAAGAGAAGACACGTACGTATTGGCCCGAGTGAAGATCTCTATACCTCTCGGTCTCCCCGTCCTCTGGAGCAATCTGATAACTGGCCAAGAGCTTGATGAGGAACATCTTGGCGATGGAGCACCCAGCCCAACGACCAGGACACATGTGCGAGGCATAGCCGAAGTTTACGTCGTCCTTTGTCGCTGAGCCCCAGTTATACTTGTTGGCGCCAACCGTTGCCGTCATTCGCTGCCGAAGGTCGTGATACCGACGTCCATTCCATTTGGACGGATCTTCAAGCTTGGGGTTGGACAGGTGGGCGGCCGTCATGACCACTTCGAATATTGTGCCTGCAGGTAGGACGACTCCATTGGGGAGTATTTGTGTCTTGTGAATCTTCTTCATAAGATTTGCTGCACGACCAGAAACCCAGGACTCAGTCAGCAATATGTCCTGTATGACCTTGCTCAACAAGCCAGGGCTGTTTATGGTACTGATGGCCGCTGATAAAGACACAGAAGGCACGAATAACGACTTACAAGCGGCTGTCGGATGATGTTTATGAGTCTCCTTGCAGAAACTGTCCAGCAAAGACAGCCCGTGAAGGTTGTCCCGAGAGAAACCCCAGTGCTCTGGGCGATTTCCAAGGACATCATATGCCTCCTGAAGGACAAGATCCACATAATCAGGACGGAATGCAAATTCGTAAACAACTTGCGTAGTCGATGGGCCGGGAGAAAACACAAAGGTGAAGGCGAATCCAATCAAAATGTTTGTGAGGTATTTGTAGTCCCGACGCTTCTCGGCTGGTGCCATGCGGATCAGCTCCTCGAGCCACTCATTGTCTATCGAGCTTTTCTCCAGACCCTGTTCGAAGGCCTGGACACATTGCTCAAAGAGGGGTGCGAAGAAGTCGGCGGCCTGTCCGAGCTGCACATTGACTTGGCGAACGTCCTTGGAGAAAGCGGCGGAGATTCGGGCCATCATCGGTCGCTGAGCCTTGAGTGCCTTCATGACGGGGATCAGTGTCGCTGAATACTTTTCAAAGATGTCGACAACTTCAGGCTTGAAACAGTCGCCCAAGATGACCCGCCAAATGACATGCGAGTAAATGTGTAGGATCTGCGGCTGCATGATAACACGTTTGCCTGATACACAATGTTAGAGTGTTCCCTCAGAGATTGTGAGATGTAAAAGGTGAGTGTGACAAATTGAGAAGCTTACCCGTATTTGTATCATCAGAGGATTGGCTAAACACACTGGATATGCCCTCGTCCAGAGCAGTGGATATGACATCAAGATATCGGTCTTCGCTCGTGACTCGTTGTCAGTTCCTCGCAATTCCAATCGCACCAAGCCATCTGAAATGAGATACGCACCGAATCCAGGCATCCGGGAAGCCAGGTAGCGGTATAGAAAAGGTTCCTCAAATGGCGCGCCGTGAAGGTCGCATAGGAAGAACTTGAAGATATCAGCTATGCTCAACAAGAACCGGTGGCTTGGGAACAGACCTCCTTGCGAGCAGGCGCAACTTCTTCGTCCTTCTTTTTGCAAATTGCAAGCCAATGTTCTGGTGCAATCAACACTAGATCAGACCCTAATCTCAAGTACCGTCAGTCTCCGATCTGCCTCTGCCATTCGCGCTGAAGGCTGTGCCTGAATAGAGCCTACCATCTAGAGCCGTAACCCGGAAGACGCCGCTTTCCACCTGCCTGAACCCCTTCTCAATGATCTCGACGCCATGAGCGGCAAAATCCTTTCTACTTGCGAACCAAGACTTTGAACTAGTAATTCGCGGGATAGAGTGGCCCGCTGTCTGGTCCAGGATCATGGGCAGGACTGTGACGAGAATCACGACAACCGCCAAAGCTGAGCCGGGGGTCACATAGCTCAGAAATAGCGGAGGCCAGTCTAGTAGCAATTTTGGGGAGTCCATCTTCAAACTATGTGTGGTACTATGATGCGAGAGAGGTTTTGAGAAATAATTGACAAAGCTGTGGGGGAAGAGAAAACCAAACAAAACGACAGGATGGTTTCCCACATGTGTAGATTATTCCTATAAAGAAACCAACACAGAGCCCCGCAAACGTGGGTAACTGACTTTCCCAATATCTTGGTCTGATATCTCCACGGAGTCGTGCATAAGGAATGCGAAATGGTGGGAGTATGGGAATCTTCAGGCAAAGTATGACGGCTATGAGGAGGGGCAACGCATTCTCCATGTTTGCGGCTGCTGCTCCCCGGCTCTGTCTCAAACTTTCTTGCTCGCATTCGGAGCGAGCCGTGCGACAGCTGCGATCTGATTCGACCGATGATTTTGAGGCTCGGGCTCTCAACCTCTCTCGCTTCAAGAAACAACATGAACGGTCTCAGGACAAAAGTCTTGATACGAAGAGATGCCTGCTCAAGTGATTTCTGAACATCTCTAAGTTAACAGTCCTAAACTTGAGTAACAAGCGAATGTGGGCGAGAACCGAGACTTACGAATTCCAGGCCGTGCAGGCCGTGCAGGCCGGTTTCCGCGGTCTCAGAACAGCAAGCCATGAAGTGATCAACTTGAGCAGATGAACGAAGCTTGTTTCTATTCAAGTGTCATCTTGTCATTCTACCGGTGATCCGTAAAGTGGCTTCGAAACTCCCCTGTTTGCCTTATATCGCATGGGAAACGCACCTGTAAGGTCGTTTTGGCACCGTACATGTTGTAGATACATATATATAAGGATTGTCTACTAAGATTCTCAAATTGATCATAATATCTTAATTTCTTACTTCGAGTTCAATACCTGATTTACGATCGTATTGCCAGAAAATAAGAAACCATTATTCCTCTTATCAAAGCACAGCGACTTTGTCACAATGGTTACAGCGGCACTTAGTCCTGTCTCGGCTCAAAGCCAAGAGGACGCACAGTTCTGGTGGGAAGAACTGTCACATTCTCTTCTTTCCCTCATGCAGAGTGCGCGGTACTCTGTCAAGAGCCAAGAACAGTATTCTGACTTCGTCAAACAATTCGTCGTCCCGTCCCTGGGTCCTCGTCCAATCAATACCAAAATGGGCATCCGGCTCCCTCACTTTGACAGCTTCTGTTCCGATGACTTCTCTCCAGCCGAGCTGAGTTGGAACGTTGGACTCAAAGGTTCCAAGATCAGGGTAGGCTCAGAGCCCATTGGACCGTTCGCAGGAACCTCAAAAGACCCATTCAACCAAGATGAGCCCGAGGTGGTCATATCTCGCCTGCTACGTCAAGGTCGAGGTCCTGTTGACAGCGAGCTGTGGGAGTTCTTCAAGAAGCACCTCCACGTGGAGGCAAAGTACGCCAACGATATTGTGTCCAAGATGGCGCCTAACGAGCACATGACGACCAATACCATCTCATTCGACCTGGAGGGAGAAAATCCAGCGCCAAAGGTGTACTTCTATCCCATACCAATCTCTCTGCTACAGAACAACCACGCCGGCGAGATCATCACCGACGTCATTGCGCAGCTGCCGCTCAATCTGGCGCCGTCCTTCAACTATATCCGTGACTTTGTCTACCACTACAAGAAGCAGCGCGACAACGAGGCCATCCTTCGTCTGGAGCTAATCGCATTCGACGCCGTGCGCCCAACCGACGCACGCTTCAAAATCTACCTACGCACCAAGGAGACGTGCCTAGCGCGAGTTGAAGAGGTGTACACTCTCGGAGGCACCCTTCAAGGCGCTGAAATTGACTCGGGCGTGGACCTGATCCGGTTGTTCTACATGCACGTCTTGGGGCTTACGGCGCCCGAAGAAGATCTGGCCCGCAGCACGCACCGGACGGCTGGCATCATTTTCAACATGGAGCTGATGCATGATCGCCTCGTTCCCGTTCCAAAGGTATATATCCCCATACGACACTACGGGGGGACGGACCTGCGTATTGCTCAGTCCCTGAGCAACTTCTTCCGCGCGTGTGGATTCCAGGACCTCGCCGATACATATGTCGATGAAGTACAAAAGGCTTTGTGAGTATTCCAAAGAAGCTCCTGCTGATGACCGGTGCAAGACGTTAATTCACTGTCCTGACAATTCAGCCCCAACCAGGACTTTTGCAACACCATTGGGCGACACTCTTACGTCGGTCTATCGTACAACAAGGACGGGCCTTATGTCACCATGTACTACAACACCATGACCTTCTCTACGGGTGATGAGCGGGACGCGAATGGCAAACTCGTTGGGCCTGCCGCTATGAAGCAGCGTCATTTGCTAGATTAGTTAGCTGAAATATCAAGTTTGACAAGACAAAAATGTCGTAACCAACAAGTTAGCTGTGCAGCAGTTGATGTTAAATGCGCGGAGTGGGAATTTGATCTCACACGCAGCTTCGACAACTAGCCATGTAAGGCAGAGTTTGTGAGCTCTATTCTTCAGCCTTGTAGTTGAATGTGCTGGACATGACATCCAGAGAACGCGTAGCTGATTGCCGAATGAGGTGCCACCTCTGCAGCTGTGATTCAGAACTGGCGACATGAAAGGTTTAGCCTCAAATCTAAATCAACAACTTCTTGGGCTTCACATCTGACGGGAAGCTTAAATGGCGCCAGATTTTCGGATATCGATCTCTTGCGGACACAAAGAGAAACATTGGTTGCTAGGACGCGTACATCCAGTTTTAAGCAGAAACAAATGAATTCTCTACCTCATAGCGCTTGTTCAAAAGCAAGCGCTTTGAGCGTACAAAGGGCCGGAGAAAGGTGGCGAATCCGGACGGTCTGAACGGCATGGATGAGGGTGGGCCGCACAGATCCTGGGACCGAACCCGTACGGATCTGGGACGGCAAGGGTGGGCCGCACGAATGAAGCAGACAGCCGGACGAGGTGAAGGGAACAGACCGGTTTCGGGTCCGATTACTGATCTGAATCCTCGAGGCCTACTGAAGCAACTGTTGAGAGCGAGCAACGCTCGTGGAACGCGAGGCACTCGTGACGATGATACAGATCAAAGCTTCGCTCGGACACTTGGAGAGGGCTGGAGATGCGGACAAGACACAAACCTGATACTCGGATTTGAATAGTAATATCCAGGCTGGGGAGGATGAAGCGAATGAATGCCGCGAAGACGGCGGTAAACTTTTAGTTGCTCGTGATCCAAGACATCTTAATTTGCCTCTCTGTATCGTCGGCGTGGTCTGAGTTGCTGTCATCTACTCGGGGTCTATTGCAAGCCGCAAATTGTTGTTGACAACAACTCTTGCCCAAAGGTTTTCGAGCCCGCCAGAGTCAACAACTCACAGCAACTCGTAGCATCTCTCCGAGCCATATTCCTTCCAAGACTCCAAGAGTCAAAGATTAAGAAATTAGGCATTTCTGCGCGACAATGTACAAACTCGAGATCATGTCAACAACTAATACGGCAATCCTAGCCATCGGCGTCCTCGCCATCTACCTCACCTACCGCGCGCTCCTCCCCCGACCCCTCCCGGGCATCCCCTACAACAAAGCAGCATCCCGCTCCCTCCTGGGCGACATGCCAGAAATGCTACGCCACGCAAGTCAAACAGGCGAGTTGTACGACTGGCTAGGCGCCCAAAACATCCGGCATGGCTCCCCCATAGTCCAAGTCTTTGGCCGCGGGCCCCTCGGCAGACCCTGGCTCGTCGTCTCCGACTTTCGCGAGACGCAGGACATACTCATGCGCCGCGGGAAAGAATTCGACAGATCCGCCTTCACCGCCGACCTCCTCGGCGGCGTGATCCCGGAGCACCACAGCCGATGGCAGACGGACGACGAGTATAAGAGCCGGAAGAGGCTGGTGGGCGATATACTGACGCCGAGCTTCCTCAGCAAAGTCGCCGCGCCGCTGCTGCACGAGAGCACGATGCGCATGGCGGGGCTGTGGCGCGAGAAGGCGAGGTTGTCGAGGGGCCGGCCGTTCAGCGCGTTAAAGGATATCAGCCATTGTGCGCTGGACGCTGTGCTCGGCTTCACTTTTGGTCCTGGCATGGAGGGCCTCAGTGCGACGCAGCCGAACGTGGATTTCCTTTCTGCCATATCTTCCTTGCCGTCCTCTGGCGAGACGAACAAGGGAGATGCCGATGAACCGGTGGTGTTTCCACATGCGCCTCCGAATCCCGCCATTGAAGCTCTGTTCAAGATCTCGGACAGCCTCGAGGTGGCGATGAAGTCATCGTTCCCGGTGCTCGCGCATTGGTTCTTGCGCCAAAAACCCGCCTTGAAATCGGCAATCAAGATCAAAGAAGACCTATTGAAGAAGCAAATCGACTTATCCGCCGCAAGAGTACAGTCGGTATCAGAAGGAGAGGTGATTCGCTGTGCAGTGGATGAGATGGTGCGCAGAGAATGTAGCCAGGCGGAAAAGGAGCAACGGCAACCATGTTTCCACACGAGACTATTTTGCGATGAGGTGAGAGCAACATGAATCCTCCCAACTAATCATCCACGCGAGAGGGAGAAGCATGCTGACACCAACGATTCTCCTCACTAGCTATACGGCTTCACCCTTGGCGGCCACGAATCAACATCAAACGCAAACCAGTGGGCCATGAAAACCCTAGCCCGCCATCAACAGCAGCAGTCCCAGCTCCGCGCCAGCCTACGAGATGCCCTCCCAGAAGCAGTAGCCGCGAAACGCGTCCCCACCGCGCAGGAAATCATGCAGACGCGGTGCCCCTACCTAGACGCAAGCATCGAAGAGCTCTTCCGCGTATCGTTGACGGCGCCCATGTGCGTACGCAGCGCCACGCAGGATACCCAGATCCTGGGCTGCGGTGTCCCCAAGGGTACCGTCGTCTTCCAGTTGTGGAACCAAGCCGACTACACGCAGCCCGGCTTCCCCGTTGATGAGGCGCTGCGGACACCCGGGGCGCGGGCGGCGGTCAAGGGGCCAGGATCTGCAGGTGGGTGTGCGGCTGACGTCGCAGGGTTCGATACGGCGACGTACGCGCCTGAAAGATGGCTCGTCAGGTCTGAAGATGGCACAAGGGACGTTTTTGACGCGACGCGGGGTCGTAACATGATCTTCAGCATGGGTCCTCGAGGATGTTATGGGAGAAAGCTGGCGTACGTGCAGTTTCGGATGCTGGTGGTGCTCGTGCTGTGGAACTTCCACCTCGAAGAGCTTCCTCGAGAACTCAACACTCTGGGGGCTTATGATAAGTTAACGAGAGAGCCACATGACTGTTTTGTGCGTTTGAAGGCCTTGCCGCTATGAGCATGCTTGAACGGGAAGGATCAATGCTTGAATAAAGACGGGAATAGTTATCGTCCATGTTAGATTGTCTAGCCTCCCGCTGAATGACGAAAGTAACGGCTCGTTTATAGGTTGGGCAGCAGACTCTTCAAGATATGTATCAAAGGGTCGCGTCTCGGTCTATTTGTAGTCCAAAGATACGAAATAATAAACACTATGGTATCGTTGCTTCAATTCTCCTCCAATACTAATTACGAGCATGCAGCAATGCTCTTAGAGCGCGATTTCATGACATCCAGCTGACTGATGTTGTACGTTATCGGACCTCGATCAAAGTCCATTACTGGCACAGCCAAAAGGCTTGCCGACGGTGCCCGCTCGAAACTCCTCAATGATACCCTCAACACTGGCGTATGTGCCGGCAGTGAGGAACAAAAGACCGGTGAGGATGATGACAATGTTGATTCCCATTGTCGCCAGGTCAGCAAGCCTCCCGGGCTTCGGAACGCCAGCACGGTTGTCGGCGCCTCGCATGCGGAAGTAGGCAACGCCCCAGAAGATGAAGCCGAAGAAGGAATCGAACAGTGAGGACATGAGGGAGAGCACTAGATACCGGGTTAGTAAGGTTCCTGCGTCGGGAATTCATCAAAAAATAAAACAAAAAAACTCACGAGAAGAGAAGAATGGGATGAGTTCGGCAATCAAGAATGCCAAGAGCCACAGCGCAAGGAGAATGGTGGCCCAAGAGCCCCAGCCGACAATAGTGTGCTCGTGCAAGTGCTTGGTGCCCTTGAACAAGCGGAAGAAGAGGAATCTGGCCGAAACGCTGGCGTACAAGACGCCGAGGAAGATCAAAGTTGGAATCATGAAGGAGAAGGACACCTTCTTGTAGACTTCCTCGAGAGATCCAAATGCCGGGGCGGTCATGTACTGGTTCCCGACGTAGGCGTAGATGACTGCTCCCACAATACTGAAGACGATAATTTCGCCAATGGTGACGGCCCACAGAGCCTTGGGGAAGTCCCTGAGATCATTAGCACATGTTCCGATGTTGAGAGTTTGCTGGTGGCTTACCTCGGGTCCTTCATCTCCGCAATGAAACTGGGCAGCGTAATCTGGCCGATGAAAGTATAGCTTATGTTCAGGAAAGCATTCATGCCGGAGACGAAGGTGGTGGCAGCGATGGGAATGGCCGTGACGATGGGGGCGCCGCCAGTCATTGTCGTGTTAGTAGTCGGGTCGACATACGTCGACCGGGGATCGTAGCCGGCGGGATGCGCCTGGATGCCGGCAAAGATCGTCGCCAGAAGCACCGAGATGAATGTAAAGGCCGCGGAGGCGGTGCCGGCCTTTGACAGCGCGTCGAACGTGCGAGGCAGCGAGGAGAGCCAGCAGATAATGGTAACGACGATGGAGAAGACGACGGTCCTGCAGACGACGGGGTCGGACGCGGTCATCGTGTTGAGGTATTTGGCGCCGACGAGGACGTGCAGAGCTTGGATAAACTGCACAATGTCAGTGAGGCGCGCGTGTTTCCCAATGGAAATGAGAGACGTACAGTGTTGTTCAGGATGAACATGAAAGCGGTAGCATACCACGCCCACGTCTTTCCCCAGAAGAGCATCTGGCCGATATCGCAAACGTCGCGAACTTCGGGGTGCCTCATGCAGAATTGCCACAGAACCAAGGACCTACACAAAACCAGTCAGCGGTGAGTCGAGTAGACAGTATGGAGCAAGCTCAGGTATGCGACGTACGTGTAGAGCACAACGAGTGCGATGACGGCAGTAAGGATCAAGCCGGGTACGAGTCCAAGGATGCTATACGACCACGGGAAACTCATGATAGCCTTTCAACAATCAGCATGATACCCAATGCGCCTAGTCGCCATGAGGCGAAAACTCACGAGACAAATGTACTCGGAAAAGAGCAACCCGGCCGTCTTCTGCCAGCTGCATGTCCTGTACTTGATCGCATGGCTATCCTCCTCGGCAAGCTGCTTGGTCAAGATGGCATCGGCGCTGTCCTCGCTGTCGGACCCTTCTCCGACGCCCTCCTGGCGAGGCGCAATGCGCGGGCCGACTTTGGTGTTGCGTCCGCCGAACCAGGCGCTGAAGCCGGAAGAGCCGCCCGTCTCGGCATCGGCGCGGGCAAAGGCGATTTCGGAGGAGCCCTTGTCGTGTGCCGTGGGCTCGGGTTGGCGGAGATCTTTGTCCATAGCGCCGATTGACTCGCGGCAATGCGCCGGCCAAGTTGAGGATTCAGAGGTGTTGGACTTTCGTGATGCGAGGTGGCTGCTATCGATGCTTCGAATTATCGATAGTTTGGTAGGTTTGCGCACGACAGGGAGGCACTGCGGCAATGCTACACTGCGATGACGATGCGACGGGACGGATCACATACGTAGTGCGGAGGAGGAAGAGAAGAGACGGAGGGGTAGAACAGGAGGGATGAGGCGCAGGGACGTGACAGAGAGAAGTAGAGTTCGGAACAGACTCTAGGCACAGGATGACGGAGAGAATGCGCGAGCACGTGGGACGTGCGAGTTTAAGAGGAGGAGAAGAGCAACGAGACACGAACAGAAGAAAGGTAGGTATAGATCAGCTTAGCCAGGCGTCGGCAGCTTGATCCCGGCAGTTGGTAGGAAATGGAAGCTTGGGAACGGGTGAGGATTGGAGCTACGAACGCGGGTTCCTTGCGAGCCAAATTATAAACTGGGCCGGAGGACTTGTTGCATGCGACTTGCAGCAGTAGGCCTTCTTCTTAGCAACCTGTAAGAGAGTGAGAGAGGGCGAGAAACGGGTGGTGTTGGTGGTGGTGGTGGTATCCATACAGAGTAGGATGTGACCTCTTCAAGGATCATGGCGATACCCGGAGAGACACTAGGAACCAGATCGACTCAACCACAGCGAAGTCGCTCAAGTCCTCGACAACATCCGCCAGTAGCGGACACCCTCCGGTCGGACGCCAGCCATAACCGCCAGGAAATGCGAATGGGTGCAGACGTAGTGAGGGACATGGGGATGGGAGGAGAAGGGTCTCCCTGGTGGGTGGGTGGAACTCGAGTGCCGCCGCGGTCAGAGATTTCAGAGCCTCTCGAGGACCGATGCCGTCAAAGGCGTCCAAGGGAGCACCGTATGGCCCAGGCTCGCAGAGCACGTCATTGCAGGATATGGGGAAGTTGTCGAACCAGCCATGGCGGCGCTTTTCTCAAACGGGAACTGGATGCTGGTATCTGCAGTAGTTCCAGTTCCAAGAGGCGAATTTGCTGCTGTCCGCACAAAGATGTCGTCGAAGGGACACTAATAATTAGCGGATACTTGAAAGATAGAGTGGGCGAACCAAGCCCAATCTAAACCCTCTAGCGGCCCGGAGTAGAACGAACGTTTCTTGCGACCGTGGCGCCGCTGGATACCGGCTCAGGCTCGAAGAGACTCGAGGTCGTTGAAGAGCCAATCAAGGAGAGACGAGCAAAAGTCGAGCAAAAGTTAAGCAGAAGTCGAGCAAGTACAAGCATCGGAGAGTGCGCCACCAAAAAAGCTTGCTCGCACTAGTGACGTCGTCCCCATCACCCCCTAGTCCTGGTGAGGTGACGCCCCTCCCGCTGACATACCAAGTCCAAGAGATTGTCAAGAGATGGTCAAGAGATGGCCAAGAGATGAGGCACTTGCTCGGCACGCGGGAAGGCGAAGCTTGGCAGAGCGGCACTGGCGGGAGAGACGGATGTCTGGCTGATAGAGACAAGACACACATACATTCTCATCGACAGTCATACACGTTTGCTCTTGGGGGCCAAAGTAATGAGCATTCATCGAATGAACCTTTTCAACACTGAGCAGTCGGTTGATGTTTCCTCGCCCGGGCCGAGTCAGAGCGCTCTATTCAATATCGACAGTGGGTTGCAGGGGGCACGGAGGGGGGGCAGCAATGACTTGACAAGAAGAACCTTTGACCTCGAAACTGGGGACCGCCCAGACATCTCCGAGGCTCCAACGGTGGTCCCCCCCGCCGTCCTCTGGGTTCTGCATTAGCCCGTCAGCGTCCCAGGATGCTGCATACGTACAGGGTGGGTGGCGACGGTGGTGGTGGTACCGCCGGGCCACTTCCGTGCCGCACTGAACTTTTGCTGGAGCGAGTGTTTGTGTACTACATTGGAGGTATCTCTGCTCTGTATTCTGGACCGGAAGACTGAAAGTGCCCTGTCTGGTACAAGTGGTGGTGAGTCTGAGAATGTTGAGTAGTAGAGCAGAGATAACCGCATTCACCACGTCGAGTCATTGACCACTGAGACAAACGCAATGACACACGAAAACTGGTGCAGCGTGGGATGAATGTGTCTCCCGTTACACTAATTCGCCAGTCACAGAAAGTATCCATAACTCAATCCCTTGTCTCTAGTGTAGCTGAGGTCGGGATACGGCTGCTACCCGCCCAGGAACCGTGGAGGTAATGGGTCGAGAAGTCGAGATCCAGAATTGCGCCATCGGCTTTTGAAATTGCATCAACCTGCAGTGGAAACGTAAAAACGTGAAACTCAATTGTCTAGATTTATCATTTGACGAGTCTCTCTACTATGTAGTGTAGGTGACCCAAGCCAGCGGGATCCCAATCGGGTGACGCCGCGTGCAGCTGCCGAAATGCAGGGTTCTGTTATTGCCCCAATGTTTGGATGCTGTCTCCCGCGCTATCGTATCGTGATGCTGTTTGTAAGGTAAGGAAGGCTATGTGAGGGTTGAATGCGATGTATAGTCCGTGTGCGCCGTTCGCCATGCAGTCTATGCGAATAAAAGAGTCTTTCACCAACAGTCCATGATCACTTGATCGCTCGTCTCTGCCTCCAGAGACACTTCACAGCAACTCTGTACAATTCTGCAAAATCGCCGAGGAATTAGATAGTCGTCTCGTCCCAATCGACCCATCTCCGAATCACGTCGTCCACCGCACCAATGCCCTTCTTGGACGTCTGCACCTCAAACCACTCGCGGTGCACCGAAGTGCATCCGGCACACGTTATGGGCCCGGCGTGCAATCCCATGCCCGACAGCTCAATGTGAATCAGCCGCTCGACGCGGTGCACATGCGGCGTCATGCGCGGCTGTTGTCCTGATGCCGCGCTTGCTCCCGGTATGTACGGGTAGTACCGGAGAACTTCAATCTCGTAGGAGCACTGCTTGGTCCACTGCTGCATCCGGCGCTGGACGTTCTGCGCCCGCCCGATCTTGATGAGCATCTTGTTGTCCCCCGACGCGCCACCGTTGGCGTTTGCAAACGCCGAGACAACGTCGCTGGATCGTCGGTTGCGCCCCCCGCCCCGGGCCTGCGAGGGCGGGGCCAGGAGCGATCTTGCCTCCTGCACTGGTGCCGCCTCCTTCTTGGACGTCGGGGTGATCCAGAACATGTAGATATACCCGGGCTCTTCGGAGCTTCCGTATGGCCGGGCCAATTCCGCCATCAACGCCGACGCCGTCTGCGGATCGGTCGACGGGGGGATGAGCGATAGGTAGTGCGCGGTCTGGGACGTCGAGAGCGGTTGAGGGGACGCTTGCTGGGAGCTCTTCCGGGAGTGGCTCGACGTGCTGGGTCGCGGGCGCGAGTTGGACGGGGCCAGAAGCTGGCTCGAGGGCCGGGGCATGGCTGCGGAGCCGCCGTTCTGCACCGGTCGCGGCTGGGGCCGAGGCGCGGGCTGGGATTCCTGAACTTCATCGATGGGGATGCTGAAGCAGCAGCAGAGGTGCAGCTCCTTGCGGTCCTTCTGCGGCGGACGTGTATAAGCCGACGGTGGCTTGGAGGAGGTCGCAGCTTGGCTACCACCACCACCGCTGCTGGGCCATCCGGCCTGTGGTCGTTTCTGTTTCTTGGTCGGGTTGGAGCCTACGTCCACCAGGCCGAGGCGGTCCGCGAGGGTATCGATGCTCGTTCGCTCTTCCAAGATGGGCCTGCCGGACAGCCTAGGGCCGGGGCTTGACTGGGCAGAGCGGCTTGCAGCCTGGTCTTTGTGGTGGTGGCAGTAGAGCGATTCCTCCTTGGCCGTTGGTGAAAGCATCTTGCCCCTCGCAGGCGTCACCGAGTTGCGGCATAGGTTTCCTGCGCCCGTAAGGCCCTTGCACGTTGTCTTAGGGTTCTTGGAGTCGGAGCGCTCGAGGCGCTCCTCCGGGGTATTGGCAATGTAGCCCATTGTTCTTCTCCTTGCGGGGGCTACAATGGGATTGTTCGTCGTCAATTGGTCGTATTTCAAAGTTCGTGATTATCGTGATGTCTATAGTAGCCGAGGCGCCAAGGAAGATGCAAAGAAATGCAAAGGTTAGATGCGACAGCGACAGCGACAGCGACAGCGAGCAGAGGGCGCGTCGAAAAGAAGGTAAAGGCCTGCCAAGAGTCGCTGGAGAAGGAAAAGAGGGTGACGGCACTTGGAGCGGATTCACGACGCTTGCTGTTGTGCGTGGGCGTGAATCAGGGTCGCGTCCAAGATGGCCTCGCGAGTGACGACCTGCAGCCAGACCACGATCCAGAACAAGAACTTGGGTAACCACCGACGAACCCCTGGTCTGGCCGTGGACTCATCTTGACGGAGGTCACGAGGTGGGCGCGGACTTGACGTGACTGGGGAGATGACTGGAGGAGGTTGGGTCTCGACGGGGTCTGGACAGGGTCAGAGACCAGGGCACAGAACCTGCTGAGTCTCGTTGTTCTGGCTGCCGAGAGCTCTCTGCCTTGCGGCGGGTGGTGCTGAGCGGTGGGAGCTTTGGGCGTTGTGCTTTGGGCAGGCCGCACGATGTCATCGCGTGGCTGCGGGTGGCTGAAGTGCACCGCCTCAACTGAGCCACATCTGGAACATTTAGGTGCCGACCTCCTCAGCCACACTTTTACCTCGCAATCTCCACGCAACACCACCAAAATACATCACCACCCAATTTCCACAGCCTCACTTCCACCCCGTCTTGGGAGATTTCTGTGCGCCACGAAGCAATGGGAGCCTTCTTCAACGAGAGTTTATTACCTTGATCGGGTCGTGCTCTGATCATTACTGTCTCTGTAGGACCTAGATGGAGCCCTCTCTCTATGTTCTTCGAGGTTCAAAAGTGCACGCCGACCGCGCAGGTTTGCAAGCATCCTAGCACCTAATTCCGATTAAGCGTCAGCCACTTTTCATTATTGTTAGCACGCCGAGTTGTCTTTTCGCAAGCATCCAAGTTTAATGAGGCGACCAAAGCCAGGCCGTCTGATATCCTTCATTGGGAATTGATGACTAGGACGTCACTGACAGAGAATCGGAGACGATGGCCTTGATTAAGCTTGACACAATTGATGACGAACGCAGGAAGACCAAGATGCGAACCTAGACTTCAACATCCTACCCTTGTTCGTCGGACTGCACCACTGGCCAGGGTCAACATTGACCTGCATATTACCTTATTCGAAGGCCGGGATAAACTATCATCTCCACACCGCAAGTTCCGTTCTTCACCCGGCGAGCTACTCCGATGAGGACATCATCAGGCCCGATAAGTTCCCACTCGGCCGTCTTACCTAGGCAGCCCCGGGGCTTCTCCATCGCGAATGGAGTGACCGCCGCGTGCCTGTGGTCATATGGAGCGTGACGGTGCGCTCGAACCGGCTCATCGACAGCGGGCAGACCCATCCGCGCTCCGAAGATGTGCATGTTCATCCCGGGTGACACGCATCCGATGCGGATGCTTAGCCACACCATGTGGACAGCGAGAGGCTTCTTGGCCATTGGAAGGCATGAATAACCTCAACAACTCAGACGGTCTTCAGGATTACCTTTATAGCGGCAGACCGATACCATGCACATAGATCATCGGTATGGGAGCCATGCCGTCTTCTCCAACCCCAACGAGCGGTAAATACGATGATGATGGACAGGAAATCACTCACCCAACACCCATACCAACATCAAATTTGCCCATTCGACAGCTTCCCATTTCCTAGACCCATTCTGCAAAAGCCAGAGCTACAATGTAGATGGAATCTGGGCTACGAGTACGAATACATACACTACATGCGCTGCCCCTGAGTCTTGAGGCCGGCAATCTCGGGGGCTCGAAGGCGGCGGGCAAAATCACACCACAAACAGACCATCGGGAAGTGGGTCACCCGGGGATGGAAAATGGATACTCTGTGCCTCTTTTCAGCTGGAAAGTGGAAACACACGGCTCCGGTTCGTTCATGAGGAGAACCACGCCGGAAACGAAAGAGGCCCAAGGCGATGAGTTGCTGTCTCCAGATTCGCCAATCTCATCAGCTTCACAATGAGCCAATGGCGAGTTCAGTCGAGGGCGCAGCTCGTCCGTTTCGTATTCGGATCGGTGGGTTCTTGTTCAGTGTCTCCAGTGTCCCCAAGAGGAACGAACAGGCTCAGCAAACATGCAAGTTGTCGTACCACACCCGAGCGGATGCCGGTGAATTTTTATCGTCCCATCGGCGTCTGGACCCCTGCACCGCCCTTCGAGAAGAACCCTCCAAAGCCCGTTCATCACCAACACGCGCCGTCTCCACCAAACGCGGATGGTTTATAATTTCACGTTGGCCCCTTTCGCCGTGTTGGTACCTTCTCTCGTCTGACTTGGTCGCTGCCGTTGCACCTCGAGAGTTGCATTCTGCCTTCTTTCAGTCTCTCTCTTGCATTGGCGTGCGTTCGATATCATGGCGTCCTGGTACGTTGGCCACAACTACTCACTCGAGACTTACAAACTCGACATGCGCTGATGAATGATACTCTCACAGGAACTCGACCGTTGTGTTTCCCAACCAAACCTCCACCGCAACCTACCTCGGTGTGCTCGACGATGTGAGCAAGTACAACGTCCAGCTCAACGCCATTGAGCGCCTCTGGGCGGCGTGGTATCTGTGGATGCAGAACGATATCATCGCCACGGGTATCATGACCTTTGTCATGCACGAGGTCGTATACTTTGGTCGTAGTCTGCCATGGATCATCATCGACGCCACTCCCTACTTCCGCAGATGGAAGATTCAAAAGGCACGTCATCTCAATTCTCTCATGCACCGCGAACCCAGCGGCTTCCTAGACGTCATCGACCAACACTCATGACAGCTGCTAACCCCGAGCAGCAAAAAATCCCAACGTGGAGAGAGCAGTTCGAATGCGGCGCCCTAGTTCTCTTCAGTCACTTCACCGTCGAGCTCCCGCAAATCTGGTTCTTCCATCCCATTGCCACCTGGTGCGGCCTCGACTACGGCGTGCCCTTTCCCCCTTGGTGGAAGATGGCCTACCAGATCGCCATCTTCTTCGTTCTCGAGGACACCTGGCACTACTGGGTGCACCGCGGCGCCCACTGGCCTCCCCTCTACAAGGCCGTCCACAAGATGCACCACTACTACTCGGCCCCCTTTGGCATGACGGCCGAGTACGCTTCCCCGATCGAGGTCATGTTCCTCGGCCTTGGCACCGTCGGGTCTCCCGTCCTGTGGGTCCTCATCACAAAGGACCTGCACCTCTTCACCATGTACCTCTGGATCGTCCTGCGGCTGTTCCAAGCCATTGACTCGCACTCTGGCTACGACTTCCCCTGGTCCCTGAGGCACTTCCTTCCCTTCTGGGCTGGCGCCGAACACCACGACGTCCATCACGAGAAGTTCATCGGCAACTACGCGTCTAGCTTCCGGTGGTGGGATTATATTATGGACACCGAGGCCGGCGCGGAAGCCCACCAACGCAGGCGCGAGAAGAAGGCAGGCAAGGCCAAGAAGGTTCAGTAAGAGGTCTTTTGTCTCGCTGAAGATCGGATCAACTTCAACTCTGTGTGAGCGTGGAAAGACATCCGCTGGACTCTTGAAGTGACGGATTTGTCGCGAAAGGACCCCCGGCCATGCACTCTTTTTTCTTTTTTAACGGCCGACACGACGACTTCATTATGATGAATTGTAATATTCTAGACTTCTCGACTAATGCGACAATCGCTACTGTTAATACAACCATGCCGTACATACAGAACACTGTGGCACTCGGTATCATTTGTGTTGAAAGCTGAGGTGATGGAAACCTATTCTCATTTCATCTTGCGTAGCTCTGAATGAAGCGATGCACAAACGGCAGTGTCGGCTCTTTCGCCGACAACAACGACAATGAAGACGGATGGTCTGATGGAACTTGGATGGAAAGCCCAGGTCGCGGCCACACAGGACGGAGACAATGAGACAGTACTTGGTGGAAACAACGGCAAACTGCATGCTTTTCAACAATGCAAGGACCGAACACGAGGCTCGCAACGTGGTCGTCTTCAAACAGTCAGGCGCAAAACCTTTGATTGGCCAACGTATCCAAGGCTCTTTGGTTTTCCGATGCCAAATAGCACAGATCTTCCAGATGAACGGCGAAGCCGAGGTGCGCTTCTTGCCACATTCAATAGGTCAACTATCCAAACCTTCAAAAGTCTCTGGATGTGGACTCGATTTCCCAAAATAATAGTCGAGTACCATTGATTTATCAGGTCACTCAAGCATACTGTGTGGCAAGCAGAGCCACGTTTATCTTAGAGTGCATAGTAAACCATGCCATTCCCTACGTCTTCTTCACTGATTGTCAAACACATGAAGCAAGGGACTCACTGGATGTCGCTCCAAGTGCCCGTCTTCGAAATTGCATCCTGTCTGGAGATCGAATTGCCAGGAGTTGCTGTTCCGAATTGCCTCTTTATCTTGGTGCCATATGGCCAAACAACGCATGCCATGCAGGGAGTTGATGCGCCAATGCGGTACGCCGTATCCAGGTCAGGTCGTGCTCAGGGGCAGGGCAGGGCAGGGCGAGTCCAAGGCAAGGAGTTTCCTGAATGCTAGCCCGGTCGCCAAACAGCAAAGAGGCAGTAAAAAGATGCTTCTTCTCGAGATTCATTGCTGGCGAGTATTTAAAAGGACGCATTTCGTCCCGGGCTTCACTTGGCGATCTACTCTCCCCATCCTCGACGTCTTGGGTCTCTTGGATACAATCTTACGCCGCCAGAGCCAGTCTTCCCAAGCCCGTGGTCTCCGACTCCTCATCCAAGTCTGACAGAAAGGAAAATGGCACGCTACCTGCTCCCATTTCTAGCTGCTACAGCTGTCCTCGCCAAAACGGACCTGGTAGGCTGCACCTCTCTCACTTCCACCATCACGGGATCATTCGGCAGCTCCAAGGAGACACTCATCTTTTACGACCCAGACACCCTCGAAATCTGCTCATCCATCAACTGCGGAGGCGGTACCGCGTCCTCCAAGAAAATCCCCGGCTGCCCGGCCTACTCCGGCACCGAGACGGTCACCAAGAGTTTCCTCCCCAGCTGCGCTACTGTGAAGCATCACACGGTGACAGTCACTCAGACCCTGACGCCCCCGAGATCGAATAACTGGGTGGGTAGCACGACGGTGACGGTCACGCCGACGCGGACGAGCACCATTGTCAAGACCGTCACGACGTCGTCGGGGGTGAGCGAGTTGACTTCTGGGACGAGTGAGGCTACGGCTAGGCCGAGCGGTACGGATAACACCTCGTTGACGTCGACGGAGGCTGAGGCAGCGCCGACTGGGAACGGAGCGGAGGTTTCGTCGAGTACGGTGCCAGCTGGGGCGGGGCCGACGGCTCGGGCGGGGATGGCGGGGATCCTCGGCGTGGCGGCCGCTGTTGTGGCGTTTGCGTGAGGCGGTGTCTGTTGGCCTTGAATGAGGAACGCGTTGTGAGGCTTTATTGAGTCTGGTGGCTATGGTTCTTGTGGTCCGGATGCAAGCGCCAGTCCGACCTGCTTCGCCCAAGATAGACCTCACTCAGCCTGGCCCATCTTGATGTCGCGGATAGGTGATGGGGTTTCATATGATATGTACTGCACTACTTGCTGTTAATTATATCGGTCTGGTCCTATGTATTGCTAGTATGTCAATGCACTTTTGACAACTTTACATATTCAACATGATGAGCCTCGTTCTCCGTTTCGGAAGATGAGACGCTGGTGGTGAAGTGTTTGGTCTAACGACATCTTGCAGGTCATGAGTATCCATACAGGTCGCGCTCAACAGAGGCCGGATATCAGAAAGACATGTCTGATTTTTGCAAGATAGTGAGAGGAATAGAAAACTGCATATTGAATCTCTTTTTTGGACAACCCATCTTCTGGCTGACGAAAGAAAAGGCATCATTGCACCGACTTCCACCTGCGGCAAGCAGTCTGCCATCCAAACCAGGGCCTCCTCGGTCTCCGTAACTATATTTGGAATGTTGAGGGGAACCCGGCCATGTTTGCTGGCTTACGTACGCCGCTGTCTTTGTTATGACAGGGAATGAGTCAGTTGTCAACCTTACACCGCCGACCACATGCAAGCTCGACCAGTTCAGCTACGATACAGATGCTAAACTTGTTCCTTTCTCTGACAGAATGGATATTTAACATGTCATGTATCACAAGGAAGACGCGTCTGCATGTTTACTCCTTGAATCAATACCCATCTCTGCCCTGAAACTCCGGCGCACTCGGTCGATAACTCGGACCGATACTGTGCAATTTCCGGCCGCGAAGTCTTAGTATCGAAGCAAGGGGAAGATATTCAAACAGCCAACGTCTATTACAAGAATGAGTTCATTGGTTTTGGAGGTGGCTTTGGAATGATTTTAGAGAGTACTTTCAGGCAGGCGGCTAGATTAGATAGCAAAGCTTTGAGCCATGGCATTTGTCGTCGTTAATTACACTACAGCAGTTTGTATTCTCCTCAATTTGCCCCGAGACGTCATAAATTCTACATCAACAACATTCCTATGGTTGTCAAGTTTGACTGAATAGCGTGCGCTGTATTGTTGAAATCTTGAAATAATGATATATCCCTGAAGGTTCACCCTTCTTCTTGAACGTTTCCTCACGTGTCAGACTCTGTCAGACTCGGTCACAGCTCCCTACCTATATGGATTGATCCCTTGATTTTGCCAAGGTGTTTCTAGCCTCGAAATATATGAAAATACGAGATGAACCCCGGTTTGAATGCGGTCAACCCTTCACCTGCATTGCGTCGCTTCTTGGAATGCCGTCGGCGTTTTGGCACTGCCCGGCGCAGCAAAGATACTTGGACTACGGTGATTTGACAGCTCCTCGCATTGAGTCCCATTTTCTTAGACGTGCCCTAGTCAACCTTACGTCCGCTGGCCTGCCACTAGATTCATGCAGTCCTCCCTGCCCGTTGCCAAGTGTATTTAGACTTTCGGCATGGTGGAGGGGGCATAATCCACGGATCAGACGAAAATCCGAGACCGTCTAGATAAATCCGCCGGCCCGTCCTCCGACGCCGCGGCAGCAACATTACCCCACACTGTCAAGGACCCCGGTTCCCGGCTCCGCCTGAGTTTCACTTTCTGGGTTGAAGCATTCTCGATACCGCATGCGCGCGGTTGTTTACCATGCATGTGAGCTGCCAATGAGCTGCTGGTCTCTGACAGCCCTTCCTAGCTGCCGAAATACCATCCGGGACGGGAGGGAGGTGGGGACTAGATGTTCCGGGGCTAGTCGACAGCGTTCTGCAGACTTTCAGCTCTTGTCAGAGGCCTCCTACGACATAATCCGTCTGACGGCGTCTGGCTACTGTCATGCCGCTTCACCGGGGTATCCGGGTGCGACCGTTTCGGGGTGAGCTGCTGGCCAACCGCGGGCAGGGAGTCGGAGCAGTCGGAGCAGCGCACTGTGAGAGATATATAAAGCTCGCCATGTCCGCATCCTTCGAATAGCTTACTCCCAAGCCAACTCCCAAGCCAACTCCCAAGCCAACTCCCAAGCCAACTCAGAAACAATATTCTCTCCAAGCCACAATCAGACTACCGTAGACCGGTCGACACCAAAACTCAAAACACTCCCATCATCAAACTCGCTAGTTCAGCACCTCACAACCACCAAAATGCCTTTCCTCGTCATCATCTCGCCCAACATTCCCGCCGATAAGCAGGCCGAGCTCGAGGCAGCCTGGCCACAAATCAAGGAAGACATTTCCAAGCAACCAGGTGTTATTGGTGTAGCCGGCGGCCAGGTCGTCAACGAAAGCGGGACACCCGTGACCGAGCCCAAATTTGTCCACACCATCAGTGAGAAATCCCCCTTTGCGCGCGGCATGAGCGGCTGTGACTAAACTTCCTGGCAGCTTTCGAGTCGGCGGCAGACGACAAGGCGTTTACCGAGTCGGCTTGGTACAAAGAGCGTGAAGAGCAATACAAGGACGCCCCCGGCGGCGAGCCTCGAGTCAAGAAGTTTGAAACGGATGCGATCCCCAACGAAAAGCCCAAGACGTTCACTCAGTTTTGTTTCCTGGACATTGCGGACGAAAGTAAGCACGCGGAGGCGAGACAGTCCTGGCTGGACCTCGTTGCGGCTCTTGGCCAGGCGGTTCACTTTGGAGGAAAGAGTGTCGGCGGTGGCCAGTCGACTGGCTTGGGAATCCTAGGATGGAACAGTGAAGATGTACGTTTTGTGTCCCTGTTGCTAAATTCGTAATGATTTGTTGCTTACTGTTGGAATAGGAAGCAAAGGCTGCTTATACCAAGCCGGAGGCGCAGGCAGCGTTGCAAAAGTACCAGAGCTTCGGAAAGAGCGTTGCTGTCATGGTCAAGCTCGAAGTCTAAGGGCAGAGGCTCAGACGGATGGTGATCTTCATCTTTGTGCTTTGTTGAAATTGAAATACTAGAGAGAATAGCGCTACGAAACCTGAACTTGTTTGCGTCCTGGTAGGCGAACATCGAAGTTGCTGTGTCGGATTTTCAACACATGAGATCATTCAGAATCTTCTGGCTCCGATAGGGGCTTTTGACCGTAAACAACGTGCCTGTGACATGTGTCAGACTACTGCTCGCGGAGAATACCAGGTCATGGACAACGTACAGGTCCCACTGGGCATGAAACATGTGAGCGGTATTCAGTTCCTTGCGAACTTCAGACAGAGTGACCAAAACTTCCTCTTTGGTGTAACCGAGTACACCGCAGAAGGTCCTCGTTGTGAATGCATCAAGTCCATCCAAAACTTGAGCTAGGTTTAGTAGGCCTATGTCCTTAAAGTGGGATTCTTTAGCCCACGGCCCAATGGGTATCTTGAACTTTTGGTGATTGACATTTTCGAAACCGGTCTCTACCACCCAGTCGAGTAACTTGGGCCCTGGTTGAGAATCGCGATTGATAGAGTTCATAGCTTCAACTAGTGTCTTGTTCCACTTGAACGTCGCGTGTTTCTCAGTGAAGCTGTCATCGTCTGAGTAGTAGAGCGAGTCCATATCTTGGAATTCAGCCCAACCACCAGGGGTAAGGTGCCTACGCTTCGTAAGTACAATTATGCAATTCGATGGTAGGCTTCTGAATTTTATACTTGAAGATATTTCTGACGAGTTTTGGCCAATCTCCAATGGAACAGAGCATATAGCGACACATGATGTAGTCATACTTTCTGTCGTCAAGCCACTCACTTTCAACGTCATCAATTTCGAACTTGACGTTCGGGGGAACCCTGTGTTGAATCATAATCATTAGAAAGCACGCGTTGATTCATCTGCCGGTGAATGTCTCACCAGGATGGCTGGATTGCACTGAGATCATTCCCATACACCTTGGCAAACCATCAGCATTCGTGCTTTAAAAGCGAATCACGGAATGCCCTCCTCACCTGGGCGTTCGAAAAGATATCGCCCATTTCAACAGCCCCTAAACTGGCTTAGTAGTGTGTGCGACGTAGAGTGCGGCGGATACGCTGGATAAAACCTACAGATTCCTGTGCCGGTGCCAATGTCAAGAATCATGTGGACTCGCTCCTTGTTAATCGGAGCCAGAAAGAGCCTGTTGCCGATGGCTTTGACATTCATTGCATGGGCCAAGTCCAGTCGGTCCATCTCATCCTGGTACGACATCAGAATTAGCTCTTCGACCGCTCCCTTTAAATCTACGAAAGGAAGTAAAAGAAGTTCTGCTGTTTTTACCTCGTCGTTCGGAAGAGGGTATGCTGTTCAAGGAAGACATTCAGTTATTAACTTTTCGTATCTTTGAAATGAAAATTTCAGTCATTTAGTGAGGAACTCACATCCAGGTCGGAAAGCATGGTAACGTCGGCCATACTCAAGAGGATAGTCAACGGCGCTTGAAGATAGCGAGGCAGTGTATGAAGAACTGTAAACATGAAGTCAGTCTAAACAGAAGGAATCGAGCCATACAGAGGGGCTTAAGTTGTGACGTGTCACACATTCGCTCCTCAATGGATCTGTCGTCGTCCGTCTGGAGAAGTGGTCAGGAAAATGTCAGAATGGAGAAGTTGAGTAGTTGAATGTTATACCCACCGAAACATCATCGGCTTGCAGTACAGGCAATTCATCGATTGAGGACTGGGCGACCGGTTCGGGAGACCCGCTTGATACTGGATCTGGAGTTCCGGTTGTATGAGGCATGTCAGTCGAGGAGCGCACTTGCTCTGAGCGACTTGGCGGGTCTGCCATAGTAGCGAGCTTGCAGGCAGGATATGGCAGAGAGCTCCAGTCTGTGGCAAAAGAAATCTTCGAAGTCTGCTTCTGGGGGGAGTGAATGTGAACAAGGAAATTTGCAAGGTGTTTAGACGACAGAAGATCAGACTGCCACAGTATTTGTATCGTGCCCCCTGTCCCAACAAGCGAGCAAACGACATCCGGGGGCCGCTATTGGTGCAGACTGAGATGCCTGCCATGCAAGAATATTTGCAGACCAACGGGCATCTCCTCGCAAAGCCCCTTGGCAATGGAGCCGATGCAGCTCAATCCCTTTTAAGAGCTACTCTGGCCAATGGGCGGGCTTCGCTCATCTCCTTATCCTGGGCCATCGTGTCATGACGGAGTCAACGCCGACATCCTTATAAGGGATCCAGGCCCCTCTCTGTTCGAGAGAGCAGTGTACTCATTGCTTCTTCCATCGCCAGAGCCTCTATAGAGAATCAATTTCTCTTTCTATAATCTCGAGTGAGTTCACCGGTCACTCTCAGTCTCAAAGCTGCATCTCTCTATGCACAGAAAAAGAAATCAAAGAATACCTACTTATAGACAAAAGTTTTGGTCCATCCACAAGATGAGTGTTTAGATAGAGTCATAGAAGTAAATTGGATTCCCCGGTAAGAACCAGAGCCGCCGTGTGTTTTTGATGGCCTATTTCCGTTGGAACATAACGTAATCTGAGGGAGGGGGGGTGGGCTACAATGAACAGCACCTTTCATTAACTGGGGGTTGAGAGGTCAATATCTACCGCCACAACCTTACAACCTAACAAAGAAAGCTGTTCTTGTACCAAGAGTATTTTTCCAAAGGAATAAAGTATAAGAACATAACTTTTGAACCTCCGGTTAATTAACTGCTCAAACTGCGTCTTCAACCATTTTATCCAACTTCAAGCTTTCACCGGTAACCCGGCGCCGTGATATCCAAAACGTCAAACTCCCTCGATCAATCTACGCCTAACCAAACGCGATCTTAAGACACTTTTTTCCTGCAACATACAAACACACTTCAAGCATGGCTTCCGTCGGTACCAGCTCCGGCGGTGGCGGATCTTCGGGTGGCGGCGGCGGCGGCGGCGGCCCTGGCAGGGGCTTTGGTAGAGGCAACGGCAAGCAGCCAGCCCGGGATGCACCTAGGGACCCAACTGGAGGCTCCGAAGAAGGCCGCGAAGACGGCGAAAATGATGGGTCGGGGGGTGACTCGGACAGTGGCCTTGAGAATGTTTCTCGAACTAATGCTCTGGTGGACAAAAAGTATGAGCAGAAACACTACGATTTCATATCAGGTCATCCTCACGACACCAAAGCACATAGGGTTGCACCGGACTCGATCGAGGTCGTTCTGAAAAAGCAGGATGATACTTATGTCTATAAGCCTACATCGAACAAAGTACCCCTTACCATATTTGACGCGGAACGGATGGGGATACCATTGGCTGGAAATGTGGAGGATATCCCAGTCGCCTCTTCCTCCCAAACCACCCCACGCCCGTCCAGCCCAGGGGATGGAGACGACGGCTCATCGAGGAACGCTGCAGGTTCTTCGAAAATTCCAGACGATGCGCAAGATTCGGATCATTCTAACAGGACAGAGGGTCCGGGCAAGTCATGAGCCTTCAGCATGAAAAGGTTCAGTGACAGTGGATTGTGCTCGTGTGGACTAGGTCAAGAGGCACATGGGTACATGGCTCATACTTAGGTAGGCATACTCTAAAAATAACAACATGATTCTTTTTTCTGATTCGAACATCTTCCCAAGTTGACTCTTTTGCAAACTTCTAGTTGGCGAATAATAAGAGTCGCTGTACGCAAAGCATAAATGTCTTCTGAACGTGTATTCGCTGCACCAACCCTTTCACCCTGATATTTGTTTCTTGGAATCAAGGGCATTCACCTCTGGTAGGCTTCCTTTCAAATACTTGATGATGTCCTCCAAGGTGGATTGATGGCTGCACGGCGACTTATTGAGGTGCGAGCTGACGCACTGCCTTACAAATTCCGACGTGATACCTTGAGTCCGTTCTCAAATCGTCGCCTGTAAGACTCGAACAGTATTCATTAACCATGTCCAGATACTGAAGAGTCTTATGTTGATTGAGAAGAGAATCTCGAATCTCTTTGGGCGTGGAAGTGTATTGGTTCTTGGTGAAGTAGCTAAATTATGTCACATGTGGTAAGCCGTCCATCAACCGCGGTAAACCCCAACACCCCCAGGTGCCTTTCATGTGGATCTTCAGCCACCTAAGTAATGGTAAATTTGGAATAGTGTTTAGTCTTCCAGCAGTGCACGATAACACCTCGAGTTTCGGTGAGTTGTTAATGCGCAGACGTTCAACGGGACTTGATGTGGTAGGATGAAAAACATGTCATTTCTTATCACCAAACATAAGGGGGGAAGTCAATCTTCAAATCATTATGCGGCATTATTCTTCTGAGCGTTGCCCCGATCCGAACTCCTGGAGATTGACTGTGGATTATTTTGCCAGGCAAGCCCGAGTAATCAACTAGGAGCGGCCTTTACTCTTGTTTCCTTCGCTACGGATGAACGGTTCGAGAGGAAACACTTGAGCTTCCGGAGTGACACCGTCATATAGTTGAGCCCATCTTTCCCTCAAAGGTTCGGGGGTCTCCCAGCCGTATTCGGGGTCGCGCAACCATTGTCTCAGCAAATGACGTCTACCACAGTAAGAATCCAACCTGTCAGTCCAATCTTACTCTCGCCTTCGCTGATACTTCGGCAGTGACTCACTGTTGTTCTTGTGTATCGGTAAACCCGTCCCGAGCATGGAAGATTCCCATGTTGTTGGCGTATTGAATGTCACCTTTCTGGAAGTCCAGGTTTACCGCAAACTTCTCGCCGAGGAAATGCAAAGTATCGAGGGCTTCGGCCTGTGCCTCTGAAATGGGCGGAATTTCTTCGCTTCTTGGAAGCGCACCGTAGCCGACGAAATATCGACGGGCGTATTGCACTGCCAGACGCTCAGGTGTTGTTGACGTAGCCGGCTGGTAGTGTACCAATGGGCGAGAAGTGAAGGACTTCTCAGGCGTGCCGAAGCTGATAATAGTGACGAGATACATCATTAGCCAACGCTCAGTGCATCTCGGACAATCATTCACTGCCAGCATCTAGCTACTTACACTTCAAATTGCCAGTCTTGAGTCAGAGTATGGATGAGATCCGGACGAGTGCTAGCAATCTCATTATAAACCCTTGCGATGCTAGCCAGCTTGCTCTTGCCGCCCTCTGCAGCAGTTGACAGAGCAAACAGGGAAACTATGTCTCCAGCATCTGTGTGAAATACCTGTTTATCAGCGGTGTAAGCAGGACTGCCGATCTGGCCCTTCTCGTTCGTCAAAGTCAAATCTTTGATGTGAGTGAGCACAACATCAGCCGGCTTCCCGTCGTACTGCCTATCCTGGCGACCTCGCTGGGGTGCGATGTGAGATGACAAGCCTGCATAGATGATGATGTTTTCTTCTCTGGTGTGCTCATCCACTCGCAATCCGCGGATCACAAAAAATCCGTGCCCATTGTGTAATTCGTATGAAAGCTTGCGAAGCTCAGGGCGAAGTTTGGGCAGGGGAAAGTTCTCCTGGTTAATATGACCCAGCGGCAGGTTCAGCCCTTGGTACATAGTCAGCGACTTGTGAGTTACTTCTTGGGCTTCTCGACCTACCTCTGAAGTGACACAGCGCCGCGTCAAGTTCGTCAAGCTGTTCTGATGTAAGGGCATAGGTCCAATCATACTCGTCGGCCAGCGTCGCACCCTCCCAGACCATATCGTTCGCAAACTTTGCCGGAAGACCGTCGGGAAGGCTCTTTGGGAGATTGGGCTCCTGTACTTGGCGTGCAGTCCGAGCCTGGAACTTCTGGTAGTCCGGGGCATATTGAATATCCGGCTGGACGGGACGGGTCAAAGTGAGGGTGGCCATGATGATACACGAGATATGTCCCTTGTGACGGCTCAAAAGGGTTAAAAACGATTTCCTTTTGGAGGGTGCTGACTTGGTTTCGATTCGACCCTAGATTGGCTCTGTTGACTCTTAACAAGCTTCTAATGTCTACTTTAGGGAATGAGCGCGCTGTCTATTCCGGTTTCGCTGTGGTGATGGCGACATTGCTTTGCCCGATGTCGTGCCGCGGAGAAAGTGGAGAAATGCTTAATCTAATGGCTCACAAATAGCCGATCGTCTGATGACCATCTCTCTCGCCCCCCTTGGGAAAGAATATGACCACCGAGTTACAGTCATTCCTTGCCTTTTAATTGGAGAAAATAGTCCCCCATTATAGAAACGACTCCTGCTAAGTTAGTCTTGATGTTGGACGGCGAGGACTAAGAGTCGGAGGGAAATAAGACTCATGTTTTTCTACGAAATACTTTGGCATCAACAACTCCACAGATACAAGTGCTGACGCTCACTTCGACTTTGCGCTACTTTGCTTCCTCCATTGCTTGCCCATTTCCTTGACCTCCTGGTTTGTCTTGAGAATCTGATCGCGGGCCCCAGGCCAAGCCTTCCGGCCCCGCTCCGTCTCGAAAAGCCGGTAGACCGCCGGGGAATCGGCACCGTCCATGAGCAAGTTGTAAAACTTGCGATCTTTCCACCAAAGCTTCCATGCTTCCTTGCTAAAGCACCCGAGTCGATCCGTCACCCCGGTTCCCGCAACCTTATTCAGCCACGCGTAGGTGTCGCTGCCAAACATTCGGAATCCCAGATGGGGCAGTGGCCCGCGTCCGAGGGTATCCACAACGGTGTCGTAGTGTCTGTTGATGTCTTGTGCCATCACCTCGTCCGAGGGAATCGGTACTGTTCCGCTCCAGAGACTGGCCAGTGCCATCGTGACGAGGTCGTTGAACACAAAAGGGGCCTTGAATATAAAGAAGTGGCCGATGAACGCGAGGGATTCGGGATACTCCTCGGACAGGAACCCACGATACAGGCGAGCGAATTGGACGTGTGGATCCTTGTACCGAGTTGCATTGATGCGCTCAAAGTGATCTGGAGATTTCGCCGGGTTGGTGGGGTCACCGTTACCTTTGATCAGCGAGAAGTCGTATTCATACCCTGTGCAGATAATGATGGCATCGATATCGTCCAGAACTGAACCATCTGTGAAGGTTACCGATTTGGGTCCAGAGACTTCACTCACACCAGGAACAGTACGGGTGATCCCGTCTCTCAGGTTCTCGGCAAGATCATTTGACAGAACCGGAATGCGATGTTCTGCGCTTTCAAGGACTCGAGGAGCCAGAAATGATGGGTGCTTGCTGAGCCAAGGGTATGCCTTTTGTCGGGCGCTGTCCAAAGCCTTTGTGAAAAGCATGGCACATCCTCTGGGCCACCATTCCCCAAGGCTTCGGAAGATTGTGAGTGCTCGCCGCGTCATACCGTGGTCAAAGGCGTTTCCCTTGACCATCTTTGGGACCTGTGATCATGTTAAGCTGTTACTCTCCCAGGACATGGTGCGATTTATAGAACCAGAAATCATCTTACCAGGTAAAACTGCTTACGATGGCTAATAGTGATCGAGCGAGCATTGGCCTTCTTGAGGAAGGACTGCGTGTCAGCGCTGGTAGCCCCAACGCCGACAAGCAAAACATTCTTGCCCGAATATCTATACGGATCTTTGAATTTCAGGGAGTGTATTGCCTCTCCTTCAAACTTCTCAATGCCTTTGATGTCAGGAATATTGGGCGTGTTGACTATTCCGGTGGCTAGAACGACACGGTCGAAGACGTGCTTCTGCATGACACTCTCCTCGTGTGGATATGTAGTGTGCGTGTGGACAATCCATTGGCCATTGGCATCATCTCTTTCGACTTGATTGACTTTTGTGTAGAATTTGATATGGGGGAGCAGATCGAATTCCGTTGCGTAGGCTTCGAGGTATCGTTCGATGCTCTTTGCAGTCGGGTGTGTTGCATCATCTGATACCAAACGGCAACGTCAGCTCCAAACATCCGTGACGGTTGGGTCTAAACATCTTACCGTCAGCGAAAGGGAAGTCCGTGATATGCGCCTATCGTTCCTATTAGCACGTTCTTCGGTTTACACGTGTCGGAAGCTGGTCACCATTTGCTTCGAGGTATTGAAAGACGTCATTGGCAGTGCAGTGACTTGGTCTGGCTTGGGTGAGAAGTGCCACAACCCACCAAGGTAACTATTCTGCTCAAAAGCGGTTACTTGCAACCCTTGCTCCTTGAGATTCTTCATCGCGAGAAGTCCCAAAGCGCCAGTGCCGACAATGCCAACGTGGTTGCCCACGGGCTTTGAACAGTGATCCGCCATATGGAATAAACGGAAGTCTTCGATAAAGATGAAGAGTGAGACCAGGAAGAATTATCTGCACGCTTTTCCTGGCACAATTTCCCAAAGTCAAGTGCGAGTGCATGATCTTTAATCAAATTGAGCCATCGACTCGTTGCACGACTTGAAGAGATATATACATAATGCGGCGCTAACCCGTCGGGGACATTTGATCTGACATCAGCATCGCTCGGTGAGATTTTTCTCTTCGATGATTGGCGATCTACACCAAGGGACGATCAAGAAGCAAGCCACTCAGCTTTGAAGAGCTCAATCGGGAAATCAGCTATGCTTCCAGGCCCAAGCTGCCCATTGAGAGCTATGAGCTGCCTGAAAATGGTAGGCCAGCGATTCTCCACGAGTAGGTGTGACAGGGGTTTCATCCTCTTACTCAATATGCAACCTAACAAGTGGATGCTCGCTTCACTATCAGAAGATGAACAAGGTTTTGTAGTGGGTGAGACATATTTTAGCAAGGTAAGAATTTCTCGACGGATGTAAATTCGCCTCAGAATCGAGCATTGAGTCTCGCGGCTTTTCTGTCATTAAGTTGCGTCAGGTGGTGTCAGACAGCGGAACAACCTGGGCAAACCAATAGAGATGGACTACGGTGTGAAGCCGTCAACAAAGGTCCCCCGGTCATGGGTTGGACAGTCACCCAATCCGGCTTGAGGGGGGAAATTGGTCGAAACACCATAGTAGAACAAGTCTATCTGCACGAACTATTCCCAAAAGTCTCCTTGGAACCAAGGCCTTCACGTGATCGCCTGCAGTGATTGGCTGAACTCCTCATGAGCGAAGACTGATTGCTCTTCGTCTTGTATACTGTTATCTGGCGGCTGGAGAAGACGATTTACAGCTCAAGTGATTATTGATTACAGATTGCAGCCGTGATCTTAATTCGGTTTGCTCCCCCAAAGGTATTCCAAGAAGACATCACGGAATTCTTTCCGAGCTGTCGGCTTTTGAGCCGACTTGACTACCCGTGCGAGTAAGATCCACCTTCGGGCGTTGTTGGCTGGTGGTGACTCAGCAATTGGGGTGTTCATACGCGTTTAAGAAAGTCCACCCTCAACTATTCCAATAGAAACGGGTCCATCCCAGCCACAATCGTAGCCTTTTGGGCAGTTCATAACCGTCGCAAAAGATATTCTGTGCTTCAACTTCAAGCAACTGAAATCAAGTTATCAAATGGCTTCTAATATCATGGAACACCCTGTGGTCGACTTGCTCAAGTCGCTCATGTCAATCGTGAGCACCAGCGAACTTGAAGAAAGCATTGGTGTCTTTTTAGAAGAGTACCTTCAATCCTTGGGCTACACCGTTGAGCGTATCCCCATTTCACCGCATTCACCTCGTCACAATGTTTACGCGTACCTCGGCTCCTCTGGCAAGACACGCGTGCTCCTTACGGCTCATATGGACACGGTGCCGCCACATATCCCGCTGACGATTGACGGCGATACGATCCGCGGAAGAGGTTCTTCCGATGACTTGGGCCCCCTCGCAGCCCAAATTTTGGCTGCAGAGGAGCTGAGAAAGGAAGGCAAAGTGCGGAATGAAGGAGATATTGCGCTGTTGTTCGTTGTTGGTGAAGAGAATGGCGGCCACGGAATGATCGCTGCGAACGACATGGGTTTAAAGTGGGAGTCTGGCATCTTTGCTGAACCGACTGAGAGTAAACTTGCAAAGGGCCACAAGGGGCAGGTGGCATTTGAGGTCATCGCCAATGGCATCGCCTGGTAAGTCAAATCCCTGGGAAGAGAGTCCGGTCCAACAGCTATACTGAAATCAGCGACTAGCCATTCGGGATATCCTCATCTCGGCAAAAGCGCCACTTCTGCCCTACTTGCTGTGTTGAACGATCTCTCTGCGGCGACCTGGCCTGAGTCGGAGCTCCTCGGGCCTTCCACCTTCAACATCGGCACTCTCGAAGGTGGAGAGAAACACAACATCGTTGCTCCGTCTGCCAAGGCCCTTTGTGAAGTCCGCATGGTTTCCGACCTGCCAGGCATCAAGACCAAGATTGCCGAGATTGTTTCACGGCATCCCGACGTGGAGTTGAAGTTTGTTTTTGAATACCCCGAGGCGCTCCTGGATTGGGAGATTGACGGTTTTGATGCGGCTCCCGTGGCTTTTGGGACTGACGTCCCTCGACTACAGGCCGAGTACTGTGACAAGAGGGTTTTGTACGGACCAGGCTCAATCTTAGTAGCTCATGGGCCAGATGAGTATATCCACGTCCCAGAGTTGATTGAAAGCATAGCGGGATACAAGAAGTTGGTGCTTCACTTCCTCAGGTAGGAAATACAAGTCCGAAACATTCCTCCTGAAGCGTTTGGGTTAGTAGTGTTTGGTATTGTCATTGGTTGGCTATGGAACAGGGGGGGAGGTTTGATACTTGCAATGTGCTCGTATCGACAGCCGAGTGGGATATGACCAGGGTGTTCGTCTCAACTGTACCCCGGCATCGTCTCATCTTTACCAAAAGAGTTGCTCGACCCCTTTAAGCTTGAATCCCCGAAAACCTTCTTAAAAGCACGAGACACCGTTCATCGACGGTATCTGACCTTGTTTTCACCTGTAAGCAGGCTTTTCATTTCACGAACGATTTTCAAAGGTTTCTGGCTGGCCAGACCAAAACTGAATTTGCCTCACACTCGGTTGCCCCAGCGATTGTTCAAGACGTCCAAGTTATACATCCAACATGAAGTTCTCCCTCATCATCGTTGCTCTCAGTAATATCTTTGCATCGGCCATCGCTGCTCCTGTGGCAAAGAGCGTTCCGGCAAAGGATAACAGCGGAGGAAGGCTTGTACTCGATGGTGCTCAATGCAGCCCCGTCCAAGGTCGCCTAGTCTGCGATGATGGTTTCGGCAACACATTGTAAGAATTTCAATCTGATAATAATGGCTTTGAATCCCTGCTGACATTTGTCAATAGCTTTGCGGACGACCCTTTCTCTTCATAGTCGATCATGCGAACAGCGGTTCCCACCGACATATGCTAGCACACGCAATGATACATTGTGCGTCCATCGATTTGCGCACTCGATGTAACGATGTAATAACATGCACTCAAGTCCCGACATCTCCGCATACAGGACAGGTTCATGGAGTATTAGCACCAACAATTAGTGCCACGACAGCGCTGATTAGCAACCCAATAGAGGCAAATAAGCCAGTGTCCGCATATGAGCTCTTGGAGAATTCTGGCTAGGAAATGAGAAGTTTGACCACTCGCGCTGGATTTGGGCGCATTTTGATTCTCAAGGTGACATGGATGTGAGTGGATTTGATTCATGCGTCCTGTATCAGGAATCCCCTGAGAACAAGAAGAATATAGATTCCACAGGTAAACTTCTGTCAAAGAAGTTTACTCATCGCTGAAATACTTGCAGTCTTTGAGCAGTCAATTGAGAACACTGGTCAATAAGACTAGTTCGATGTCTCGCATCCAATACGTTGTTCTTGGCGATGTTGTAGACCGGAATCTTGTTGCCTTGGCAGACCTAAATCATATTGCTTTGGCAGACCTGAGCTGATATAGCGGCGGCAAAGAGAAGATAGATGGCAGTCATGAACCCTACGGTGATGGATGAGGTTGAATGTGAGATTCTTGTTGGGACGTCTGGTTTGATTTCAATCGTGTCGCTAGATGCAGGTGATATTTTGATACGTCGGACATGTCTGTAGTTTCACTAGTTTTCTCTAGCGATCTTCTCAAAATCCGTCGCTTTCTCGCTCCTTATCTCCCCGAGAATTGGCCCAATTTCATTCTGTGAACACATATAATCCTTGGCGCAGGTCTTTGACTCGATGAATAGGAGTATGTGCAGTCTTGAGTTAAGTAAGGTAAGTTGAAATGAGTCGTATGGCTTCTTCTATTCAAATTACCAGTAATTATATTCTGTAAAGTCAGTTGGCGCATCAGTACCGTAAGCTTCTGCCATGATGCTGCCAAAGACAAAACTGTTGCTGTGAGCACAGAAAGTACGATCTTGCTTAGTATCAGATATTTTGGTGTAGTGAGGAGACTGTAACAGTGCTTGGAGCGAGACTGGCCCTATTTATCCTATGAGACGTTGAATTGCGTCGGGATGCAATAAAAGTTGGCGTCAATTCCGTTGCCGTAGGGTGTCAAAGACATAATGCCCATCATTAATGTTAGACCTTGAGCGTGCTGTTGTAACGATGAGCACGCATTCAAATCGGTAAGGTCAAGAGGTCATGCTTCTTTATAAAATATTGTGTATTTTGTACATGAGTTGTGCACAAGGTGCATTTAACATTATCTTAAGGAGTGTCTAGTCGTAGTGATCGTCTGTATGCTTCATGTCATATACTTATGCCTTTGCGTATCGCATCGTAAATCAAAAATCGCTGTTATATAGATATGCACTTTTCCATCCAAAAAAACCATTGAAACCACTTAGTAGGTGTAGACCTGCTCAGGGCCGAGGTCGCCGAACTGTCCGGAGCCGAAGGGGCTGGAGGGAGCAGTGGTAACAGGCTTGCCGTTAATGTCAGGGACACCGAACCAAGCAATCTCCTTGCCATAGACGACGGTGATGACGGCAAAAGCAGGACCAGGTTCGGCAACGTAGCCACATGAGACCGTGAAGTTGGAGCCGGAGGTACAGGGCTGGTCGGACCAGCTCTCAGTGGCCGCGTTGGAGCCGGGCTCGCGGATGATGGTGCAGCGCTCCGTCTCGTCGTCAGTCTCGATGGCGAAGTTGTAGTCACACCCGTCGTTCTGCACGCCGCAGTACCGGATCAAGTCCTTGATCGTCCAGGTCTTGTGATCGACCGGCGTGGGGTTGGGATATACAGGAGGGGTTCCGCCGGATCCGGGGGTGGGGGTGGGTGTGGGAGTGGGTACCGCGGTTGGGTAGGTGAAGTAATTGGAAGGGCATGATCCGGGGTGAGCAGGGTTGCAGCCACCCGGGATGCCGGGGATGGAAGTGAAAACTGGCGCGGGATTCGCGGTGACAGTAACGGAGGCAGTGGCAGCAGCAAAGGCAGTAGTGTAGGTGAAGTAGGAGGAAGGGCATGATCCGGGGTGAGCCGGGTTGCAGCCGCCGGGGATACCGGTTGGGGTGGGCTGGGTGAGGTTGGCAGTCGCACTGGCGCAGTACTCGCGGTTGCGAGCGTTGTCCTCGCCGAGGCAGGCGGTGAGAGTGCATGAGCAGGCAACCTCTGCTGTGCCGGCATCGACGCAGGCATTGTAGGCATCCTCGCAGACGTCCTGGCGGGCGTTGAGAGGGGCCGCAGCAGCGGCGGAGGCCATGGCCAAAACGAAGACGATCTTATTCATCTTGTTGGTTGGTGGTGTGTTTGTGGAGTTATGAGTATTATAATTATATGTGAATAGGTATCGAGTCCGATTGCGGAAGTGCTGTAAGAGTGACTGTGGTGCTGTTGATGAAGCTGAGTGTGATGATGAGAATTATGATATTTCAGCAGCGATGTTGCAATGTTTATATTCACATTTCGAGAGACGTCGTAAGACTCTCAAAGTTAATCCCTTCGCCTCCATTCTGGCGAGAAACTCCAATATCTCGTGTTCGCCTGGGTGGGAGAACCTCGTCTGTGGAGCCGAAAGAGCGGGAAACAAGCTTCTAAGTTGCTCGTATTGACTAGCAACCCACCTCACCTTAGCCATTCGCCCCGGCAACTAACCCTTTAAGGTTGACAGATCAATGTCTCCACTGGCCTCATGATCTCATTGCTCAGCTAGCGCCTGGAGGACCCCGTATTTGTGGCCGGGGTTCAACAGACCATTGGGCTGTTTTTTAGTTCCCAACCTTGCCGAGCTTCACCAGAACGGGCAGAGGCTCTGCGAAAACAGAGTTTCTTTGACGTCAGAAGCATGCTGAAAATAGACCCTGATTCTTTTAGCTTGGGACGCGGAGGGGCAGGGTGCCAATCAGTCCACGAGAGACCCTCTCTTCTCTGGCCAAGACCGCGTTAGTCGGTTGCTGCCGAACGGCCGATCAGTCCGGCTCCGCTATCCGCCAACCTCTTGGCCGAGTCGTTCAGCCGAGGAAAGACACTGCTACACTAGAACATCGGCCGACCATTGATTTTGCCTCCCCCCACGAGTCAAGCGATGCTACGTTGCTACCGAAAACCAAGAATAGCAGAGGCTAACCCGAGGTTTGGGAACAAGCGACTTCTGTTAAAAGGCTGAATTCATATTGGCTTTGCTCTCACCGAACCCAAGACACGCTGTCTCACCTTAGCTTGTCCTGTCAGGCTTGGCACAATCATCAGGCAAAATTTTCTTGATTCTCAATGTTTGAAAATTCTTTACCCGAGCGAATGCCTGGCCTGAAGCGAAGACACGCCGGCAAACTAACTGCCAAACGCGGTCATCGATTGCTGCCTTCCTGCAATAATCCGTCAAACCGAGGATTCCATGCATTCTCGGCTGCCGGAAATTTTGTGCCAAAGGCGAAAGTCTTTGCGGGATTTTGCCGAGGAATGTTTTTGGACGTAAAGTGACATCACCTCGTCTTCGTATTTCATATGGAGCGCCACTTTGCATGGTGCTCGCAATTCACACCCAGACGAGAGGCCGTCGAATGTAACAAGACATTTTGCCGTATTATAACACGTAGACTCATTATATGGAGGTTTTAGCATCCTCAACATGCAGTTCGAGTTGCAGGTTCGTTAACGTGAAAATGATGGATTTAGTTGTAGAACGTGTCCTAAAAATGTCCGTGGTTAAGGCTTTTCCTTTCTCATACCACCGCCCTCTTGTTGAATTTATTCAAGACCGGCTACAATGTCAGTTTTAGCCATTAAAAACTCCCAAGCTTTCACAGGTGAGGTAAATTGCAGGTTGCTAGCTGGTACAGCAGCCCATCATTTAAATTTCTCCGTATCTACCACCCATAGGGTATGAATTAGGAGTCAGGACAGTTTTCAGGCATTTTGAAAGAAATATAGAGCCTCATAAAGACAAAATAGAGATGTCACCTTACCATCTCCAGAGAGACTCCGGCGATGAGGTCGTTATCATGGTTAAGATGACTGATTAACCCAACACGCAGCCGCGTGGCAACGCCTCACAAATAGCCCTCTATAGTTCAACGACAACATACTGAAGCTTGAATGCGGTCGAACGACACTGCAACTATCTGCTCACATGTCACAGCCTCCGTGTCCAACTTGAAAATTCTGAGTAGCTTTCAACTTCATATTTCTTTTCGGCAGGCCTTTGGTTAAGTCTTCGATATAGGAGGCATATTACATGTCCTCAGTTCCAAAGCTAAGATATTTCTAGCCAGTGCAACCCCGCAACAGCATCATCCATTTGTCTGAAAAGACATTCTGGTTTGAGAACAATACGAATATTAGCAAAGACGCCTCGAAATAAAACAATATTACCAAAGCTCTCTGGTCATTTTCATTATTGAAAGTCACGAACTCGTGCCTGACCAATTTTTATCGCAAGGTTCGTTTATCGGATCAACTCTTCTATTTGGTGCAAAAAGCTCATTGGTGCAGCTCCTATTGAGATCACTCGCACAATGTCTCGATGGAACGGTCTTGTGGTATTTAGAAGATACAATCATCTAATTTCAGACATAATGGGTGCCAGGCTTATCACTTATGGTTTAAATTGACAGCCACGATGCCCTATGAGAGACAACGGGAGAAATTTATGAAGCAAGTCTTTCACACATGATGTCAGATGACTTCCGCATTGGAACATGGTTGCACCGTGTTACGGATATATTCAGCGTGTCAGAACCTTTCCCATGTCGCCGTGTGTTAAAAGCGGGAACTTGGCACATGTTGTCATTGTGTTTCTGTAAGCGAAGCACTTTGAAATCCGAAGGCTCATAGATCAACGGCATTTCGCTTCAATCAATAGATAATGACGCTTATTCCTTCCATCCTGTCGCCGAACTCCAGTCCCAGTCCAATCATCGAAATCATCCGTAAATATCGGATGTCACCCTCACTCAAACGCCGTATGCCATGATCCAACTCAATGTCTCAAATCAGACCTGGTCCATCGCTCTCAAAGTGCATTCACAAAGTTGAACCCAACAATGCCTTCAGCGCAAGCATTATCCATTCCCGTCCCTGGAAAGATGGAAATTCTGCGACCGATGATGCCATCATCACCTACTTCCAACGATACCGGTCTCTGCAACGCTAGCTCTAGTATAGAACCGTTTTCGAGGATGGAGGCACCAGAGAACGCAAAGCGGTGGAATAAGCCGCATTCTTCCGGTTTTCGGGTGAGGTCACCAGACTTGCTGTCAGAAAGATTCTTGTTAGTGAACGAGCTTGAATGACATTTGTCCTCGGAGAGGAGAGGCAAATCCAGAGTCTTCTCATGTGAACTTACTGTATTACAACAACCATGTCGGAAAAGGATTGTAAATCACAGCCCTCTCCGCCCGTGATTCGCGCATGCGTAGCGAAAGTACACCCTGGTTTTCCCGGTGTGTGAAATGCGAGATCTCCACGGATTCTCGGATTAAGTGCTGACGGACTAGGCTGACTGCAGGGTTGGTTGAGGACGGCCAAAGCGCCGCCTCGGGGCTTGGTGCAAGTGTCTGGGCCGCACATAGTAAGGTAAGGTATTGGAGAGTTGGGAGAATGTTTGAAGTATATATACTCTTGGAGGTCATGCAGAATTAAGAAAACAGGAGAGTAATGCTCTTCAAAAAATACTGAGCCTTCACCACGCTTTAAACGTCTCGACCAACTCTGACAACTCCCTCAAGGTGCTCATTCTGTCTCTCTATCCCTGTCGTCCCAAAACGAGCGCGAACGGGTCCGGGCCGTAGCATTACTAACAATAAGTTGACCAATCATGACTCGTCGCTAACCCCGGAGTAGGCACTGGCGCACCCTGCACGTGGGTTTCCCGGTGAGCAAGTTAGAGCAATATTGATCATGTTTAAGCCGGTTTACATTACGCACCATCGCAGAGGACAGAGAAGCGAACCGTAGAAGAGCATTGCGAGGTTGAGGATGTTTAATGCTATAAAAAATATCTTGATTCAAATTCGATCTCATCACAGATGAGAGTGTGGAAGTCCCCACCTCTTCTATGTGAGTACTTTAGCACCATGATCCATGCCAAGTAAGAATGGAGCTGGTCAATGAGACGTCGGGAGGGAGGGCAGCCATCAAGGTGTTTGTCACATCCTCGGCCTCGACGGAGATGGAGAAGACACCCACGAATGCCGAGATGATGAAATATGCTCATATCTACCCCTCATCTGGATCGGTTGGATGTCTGTCTCGCCTGGAGCATCTCTCAACTTCAACACTTTACCTCTCCAAACCGATCATCTCAACTTCACTTCAAGACATCGAAAATTATCCCCAAGACCTACATAAAAAGCTAGCTCACCTGAAGCAACCACCACAGACTTCACAATGGCCAACGCTCAGTACACATTGCCAAAGCTTCCCTACGATTATGATGTTCGTGTCCCCTCACTGCCGGATAGAACCACTGCTTGCTGCAGCTGACCTCTCAAGGCTCTCGAGCCTCATATCTCGGCTCAAATCATGGAGCTGCATCACAGCAAACAGTGAGTAATGCCACATGGGGGAAAAAAGAGTAATACGCAAAGTGCTAACGGTCAAAAATCAACAGCCACCAAACATATGTCACGAACTTGAACAAAGCCATCGAGACCTACAACGCCAACCCCCTCCAAAGTCGCATCGGCGTCCTCGCGGCCCTCAACTTCCACGGTGGCGGTCACATCAATCACTCCCTCTTCTGGGAGAACCTGTCCCCGGCTTCCAGCCCAGACGCTTCAACCGATGCGGCACCGGCGCTGATCGCCGAGATCACCCGTATTTGGGGCAGCCTCGACAAATTCAAGGCGGCTTTCAATACCGCTCTGCTAGGTATCACTGGCAGTGGCTGGGGTTGGCTGGTCAAGGACGATGTCACCGGCCTCAACATTGTCACTACCAAGGACCAGGACCCCGTCACCAAGGGGGTGCCCATCTTTGGCATCGACATGTGGGAGCATGCGTACTACCTGCAGGTTTGTGATCACCACCAACTATGTACACGTGAGACTCGTAGAGACTGATCAATGATGGGAGCAGTACCTCAATGGGAAGGCGGCCTATGTCGATAACATTTGGAACGTCATCAACTGGAAAACTTCCGAGCTCAGGTTCTCGGGGAGTCGAGATGATGCTTTCAAGGCGTTGAAGGCGGTTCTCTGAGGGAAGCATGTCAGAATCGAACCCCTAAACAGTTTGATACACAGTGGATGAAAAAGATTGTCTTTAACGCAAAGTGTTAGCGCAGACGCAAGGAGTCCTAGGAAGCCTGGCAGTTTGTGAAGCTGCTGCATAGTGCAATGGATGGTTCATCTAATCTAGCCTGGCCAATAGCAACCAAATGGGGTGGCTGGGGAAAGACAAATAGTATCTTTCGAGGCATCGGTGTCGCAACGTGGTCCTTCGTTCACAACCCTGCCCCGCTACCCGGTCGTGTAACCTTCACCCGTGGAAGAACTTGGCAGTCCTTCATTCCAGACTATGGACAACTTAAGACAGTCTCAGATACGTGGATCTGCCCTCTCGAGAACTATGCTTCTACTCTAAGTAGAGCTTCAACATGGTCACATTGTGCGAGGATGAGTAAAACTGGTCCCCTCGTTCTCCGTGGCAGAGTGCACGCAGCACAACAGTTGCTTCGAACGCCTTTTGCCACGAATCGAGGCAACACCATCGCCTGGACGAGTGAGCTCAAGGTTTGGTCAGACGAAAAATCCGTCGACAAGTCTCGCCTCGAGGGGCATACCCGAGCCCAGCGGCTGGTCCTAATTCCCGAAGGTCAACAAAGACAAGTACTTAGCTACGGGTGTGAGACGGCCCACACAACCCGAGATGGAAAGCAAGCAAACGTGGAGGTTTGCTGATCCGTCCGAATTAGCGATGATTATTCCCGTCTTTGATTGATTGAAAAACTCCTGACCTTCTTTTTGGTATGAACGGGTTCTTCTAGACAGACAAACGTGCTTCTTGCATCCATCCCGGCGTGACATCTACGCAGCCCGCCTGTCTACTCCCGCAATCAGCGGTCGATGAAGCTGTCAATTCCACGGGATCTAGATGCATACTAGCCTGGCTGCATCACGCACCCCGCCGACATGACTGCCAGTAACATGAGCCGTGTTTTGATCTCTGGTGAAGCTAAGGCGTGTTCTCTGGATCCGGCAACCGTGGACACATTTTCTGATTTCCATGTTATCATGAAGGGTGCATGTGTTCTCTGTTTGGTCTCCCCCCCCCTGAGAGGCCGGAAACGCACAGCTGCGTCGATGCAGGCACACACGCGAGGCAGCGGCCGCCTCTGGTGTTGCACCATCTTGCTGGGGCCCAAAGCAACAAGCAAAAAGTCCCTCCCTGCAGTGTCATCTCATGTAATATGATGAATACGGCATCTGTCGTGCAGATGCTTGCTCAAGGATGGTGAACCCAAGTCTTTGGAATGGCTCGAAGCTTCACGAACTTTTACACACACAACCTCTGTGCGAGAAAAGCGGCATATTCTATCGTAGATGTGCCCTCCAACACATGAAAGATCACAGCATCTTACATCGATGGCTCAAACTAGAGCCACTAATTACGGCATGATACAAGCCTCGACTGGTTCGCTGTTTGCAATTCTTGTTTGACTGTGCGGATTGTTTCGCTGAGATTGCGTAGGACGGACACCCGCAGCCGAAATCAGAGCATCTGTAGCCGACTAGCCGTGCTCATTACGGCTCTACTTTCTCGCCAGTCAGACTGCCCATACATCTTTGCCATCGACTGGAGAAATCACTTCTACTAGCCTCGTCGCGTCTTTAATTGCAAAAAATCGATTGCTACTCGGCCTGACAGCTCGGGAGCTCCCTGCGAGCCATGCAGCTTCCCAAGTTGTAGCGTGGCATAAATACGTTTGCGTGGGGACGTGCCAAATGATGTGTTTTCACTATCCGGCAGTCCCGTTTCCGTATAGTGAAAGCTATTATTCTTAGGCCAAACGGTTTTGTCAAAGAATCAACATGGCCTAGCTTGGATAGAGTAACCATCTCTTGATCAGGATGTGACTCGAGCGTTGCAATTGGTGCGATTCCACTTTTTGCGACTTCGAAGACGACCCCCCAAGGACTGACTTGGGTCTGGCATGTAGAATCGAGACAGTCAGACTGATTGATGTGTTGTTGGCCCTCGGCGGCGGCCTGCATGCAAGGCCTGGTCGAAGTGCGTTCTAGACTAGGGGTAACAGGTTCCGCGGCGAGGGTGTCTGCCGTTCCTCCCGTTGGCTTTTGAATCGTGCATGTTATGAGCTGGCTGCTGTGCCATCTCCCATCGAGTCACGAAACATGTCTTTCTTGATATAAAAGTGTCAAGCCGCAGAGATATAGAGTGCTGATTCTCGTCTCTAACCAGCAAGTACCAGCTGTTGCGACATCACACTCGTTTGATACCCCAGTTTCTCTGCTCACCATGGTCCCCGTCGCTCTTGGCTTCGCCCTTTTGGGTCTTGGGTGAGCATTTCTCCATGCCTTCTTGGCTATTGCTGACTTTACAGTGCCTCTCTTGCGAGCGCCTTTCCTAATGCCAACAACTACCTCATCCCACATCCTCCAGCGACAGTCACCGTCACTGCTTGTGGCTCTCAATGTGCTAGCACTGTCACTGTCATCGAGACCTTGACTGTGACACCCCCGTACTTTCACACCTGCGAGCCATTTAGTACGAGCATCCCGGGAAGCTTGAGTTCCTTGACCTCGTCATCCAGCATTCTTTCTCCTCCTCCTCCTCCTCCTCCCGCGTCGTCCACCAGCTACATCAACTCTTCCACTCCAACTGGATCCAGCACTTCTTCACTTAGAATTGGCACGGTGTCCTCTGTGGCTCCAACTACGGGAGTCACCTTCTCCTCCCAGCTGCCGAGTGCCGGCACTCCGAGCTCCTCACTCACCTGGGGTGTGAACAGTACATCGTGAGCAACTGCCCTTTCCCAACAACTACTCTTGCTAATGGATGCTCCAGAACCGGTAGCCTCTCCAACTCTTACAGCTACGGTACAGGCACTGCTGGCACGAGCCAGACCATTGGCTCTTCCTCGAGCCTCTGGACCAACTCCACGCGCACTCGCGTCACTCGTACCGTCACCAAGACTATCCGCACTACCGGCACGGACTCGTCCACTTCTGCCAAATTCACAACTCCCACCATTCCGAGCATCCCCACGATCAGTATTCCTCCTCTTCCGTCTCTCTCCACGCGATCCGAGTCAAGCATCGCTCCCCCGGTTTCCTACACAGTAACTACACTTCCTACGACGTCGGTCATCAACACCACCGTCTCATCTCAGCTTCCCGGAGCATCAACCCTCTCTCCATCAACTTCCCGCACTACCAAGAGAACCACGGTTGTCGTGACTCTCACGCAGACCATACCTCTTAGCTCCGGGACTGCCTACTCATCAACCAGCCGCGGCACCGGAGTATCCAGTGGCCTTCCCTCTCTTTCATTCCTTACCTCCATCCGGCTTTCCACTACGCTCAGCTATCCTACCACCACCGTGTCCAGCTGGTTCAATACTACTCCCACCTCCCTTGGCAGCCGCACTGGGTCTACGACCTCCGTTGAGAGTACTTCTACAGGATCCACGTCTTCCTCAACCTCCGAGGCACCCTGCACAACTCATGAGAAATCCCCTTCCCCCTCGTCTTCCCCCTTGTCTTCGCCCGGCATCACAGTCTCCAGCGCTCTCCCCACCCTGGTCACACCCACAGGCACACCAACTTTGAGCAGCGTTTCCGGTGGATACGACTATCCTCCCTCCTCCCAGAACTCTACTGTGTCGCCGGGAACCACAATAGGCAGCGCCAAGCCGACCCTCGTTACCAGCAGCACCTCGGAGATTCCGGGTGGCTATGACACCGAATACCCAGCTCCGACTTCATCCCCGGGAACCACCATCTCGAGTGCTCTTGCAACTCTGGTCACCCCGACTGCCAGCAGCATCCCGGGCGGCTACGACTATCCTCCCTCTTCGTCTTCCAAGTCGTCGGAGACGTCAGCCTCGAACGAGTATCCCGGCACCACTGTGGCTAGTGCTCGACCGTCCCTTGTGAGCCCCTCTATTTCAGAGGCATCGCCCACTCCTACGACTTTCGAGACGCACAAGTCTGATGAGTACACTTCGGCTTCTACCATCTATGGCGGATATGAGTTCGGTCGTCGCCGCGCTCTAAGGGTGTGATTTGTATTGCGTACAAATTTCCGACAGCGCCAATAATGAAGCGAATTTTGGCAAGGCGTGATAGATTGTTATGAACGGGCTACAGGGGTTGGAGTACAAAGCTGGTGTTTCTCTTCTTGACCTTCGTTTAGACTTTTTTTTGTAAGGGCGTTGAAGATATTCAGGTACAGTAGGCATGAGATGGATAGTAAAGTGCAATGGGGCCAACTACGTAATAACATGCATGATACTGAAAAACTGCTTGGTTGTTATCGCTATAAAAGCATGAGGCGTCGTAGTTGGAGTGATGAAACCGCGATGCTATCCCCATACCCCGACTTCAAACGCATGCCGGTGGCTTTAAGTCTTGATACCTGTCTCTCATGTTTCAGGCCATGAGCTTAACACTCACAATGCTTGAGAGTTTGCAACGCCACACTGATTGAGTATGTAGCTACACTAGATGGTCGTTGTCCTAATGGTCGACGACATTGAGCCCCAGGACGCTCAAGGTCAGTTGAAAGGTGGCGACGCGAACGGGCAAATGTAGGACAAAAGGCGTTAGTGCTCGGACCAGCTCTCCCAGCTGAGGGACAAATGTCTCGCCGCCTTTGGCAACAGATACTCACGCGACTTTTCTGTCCTCTGTCCATGGTGTGTGTCTTGATAAGTAATTTTCTCCAATTTCTCATCATACCAAGAAATCCCTACTCTCTTCACCGGACGCGGATCATTCCGCAAGACTCTCAGTCGGAAAACTTGATTCGTCTACAAGTCCCAGTGTCTCGGTTCTAGGGCTGAACCGTGGCGGCAGTCGTCGAAGCTAGTGAAGATAAACTCAAAGCTAGCTATGCAGTGGTGAGCCCATGCTGTCCAGAGAAAAAGCCGGCGAATGTTATGCCTGGTGAAGTCGGTCACGCAGTAGTAGACAGCCTCTGGTCGTCTGCCTTGGCGTAATTTTACCTTCTCAGATGGCTCTAGAGAGGCTGTGATCGTGATTTGTCGAGTCGTACACGAATACCGCAAACGTCCAGTCCTTTTCCTTTGGGGTTTTCTGGCAACCGAGTCCGTGGCGCACCATCGCCCATGGGTCAAAGAGGAAAATATCACGCGGACCAAGAGGGCTTTGAGTTTCCTCACGGTCTATCAGGCCAATTATGACTTATAGAATGCGTTTTGTTAAGTCTCTGTCAGTCTATGATAAGACTACACGTAAGCATCGATTTCGACACAAAGGCATTCCATCCCCAGGTTTTGGAACCAAAGCGCGAGTCACAGCTTCGTCAGGAACAATCTCATCCCGATGGTTTTACCACATCCATTTATAAAGAAGCAAATATTGCGAGGATCTTCCTTCGTATCTACTCCTCATGGATTTGAGATAGGTGGGTAACTTTTCGAGTGCTCTCACACCAACACAAGCATGAGACTACGGGAATGGAGCAGAGCGCTGGGGCTGAACCAGCGCCAACGTTTGTGGCTCAAAGGGAAAGGCTTGGCATAAGCTGTCCAGCCCGCCAATTCATCTAGACTTTAAGACTTTACAGGCTTTCCCCGCATGTATGAATGGCAGCTTCTGAATGCGTCCAACTTTACTCTGCTAGCAGCTGGCGTGGCGTGTTCCAGCCAGCTGGTTGAGAAGACCTCTTGAAACGATTCTGGATAGCTCAAGCGAGATTTGTAGAAGTTGTAGATGAGGAGTATAATATTGGCAAGTTTTTTTTTAAAAAGAATTAAAGCACCCCTGTTGGAAAGAGTTGGTGAGAATAACGGTCACTGCACATTGAAGCTGACTCCAACATGAAATTCACGCACCTTTTCTGTCTAATTTCTGTGCTGTCTTCTGGGGCCTCAGCTCAGAACTTCAGTAATCTCTCGACTCCTGATGCACCGGCTTCTTCCGTTGCCAGGCCACCGGCACCCGCCAGCTCTCAAGGTTAGTAAATTGCATGGCAAATCCATCACGCAGATTTATGAGAAGAGCGTTGATCCCTTGGTTTTCATTCGGTTTTTTTCTGACATGAGAGCATTCAGAACCAGCCGCCTCACCAGCCGCAAGCAGTGGGCCCGACAACCCGCCAGAGGCATCTTCCGTAGTAAGACCTCCCACATCAGAAGCTCGTCCAATCTCAGCACCGCCTTCAATACAAATAATAAAGCCCTCATCAGAGAACCCAGCGGTAACACCAAAGATTGCTTCGGCATCATCTGGCGCGTCTGTATCACCGAATTCCCCAAAAGAGGCGGCTTCGTCAACCCAAGTCACTTTGTCTGGCCAACCGGCTCCGACTAGAGACGCATCGAATTCGGGAGAGGCTGCTTCCTCCAGAGTAATCGTCCAAACTGCAGGACCTTCGGCTAGCGTTCCAAAGTCGAACACAGCTCAGCGCACTCAAGTACAGTCTGATGCCCCAAGGGTTTCTGGCGGCTCGACATTCGTCCAAGTTCAGGGGACGGGAACCACCACGGCTGCTGCGATTCAGGCTTCTGGTACCCAAGGAATAAATATCCCAGGTGACGATTCATCGAGCCAAGTGTAAGCAATGCTTGACGTTCGAGTGGTCCAATATTCTCGCTAATTCTGAAAGGTCCGGCACCGGCTCTCTCGGGGCTAGTCAAGCTACCTATACAATCTCGTCGCCGGAACTGGCCACTACAGCCTCCTTTGCCGCCCAACCATCCGACAGCTTCCAAGGTGTCAACGAGACCTCGATCCTGGCGGTTCCGGAGTCAGGAACTGCCACACCTCCGGATAAGTCAACCATACAGCAATTCCAGGCCGAGCTCAATGCCAACATTCCGGCAAAGTCGATAAACAACAACAATGCCAGGGCACTTGCTATCCTCGAGACAGCCTACTTTGAATACTTTGCCAAAAAGGATCCTGCACCTGTCGATATGGGGAAGATCTCCATTCCGGCCAACATCTCAGAGTGCCAGAATCTGTACTCTCGGAGGCTAGCGAAGAGAAAGGGCCTCGTGGATGAGCTACTGGACTGGGTACCTCTAGCCTCGAGAGACCTCCGTGGTTTCAGCAACTGCAAAGCAGTTGACGCCATGGAGGTTGGAGTGTACTTCCACTACATGAGGGCCTCGTCAACGGCCGCTCGGCCAAACGAGTTAGAGGCCAGAGTGAAGTCACAGGTGAGCCGGCTAAAAGCCTAGCAATGGTCAACATGTCGGAACTGATAGTTTGTAGGTCGATGTCTTGAATGAAGCGTTGGGCGCAGTGAGGATCAACTTTCGCTTCATGGCACTCAACTGGTGGGAGCCAAAAGCAAACGAGGACTGGTCAAAGGTCACAAGGCGTGAGAGTAAACTCCTAGACTGGCAACGTCGGACGCGCGCCCCTGGAAAATTGACATTAACCGTCTGGATTGTGAATGGGCTCCGGAGCACTGATAAGAACGACCAGGAGCTCAACAGCGTAAGGTCTATTCAACGATGAGGCGATCAGCAAAGACTAACTAATGAGGAATATCACAGTACGTCACTTTTCCGAATCAAGAGCTTGATGAAGTAGACGGTATCGTCATTGAAGAGACGCATGTTCAGGGAGGAGACGCTACGACTCTTGTTCACGACGTGGGCCACTGGTTCGGTCTCGGCCACACGTTCAATGAAATCGGCCAGCAGTGTCTCATCCAAGACGGCTTGACCAACGCCACACAGACCTCGGGTAATCAAGACGTCGTGTACCAATGCTCACAGGTGACTTGTGCCGGCGGCTCACCGGTTGACATCAACAATTATATGAGTGTGAGTCTTCTACCGCCTCCAACTTGAATTTTCAAAGAACAACACTGACGCATCATTTTTCCTATAAAAGTACTCCTCGTGCCGTGGCCAGATTCCACAGAACGGCTTCACCACAGATCAAAAGGCGCGGATGTTTGCCAACGCGCTTGAATTCCGGCGCGGGTACGAGCCGGGAGAGTGCATGCCGGACGGAAAGGCGTCAGTGAGGAAGAGGTCCAGCATGCAAGACCTCCTTGATGGAAAGTGTCCGGATATCAGCAAACAGGCAAACATTCTCACGAATACCCCGTATAGCTTGGGTGTCACCCTCTTTGGGCCTTCAGCGGAGAATCTTGTGATTGTTGCCTGGGTTTGGGCTGCTGTGCTGTGGGTCATCTAACACAGCATCATTCATATTGTCTTTGACTTTTCAGAAGACAACAAATTTTGGACTATTGAGGCATAAAGTAGTCGAAAACGCCTTTTAATATTAGAAAACTTGTATTGCTTTTAAACTACATGCCCGATGCCAATATGCTTTCAAACACATGGCCGCGGGCAATAAACCTCCGCACCATGGCACCGGTGCTACAAACATTCAACATCAATCATGAGCCGTTTCATCACGCCCTTTTTTATGAATGTACATATTCCAAAACCGACAATCTTCCTCACAGACCGCTCCAGGTGAGCTCCACCGCCAAGAACCATGTCTCCAATCTTCGGGCTGCTTAGATAGCAAGAGCACCGAGAACAAGCATTGCGAGACCACCGATGGGGGCAAGACCAGCGGCTCCAGCCTGGGCGGCCGAAGTGGTGGCAGCAGCGTTACCTGAAGCGGTGCCGCTGCTGGCGCGGGTGGTCGACACGATGACAACGTCGGTGGCGGTGGGGGAAGTAGTGGCGGTCGAGACGGCTGTGGTGACGGGAAGGCTCAAGGAGCCGCTAGCCTCGGTGGGGGGGACCGAAGAAGCGGCAGACGCAGCCGAGGAGGAGGCGGCAGAGCTGGCGGACAATGCACCACCACCGGCGGCGGCGGCGGCGCAAAGCTTGTCGGAGGCGGGGAGGACCTGGTCTAAAGGGAGGGGAGGTTAGTTCTCTGATTCTACTCCCGTGGTGAATGGATATGGACATACTCAGCGCAACGCCGGCACCGCAGGCTCCGACGACGCAGCTGGTGGCGGCGGCCTGAATGGCGGACTTGTTCGCGGGTGTACAAGTACAAACGTAATCGCCATCCTTGCAACTGGTCGCCGAGGCCGTGGCATCCTTCAAGCACTGTCGAGCACACTCGGGGATGATGGTAGGGTCGACCTGAGCGGCGACGACAGCGGCGAGGGCAGCGAGAGCGTATGCGTACTTCATCTTGAATACGGTTGGGTGATGTGGCTCTAAGGCTGGGTGTGATAAGACAATAGGCGACAGCTAGTGCTGGTATGATAGAGACAAGCGAGTGGATGGGAGACGAGAAAAGGAAGTCTAGTAGAGCTGAGGGGAGTAGGGCTTTATGTAGATAGAGGCTGGAGCAAAGTCTGGTAACACCCTGATGCCTCTCATCTACTTGGATATGGGCGGGATGTTTGGACTGGGTTTGCGTGGAGGCCCATCACGGAAAAGAAGGAATTACATGGACCCGGTTGTCGAAACCTAATAAACAAGGTCCTCAGGACTGGAATGGGGCAAACAGCTCAAGGTCCGCTTTCTCCTGCTCAGTGAGTTCAGTGACTACCGACACGCACTTGGAGTAGTCAAGGGAACCCGGGGGGATGAGGGTATGGGTGTAAGGCAGACGAAGCAAAAGTCTGGGGGAAAGTGGATAGCCGAGACCCCAGTCGCGCGAAGCGGTTGCTAGGTCCGACTGGGGTCAGCATGGGCATGCACGTTGCAACGATATGATGAAAAAGAACAGAGAGAGAGAACAGGGCCTAACTCGTAGTTCCCCGCGTATACCCGGCCTCTGCGGGCCTCAGGGTTGCGCCGATGATCGTATAGAGGAGAGGCGAAGGTTACAGAGGAGCAGGGGGGCTGGACGGGGTGAAATACCGGATTAGATAGTCTTTTCCGTTAGGACGGAGATCATCATGGGTCCAGACGAGGCCAGGGAAGTCGATTTGGTGACCTCTTTAGCTCAGTTCCGAAGCCTGGCCACCGCGGCGCGTATTGGAGAAGTGGTGGGTGTGAAGGGCCGCAGTTTGTGCTCGGTACACCTTTCGCTGTACATGTGAAGAAGGAGATCGATTCCCTCCAAGGAGAATGGCATATTGCAGATGGACCCGGGCTTTGCGGTGTTGGGAAGCTACATTTTTGTGCGTTGGATCGGGCGCAATTTCGGGGTCAATTCGTATTCTCTCATCTTTGTCGATCGCTGGTATGGCGCTTCTTCCACGGGTGCTGAATCATAATGATTGGTGAGATTGTTGTTGAGATTTGGTGGAAGGTTCTAAGTTATCAGTACTCTGTATTTACCGATTGAAGTCTACCCAGGTGGAAGAGTTCTCCTCTCGTTGTCACCGTCCTGGTCAAATCTGGGGTGACTGGGGGTGATGGCCGGAGCATTTCTTGGCTGCTTGTCGCGCTGCAATAGGTACACAAGGGAGACATAGTCATTGGCTGAGGATTTTGACACCATCAAGACGTATTGATCCCACTGTTTTGAGGTTCCTGGACCGAGCTGTCAAATTACCCTTTGGCCGTGGTTTGTGACCATCCCGGTGCAGTAGGTTTGGGGCTTTTGAACTCTGCAAAGTCGATCCCAAAGATGGCTGCGTAGTGGCTGGCCTAAGCCACAAATCCAAAGGCAAAATACCTTATTGCAGTGTTGGGTGGTGACAAGGTGAGCCATCTTCTTGCATCGAATGTCAGGACACAGGAGAGACGCGCAGCCAGACTTCTCATGTATTACAAAAGGTAAACCAGCTACAATGGTGTCGATACTGCGTCACAATGGTGTCCGAAAAGACGGATGAGAGGAAGACGCAGACAAAGGCAGATAGAAGGTGGCCAGATGCAGGAACACACGGCAGCCACCAGCGCACTTGATGATCTCTCCGAGCATGGCAATCCCGTCAGGGTAACATCCGTGTGTCATGTTCGCCCTGATTGGGCCTGACTCACCACTCCTGTACCAGACTCCAAACCATTCTCGTCCTTTGTGAGGCCCTGAGGACGTGGACAAGGACAAACAGCTCTGAGGAGGGGGGGCAACATGGCTGCTTGTCTGGGAGAGATGCCAATTTCCCCCGCACGACGCCATTCCCTTGTTGGAAGAGCGCGACCTGGGTGGTGTGCCCCTGTGCCTGACTGTTACCTGAGTAGTGTACAAGCCTGCCGAGGTGAGCTTGCTTCCTTTTCCCATCTTCCTGCAGGGAAATATCGAAAATAGCGGCAAGCAGACGCAGAAGGAAAAAGCATCTGATTATGGGACATTTGTAACTGGCGTTGGTGATGGAACAAGCTGCACACCATACTTGCTTCTGCCAAATGTGGACACGCCATGACACTGACACTGACACTGACATTGACATTGACAGAACTGACAGGAAACCTGCCCATCATTTTCTTTCCGTGGGATGAATCTGAGCGCTGCAAATGCTGAGATGAACGTCTCTCGTCCCGTCAACGGTTCGTCGCCTCTGATTTAACTCTAAACCAGAGCGAGCGGGAACAGAAGAACACATTGAGGAGGATCCCGAAACTGGCTCTGCCGCTCCTCTACAGGGTATCAGGCTCTGGCTGGTTGGAGCCCAGTCCGGTCCTTTTGCTGGGGGTGTGCAGGGATACGCCGGTGAATGTGGCTCGACAGATCGGCCGGCCAAGCCGGCTTTGCCCTCCTACATCTCCTCCTCTCCTCTTCCCCTCTTGATGTCCTCCTCTTCGCCTGAGACCTGAGCTGCGTTGTTGGCGCGTATTGGTTACAGGTCACAGCTCCCCCAACGGCGCGTGTCGCACTTTGACCTAGGCCATCCGAAAGGGACCTCTTTATCTCATCTCGCGGCACTGACGGCAGAACGGTCTGTGGACACTGGACAGCTGGTAGCTTTCCGGTTGTGTGGGGATAAGACTTTGCGACTAGACACCAATAGTGCCTGTAGATAGTGCCTGTATGATGGTATTGGATCAACGTCCCCTTTTCGGTTCTCCTTCCAATGCCAACTAAGTCAATCGTCTGAGAAGACATCATCTGGCCTGGGAGGTCAAGTCTCGTGGCGATACGATTTTCGGCAAAATTGCCTCGGATTTGGCACGAGTAGTGGAAACCTCTCCATCGCGTTTCGCTGTAGTATAGAAAGTCCCGCGCCTCGGGAATCGCAAGAAGGATCTTACGTCGCTTCGTCGGCGCGTCTTACACCCTGGCTAGCAAGCGTCGCACCAGGCGACTTGGGGTGTTTCTAATGAGCCGTCTGACGTTGAGAGGGGATGCTCGGATTCCAAGAATTTCCGAGCTGAAGCTGCTGCTGAACCCGAGGCTGCTTGTGACAGGCGACACGACTCAACGCAGGCGATGAGTGCCCTGCTTCTGGCGTGATAGGGGGGTAGCGTTGACTGCGATCCGAATTATGTCTTGACATACCTGGCGGCTTTTGGCTACGGTCTTTTCGTTCGTTTGGAGGTCTGCGCTGTTGTCGGCTTGCGCTAATTACCGTTGTTCTCGGCCCTCTTTTCTTCCCATTTCTTTTTCCTTATCTCTCTCTCTCTCTCGGCGTCTTTCCGCATCATTTTGCTTTTCCACCTCATTGCTGTCATCGGCCATCTGCCATGACTTGGTTTGCAAAAATCTCCGCAGGGTTGCAGCGGATTTCTGGGCCCGGATGCAAACTTTTCTTTCCCAGGGGCCCGGACATTTTCCGACCTTGACGTGGCACTTGTTGCTTTCTGCTCTAGACAGTTTGCTCGGGCCGTTTGCTGTGTCGATAATTTAAGAGTGCTTGAAAGTTATTGCTTATTCCAACTGGTTAAGAAGCCTACAGTCTTATCCGGGACTCCCCATGGCGATAATTTAATTAATGGGAGGGACACACACAATCGGGCTATTGCACCACTGTATCGACTTGCGTCGAGGTGTTTCGAGAGTAGGGAGACATAGACGGAGCCTACGATGGAGACGAAAATGCATGGAATCATCAGCCTTTCGAAAATTCTTGGAAGAAAGTGGGAAGACGGAAGATCGAGCGGATTCTCGCGTCTTAAATGCAATCATAGAGTTGGTTCCAGCTCGTCTGTGGCTGAGCACGACATCCGGGGGGCTGATGAGGTCAACCACATGTGGTGACAAGAGTTATTGCTTGACCCAACATACAATAGGCTGGTCATCGTAACTAAAGCTATTCACGGGCCATGTTAAGATGCAGGTATCTCGACGCATTCTTTTGTGCTCTGGAAATGGAATCAGTAAGACAGCCCGTGTGTTCGTAAGGGACACGATTTACTTTGCTGGTAAGAACCGGACTCTCAAGACCGTTGATGATAATCTTAGTTGATTGGAATTAGACCCGGTTTCTTATATCTCAAGACTGGGCTTAACTTAGCTTATAACTTTAATCGGGTGGAAAGTCTAATATCACTTGATAGAGGTTAAATATCCGCCTGTATCAAAGCCTAGGGGAAGTAGAATGGGAGGTCTGGTCCTCCAAAGAAGGTCTCTTGCCTTGACAGCTATTCAATTCGTTCTATAAACAAAGAAAAGCGTTCGGAGCTGAGAATGACGCGGAAAGATTTTTAATGCTGGAGCATCTCACAAATGCATAGCCTCCTTGATACGTCCTAGCTGTTCCTCAGCCGTGGCGATCTCATCACCCAAGCGGCGCCTGAGCACCGGGTTTCCCTCGCTTTCCGTCGCTATGTTCTCGTTTCTGATCAGGTCAAAAGACGCCTCGATAACAATGAGGTTAACTTGAATGTTAGCCTCTATACTGGCCTGCAGTTCATCGGCCAAAGCATCCACTCGTCTTCTGAAGTCTCGCATGTGTGTCTGGAAAAGGTCGTGTCGCTTGATCGTGTCATTGATGATTTTCTTCCGTCTCTGGTCGCTTCCGCCTCCTGTTACGCTCTGTCAGTCGTTCGTCTAGCCAGGGGTTTTTGGGTGCGGTCATGGTTTCCGTCTCGGACTCACCGAACTCGTGGTTGCAGGATCTGTACGATCTTTCCATTGCTTCTCCTATGAGAGAGGTCCGAATTCCGGTAAGAGCATCGATTCGAACAGTCCTGGCAGGATGGTTAGAATGAGACGAACCAATTTCCGATAAACATACCCGAGGTCAACGCTGAAATTATCGCACAAAGCTTGCACCTTGGAGGTGAGGATAGCCTTGCGGGAAAGCAGCGCTTGACTGATAGTCACGGCCGATCGTGGGAAGGTTTCAAACTCTGCTTCTAGAATCCTCGTCAGTCGACGACTGAACAGCCTTCCCTAAGCGACTCACCAATGTACTCAAGTGCCTGATCAACAGCAGAATCGACAAGTGTGACGTTTCTCTCCAGTTCGTTCACGAAGAATGAACAGAGTCGGTCCCACTTTGGAGTCAGGTTCGCGACCATGCCGGAGATGATCTCTGCGTTCCAGTCGCGATATCCAATCTTGTCAGTGCAGTGGTTACCATACTTGCGACAGAACGCAGCGTAGCTCACTTCGTTGTTTAGTCAGTACAACATGCCCTTGGGACGCTAATTCCATGTTCCAGACTTACTCGAATGCCACTGGTGTCACGGTTAGCGAGACGTGGCTACTTATCTGAGAAGGAGATCAAAATCTGATTTACTTACGTCTTTCCAGTCATCGCCAGCGGCGACGGCTTCCTCACTCCACTCACCAATGCGTTGCTCTGTAAACAAAGACTTCTATTCAGAGCCATGGACACGAAGACGCGCGGAGGAAAAATAAACTTACCGTCATAGACACGAGTTTTGAACTCTCCTTTGATCATCTTGCCGATACGGCTTAGGTCTGATCCTCGCCCCAGCAAGGCCTACATATGTACGCGTATAAATCAGCTAGAGGTCGCATCTAGCCCTCTGATAATCCGCAGACGTTACCCTTCTGAGCCGACGATCAACATTATCAAGAGTCTCGCGGACAATTCGTTTCTGCTCTGCATCCGCACTTCCGGCGCCGGACTGAATCCACAGCGCGACGTCGCCGATCAAAGCCGGGATGTCATTGACGACAAATTTGGTGGCGATTGTAAGCTGAGTGTCTGCGATGATGGCGAGGCAGTGTTTTCGCAGCGTGATGATGCCGCTCAGTCGCAGCGAGGGGAGCGCCTCGTCCCGCGATAGCCTGCGCTTCGCCCAGTAGTCGGTGTTGCTCACGCAGAACACGCGCAAAACGCCGGACGGCACCTTGTCGCCGTATTCAACTTGGAGCTGTCTAGTGACAGCCACATTTCGAGTCTCGATGAGATACTGCTTGAGTCTATGTTCGCCATCTCAGCGCTGAAGCTTTTTTGAGTTGTGGTGCTCTACTCACTCAAATCTCTTCTGTTGCAGAGTCTTCCTGACAGTGGGATTATAATCAGCTAGTGACCTCGGAACATAAAGGCGATTGGTAGTCACCTTTCTTTTCTTAACCCGTGTTGTATTTTGATCCATTCGTCCTTTTCCTTTTCCGTCAGCTCATCGTCTTCGTAATCCGCCAGCTGAAGGTTCTTCTCGTCAATCTGAATCTGCGTGGTTGTAACTGCGTCGCTTAATTGTTGTATTCGTTTTGCATGCTGGCCTTTCCAGTCCTTCTTCGCCTCCGTGGCGCGGATATCCTGCAGGAGAGTTACTGACATGTAAGTCGTGACAAGATGTGAGGGGAACCCACGTCAGACTTGGTGCAAACAACGCTCACGTTGGACAAGCCCGCCTTCTCTGCGAGTTGGAAAACGCTTGCAACGCCAGCGTCGGTGGTTGCACGCCCTATGTTACAAATGGCAAGAATTTCGTCGCACTCGATCAGATATCGCTCCGTAATACGTCTACGCGCCGAGTTCAAGTCCCGAAGCCCTATGATGCGGTCAGCTTCGGAAGCCCTTTACCGTGCTGAAAACAGAAGATTTCGACGTACCAGGCAGATCCACGAGCACAAGTCCCTTGCTCAGGATATGAGAGTCGAGAGACACTCTAATTTGAATGTCAAAAATTGTGTTTGTACCGAACCGTGCGACAATCGAGACTTACTTGATCTTTCGAATAAAAGGCCAAACTGCAGGCCCACGTACCCCCGCCACCTCGGACGTCAGCCGCATCAAGAGGCTCGAGCATTCTTCAAGAGTGTGTATCGTATGCCCACCGCCGACATTTGGAATCACTTCATTCAGCCATGATTCCAGAGTTGACGACACAAGGTCCTCCGGCTCTGTTGTTAGGAAATCCTCACTATCAAGCCGACCTCGGAACATTGCTCGGAAGGTATCGCGAGCGACACCAGCTTGCTCTCCGGAATCGCTGACCTCGTGGGTATCCATTTCACCCGCGTGCAAGTGAAAAAGTCGGTAAGACTGCAGCAGTTCTGAAACTTGCATCTTGAGTTCTTCGTACGTGAATAACTCCACCTCGACGAGGAAGCTGGTTCCGGTACGGTAGTGATATTCGGTAACAACACAAGTACACGCAGCTCCGCTGTTGCTCTACGAAGGGTCAGCCGTTGATGCCTTGACGTCCGAACTGTTGACAACCTACGGTTCTGGCTAATCCCTCTTGGTCCAGAAGCGAATTCAGAACGCTGCTTTTCCCTGTAGCCTCGCAGTCAGTTATATAAGTTAGGGTACAACGCAAAAAAAGGGATGCTGTACCAACACCAGAGTCCCCAACGAGACCTACGATTCGAGTTGACGGACACTGAAAACGAGACAATTCTTGTGCTTGACGATGCAGTTTCTTGATGGTGGAGTCAGGGCTGATGTGGAGAGGACTACCTTCCAAGACATCGACTAACTGAGACATCAGGGCCTTCGCATCGCCAAAGGCGTTTTGAAATGCTGCGTCGTGGAAGCGGTTCAATGGAAGTTCCTCGTCCTTGACATCGTGAGGCACAAGGCTTGTTCTGGACGCCGCCCGTGAACGCCGAGGGGGTCGTGGCTGCAACAGAGGCTCTGCAGTGTCTGGGGTATCGGAAGTCTGCGTGGAGGTGTGGGCGTCTACGCCGTTGGCTATATCTGAGATGGCATCTCTGACATCGGACATTCCTAAGCTCAATGGCGTTGGGGTGCGATCCGAGATTCCTAGCCGACTAGCGATACCTTCAGCCGCTCTGAGCTCATGGGGCGAACTCGTTCCCTCAGTGCTCGCGCGTGGAGTCGTGCGCGAATCCTGGACAGGAGAGGTGAGCGGTGGGGGGGAGATCGACACTACAGGGGTCCAGGCATGGCTGGTCTGGCTGCTCGGAGTGTAATTAGAGGTTGGGCTCCCAGAGTCTCTCTCGATAGAGCGAAGAGGTTCGTCAGCCGAGTGTCTCTCGGTGCTGGGATCTATTGGGGTCGCTGAGCCCCGAAAGACAAAGATGTCATCTCGCAATGGAGATGGAGAGAAGCTTGGGACAGAGCCGGTAGACGGTGTCGGAAAGCGCCGCGACGGTGAACTTGGGGCTGTCGAATACCAGGAGACCGGCGATATCCTCTCAGCAGAGGGGGACAGGGGCTGCCCAAAATTGGACGCGGGACGCGAGATCGAAGAGGAATGGCGTTGCTGCTTTATAGTCAGATTCCCAACTCGCGAGTGGTCTGGTTCAGCTGGGGACACAACACAACCTCCATGACAAATTACGACTCTGGTCATATCTGACTTGTATAGTTTGTGTAATGTTATCTCTCTCAATAAGGTAGACGCTGGCTCAGGAGGAGAATAATTTCTCTTCGGTACGAAGGGCGGTCACCAATCTATTTAATGTGCTGAAGCTGCTAGACGCCTGCATCCAGCTCGGCCCACACTCATAGCCCCCACGCGGCCACCTGTCTCAATCCAGAGTTCCCAGTCGCCGAGCTCATCCACTTCCAGCTCACTTAGGAATAGAGAGGGGTACAATGTTATCAGTTACTGCAGGCTGAAAGAGGCGCAGACCTCCTGTTGGTTTCATGGCCCCGGTTCCATGACCGAACCAACGACGACCGGGGCTACGGATACCACACGCCGCAGCCACCCTATTGGACAGGATCAACGAATGGCCTTGCGTGATCCGGAGTCAGCCTGGTTCAGGCTACCCCGATTCCACTTGTACGAGTCGTTCTTGAGGGCTCAACGATTCGCTCTTGTAAAGGTCAAGGTTCGGGCTAGGCGCCAGGCCAACTTGGTGCACCTCTGGCGCCTGGTTCATTTCAGTGTGGCCATGAAGGGCCGGCCGGTTGGTCGTTGAATTTTATATCTTTCGAACTAGAGATGTAGAACGGGCGGACGTTTTGCTGATCGGCGTCTAGCTACGAGTACTACACTATAGTTTGTAGGTATGCGAGGGTAGGCAGGACAAGAGCGGGGAGCTTATGTGGACAGCATAGGGACAAAAAAGATCAGGTATGCATATATATATATTTATGTCTCTTTAACTTCCTGAAAAGAAAGAAGGCTAGCTAGATACCTTGCTCAGGTTTTCGCAATCACTTTGCAAAGCGAATCGGACTCAAATATTGGGTAGAGAAAAAAGAGAATCCAAAAAAATGTTCCCACACCGAGGTTCGAACTCGGGTCTCTCCGGAACGCTTCCATGGGACTGAAAGCGGAGTATCCTAACCACTGGACTATATGGGACGAGCCGTAGCTGTATCCTGATTGGTTATTCGAGAGAGCTGTTTGCCGCTTACGTTTCAAGTAGTGATGTTATTCATTGCCTTGATCCACGTGCGATATAAATCCTGGCTGAGTACTCTCTGCAAGGAAATTCCATTAAGATCAAGCCGCCAGGAAAGAAAGAAATTACGAACATCAAAGACGTAATTTGCAAATAATCACAGATAATAGAGTTAGTAACCGTTATTATGAATATGAGCTCTAGAGCAGAGCTTTCAATTAACCGTGGCTTCGTCCTGGTGCACTATCAGGTCTTCGGCTTTAAGAATGTGAAAGCACTTTATTTAAAGCTCGCCGCCTCATGAAATATCTCAACTTCGGTCTCACTTTGTACACGTACTGTCATCGATATAGCTCGTCAAAATTAAATTTGCTTTCACAGGCTTTATAGCATGTTGTCAAACATCGTGGCCATTGCCCCTCTATGAAAATTCTTGTGTTTCTCGCCTGAAATGCTGAGTGAAGTCTGCTATTCATCATTCCAAAGCGACTGGTATCCGCTGCTCCTCCACAATACGCCATTTGCCATCTGCTAGCTTATATTTCCTCCTGCACACTTCGTCCTGGTGTAGAACAATCTCTTTGTTGACCAGCACCGCACCAAAATGATCATCAATACTCCAATCGTTCTCTGCACGGAGGTCCTGGCTCGTCTTTGATATCGCCGCGAAGAGCCTCGTGTCCCAAATTCCATCTCGGCGGGGAAAGTCCCTCAGCAAACAATGCGCTTCATTTCTAACATCTGCATCAACGCAATATATGCTTGCACAAAGGATCGCCCAGCTCGGACTGGAATCCATTGTGAAAACCTCTCTGGTTTGGTCCATGCCGAGTTGTCCCTCGAGGACCATCCTACTCATGGCGAGGATCTCACTGAACTCCTCTGTTGATTCTAGAAGGACTTCTTTGTTCGTAAACTGAGAGCTTTTGACAGATATGACGAGTGACTTGTGTAGCAATTGGAGGCTCAACATTTGTAGTCGTGCTTGTTCGTTGTCCACTGCTTCGGGCGAAGATTCTGACGTCAACAACTGGAACCGGGCGCGCCACCGGTCGAGAATGCCCATGTATCTCTTAACCTGACATTTAGGTATCTTGGTTAGATTTGTAGGAGTCCTTAGATCCTCTAAATGTAATGCCGAGTGCATCTTCGTTTGATAAATGATGAAGTGCTGAATAATCTCCCACCAACGGTGAGCCTCTGAGAGTGTCGCGAAACTCTTCGGCAGCTCGTCGACTGCATATCGGCTTCGCTTTCCACGGCAGCACCAAGGCACCCAAGCTTCGGTCTCGGGCGGATGATATCCGTTCATCGTCCACGACGACAAGGTAAAGCGCTGGAAACCCGAAATAACCTCGTCAATTAGCTTTGGTGGGCACTCTCCACTGACGCCTTGCTTCATGACCTGATCGAGCATAGTGCAGCCGTGGTTGATGTGAGTCAGTGCGGCTAGATGATTGCCCTGTATAGACTCGAATGTAACGAATAGAATGCAGGAGAGCAGAGCACGGGGAATGCTTCTTTTTGATGACGCGCTGGATCGGATGATGTGGATGGCTCTTCCGTAATGCTGCAAAGCATCTTTCATGAAAGGCCCAGAACCAACAGTCCGCTGTCGACGACTATCACTTCCCAAAGTGGCAGCGCCGATGGCGAACGCTGCGTGTTTGATAGCGGGCTCTTCGCGGGCGATTTGGGGGATGAGCTGAGTGACAAGGTCCGACGGGAACAGGGTGAATTGCTTGCTAAATGTCATCCAATACTCGAAGTGGTCCTTCTCTAGTTGCGCGGTGAACATGTATGTCTCGTAGTTGGGCCGAATCAGGAGTGGGCGGTATTCCTGTAGTCTGCCATCAATTCCCTTGGTTTTGGGGGCGTATCCCTCGCAACTACGTTTTGATTTACTGCAGTTCAGACACGATGGCTTCCCCTCGTCGCAGCGCACGCGCCGTTTTCTGCAATAAGTGTTAGGCTTATGGTAGTCGAGACCATCGATGCTGGAGGTAAAAATGACGCATCTCTCCAAGAGCAGTGCTGTGTGTCGCTACTCACTTGCATGTGATGCAGCCTGTCCGAGACTTCGGAGTTTGTCTCCGGTTTGTCTTGGGCCTGTCGTTGAGCGGAAAGCTCAGAATCTTTGGCGCCGAAGCTGGAGCGTCCAACGTAATCGGCTTCGACTGGACAGTCTCTGCCATATTAAAGGTTGAGTTATATGCCTTCTGAGTCAACTGCGGGAGCAATGCTGTGGGCTTCAATCCAGCCTCTTTCACTTAATATAAAATTACGATGAAGAATGATGAGTGGCGTGGAAGGGGCGCGGTAGGGCTGATATTTAAAGGTTGCCGCCACGCCCGAGATTCCTCCCGTCAAAACGGGCTTAGCAGATGCGTGTTCACGTCCGCTGATCCTTTGACGACATCAGAATGTTACCCTGGACATTCAATACCCTATCAGACACAAGTTTGCTGGGGCCTGTAGCGTACATGTAAGCTTACATGTACCCAACGGACCACATAAGTCACATCGAAAGTGCATAAAATTGGCAAACGAGCGCGTTTTCCACCAACAACCTTTGGCCACAGGTAATGCATTGAATTCAAGAGTTGAGACATGTAGATCATTTTGCCCCAAATTGCGCTCATAGTGTCCATCTCTGTGTCTTTCGGATGGCCAACGTGTACCTGTAGAGACACTGACAAACACCACATCCATCATTACCAAGTGAACTGCAGCTAAAACCACTTCCATAGAGAAGCTCAAGTGATTTGTGCTAATTTGAGGCACAGCGCCAGAGCCTCGTGAGGAGCTCAGCTCGAATGATGGCGCCAAGACAGAGGTTTCATAAATGCTTGCCCAGAAGAAGACGTGAATAAAAATGAGTCATTTATATACTGGATCGGCCTAAGAAACGAAGTAACAGCTGAAGCCAATTTACCCCCAGATGGGAGGAAGCACATGCCAATCTCGAGATGCCTGCGCTCCTCATCTCCAAGAGTATTATCAGCACTATCTAGTCAACGTTCTAGTAAACGTAAAAGACAGCAGTCTCATCAGGTGAAGCCCTCAACTTCTCGTTGCGCTTCTTCAAAATGATCTTTGCAAGCCAAGCCAGCAAAGCAGTCGCAATACTGAAGGCGGCGCTGCTCGACATGGCCATAACATAGCGCGGCTCGTCGCTGCTGGGCCACAGGTAGGGCGTCCAAATGAAGCTGACGTTCATGATCATCGTCACCATCGAAATGGCGACTGCTTTCTTCTCCTTTGTCTGGCCGCAGACACTGCCGCACCATCCCAGAATCAACTTTTCGCGGAGTTAGCTACACTTGCAAGTTTTCAGAAGATATGATGAATCATACCGAGTTTACGCCGTAGGTACCAATGGTGAAGATGACCATTGATACGTATCGACCGGCCAAGTTCATCGTCGCAGCGGCAGAAATGAAGCCGATAACTGCGACAGCCTTGGAAGCGGTGATGTGCCATGTTCGCTCATTGAACTTGCCTGACGACCAGGACACGGCGATGGTCACGGCGCCAGCAATGAGGTAAGGTGGGCAGGTGAGGACCAGGGTAATGGTAGTGTTGAAGCCGAGGGTCTTGACAACGCTGGGGAACTAGAGTTTGTAAGCTTTCTCCCCTCCCTCATTTCAAAACAAAATAAACAGCATCCTTACAAAGTTCTTGAACCCATTGGCAGCCAAATGCATATGGGCCATTGCGCAGAAGATCCACACCATGGGGTCCTTGGCTGCTTGACGCAGACCGTTCCAAGTGCTGGTCTCGCCCTTGTTGGCAACAGTGTCAAGTTCCATGCGGTTGTAAGCGAGGTCTCGCTCTTCTTGGGTCAACCACTTGGTGGTCTGAGGGAAATCGGGAAGTAGGAAGAAACCGATGACGGCAATAACGAACGTCACGGCGCCCTGAAGGATGAACAGCCACTTCCAGCCTGCAATGCCAGCGAGGTTGTCCATGCCGTGAAAAATTCCAGCTGCAATCAGGCCAGCAAAGGCAGTGGCGAGAATATTACCCGTATAGAGGATAGCAATACGAGTTGCGACCTCCTTTCGGGTGTAGAAGATGCTGAGCAAATAGACGGCACCGGGATAGTAGGGTGCTTCTGTCACGCCAAGAAAGAATCTGGTAAGTAGGAGTCCGGTAAAGTCTTTGGACACAGCTGTAAGAGCGCTGACGACAGCCCAGAGCATCATCATGGTTCCCTGAGTGCAAGCGATAGAATTAGCCTCGTTGTTTATTCAAAGTCGAGTTTTGTGACGGGTTACCATGTAACGGCTCGGCCGAGTCCGGGTAAGGAACATGTTTGATGGGATCTGTCCACTGGTGAAGCAGAATTAGCGGCAGAACTACTAATGACAGATGGGTTTCTTACATGATGTAACCGACGAAGAGAATAGAAACACAGGTCTGGTACTCTGGTTGGTGGATGAGTTAGCGATAGAATTTACATAAACAACAACCATTGCTACACATACGAGAACCTGTCAGGTTGAGGTCTTTTTCGAGGTCGTTCAGTCGTGCCAAGGCAATAGCATTGCGGTCAAGGTACTGTGGAAATGCTGTTACTATGTGTCAAACCAATGAGGGAAAGCGAGCACTTACATTGAGCCAGTACATGGACCAAAGCATCGGCTGGAGGGAAAAGGCAGTCAGTCAGTCGGTCGGAAAACGCATCGCTCAGAGATAGAAAAGCGCACCATGATCCATCTATCCAACTTCCTCACAAGGGCAATCTCCTTGGGATCGGTCTTCTCCTGAGCACCAGAGTAGTCGATTTTGCCGGTGTTCCTGGGAATGGGCTTCTCTGGATTCTCATCCTCGAAGATCTGGGGCTCCATGTCTTTGATTCTGTCGGCTTCATTATGAGCCGCGGTGTTGGTTTTGGAGGTCATTATGCCGGTTGTTCCTGGGACAGAGACTCAACAGAAGTCTCAGCGAGTAACAAAGGAAGTAAGAAGGAAGATTGGCAGATGGCTGATAGCGACACTGAAGCTCGTGGCACCCTGTGGAGTGAGATTCTTTCTCCATTTCCCCACGGGGTTTGGAGCTCTTATATACTCGCGTGAGGCGGGGATGCCCAGACCTGACCCTCGTGGGATGACCTCCAGCATCCGTCCACGTTGTGCTCCCATATCGTCCCCGCGATCGACTGGGGACATGGGTCCAGCGAGTCTTAGGTTGCTTACACCCACACACATTCATTATGAAATCTCACTGATTCTGTTTCCGCCAAGTCACGACCGACATAATCCGCACACCAACAAACCCACCCTAGCTTTTCCAAGAATGAGAAGGCTTGCCCAGACGGGCGGCGAGCGATCCTGGATGCGCGTAGATTGAGCTGGTGACTTACTTTGGCTAGCTGCTATTATGAGCGTTAGCAGGAGTCACGACGAGTGACTTTGTGCTACAGAAGATGCCTATCAGGAGATGCCAAGCTTGGAGAATGCCACCATGCCTTCCTGCTGCCCTCAGCTACCATGCTCTTGGCAAAGGTAGGCGCAAATCCAAGGCGTGACTCTTCTCAGTTTCCACAGCTTACCTGGTTCCCAAATAGCAGCATACTTGGTAAACTACCGGGCAAGGGATGGGAATCCTCGGGATATAGCTTTCGAGGGTGAATGTGGTAGGCCTTATTCTTGGCTCTGCGGCTTGATGATTCGTCCTGGGTCCAGAACTTCATGTTGTTCTTCTATTGATATGAGCTAGAGAACATGATAGCTCGAATACCCGTTCCAGCGCCTCTTTTAGGGCGCCACACTCACTTGGGGGCGCCCGCACCCGGTCAAGTCAAGGTGGGCTGTGCATGTGTTCCGTCCGGGGTAAAGGGAGGTCAGTTTTCTGAGTTGGGGAAAGCGGACGTAGCCAACTTCGTGCTACTGCTACAGCCTTCCCCGCGTTCCTCCTTGCTGGGTTCCTTAAACCCTGGCACAGTAGCGTTAGTCTTGTGAGAGGCAAAGGATGCCGGTCGAACGACAAGAGAGTGGACCAACCCAACGATGGTTCCCTGCGTTTTGGAATCCTGTCTTCCAACAGGCACTGCCGAGAGCGAGCTGCGTACGGGACTCAAGGAAATGGGGTAGCGCCAAGTGGTCCCGAGATGTGCTAACCTCGTTTCAAGTCTAGCCGATGCAGTAGACGAAGTATAATTCTTAACTCGTCCAAGGCAGGCTCCGGGTGTTTTTCTACGGTAGTGTGCTCGTGCGCGTTCTTGTGTTTGTGTTTGTGTTGTTCTCCCAACAATGATAGGTGGTGTCAGACGTGGTTCAAGCCCTCATTCTTGGCAAAGCCAGGTTGGAACTGCGTGATTTGGCTCGCGACTTGCGCGAGGGGTAAGCTTCGTTCTGGCGCAGCCCACTAGAACACTTGGACTCGCGCTAGAAGTTTAAGCAGTTCAATGGCGACTGGGTGGAATCTTTCGAGAAAAGCCGGCAGCGCTACCGTGGCGGCATCTAGTGCGGAAAACTGCATTGCAGACAGGAGCACTATCTTGATCAAAGCGGGCGTCGAAGCTCGCTAGGAAGTTCGTATCACGTAGTACACATTCGTGGCCAAATGCGCTGGACCACAATGATGGGGAGATGCCTGGCATGTATTTAGCGAAGCTCGGGCAACGGTTGTGCAGTTCACGTTTGTCTGCAACATATAGGAAGTTGACTAAACTAGCGATGCTAGTTGGGCCTTGTCAAATATTCACATCCGCCGCGGTCAGTGGCTTGGCAGTGTACCAATCATCCGTGATATTTCGATTGGTGACACGCATAGTACCGTCCAACAAAAGCTTCGGGGTTTGACCTGTACATCCTTGCGGATCACCTCTAATGCCGAGCAACGAAGGGGGCCTTCATCGCACGTATACGGTCCTAGATCCACCAAAGCGGGCCTGTGCAGTAAAATGACAGAAAACAGACAGGAAGAATACCATGGGTCAGAGTTCCATTTGGAGCCTCAAGGGGTCATTCTCGGTGGCGCGGTCCTGGGGTTGTCCACGGGGAGGTTGATAGTCGACACTGGCGACGTTACGATGATTCCCCGGATCTCGAGCCCCATAGCAGCCCTCATAGACCATCTATTTGGGTCATAATAGACTGGGGTGGCTCGTCCTGATCGTTCATCATTCATGACTGTCAACCCGGGCCAGAGTTGCTGCTTGATCGACGCGGCGTAGGATTGAGTTGTCGGTGACTATGAGGCATATTCTCCACGACGCCTGCCCACCCGAACAATGCTGAATTGGATCATGTCTTGACAAATCATGTCTTGGCTAGAAAGTCGATAGCCCAGTGAGTAGCCAAGAAGGCCCAGCGTCAGAAGGCTGGGCTGGGCATGCAGGCCTAACGCTTGGTCTCGGTGTCTTGGCGGGAGGGGGAAATCGAAATGGAACAACTAGGAGTTGCACGAGGTCTCACGAGTAGAATAGACAGTCATTCAAGCTCTGGTTTCTAAATAAACAACCAGAGTAGAAACAGAGCAAGAAAGTCGAGGTTCATTATGTCGCCAAATCTCCCACCCGCGGACTAATCCAATGAGGGGCGTTCTTTCGGCCTGCAAAACACACAATTTTAGGCATGAGAGAACTTTAAAATCGACGAAGTCGTCTTCGTCACCTCAACTTAGACGAGGTACCCTCAGCTTTTGAAGAATGGTGACTGCTTCCCCGCTTAAGTATCTTCGGACTCCAGCTTTGATACGCGAGGCCTTCGGCCAGATTGTATGGGCATTTTTCAAGTTCCGTATCATCAAGTATCCGTACATGGTAGATTCATTGAGTGACACCGCCATGTCTGTGCCTCCTCATCTTCACTGACTTACCCCTACGCCCAACCTCCACCCCCATTCCCCACGGTTGGCGCCAAGTGGTCCCCTGTCTAGTATAGATGTAAGAGTCGGTGTTGCCAGAGTGAGCGCTGTGAGTGGCTGCGTGAGGAATACCGGTCCAAGTTGCGGCTTGGCTACAGCGCGGCACCAAACCGCAACGAATCGTAGTCTGTAGGCCGGCCAACTCCTCGGAAAGCCAAGGTGGCAAATCCCAAGAGAATCCTTGATCTGAACAGTTGAAGTCACATCTCATATCCCCGTGGGGAAGTCGCGTGGCTTTGGACCGTTGCGGTGCGGAGGGCGAAAACCAGTCGGGACCATCTTTGGAATAGTGTGCGTGCGTTCGATTAGAAGATCTCAAGGTCACATCAGGAATGAATCATCCGTATACTACATGTATAGGTACATCCTTATATATCTACTTTTTTGAACAGTCTGATGATCCGGGACCCAAGCACAAGTCTCGAACCGGGTGCTTTATCAATAGCCTCTACTGCGATGGAAGACCAAATGATACGACGCATTAACACCTCTTCGCTCACCTCAGCGTTATACCGCAAGGTGGGGGGCAGGTCCCCAGTATCCAAGCAATTGCATTGGACGCAAAGCATACATTTTGAATACATGGCAGTTTTTTGTGATCATTCACGGAACACCATTGAGGCTTTCGAGAAACATCAACATACGAACAAGGTACCTTGATGTGAACCCCCTCCTAGTACAACCTCCCTAGGCTTCACATAGCGAATACCCATAAGCGGAACATAGCAGCCAGAATATGTAACTTTCCAATAAGAATATGGAGTTGTTTGTCGCTTTACCTTGGCTCTATCTCCGGCAAGAGCGTATTGCGTTCGGAACCACAGCTCCTGAGACAACATGTCAGGCTCCAAGAACGCGAGCACTTTTGCATTTGAGAGTGCTCTCCAGTCACAGTGGCCTTGTTTATAGTACATGTAGGTTTCCTGGTTCAAGTAGCTGGCCAGATATCAAGATAGTTCCCTGCCGTCACCGGCAACAGAGGAAAGAAGATAAAATTCATGTTATTGTCGATAATCTGCCACCCACCTTCGCGCTCCGCTAACGAGGCACGATAAGGAATGGATGGTTCTGCGAGCACGCCAAGTCAATTGGCATCTGCCAAGAGATTGCTAGCAAGGAAATTAAACCTTAAGAGCGCCTCAGGTTTGGTTTGTTCCGATTTCACCCGTCCATCAGGCACATCTTCAGCTTCTGTGTGGGGGAGTATGCCATGAATCTGCAAAGAGCCTTTGATTTCGGCGTCTGGCGACTACAGACAAGGGATGATGCCTGATGGAATTACCGGACGACTTTTTGCCCCTCTGTGACTTGGGATAAGGGTTTTGAGAGAAAGAACTTGTCATGCTGTTACAATCGTTCCTGCTACCAGTGTAGCCAGCGCGTATTCCTATGCAGCAAATGCCATCAGCATTTGTCCAATTCAACATCAATCTTGGCAGACGGAGGTATCGATAGGGCACCGCATCGTTTGGACTCCCATTCAACTACCGCAAGACCTTCTCATGTGACACTGATAAGTTCGCTCTAAACTGCAAACAACATGAATACATGGCATCCCCTGCCAAGATAGAAACGTAGCCCGGCTGGCAAGACCCTAAGGCGAGATTGATAAAAGACGGAAAAACATGGCAGTATCATCCCAAGCAAATTTGTCTTCGAAGCGTTGTAACTCTTGCTACTATATGTGTTAGCTCAGCTTGCAAACAACGTATGTCGTTCTTACACTCCAGGCGCGCTGTGATAACTCGGCCGAACCGAGTTATGTTGCCCGAGATGACTTCGACCGTGGGATATGCACCCCCCGTATCCGCTGAAGCTTCAATCAACACATTCAATCGTCTTTTTTGGTCAGTTCCTTCAATAAACTTGGACGCCAGCCTCGTGCGCCGGTTGGAATGATTGATTTGGGATGTCGCGGATGCTCATGACCCTGTCGGTGCGATCTAGCCGTCTGGTCGAGGCAATACGGTATGGGTGGCCTGCCAAGCGATATCGTCGAGCAGGCCATCTCTCCAGATGCCGGCTAGATACCAGACTAGATATGATCAGCGAAAGTCCGTCTCGAGTCCTCAGTTTCAGCATTGAAGGTCCAAGGTCTGGCCCGCAGTTTGGCATTCGGCCATCCCCATCCGTTGCCCTACATTAAGACTGCGGTGGAATGCAACGCTCAAGACGATTTTGAAACCATGGAAACGCTACAAAGGAAGGCGTTCTCCGGATATGTGACAAGCGATGCCGATTGAGTCGCAGGATGTCGGTTCCTCTGATGTGCTGCCAGTAGAGAAGTCATACAGATCCCACTTCAGACAAATGACTCGCCTTTGAATTCGGCAACAGCCCTGTCTTGCAATTCTGTCGTGGGCACGAAGAAGTTGCTGATAAAAAAATGCCTGTTCTGAAAACAATCACACCGTACTCAGGCACCGGGAATGGCAGCTGATCTCCTTTTCGTTGGGACGAACTGATACCACCGATACCCAGTGCATCCCAACTCCCAGCTTTTCATCAGACATTGCGGAGCTGTTGGCAACCTGCTTTGGTAGGCATGCTCGCACACCAGCTTTGATGGTACTGGAAGACGGACATTCAGCTGCAGCCCTTTTCTCGATATCTGTGATTGACGAGAAGAACCATCCGCAGGCCAAGCAAAGGCCAATTGGGAGGCTACTTCGGTGAATCCTGTCGTAGAATTCATCGTCTGTACCCGAGTCATGGGCAAACTCGGCCTGTTCTAGGTATTGAAGCCAGTCATTCTCCTCGCGGCTGGCGTTGGCGTCGTTGGTGCCAACTTGAAGTGCCCGTCCCAATTTTGAATCTCCCTTCGGCTCAGTGAGTCAGTAGGACAGATAGAGCTGAGGTGATCAACGAGATGCATCTACTGCCGACTATTATCATTCAGACAGAGGCAGCCGAGGGCGCAAGGCTTTCTTGTCAAGTCCCCAGCAAGACGTCGTGGGATGCAGCGCCAACATGAGGACATCAGGCTTGTGCTTTACCCATGGGACAGTGATGCCTGGGCGGAAAGTGGGAAAGCTGATATTGTGATGATCACTCACAACGTCGGTCGTTTGATCGCCATCTTGTTCAGCTGGAAGGTTCTCAGCGAATCAGGATTAGACATATTCCGCGGAATGCGCGCCATTCACAAGACAGGCACCCAGTTGAGTCCTGACTCTCATTCTGACTCCAGCCTTCAAGTCAAGCACTTTCAGATTGGCGTCTTGTCGTTTCTACCTTGCGCAGCTCGTGGCGTCAAAATGATCCACGTTGGCAAGACGGAGCGACTGACCAGAACCCCGCGGATGATTCAAAGTGCGTTATTCCCAAGGGCCATGTATAAAGTCCCCGTCTCACTGCATCTTATCAAGTGCCTCGCATTCTCACGATGAGCGTCATGGGACTTTTGTCATCCTACAGGGCCTGTCAGGAAACCCATGAGGAGTTGCTAGCCCACTCGAGCCACCACGAATGCTCCGTGGAATCGGAAGTCGGGTTCTGGGTTATTTCCGGGTCCGCTTCCCGCCAAGGGGCGGGCAAAAGGCCCCAAAGCGAATGATAACTCACGTGTTTTGTTTTTGAGGTTATCCACTTGCCGCTCCACACGCGCGCGGTTTCGTGGGACCTGCGTGGCCTCGAAAACCTTGACGCCATCGTGACCTGCGAGAGCCTCGAATGCGCCCGCAGCATGAAGGATTCCCGCATCCAAAGACAAGAGTTCATGTCAGGGCGTCTCATGGCCCCGAGAGTTGGGTCCGGCAGTCTCAAGTTGCGACTGCGAGTGCAGCCACATGGTACTTAAATCAGTTCAAACGTATCAGTGATACCTGAACAACACGTGCTGACCATGTAAGGATCCCTCGGCACTATAATAGACGCTATTTTCATATGCAAAAGATCAGGTATGGTTGCAATATTGGTCGGTGGACGAGTCAGGGTCGCCATGCCGATTTACCTATCCGGCTAGCAGCGCGACCTTTGCGTTCTCTGTCGGTCCACGCGATAGGCTTTGACCAGGGGTTCGTTTCGGGGAGATGGAGAACCCATCCCAAAGGAGACCCCTCGTCGGGAGCGAGTCATCTTCCCGTGCAATAGATATCACGTCTGTACCCGCATCTGATGACGAACAGGAAACCACCAACGGAACCTCCCCACACGGGGCTGAGATACCCAGCATCTGCAGCTTCTGGTAGGGGTGCAGTGAGACGGGCGGACGGCTGGGTGCCCATCAAAAACGTGGCGTCCCCCGCCTGGAGTTCGAGGAATTCCAAGGAAAAGAAAAGCCTTGGCCCTACGCATTGGTTTCTTGCGACTCGCCATGTATGGATGACGGCGCGGCGTGAGTGACAGTCGTGATGGTTTTCCAACTCCCGGCAGCTGTCGATGCCGAAGCTGTCGCTGTCATATGTTACTCTTTCATCTGTTTCTTCTCTAACATTCTGCTCGTGTGGCTTCTTTGGACACACAATGATCGAGCGAGTTGTAGGTTTCTGATCCTCTGCATTGATAGGCTCGACACCACCAAAGCTCTATGCGCAAACCATCTTACAATTTCTTCCTAGATATTGCCTGCATCTCCTATGCTACTCTCATTATCACCACGACGAGCATTTGCCAACAATTCTACGACTACGTCTATTGGAGAGACATTTTGACGGACCAATTTTATTATTCAAGACAAAACGCCGACAATGCGGAAGTGCAATACCACAAGGGAGCTCAGGGTATCAAGCTGGTTCTCGGCTACATTCGTACGTGCATATTCCCAGTCCGGGTCCTGGCTTCACTAGCTCTAAAGTCAATCTCGATTTGCGTGATGGGCTGTCACTGACAGACAGCAACGATAGGCATTTTTGGGTTTACCATTGCATCGACATTTGTCTTCTTCTTGTAGGTCCTATTCCAGAAGTCCAGCGATAAGGACTCAATTTCTGACATGACCAAGTGCTTTGTCCCTGGCCGCGAGTGTCTACGGCTGGTTCGCAGCAACACCAAGGACGACCCATACCATTTCCACCGTGGGAAGAGTCCTGCCAATCGTCCTCACCAGTATCACTGTCGGCCTGATGCATTCGCCGCCAGTCCAGGAGTCGTTCCTCGTATACATGTTTGTTGCTAATACACAATTCGTCCTCAGCCTCTTTGGAAGCGCTGTACTCCTGCTCATGATCCTTTTCAAATACGTCAATTCGCGACGAACCCTTACAAGTTGGAACGTGCTGTACGGGAATCCGGGCGCGTCGCTACCCAGCAGTAATGGCGGCAGTAGCAAGGCGCGATCCATCTGGTTGGGAAATGGGTCAAGCCGTGGAGGACGAAGTCGAGCGTACAGCGGTGCTGGCACCAATAACACATACGACAGTTGGTTGGTGATTCGACTGTCGATCGCTTTCGCGGTTCTTTGGTCAGTTATGGCAGATCCATTGGCTGCTATGTCAATTGGTCTGGGAATAGTATGCTAACAGTCCTGTGTAGTGTTTTTGAGTACACAAATATAATACCACGGATCGCCGCCTCAAACCACACCATCGATACAGCCAAGAACCTGATGCCGGACCTTAGTGTGAAGCGAGCACGATCAAGCATCAGAGGCTACGTTTCCGGTGTGTCACCGAGCTTGGTCGCATTCCTCGTCTTTGGCACGACTAAGACGTTTCAACGGAAGATGTATGACACCTTTATGCCAAAGATACTCTCAAAAAAGAATAGACAGAAGCGGAACCTTTCACTCTCATTCGGAGACTCGGCTTCATCCAACCCACCGGCTCGACGCCCTCCACAAATGGACGAATTTTCTCTCGCCGACATGAGCCCAAAGGTCCCTCAAAGCGGCAACTACAGCCCCCGATTTGCCTCTGTTGGCAACCTTAGTCCGAGACTACCGTACGAAAGCAACTCGACCTTGGAATCGAGCCTCGACACGCCGAGGGCGCCACCACCCAAGGCGCATTTCACCCCAACTGGACAGTTGATGAGTCCAGGACTCAGCGCTCCCAATTCACGGGCAACAAATGCTGGTTTCAATCCAGGTCTGCAATCGAAGTTTTCACTGTATGGGTGGCCCGAAGCGCGGGACAAGGCTCTTCCTCCAACACCCTTCGAATAGAAGCCGTGGAGGCAGTGATTCTCGAGCAAAGCGACGGAGTTCCAGGCGTTCGAAGAGGGAGTCTAACCACAGATACCAGGCAGAGCTTCAAGTCTGTATTTTTAGTAATATAATAATCCATTTGTCTCGTTTCATGACAACATGCTTATCATAGATGTCCCTAAGTAACATTCAAGATGTGTTGAGTAGCGCCTCGGCGCTTTCGAGAAGGATTGAAAATTCTTCATTAGTCAAGCTGTTGAATTTGCGATTGCTGGTCCGCAGGCTGGACTTATCGGATGTAAATTGCCGACAAACCCTTGCGAAAACGAGAACGCGCCAGTAGTCAGGTCGTTTTTCTTTGAGTTGGCCCCGTTTCGAACTCGTCCCTCAGACCACTCTCCCGACAAGACATTCTCGACGTTTTACGGCACTGCTCCGGATTTTTGGAGACATGTAAACAGATGATTGTGGTAAAAGATTACCGATTGAATTGATAAAAGTTTGTGAAACAGTTATGCAAGCTGTGGACCACAGTCCTCATTCTGTTTGTTCGTACACTGCAAGCTACATTACGCGTCTCTCAAGAATAGACACCCACCTAATTGAGCCCGCTCATCACCAACTTCACCATGTGCGGCTTCCATGAAGAGACTTTCCTCTTCCGCCATCGCCCCGTTGGCCCCTCTCGCATCAGTGCGGGTTTCGTCTTCATGTCTAGGTTCGATGAACTTTGGCCAAAGCCACAAGTATAAATACGGCGAATACACAAAAGAAATATCATTCGAGATCCTGGACCTCTTCTACAGCGAATTCGGAAATCTTCTGGACACGGCCAAAGGGTACCACAACGGTGATTGCGAGGAGTGGCTCGGAGAGTGGCTGAAGAGTGGCTGAAGACCCGCAACCAACGTGACGAGATCGTGGTAGCGACCGAGTACTCCACGCCGTCCGTTGTGGGCCACTCGGACGAGATCCATTCCAACTACTACGGTAACAGCACCAAGTCGATGAAGCTTTCCCTTGAAGCCTCTCTCAATAAGCTACTCACCAGCTATGTCGGCATTTTGTACATCCTCTGGTGGGACTACACCACGTCGATCCCCGAGCTCCTATACGCCCTCAATTATCTCGTGGCATCCGGAAAGGTCCTAAGGTCCTGTACCTGGATACCTCCTGGCCACAACTTCCGCCACTCCAAGCCGCTAGAAAGAACCGTACAGCAGGTTATCCGCAAGCTCACGTCTCTGCTGGTACCATGTTCAAGTATATGTGAGATGAGAAATGAAGTTGAATTTCAACGGGTTGGGAGCATGAAAACCTGATGTAAAACTTGGACGCGCAGGTGCCGTCGTCACTGCGAAGAAAGGTGATCAACCAGACCATGTGCCATATGTCACTCTCATCATCGGCTAAAGTAGCTCTTTGGTGCTTTCTCGGGGCACGTTGCGTCCACTTTGTATTGTGTCGAAGATCATGCACCTTGGCAACAGGGAATTGACTTTGAAGCGGCTGAGAATTTGCACCTCAAGCCTGTGTTGACCCGCGCATTTCTGATTCTGGCGTGAACTAATGTGCACATCTGCATAACAGCTAAGTGTGAAAGAGGGGATTAGCCCGCTGGCCGAGGTCGGCTGGCGTGGGGATCGCGGTCGCCAAGCCTTCGAAGTCAACTTGGTCTTGATGGAACCATTCTACTTACCTGGACGCCAGTACGGAGTACATCGCTGCCGTGGGGCACATTCATTGTGCCCATAAATCCGCCGATCAAATACCCCAACTTACAGGTGCGAGTAGCGTGCGGCGGTTGAGGCGGTGTTCGCAGCCACTTCATTGATACAGGAAGGGGTGGCGTTTCAACGAGACTTACCCAGTCCAACGCCGTCTTTTTCTCGCAAGACCCTCGATGGCCCGCCTTTCATTGGGATATATCACAGGCTTTGTTGCCTCAAGGATGCCAACTGCGCTGTCCTTTGACGATACCTGCTGGTGGTACTTGCCTCAACCAGCCGCGCCGCTCTCTGCACCCTCTACCTCAAGTGTGAGCACTGCAAGGTTGCAGCAGCATCTACCACATGGGTGGGCTGCGTTTGGAACCAACAAGGCACAAGTAGTGGAACATTTCTCTGCAATTTCCAGGCAGGGCTGCTATAAGATATGGAGATCGCCCAACCGAAAGGCCTATGAGCTTGACAGTGCTGATACTCACCACACACGATCCCACATATGCGAATGGCGACTTGGCATTGCCCTAATTGTCTTGCGCCATGCGGCAATCCAAAAGCTCTTGTAGAGCACCTTGTATCATTCTATCTAGTGGAACATACTTCTACACCCTCGAGCTTATCGAATAAGAGGAAACGCCGGCCATCAATCTCAAACGACGGAGATTCCATCAAGCAGCAGGCAGGGAGTGAGTTGGATTACATTTGCCCATATCCAGATTGTAGGCATAAGAAACAGTACTCGTCTAAAGCCAACCTATGACGGCATTATTTCACCCGTAAGAAAATCCTACTTGCCGTTTGGCAATGGCTCATGTTTGTGAGAAATAGATTTTACAGAGTGTGAGGCTACAGATCTTCACTGCCCGTTCTGCCTCAAACCGAAGAGAAATTTAGGAGCGCTCTCTGCACATTGGGAAAAATCATGTAAAACAAAATTCAGTACACGCCATCCAGTCAGTACCGACTAACAGAATCGACTAAGTGTCTTCGAGAAGAAGAAGGCAGAGTGCAGCGAGCATTTGACGGTGGCGTTGAATGAAAGACGCCTTGACCGGTGCAAAAAGAATTGTCAAAAGGAGGTGACTTCACTGGGGAGTTTTGATTCAGGTGACTTGATTCATATACCGGGAGTTTCCATTGGCAATACAGAGCAGGCGGAGCTTACTGCAAATATCCAGCCTGACAACGATCGGGGTACGTTTTCAAATTCGCCAGAACATGGAGGTTCACACACCTCAATGTCGACTTATGACCCACCTTGGGCACTTGCTTCAAATGGAGGAAGCAACTGCGACGCATGGACAGTCAGCAATGAATGGTGGAGTGCCCATGAGTTTGATTACGAGGTTGAGTTCAACTGCGAGCTGGGGACAGGTGCAGATTCTGGGTGAGAGGCATGGTTTCTCGACACATCGCTGCCGCCCTCGCAGTCATCATAAGTAGCTACTACGTAGGTCCCTGCAGCCATCGGTGCTTTACAACTTCTTCGATCGGTATTCTGCTCGTCGGATTCAGATTTGTCATTCCAGATATCACTTCCTGTGCCTCAGGGCCAAGCTCGGCGCTCCAACGCATGAACCTCATTTCCGGTTGTTCCCTCACCATATCTTCGGCCATCGCTGAAGCTCCCTCCAGAGCGCGACGCCAAAGGTCATTGCTAACCTGCTCGAAGAGCTCTTTGGGAACTGGTCCGAAGTAGCAAAAGTGCCGAGTAATTATCTCCTGCTCTGCGGTATGACCAGTCTTTTTGAGTTCTTGGTAATTGTTATTGTTTATGAGCAGCAACTCACCGCCGCCGAGGACGTATATGCACTGTAACCGGAGCTTAGCAAGGACCACTTTGCAACATCTGGCTGCAGTTTACTCACAACTAGTCCAAACGAGAACACGTCTGATGCCTTGCTCGTTATTCCTGTCTGTCCTTCTGGGCTCCGCCACATAACGTTGCCTATTGCGTACGGGGTCTGACGTGAAAGTCCGCCTTGCAACTCATAAGCAATATCAAAATCGCCAAGAACCACATCGGTGACGGTTTTAGTCCCCTGATCGTCGCAAGTCCAGTTGACTAGTATGTTATCAGGCTTCAAATCTGTTCATACCGTCAGTTCAACATGTTACATCTTGGCATCGAGGTCGTAGAGATCATACCGCAGTGTATCCAACCCTTGTTATGAAGCTCCTGTATTGCTTCTCCCGTGCCTCGTAAAATCTTATTCCGTTCCGTTATGGGCAGGTCTGGATCGTCCTGAATCAAAGCAAGCAGGGTGTTTCGATAATAGGGATAGATAAGAACGCCTTCTTCCGTGTTGCAATCAGTGTGCATTCGGAGCCAGCGTGAGCTTGCAAATTCAGCAGCAAGACGTAGAGACAGATTGTAAAACGGCCTGCGCACACGCTTGACGATGAAAGACTCGTGTTCGGAGCTGAGCAAAATGTGTCAATGGAACCTCTGGATCGTGAGACAAATGCATGGGATTTGACACGTACTCGGCTTTCAAGATGGTCGGGGTGTTGTCCTCACGACGGCGCTGGAGCACCTCGCCCGTGACGTAAGAGCGACCAGAATCACCCACTACGGTGGACATATGCATCATCCTGATGCCTCGACGGTTGGCGAGACGGCTAAAGAGTGCGCAGCCGCTAAGATATCTGAGAGACATTGAGATACAATTCGATCTAAATAGCAGGAAGAAGGTGGTATCATCTAGGTAAAGCCGTGCTTAATCAGATGACGCTCTATCACAGCAGCAGGGGTTCGGATATATATTGACCCGTCCGCATGCTCGATTGCTTAACCTCAGGAACCATGAACAATAATGAGAGCTCCAAACATGGTCGTCTTTGGCGCCGGCCAGCCCCTGGCTGGCTGTCGTGTGTGCCAATCATCACCAATTTGCTGCACCATTTCTCTTTACTACACCTTCCTCGATTCGTGTCTCTCGTAGAGGCTCCCGCCAGAAAACCATCTTGCCATTATCAGGGCAACCACAGTCACCACGGTGGCCTGAATTGAAGTATAGTTTGCCTCCATATAATTATTCGACGATATTCTCGCAGGGCAACATACACTTAGGAATCCTTCATTCATCAAAGTACAGATACTCCCAGTTCTGGAGTGATCGCTCAAAACACCAAGTCCGTTCGCGTATCTACATCGGTTTAACACCACGAAAAAGAACGAGCTAACCACTCTCCCTTTTTACAATTGTAGTTGTCGATATGGATTATACTGGAGGAGAAACACGTCAAAATGAAACCTTGCTGCGTTGCACTAGTACATTACTGCCCTGCTTAGCAAAACTTCTTAAGAAAAGTCTCTATAGGTGTTGATTGAATTAGAAAAAGGTCTTATACGAACGATTAAGTCTGTTTAAGGAGTAGAAAATAGGCCATACTCGTCTTACTAGGTACGGAGAGTTAGAAGATAACACCGCCGATACTCGCTACTCTCCGTCGTACTCTAGCGATTGTAAAGTCGTATAGAAAGACCGAGAAACGGCGCCATACCTGTTCCTATCGACTCAAAATATGTATGAAGTACTTTATGGGTATACTGTACTGTATGTACGTTGCACAGGGCTGATCTAGATTCCTTGCAAGTGGAATATGCCAATCTCTTCTGCATAGACAAAGCTTCATGAGCACAACGCATCTCTCGGCCCTCTTCATTTGACATTCTGAGTGATCCGCTGAAGAGCAGCTATGGTTGCAGTGTTTATATTGTCATCGCAGTCGACGGACAATGGAGATATCTTGGTGTATGTCTTGAGCTGAAAGTACAGCTCTCCTGTTTCAGTCTAAGTCACGAAACGAAACACATGGGAGTAGGCATATGTAGCAAAGCCCAACCATATGACAAGCAAAGCTGCGCTACGCAAAATACGCGATTCGCCTCTGGCTAATAATAAGGTTCTCTATCGACGAGTTTTGCGTTCAGCCTACAGTCAGCAAATGCGGACAAGCGGTGGATCCATGTTCAGCGTATGGGCAACCGGGGATAGCTACTGGGATCCTGGGCATAATAAGGACAATCACTAGAACTGATCCCTAGCTAGAGCAAGATATGGATCGCAAAGGTAGGGATTATGGAAAGGGAAGCATGATCTTGATCGTGCTGCTGAAAAGGCCCTTCCCATTGCCGATGACGGTTCTAGGCAGACCGACACCTCCGTGCGTCACCAAACCATAATTTGCTCGTCCGGGCAGACCTGAGCCTCCGCAATTGAGACGGTGATAACGCAGCAGAGAGTCATCGCTTCTCAAGTCAGAAACGCATCCAAGTGCGCACTTATAGTGATGTAAGGCATTCATACCTGGTCCAGGACGAGGCAGATGCGCAGGATTGGTTGACGAGAACGATTGGCCATGACCAGAATCTTCGAATATTGAAATCTTCTCGGGACCGGGACAAGTCGGGCCCAAGATAAGCGCATCAAACGGTTACCCTCGTGCAACACAGACTGGCAATGAGCCGTAGAGGTTAAAGTCACGCCGCGTCAGGAAACCCAAACGAACTTGCTCCCTCGCCAAAGAGCTCCCACTCCATGCATCCCCCCCCCGAGATCCTTACCAGGATGATTGCATGGTGCGACAAAGAGACACTCCGAACATCAGCATTGTGCAGCAAGCTATTTCGAATCATTTTTACGCCACTTGTAGTGTATGGTGTCTGCCCCGGACATGTTACTTTCTTTCCCGTCCGGATGAGTGGAGCCGATCGGACCCAGGACCGAGAAGCGGGGCCGAGTTCGTCCGGGGAGGCAGGCCGACCATTGCCTGGAATTCACCCCGAATTGAAGATGGACACGAGCCAAGCTTGAAGTTAGTCCCGCTAATCCAACCTTCCGGCCACCCGATCCTATCTGATCTTAGCCACAGATTTATTAACTCCTACACCGTAGCTATCAGAGGTTCCAAATATAACCCCCAGCCGCTCCAGTAAGGGTGTCGCCTTCCAGCCAGCCACAGCTACGAGGTTTATCTGATGATGCGCTTGTCTGCAAGAACTTCGCAACAAACCGCAAGAAAGATCTCCATAGATCAGATCAGCCAAATTATTCTTGGCAGCGCGAATCCCCTCGCAAAAAAAGTGTCGCTCTCCCGGAAACAACCCGCCATCGCCGCAAGGAGAGCGATCCTCCCAAGAAGCGGCTGTCGCACAGCATCCCACGTCTGCAGGTCATCCTACGTGCGAAAAAGACGATACCTAAACTATCGTGAAATCCGTCCTCACATTCAAAGTGGCTCTCCTGACCCTTTCCTGTGTTTGTGATGATTTCCCAAACTGGCAGTGTCATGTCAATCCTCCCTTGGGGCGTACGTACAGCTGAGACACCGGGCTAACTTGTCCAGTCCTGAACTCACCTTGCGCGGGAATGTTCGTATGTTCGTGGAGACAACTTTACCCCGTATCCCACCTCTTGGTGCTGCCAAACCCAAAAGTGGCAGGCTGTGTTGTGTCCCACCGCGGACTGGAATTCGGGATAGATGAGGCACCAAGACAGCCCATCTGACCGCATTCCAGACGTCAGTCATGTCAATTTCATTTATCAACAACGCAACGGCCAGACGTTTTACTTTTCGAGAAGCTCATTTCTTCCTCGTTGCTCATTCTTCCAGATTCTCAGTTGTTCAGTTGTCCGACCGCCTTTCCTTGCAAAGCTCGAACAACAAGATACCCAAGCAGCCACGATGCGCATCCACAACCTCCTCGCCATCCTCGGCTCAGCAGCCCTCGCCGCCGCCGCAACTGTACCAGCCGTGACGCCCTTCCTCACACAACCCGGAGCCCAACCATCAACCCTCGTCCCACAACCCTCCTCCTCCTCCTCCGCCGCCGCCGTGGTCCCAGCAGCTCCCGTACCGCCACCAGTCTCCTCACCAGAATCCTCCGCCTCCTCCGCCGTCGCATCCTCAAACTCCTCCTCTTCCTCGACCGCGGCCTCCGGCTCAACAGTAATATCCCTCCCCGGCCCAACCCTCACAATCTCCCTCGCCCCGGCAAAGACAAACATTTACGGAGACTGCGGCGGCCTCCTCCCAACGCCCAAGCCCTGCCCCGCCAGCTTCGAGTGCATCGACGACCCGTTCCGCAAGGGTTGCGGACTGGCGTGCAACCAGCCCGGCATCTGCGTCGTACCCATCATGTGCGGCGGCATCGCGGCCATTGAGTGCCCCGCGGGCAAGTGGTGTGTCGATGACCCGAGGGACGACTGTCACCCGCTGCAGGGCGGTGCTGACTGCGCTGGACTTTGCATTTGAGGGATACCTCGGAGACTTGGAGAATGACATGTATGCATGGGGATAAGAGGCGGGATGCCTACCTAATACTTGGCGAGATGGTCGGCTTGTCACTTGAACAGGCGTTTGCTGGGAAAACTGCTTCACTTTTGCCGGAACATTTCCTTTGTACACTCTTCGGCTGCTGCGAGTTAATGGAATAAAATACTCACTATATCATTGACCAATGTCAGCCATCACCCGAGAAGTTTCATCAATGTAATTCTGTAGCTAGAAGGCTCGGTGACCTCGGTGAGTGTCGTGATGATTTTCGGCAGACCCTCGGTGAGTGGAAGTGGAGAAATGATACTACAGGCAAGGGCAACAGTCAATGGACGGCTGGCTTCCCTACAGGTTGCGAGCTAATATGAAAGCCGTGTTCTTCCCCAAGGTTCCTTGCCATTTTGTGTTGGCAGGGAGGTGCCAGCCAAACACCTGAAGTCTTGAACAGTCCCATTGACAAGCTTTCTATCCTTCACCAAATACCCTATCTATCTCGACCCATCTCCGTTAACCCATTTCACAGCCATGAATATCCCAGCCTGGCCCCTCGATTTCATCGCATCGCTCTTGAATCAACGAACTCAACCACTTTCTACAAGCATATCAATCTCAACATCCCAATTTCTTGCACCTCAGTTCAGCCTCACACAAAGATGTGCGAGCTACAAATAACCAGATACAAGTGCGGCCACACAGATAGCTTGAAAAAGTATTGCCCACATGCCTTCGACGCCTGCCGCTTCGGAATTGCAGCACGACTATGCGCAATTACCAGTATTACGAGATACAATAGCCCCGACTGCTGTTACGACCCCAAGTGCCTCTACTGCCTCTGGCAAAAGCGATGGGTCTGCCACAAGTGCAAGAGCCCTAATAAGAACACCCCGACGTGTGAGCTTACCGGATGTAATCATCCAGCCTGCACCAGCTGCGAACCTTGTGAGTTGTCTGAGAGATCACATCTTTTCGGGGAGTTGTAGAGCGAGACCAGAGCTAACAGTACAGATGAAAGTGGTTTCTACCTCACCGAATATAGCACAGAAGGAGACTCGGAAAGCTAAGCGAGACAAGCCAGCTGGGCCGCCAAAGTTCAATAGGAAGAAGTACGTCGTTCAGGCTGTCGCGGCATACAAGCGGCGGCAACGCAAACTTCCCAGGGTCCCAGTCTATGACCCCAAGGTTGGAGACTGGGTCTAAGTGCCGAAGAGCAAAGACGGGAGGTACCTCGAAATGGAATACGATACCAATACCACGAGAACTGTGGGTAGAGGTCTGGAACAGCCAAAAAAACGGCGGGAAGGAATCGATTAGACTAGGTCAGGTAGGAAGGCCATCCTGTCTAGCTGTATCTGGGGGTTCTCTCAAAGTCTATCGGTCATGGCTCTACTGTAGAATAAATACGAAAAAGAACATAAGAATCAAGCAGCGATTTTATTTGCCGCCTGAAAAGGACACAACAGCCCACTTGCCGCTCCAAGCCCACTTTCTCGAGCCAGAGTCACCGCCGCCGCCCTCGGTGGCGAGGAGCTTCTCGTCTTCGCCGGGCTGGAGACCGACAACGACATCGGCCTTGCAGGTGCGGAGCGCCAGGATGTTAAGGCCGGATCCAGGGCCAAGGTTCTTGAGGGCTTCCGTGAAAGGTGTTGCAGCATCCCAGTCAGCCTATGCATGTGTTAGTGTCATCGTCGCCATAGCAATGAATAGTAGAACCCACATCGCCGGTCAACTTGCGGTAGTTGAGATCGCCCTTGAATATGACAACCTCGCTGGCCTTGAGGTCCTCGTACAGGTCCTTTGCCTCCTCGGGCAACTGCCAGAAGGGGCCGGGGTGCGTCCAGTAGCGGTTGGGACGGAGGATGAGTTGTCCCTCGGCGTGGAACTGGCTCCACTCCTGGAATAAGAATGAGAGGCTCTCCGAGTCCGTGGCGGAGAGAGGCTCGGGGGTCTTGCCCTGAAGTTCCTCTTCTTCAGAGGGCGTCTCGTAGAAGCGCTTAGGGCTCGCGATGGCGCTAAGGAGTTGGGCAAAGTCGCCGGGGAGCACGTCGGACACGAACCACGGGATCGACTTGGGGTGTAGGACGACGTTGGTCGCCAATCCGGCAGACAGCAGATATCCGGCGAGAATAAGATCGACATAGAGCTCGAATCCGGCGTTGTCGAGCACAATGTCGACACGCCGCTCGGCCTTGCCCTCAGCCTTGGCCTTCTTCAGGAGCTCGTAGACGGCGGGGAGATCGTTGACGACAATGTTCTTCTCGGATGCCTTGCGGGCCTCGGAGCCCTGCAGCTTCTGGACATCTTCGTACGTCAAGCTCGTCAGGAGTGACAAGTCGGTTGCGTTGCCCCAGAGACAGATTTCGCACATCTCAGTGAAGAGTAGCTTCTCGGCCGCCTCGTCCTGGGCTGCGCCCTTGTTCTTTTGGAGCTGCTCGACAAGCTCCTTGTACTTTGACGCCAGCTCGAGCACGGCGGGACGCGAAGATCTGAAAGTGCTGATCTTCTGGCGGGCGAAGACGTCGTAGTTCTTCCAGTGGGTGGACCGGGCAAAGTGCGTGCTGATGCGTCTATTGTTGTTGCGTGTCAGCCTCACTCCCGATGTTTTTGGGCAGCCCGCATCCTGAACCATGTGTAGCTTACCTAAAAAGGTAACACTCTGTATACAACCATGGCACGTTCAGCCATGTCGCAGAGCCGAGCTTCTTGAGCTCCTCGTTGTAGATGCTGACGTCGGGGTATCCATCGTCTTCGATCGGCCTAGTCTGATCAGCAAGGCAAGGGTGGCACTGATGGAGTGTCGATTGGAGTCCTACGTCAATGCTCGGTCGTGCTGAACCTCGTATTTGATCTTGGCAATCTCCTCAATGATCTTCTTGCCCTCAGCTTCCTTCTCGGCGTCCTTGGTCTGGGCGACAGATCGGTAGAGGTCGTCGATGGCTTGGGTCTATGGTATAGCTGTTAGGAAAAGGCGCGTCGGCAAGAAACAAAGCACCCTAGGAAGCCCACGATAATGACGGGCCAACGCTCGCGAGCAGTGACCCAGCCGAATGAGGTCTTATCACCGGTCGAGTAGGGAGCTGTTGTTGGACAATAATTAGCGTAGTGCGAGGTTTGCAGCGCCCGCCAAAGGTCGAATTCTCGTACCGGGCATCTTGGATCTGAGAAGAGGGTGGGTATCTGAAGGGTCGAGTTGAGATTGATCCAAAGGGGCAAAGGAGAGCAGTCGGAGGAGAAGAAGAGCGAGATTATCAGATTATCTCAAGAAATAATTTGCGACGACGTGTCTCGGCTTGGTGCCAAACGTCAACAGCGCCAGGGACCGCACCTTCTGTGACAAATGGAAACAGCTCCCCTCCATGGTGGGGCAGAGGCTGCAAGCACGGACCACACGAGCGCGGGGCATATTTTCGATAGAGCAATAACCAGCGAAATGACGTAAGCCCCTGCTTTTTGGATAGATGGGATAGATGTATTCAACTATCAGTGCCAGTCGACTAAAGAGGGCCCTCTCCAGTCTGCTCTGCCATTTTCCCTTTGTCAACAACATCGCGGACCCTCCAACATGTTTGGTCCAAGTAGTTCTATGCCACTCCTGGGATGGCTAATCGAAGCAAACTTGCCGTCCAAACTCAATGACCCGGTCTGAAAATAGGCATGGCAGATGCCACGGTACGTGCCGCAGCTTGGTTCGTCCCTGTCAAGAATTGTCGCAGCCGTTTCAGCCACTGGTTCCAGACTCTTCAAGATGGATTCTCTGCGCGGCCTTGCGCAGGTTCAAACACTGTATACGTGGAATCACTCAATCACTCTGCAAAGCCCGTGACTGTTTCTACTGGGAAGATGTCAACTAATACATGAGTTTTCTGCGTGCTGCGTCTAGAGCCATGTCTTGGGTAATCACCAACCTGCGGGTATACCCGTCTACGAAGGTTACCTTGCATGCGCAAAATCCCGGGGAATATTGAAATCAACTGCCGTCAATGGATCCTGGAGGTCATTGAAATTCTTTCCGGTTCCGGGGGGCCTGACGTCTCAGGATCCTGGTTCGCCCACGTGTTGACTGCACCTCAAATGGCTGCTGATCCACCAAATTGATAGTCCCCTTAGTCGTTACTCTACACCTTGCCATTATTGGAGCTTTTGGCTGTTTCAGTCCAGCGTTCAATCTAAAAAGGACTACTTCGTCGAAAACTCATCGTCTTGGGCTTGCCTATCCAATTTCTGAACGGCCCTTGGTTAGTCGCGATCTTAGGAACTAAAAGGAGAACAGGTTGATTTGATCCCTCCATTGGACCATGAAAAGACATTTCCCCAGTATCACGAATACGGAGCCCACCACGGTGGCGCCCGCAAAATAAGCTTACGCAAAATCGACGGAGAGGACATTGAGTCGTCACTTTCTTTCGATACGATGATGCAGACATCATATATCGAGGAAATAGAAACTCGACCTCCTCAACCGGGTCCTGACGACATGAGGCCCACCCGGGCGAGAGCATTGCAGTAGCGAATCTGCCTGCAGATTGCTTGCGAAATTTTCTTTCTTTCATTAGAGGAACCGGCGTAAGCCAGCTAATCCCGCGAGCAATGAGGTCGAGCACACACGAACTAGGTGCCTTGGTGTGGGACTCTAAGTCAGGCATCAGCATGGCACCGGGATGGCACGATTCCTGGCTTTCAAGAGTCCGGGCTCAAAAGCCATAAAAACGAGTCTGGAGGCATCGAGGAGTGGGCAAGTTGGGTAATAGTGCGGTCCCGGCGTCGCTGCCAAGGGTGCGGCTCAATTTGACTTTTTCCCGGAGCTTCGAGGAATATCCCGGCACGAGGGACGTCTGCTCATCCAGGAACCCTCAAGTCAACGTAGCGACCATGCTAACGGTCTATCGAGTCTTGAACGACAATCAAAGTCTTGCTGTTATGACTTGCCCATCTGTCGTTCGACCGCTGGGGCTTCGACGGCCTCTTCTCGGTGCTATTGCTGACGAGATGGGGATTTTCCCCTCACAATCCTCTCGGTCGAGTTTGAGCCAGCGGGATCCCCAGAGAAGTTGAAATATTCCCCACGGGGAAAATACCTTCCATACATTGGTCACAAACACACTTGTATCTGCCGCCTGCGGTGGGGGTGGTAAAGATTTCTGCTTTGAACCCACGCCGCCAACTCGGCCAACCTCCGCTTCTGGCGTTAGCTCCGGGACTTTTTCCCGACGTTACACGCCTTGGGCCTTTTCTTTTTACGACTGTGAACCCGCTGCGGAGGTGGATCAAATCGTGTGATGTGCCAGACTTCTCGCTGTGGGGGTGGGCGGGGTATGGATTCTCATTGGCAAGGGATTAAGGAAGCGGAGGGCTCCGCTGCTTTTTTCGAAGCCACTGGAGGAGGCGGAGGATCTTTGAAGGGCTTGGAGATGGTCGGATTCGGACAGTTCTCGTCGAATGCCAACAGATGCCCAATCTGGAGAGATGATCATCGGGCGAGAACAAGCGTCAGCGAACCGCGTATCATAGCCGGTGTCCAGATCTGGTTACCATAAGCACCATGTTAGTAAGTACTTAGATCCAACCAAGCTGATCTGCCTTACTCCGGATTTCCATCGGTTGATAATCTCACAAAAAAGTCACACATCTGTAGCATGGTAGATGAGGCCGCACTGGATTCCAAAGAAACATACCGGAGATGAACCCGAAGTTCTGGCAATCTCATTGACACAACTGAAATACCAAGAGTCTATTGCAAGGGTCCCATCTCGTTCGAGTGTGCGGGACTGTCGAGCCAGAGTCACATCAAAACTTGACACATGCTGTCCCCATCTGGTAAACGTTTCCCCATCACCAAAGGACATCTCCCTGGTTAAACACTCCAAGGAAGGCAGTCCTTAGCGCCGGTACTCAAGGCAATAAGTACAGATGATGGCCCGGCCTGTCGTTCGAAAGACTCATCTTATATTCTCGGCTCCTGCTTCCCGCGATCGCTACCGAGTCCCTCTCGGAGTGAGTCCAATCCTTTCTTGTCAATCTTAGGCCAGAAACCATTTCGGCTACCACCATGGCCGTTCAAGCGGCGACCGCCGCCGAGGCGCGCACTCAGCTTGCCTATCAGAATCGATGGAAGTCACTGGCAAACAACCCTAAGATTCTCGTCATTGCTCTCTTCGCATCTTTTGGAGGTTTCGAGTATGGGTACCAGCAAGGTTTGCCTGCCGCTCCCCGGCATCGGCAATGGCTGTTTCGTCGCTAACCTCACGGCCTCCCCTAGGCGTTCTCGGACAATCCCTCGTAATGACGCGATTCAAGGACAATTTCCCTTCAATTGTCGATTCTTCCAGCGCGACTGGTTGGTTGACATCCATTCTCCAGCTTGGAGGTATCCTGGGTTCCGTCAGCGCTGGTGTCTTTGGCGAGGTCTTCTCCCGCAAATACACCATGTTCTCTGCCTGTCTCTGGGTCGTGCTGGGAAGTTACCTCTACACCGGCGCAAGCTACCACAAGCCCCAGCTTCTCTACGCTGGCAGATTCTTCACCGGCCTTGGTGTCGGGACGTTTAGCGGTGTTGGGTACGTCTATCGTCCATCATGATTACTCTGCTCAAGAGAACATGCTGAACCTTTCGCAAGTCCTCTCTACAACGCCGAGCTCGCCGCCCCTGAAATGCGTGGCTTCATCGTCTCCTTCTACCAGTTCGCCACCATCCTGGGAATCATGCTGTCATTCTGGATCGGATATGGCAGCAACTATATTGGCGGCATCGGCGACGGCCAGTCCGACCTCGCCTGGAGACTCCCCTCTTACATCCAAGGCGTGCCCGCGGCCCTCCTCGCCCTCGGTATCTGGTGGCTGCCCTTCTCCCCCCGCTGGCTCGTCAAGCAAGGCCGCGACGAGGAGGCCGTCAAGACCATCGCCTACCTTCGCAAGCTTCCCGAGGATAGCGAGCTCGTCCAGGTTGAATTTAAGGAAATCAAGGCTGAGGCTCTTTTCGAGCAGCGCTCTTTCCAAAAGGCCTTCCCCCAACTGGCTGAAAAGGAGAAGACGAGCGTCTGGATGCGCGAGGTTGCTCAGTACTGGCGCATTCTCCGCTCCTGGAATCACTTCAAGCGCGTCGCGTACGCCTGGTTGATCATGTTCTGGCAACAGTAAGTCTACAAAGAAGTTTTCGACCCCCGCAACTGGCTGACTGTGATACCCTTTAGGTGGTCTGGCATCGACGCAATCATCTACTACGCCAGCAATGTCTTCCAGAGCCTCGGCCTCACCGGCGGCACGACTGCTTTGTTAGCTACCGGTGTTACTGGCGTCGTCTTCTTCATCAGCACCCTTCCAGCCATGGCATTCATCGACAAGGTTGGCAGAAAGCCCATCTTGATCGTTGGTTCTATGGTCATGTTGATCTCCATGGTCATCCCTGGTATCATTGTCGCCAAGTTCAGCCACGACTGGACCGGCCACCCCGTTGAGGGATGGGTCGCCGTCGCGTTCATCTGGATTTATAGTACGTCAAGATTCTCTGTCCCACGTTTAGATCGCCTTAAACCTTGGTATGCTAACTTCAACATTTAAGTCGCCGGATTTGGAGCATCGTGGGGCCCAGTGTCATGGACTCTGGTGTCTGAGATCTTTCCACTCTCCATCCGTGCCAAGGGCGCTTCCATCGGCGCATCTAGCAACTGGGTATGCCCCCCAAAGTTTTCCAGCCATTCGCCGCAGCATGAGACTAATACGGGATTTTTTAGCTTAACAATTTCGCCGTCGCATTCTATGTCCCCTCCATGCTTGAGAGCTGGAAGTGGGGAACCTATATCTTCTTCGCCGTTTTCCTCGGCGCCAGCATCTTGTGGGTGCACTTCAGCCTGCCGGAGACCAAGGGCGCGACCCTCGAGGAGATGGACCGTGTCTTTGGTAGCAACGCGGGTGCTGAGGACAGCATTCTGCTCGGACAGGCCAGGAGGGATGTCGGTTTGACCGAGGACTTGGAGGAGAGCGCTATCCATGCTGAGAAGAAGGGTATCAGCGAGTCTCATCACGAGTCTACTTGGTGAACCCATGACATAGATTTGTGCTTGTTTGTGAAAGTAGTTTGATACGTGCGCCCCTCGGAGACCACATTTAATGTGATTAAATATCTGCAATGAACCAAAAGTCCTGGAAGAGTCGAATACACATAACTCTAACGCTTTAGAAATATGTCCACTCGTCATTTGATCTTCTCTCACGAAAGCCTAACTACCTTTCTTGTCTGTAATCGAAATCGAAAACAAGTCATTTTTCAAGGCAATGGGCAAGGCAACGATCGAGGGCATCATCAGACATGGTACGATGGACTCTTGAGGAAATCAGTACGATTCCGAAGCTGATTTTTGATCCAATTGCTTTCCACTCATTACATGTCGTTCACGTGTAGTCTACTAGTCTGTCTCTCTTCCCGCCATAAGCACATTAAGCCACGCCACACCAATCTACAACTTTGGCGGAATGTGAATTCCCAAACTCTTCGCAATAATATCCGCCGCCTTCTCACCCACCACTAACGCCGTGTTATTTGTGTTGGCACCCACGTTCTCAGGCACAATACTCAAATCAACAACCTTGAGGCCCTCAACACCATACACGCTCAACGACGAATCCACGACACCCCCGTCGTCCCGTGGCGCCATCTTGGCCGTTCCGAGCGAATGCCACGTCGTGTTAATGTTCTCCCTCAAAAATTGCTCAATCGCCTTGTCATCCTCTTTTGAGTACTCAATCGGCTGCACGCTCTTGTACGCATCCGCAGAGACAGACTCCACCAGCGCCGCCTTGGAATCCGCGGCAAAGGCCGGGTGCCCGCCGGCGACTTCGCCGCGGTAGAGGGCTGTGCGGCGGGCGACGTCGCGCGAGTGCTTGTAGGCCCAGATCTGCTTCTTGAGGTCCAAGTCGTCGGGGTCGCTGAAGAAGCCGGTTTCGAAGTCGGGGGGGTCCGTCAGGGAGGGGCCGGTGATATGAATGCTCCCGCGCGAGTAAGGATATGCCGTGTAGTTTGCGACTGTGGTGTATTGGCCTTGAGGAATGGCGGCGTGATCGCCCAGATACCTGTACATGTCAGTTCCGTTTTTCTTTGGAGAAGATAGTAAGGGACGCATACCCGTGAAGGAAACCAGTCAGCATGACAGGTCTGTTGGGATCGTTCTTGAAGTCCTTCTCCCACGCCTTTTCGAACTCGGGGCCCAGCTTTTTCACTTCTTCCTCTGTGGGGCGGATCTTACCGACAACGTCGACTCCGTTCCAGCCAAGCATCTTGTCTTTCTTTGCAATCGCGTCCTCGCGGCTTATGCGTCCGCTAAAGATGTTATCGAGAGTCTCCTCCGGCTTCAATGCCGTCTTATAGGGCATCAGAACGAGGTTGTGATCTTGATAATTGCTTCCCACACCAGCAAGGTCCGCGACGACGGGAACGCCAACCTTGTCTAGGACCACCTTGCTGCCTACACCGGAGCGCTCGAGAACGCCAGGCGTTCCGCAGGCGCCGCATGATACGACAACCATCTTCTTGGCTTTGACGCTCCGGACAGGCTGCTGCGTGGTGCTCAAGATGGCCTGGTAGTCTGAGTTGGGAGTGTATTCGACCCCAACAGCACGCTTGTGCTCGTCAAACAAGACGCGGATGACCTTTGATTCCACCAACACGTGGAGGTTCGGATGGTTTCCATCTTCGAGCAGCGGGTGCAGAAAGGTGTGTGCGGCATCCTGTCGTCTCCCATCAGGCGAAACGTATCTCATCCACCTTTCATAGCCGTTGTTGGCCTCTAGGTTCTGCAAGTCCCGGATCTCAGGGTAGCCCGTCTGCTTCGCGGCGGCCAGAATGTCATCCTCTGCACTCTCAACGCGGAAGCCCCCAGAAGATACGTGGACCGGGCCAGAGGACCCGTGATGAGACGGGTCTCCGTTGCCATGGTACGTCTCGAAGCGCTTCAGGTAGGGCCAGAGGTCTGCCGAGGACCAGCCGGGCGTGGCCCATGAATCAAAGTCCGATTTCTGGGCACGGGTGTAGCTGTGTATGGCATTGACTCGTTAGCTTGATCTGAGGAGAGGAAGTCGATCGTCGTGAGAGAGTCAGAAGAGCTCATGTGGCCTAGGCTTGCATGGAGCTACCCCAACTTTTTCGTCCCGGTGCTAATTGCCGGCCCCGCATCCGTGGCACGGGATGACACGGTCCAGGCAGGATAGATCGTGCGGGAGCGGGTGTGGGGAGATAAGGGGGCGAAGCTGGGGAAGTCTCATCGGATGCCGGGTTGAGGCTACGAACTTGAGGGGCCAGAGACCCGAAAGGGTTGAGAGGAAGGTAGGAAAGACAGAGACTTGGTAACGCACAGCATAAAGTTGATCGAGGAACCGCCACCGAGGATTCCTCCAGTCGGTACAATGGGACTACGGCCTGCCAGTTTGTCGGAAACATTGCCCTGGTAGAAAATTGCAGTCTTGCTTGTCGGGGCGAGGTGGTCGAGGAAGAAGGCCGGATGGACAACACTGGGGACGTCGCGATTGTTGGTGCCGCCTTCAATCACGAGGATTGAAAGTTGCGGGTCGACGGCTGCGAGACGGCCTGCAAGGACGCAAGCAGCTGTTCCGCCTGATATTGAAAAGTCAGCACGGTGTTGAAGGTGATGGAGGAATAGGCGGCGTCAAATATACCTCCAGCAATGATCAGGTCCACCTCTGTGATATCATCGGCCAGCTTGCTGTAAAGACCCATGGCTGCGGTACTGCGTAGAGTCAAAGCGAACTCAACTGCAATGACCTAAAGAATAAGATTACGCGCGTGGAGGTTGAAAGTTGAAAAGATTCGGGATGAAGCGGCCAGTACAACGAGCAGCCCGCGGACCACGATGGGTACTTTATATATCCTTCTCCGCTCGCCACATCTCAGGTTCGGGGAGTCCACGGGGCTGTTATGCACATTCGGGCGGAATGCAAGCAAGGTAACTTCTTCCGAGCTTCCTCATGCGCTGATCTCTTGAGAGAGAGAAGGCCCCGGAAGCTTGAGCTGCTTTCAAGAAGCTCGAAGGGGCCACATGGCCGGCCGCACAGATTGCCGCGAACACGTTGCAGGGTGCGGACAAGCAGAGAGCCTAACCCGGTCCGATATGACGAGAGCCCTAAAGAGCAGCTAGCTATCGGGTGCGGGGATGGCAACAATTGACATGCAGATTCATTGTGAGCACACACAAAGTGACAGAATACTCTGTACGGGTGTTGGTATCGATGCTATGTTGCACTGAGCAGGACAAGCTTAGGGCGAAACTAGTACGGGCTGACGGGGAAGCCTGTCTAGGATGTGGGCGCGTAGCCCGGCCAGCCAATCGAGGTCATTGGGTTTACCAACTGGGCTAGATGCAGTTCTTGGGTTCCCCAACATTTCAAGACTAAGTGGGCTGCTCGAGTTCGCTTCATGTTTTCCTAGCGCAGCTGGCAGCTTTGAGGTCAGGGCCCGCTGGCTGTGTGCTCCAGTGCCTTTCAGTCAGGCAAGTTCGGACTCTGGCGCGAATTCTCGAATTCTACACGAGCCAGAGGTACACTTTACGAGAGGTTTCTGACTCCTCGGAGAGTTGAGCGTTGCGAGGGATACATCCAGGATGTGTCAGGATGGGGCAGCTGATGGGCGATCATGGGGGGAAAAGAGGGACAAAGGATGCGGGGAAGGATCACTAAGAATAGTCTGGGCAGGGACATAGTGAGCACGATCCCGAGTTCCCGCGCTGGGGATGTATCATGTAGCCAGTCACAGACAGGAGAGACATCGAGTGCCTTGAGAAGACGCAGAGAGTTGTGGAGCACAGAGTATCACTGATCCGCGGCGACGTCGTACTCGTGGGCTGGGCAGGGATGTTGCTGACTGATTTCGTGCCGCGGCCCAATGCCGAAAAGGGGGAATATCCGGGTGATGCATCTAGAGCCATCATTGATGTCTCTCTGTTTTCTTGCCCATCACAACTGCTGGCTCTCGGTGAGTGACAGCAAAGTTTGATACGGGACTTTGGTATTAATATGTCCTTATCGACTACTAGGTACTCAAGCAGGGCAACTGAGCCCGCTCGCCTTGAATACAAGGATGTGCTGGCCTGCATTGGCGATGGAACATGCTGCAACTTCACCCCACAGGTGAGCGATTGCAACATTCCCGGTGAAGGTGAAAAATGATATGGCTTCGGAATACTGCCAAGAAGCTAGTTACAGTCGCAAGAAATCATTCCAGTAATCCCAGTCCAAGTTTGCTGAATCAGTGAGTGCGAGCGGGTCGAGAGTATGAAGGTCTGACGCCGGCACCTGTGGAGCTGGCGCGGCTTTCTGTTGTCTCTGGTCCCGAAGCAACTGAATATACCGCGGCGAACTATACCGCGGCGAACTATCGCCATCAAGACTTCCCTGGACGTTGACAGACTCCCTCCTCCTAGCTTCCCAAGCTTCCAAAGTCAGATCGCCCAACGCGACGAAGAAGGAACTTTGCGTATTCTCGATGAGTTCTGGGTGATCTTCGTAAAGACTCCCGACGAGCTTCCAGGCCAAATTCACCCGCTCCCCAGAGACCCTTTTGCGGAGATCACTGATGATGTAGATGTACACATCTACGGTGAACTTGGTTGTCATATGGGCAATAAAGTACGAGGAGAACTTGCTGCCAATAGCAATCTCCATCATTTCCAACCAAGTCACGCTGCAATCAAAAACTTGGTTCCCTTCCTCGCGCGTCATGAGCACCTCTCCATTGCTGTTGGCCCTCCCTCGCGGGCTGTGAACTTTGCACCGGAAACGAGCCAACGTGAGCTTCGTCATGGTGTATACGAGCGCATGAAGAGGAATATTCCTGTCCAGGTGACGAATGAATTTTTCATGGTAAATGGCCTCGATCTCGTCAATAGCGTCGTCTTCCCGCTTCGAAGGTGGTTTGTCCTTGCCAGGACCGTGAATGATAACGTCATAGACCGTGACAGCCGTGGCGGAGGATCTGATGATGTTATAGGTTTCAAACTTCATCAACACGTATAGCATCTCTGTTGGACCGGATTGCTCCGCTGGCAACTCGGTCATTTCCGGATGCAAATCCGCGTCGTTGACGTTGAGCGGGAGGCGAATGTCGCCAAATTCAATCTCGGACGGCAGAAGTCGCATGCCCGCAACTTTGACGACCCTGACTCTACAGTCTAACCCAGTCAACTGCCACCATAGACGTATGCGCATTTCGGTCTCAAACACCGATATCTTTGGGTCTGGCTTTGGTCGGTTCAGACCCATCTTCTGGCCGATCCTGATGGCGGCACCTGTCAGAGTGGATGTCAACTCCGAGTCTGGATCAGAGAAGAGAAAGAGCGCAAGGGCTTGCAAGACGTCAAAGTCTCGCGTCATGAGAAAGTCAGCCTCTATAAGAGCACGTAGGGCGGCGGTTCGATAGCGCAACATCAGCGTGCTTCTGGCCTCGCCAAAGGTAGCCTGGCAGTCATCAATGCTTGTTGAAGTGACAGCCAGACTATAGATGGCAAAGAGGGTGGCGGTGAGAGGTTTCGATGCGCCAGCCGGATTCCAACTTGCGTCCAGGACTTGTTGCTGCAGAGTCGGCACGTGTACGATCTTCAACAATGGGTTGACGGACTCGACAAAGATTTGCCAGAACCGGTAAATATGTCTCGGATCTGGATGCAGCTGGGACAGTTCGGGCTGAACACCCGTCATTAAGACATGAAGTGATGGCGTGGGGACGTGAAGGGGGTCTTCTCTGCGGGCCAGAAACTGGGTGGGCGGGTACATGAGCTGGTGAGAGAAGTCAGACACAAGTACATATAGTTTCCGCGACAGCACCGGGCTCTTACCTCTGTTGGGAGAGTCGACCAAAGACAGCTAAAGTTAGTTAGCAAACGGTACCATATGTCGCCCTGCGTCATGACTCCTAAACTTACCGTTCCGTCGCCATGGGAATGTCCTTCAGCACCTGAGACGTTGAGCCTTGATGGTTCAGCGAGGAACCTGCAGAGGTAGTTGTTCGTGAGTCATCTTGCTTGATCTGTCCTTGAGGACCAGACGTAATCCAGCCATGAGAATACGGCACAAAGTCGACTTTGTGCTTCCGCATCAGGTCCTCGTAGGAGGCTAAGCGGGCAAGTAGCTCCTCATCAGCAGCTCTCTTGCGAGGTCGCGGCGGCGCGGGTCCCTCATATTGGCATTGGGCATGTGCTTTTGTACAGTTTGAACAGGGTTCGGATTTGTCGCATTTGATCTTTCTTCTTGCGCAGAGCGAGCAGGCTTGCTTATGCTGCCCTTGGAGAGCAGTTGATTGCGGGGTGGTCATGGGCAAACTTTGAGAGATGGAAGGTGAGTTCTTCATGTCGAGACAATTATCCATGCACGTAGGAGTGATCTGATTTGATAATGCATTCGGAGTCTATCCGGACATTTGAGAATTGTCCGATATGAAAGAACAGTGGCATGTGGTACAGGTTCCGCTTCGGGATGACGCGAAGGAAGATCCCGGGCGTCTCGGGTCTTGAAAAGGCCTAGCGTATCTTGACAGTCTCCCGTCTGATCAGTTCCTCTCTTCCAACAATGAGACGCTCAGACAACTCTAACCCGTTTTGGATTTTTCGGGCCCGAGATGCTTGGACTGATGATTGTGCTTCACCCATGATGCGGTAGCAATTGCCCTGCAACGGCTCAATTTTTGCCTTTTGCCGACGACGGACTTTTCAAAACCCAATTGATTGATACAAATTGCATTCCATGTATATGTATAAAGGAAACTGCGTCCCGGTGTTGTCCAGGCTATTCGTGTCTTAATCTCAACCTCAGCTTCTCTCACCAACACACTGGTTCCAACTTATTCACATCCAACACAATAACCTCTCTACTCCCATGACCTATTTTGTCAATATTTCAACTTCCACATCCAGATTCACATAATTGTCGAACTCACTATCAAGATGGCGACTCACAAAAGTACACACACCCAGCCAATCACTGACCAGGAGGACGATTCGAAGGCGTCGACCGTTGCCGAGCTATCACTTGACGGCGGCGATGCCATGGCCGAGAAACAGATTTCAGATAAGCCCGAGGATGCAAGAAATTCCACAGACGACACCGAGTGTCCAACTGGGTTGAAGCTCGCTTGTGTCATGACGTCTGCCTTTCTTTGCATGTTTTTGACTTCACTGGTGAGTCGTCGACTATCCCCAATTTCGTCTTCACCACCAAGACCTAGAGACTGAAACTTTGCCAGGACCGCATGATTATCACGACAGCCATTCCGAAGATTACCGACGAGTTCCATTCCGTTAACAACATAGGCTGGTACGGATCGGCGTACCTCCTAACCCAGTGTGCCTCACAACTCTTGTTCGGCAAACTCTACACCTTCTTCAGCGTCAAAGGCACATTCCTGACTTCTCTCTTCCTCTTCGAAGTCGGTTCCACACTCTGTGGCGCCGCCCCGAACTCGGTCTCTTTTATCATCGGGAGAGCCATTGCTGGACTGGGCGCAGCCGGCATCCTCAGCGGTGTGGTATGTTTTAAGCCTGTCATCGTGGGGCCCAATCCACTAACAAGCAGTTCTTCAGGTCGTCATCATCGTGCACGCCGTGCCGCTCCGCAAACGTCCCACGTACCAGGGATTCTTCGGCGCCATTTTTGGCATCTCTTCTGTCGTCGGACCCTTACTGGGAGGCGTATTCACCTCAAAGGTCACCTGGAGATGGTGTTTCTACATCAACCTCCCCTTGGGAGGCGTGGCAGGCGTCTTAATCTTCTTCATTCTCACCATTCCCGATAGGCAGACAACGAAGCTTGACTTGAGGTCTAAGCTGGCACAGCTAGACTTCTTTGGAACCTCGCTGCTGGTTCCTGGATCAGTGTCCCTGATTCTGGCAATGCAATGGGGCGGCTCAACGTACTCTGTGAGTGTGCATCTCCGTACATCAACTTGACTACAATTCTGATCGTGACTTTCAGTGGAACAACTGGAGAATCATTCTTTTGTTGGTGCTAGCAGGCATTCTGCTCGCGGGATTCGCTCTGGTCCAGGTCTTTCTACCCAAGACGGCTACGCTTCCGGGGAGAATCTTCATGCAGCGCAGCATCCTCGCTGCTGTCTATACCACCATCTGCAATGGATCGCAGTTAATGATTTTCTGTAAGTTACACCAGACAGCATCATACCCGTATACGAAGTCTACTAACGCGTTTCAGCGTACTATCTCCCAATCTGGTTCCAAGCCATCAAGGGTGTTTCGGCGGTAGAATCAGGAATTCGTCTTTTGCCTCTTATGCTTTCAATGGTAATATCCACGCTGACAACAGGCGCCCTTGTTCGTCGAATTGGCTATTACACGCCATTCTTGATCGGGGGCGTTTGTTTGATGTCTATTGGCGCCGGCCTGCTCTACACATTCGAGGTCGACACTGGCAGCGCCAAATGGATCGGCTATCAGGTCATCTACGGCTTCGGCTTGGGTGGTTCTACTCAAGCGCCCAGTCTTGCGGCCCAGACCGTGTTGCCGAAGAAAGACGTGCCCATTGGGATCTCTTTGACGTTATTTGGCCAGCTAATTGGAGGCGCCATCTTCCTGTCAGTTGCTCAGAACATCTTCACCAACCAGCTGCTCCAGCGACTGTCATCCGTTCCCGGGCTTGACGCACAGAAAATTATGGACAGCGGCGTTACCTCGCTGACAAATCTTCCCGACTCTGTCAAAGCCACCGTCTTATTTGCATATAATGAGGCGATCAGGCAGGTCTTCCTGGTGGGTTTGGTCCTCGCGTGTGTCGCGATCTTTGGTGCTTTGGCTTTGGAGTGGAGGTCCGTCAGGCAGCCTGAAAATAACCAGGTTGATAATAAGGCGTGATTGTATTCCATAATCGATAAAATGGCTTTTGTGTCTGAAAGATAGAAAGTAGAATGTACTATACAATTCATTGGCATGTTTTCTACCCATGTGCGCCACGGGGGTGAGCTTGCCATTCGAGAAGACTGATGCTTTGACCATGTTGACTTGCACTCCCAGCTGGTCAGATAATGCTGCCAACTGGACGGGGAAAAGCACTGGGAATGCAATCCATTGAAAGAAGCTGCGACCAACTATGTTGGTCAATATAGGTACGTAAACGGCAGCTTATTGAAAGGTTTGAGAGATGGAGCATTGGGTATCGTAACGATGGCTAATTTTTGATTAAACCTGCTCAGAGGCTTCCATATACAACCGCACATGACAAGAAGTATCGTGCAATTCCTCGCCGTGTGATAGGAAGCGGGAATGATTGGGCACATTCCGCTCTAGCCTTCCCCGTTCGGGACTACCGACCGATATCCGAAGCTGATACTCCGGAGTCCCGGTGAACCATGTGGGGCACCGATCCGGCCTCCTTGCCGGAGTCATGGAGTAAAAAGCCCGAAATGCTGGTTGAAGGTGTGTTACTCCGATCAGCCAATGCCTAGCTGTGAGTGGCGTGGCCAGAGGAACAGCGGGATGCCGAGGACGATTGCTTCGGTGGCGCGAGAGTGCTTACTACTGCGCGCCTTCAAAACCCCTGACTTCCTGTGGAGATGAGCATCCCTTTGGTTAAGATAGTCAGTAGAACAAGGAGTTCCAACTACTTCCCGAGGGTAACATGGAGAAACCAAAATTCCATGCCACAGTCTTGAATCCGTCAGAGGGGAGCATGTTTGGCAACACCATCACCATACGCGATCTGCAAGTCGAGGCCGCGGAGTACTGGTCTCTAGTCTCTCCTTGATAGGGCCACACAGACTGCGAGGCAGACCGGTTCCAGTGCATAGTCTTATTTAGTAAGCTGTTTCTAACTGCCTCCCAACTGATCTTGGAGCCGTTGAGTCTTGTGTGCGATGAAATATTCGCGGGATTATATGTAACCGAACTCGAATCTACCCACATCAGGAGTTCCTACTCCGCGCGTCCAAATCTCGAACCCAACGTTCTCACAAGATATTTCTCCATGGCCCCAAATGCTACTGGGCCCGGTCTGGGGCGGATTTTGATCAAGAAGACGAATGGGAAGTCTCTTGAAGAGATGAACACACGTCAGTTTACTGCAAAAACATCCCCGAGCGACGTCAAGCCGAAGGCCAATGTTGGGCTTTCCAACTTTTCCTTGAAAGTTCATTAGCAATGATACCGACAAATCTGTCGAAAAGCAAAGCACAGCGAAGAGAGGGGGCCTATTCAGGTTCTCCGAGACAGGGGGGAGAAACTCCCATAAGGATGAGCGTGATATTCGGTGTCAACGAATAGCCACAACGTCATCGCCACCAACCACCATGCTTTCTTGGACAGACAGTAGAATAAATGATACAAATAGCATGTTCTAACGCTTCGCTGTCTCAGACATGTAGAGAATCTAACGCATTTGCATTGCCGCAATGTTTGCTGTTGCACCCACTTTCTCTATGATCGACAGAAAGCCCCTGTTTACCCCGCTGTCCAACAATCCCATGAAACACCAAAAACTCATGTATGGCATGTCCAAAGCACCATATAGTCTCACTACCACTTCACGCGTTCTGCTGAATATGCGGGCTTTGGGTCTTGTTCATCCCACTCTGTCGTCATAGTCACTCCCAGCGGGCTCCTTGATCGTCCGTACGGGGGATAGGGCAACGAAGTGCGCTTTCGATGGCGCGACCGACTCCTATTCAAGGGCTCTCGGAGCATCTTGCGTAGGTTCGTTCGATTGCACTCGTGCGCATCTACCCACTCGCAGAAATCCTTCAAGATGTTGCAGTGGTCCCAGATACTCTCTAAGAATTCGAGTGTGATTCTTGCAGGCTTTTTCTCGGTACTAGGGGACAAGACTTGTTGTTCAACGTCCTTGGGTCGAGGCATAGCAGATTGGGATGAGCCCTCCAATTGTGCCATATCGAGAGATCCCACGTCTTCTCCATATTCGGTACCTTCGATCCTCTCGACGTTCTCAACATGCTCGATATGAATCCCCGGGGGGAATCGCTTTGCGGACAGTTCATTATCTGTTGCTAGCGGTGCGCCGATGGTTGCGATATTGACTCCGGGCTCAGGTGGATTTACTGATGTCGACATCTCTGGAGTTTGTGCGCTCTCTAGCCTGCCAGATTGAGTATCTGGCTCGCGCTGCACTTCTGCCATGTCAATAGTGCGCTGTTCGATATCCTCAGAATCAGCCATAGACACATCGGAATCACTGGCTTCTGTGCGTGATGTGTTGCGGTAGACGTGATCGGGTTCGATGTTTGATGCTGTGAGGAGCCATAGAAGACTATTGATATCTGAACGACGGTCTGCCGGGTCATTCTCGTCGGGCAACCTGTCGACACGAGGTGGTCGATCTGCGGATCCTTGGCCATCGCTGCTTTTCATTTCCGTGTCGGAATCTGTTAATGAAGACTCATACCCTTCCCAGGTGTCTTCTAGGGCACCCTCCTCCAAATCCCAGTCAAGATCGTATGATATGGCCACGTTGGAAGCGGCAAACTTGGTCACTACTTCAAGACTGGCTAATTGTGACGCCCGTGCCACTGACCTTTCGAACATTTCGATCTGTCTCCTGGCATCGTTGACCCGCATCTTACGCAGTGTCGGCGAGAACATGGCTTCTTGGAGTAAAGGCTGTATGCGATGCTGCCTTAAATATAGATGTTTCCTGCGTCCGTCGGCGTGCGGGAGGCTTGGGAGTTGGATCGAGGGTTGAAGACGTGGGGTGTACTGGGCATGGTGTCGAATGTTGCATTCCGTCGTTGAGAGACTACTGGGAAGTCCACTGGTGGTTTCCGAGCATGGGACAATAGCTTTTTCAAGGCAGTGGCGCGAGTATGTCTTTCCTCCAGAATGTTTGGTTGTGATGCTTCTTGCCTGGTGTTTGTTACATGACACCTTCCGCTGAAGCAAACTCTGCAAAGGTCAAGAGCCCTGGTGACTGCCACAATCAGAATTCCTCTTGCCGCACAATTGTCCCAGGAAGTCAGTGAATATAAAACTCATAATGAGTTATACCCCAAGTCCTTTTTACCTCATTAAGTACTGTATACCTCACTTGGCTCATCGTAGTGAATCACATTTTGAACCTTCATCCGAGGGTAAGTAACAGAGAAGGTGTACCAAGTCATTTGGAAGTCATCGGTGACTATTTGGAGAGTTTTTTTTATCCCTTTTCTGCTCTGCTCTGCTACTCAAGTGAATGAATCTAGTCCAGCTGCTGCACACACTCATTTATAATTTTGGTTGTATTGGGATGAGACTCATGAGCAACTACCTTACCCAGATGATTGGTTTAGACAGTTCTCAAAAGGAGTCTCTTATTTGAACAGCTCACATTCATTCGCCTTCTCATGACTTTCATATGAGAACCTTGTATCCCATAATACCAAGTTTGGCGACCAGCCTGTGAGATTATTTCTTTGTGCAATGCCTTGTGAGATGTGACTCCTTTAACTCATGCCAAGTGGTGTTAAGTAGCTGCTTCTTGTGAGTTCTTTAGACATTGCCACACAAGAATTCCCAAGTTCGTTTGCCTCCTTTCTCCCTAGGAATCATGAGATGCTCCCGCTTCACATCTTCATACCATTAGAAGAGGACAGTAAAGACACCTTCATCCCTCGCACTCGCCATTCTCAGCTACGCTCATAAACAACACTCTGTTCAGTTTTGTGCATGTGGCAGGCCCAAGTAGTATGCATGTCACCAACAACCCACGGATGCCCTTGAAGCCCACAGGACGGGATTGATATTCCATGAGGCTCCGAGCCCTGCCGGACTAGTCCCTCTCGATACCCTCACCCCGCTGTGATGAAATCAAAAATAATTCTTCATGAAGGTCTTTCCATTGTTGCCCTTACCTCCTTCCAACCTTGGATTCTTCCGTCGAGGTCTCCTCCTTGAAATTTCCCAGCCAAAAGCCACCTATCACCACACTTTTGTTTTGCCCTCGAAAGCTTCGCAAAATTCGCGGCACTCGCCAGCATCGTTCTTCAATTAGTTTCTATCTATTCGAAGGCCAAAGAGAAGACAACGATAAGATGGATTATCGCTTGGCCAAGCATCGCGAGCGCGTCACTCTCGTCGCCGGAAAGGTCAAGAAGCTCGCTCGCGATGGCGTCAAGTACCGCATCTACCACAAGACTACCAACAGCACTCGTATCAGCACTCGTGATGCGAATGCCATCATCGATATCAGTGGCCTGAATAACATCATCACTATCAACGAGCATCGACGCTGCGCGCTTGTTGAACCCAACGTGTCGATGGACGCTCTCGTCACTGCCACCCTCAAGCATGGCCTCATTCCTGCAGTCGTCCCAGAGTTCCCCGGCATCACCGTGGGCGGCGCTGTTTCTGGCACTGCACTTGAGAGTTCCTCATTCCGCTACGGCCACTTTGACAAGGCCGTCGCTTCAGTTGAGGTCATCCTTGGAAACGGCGCCATTGTCGTCGCCTCGCCTGTGCAGAACCCGGACCTTTTCGATGGCCTCGCTGGCGCTTGTGGCACTCTCGGAACTTGCACCCTCATCGAGATCAAGCTCATCGAGGCTCGCAAATTCGTCGAGCTGAAATTCCTCCCAGTTTCCTCTGCGGCCGAAGCCCTCAACACCCTCAAGAGATACACCGACGGCGTGGCCTTCATTGACTTCATCGACGCCATCATGTTCGGTCCCAATCACGGCGCCGTCATCATCGGCACTATGACCGATGAGAAGAAGCCAGGTGTGCCCATCGTCCGCTTCACCCGTGCTCATGATCCTTGGTTCTACCTCCATAGCCATGCTTCTATCCCCCACGCCAGACACACTGACTGCGAGACGTGTATCTACTCCGAGTCTCGCCCCTCCTCCATGAGCAGCATCGTCACCAACCTCGTGCCGATCAAAGATTATCTCTTCCGATACGACAGAGCGGCTTTCTGGATGGGAACCTACGGTCGCAACCCGAAGACTTTCAACAGAATCACCCAGTTCCTGATCAACCCTCTCATGAAGTCTAAGGCTCTCTATGCCGGTCTTCACCACAGTGGCCAGGCGCAGTCCTTCATCATCCAGGACATCACGCTTCCCGAGAATAGAGCTGGAGCCTTTCTCGCCTGGGCTCACGAGAACATCCGCATCTACCCTCTCTGGATATGTCCCGTTAGAGCTATCACTGATGACACTCGCCGCAGCAATGGTCACCGATTCCGTGCTACCGAGATCCTCATCAACGTCGGCCTCTGGGGTGTGAAGGCCATCGACTGGCCCGGCATCAAGAACATTGACGGCCCCGAGGCCTTTGAGAAATTCGTGCGCGACAACAGAGAGATCGAGAAGGCGACCCGCGACCTCGGCGGCGTCAAGATGCTGTACGCTCACAACTACTACACCGAGGAGCAGTTCTGGTCCATGTACGACAAGGAGGCTTATGACGAGCTGCGCAACAAATGGAGTGCCGGCGGTCTTCCCAGCCTCTGGGACAAGCTCGGCAATCCGCAGCCGACCTACATGGAGAAGAGTACATTCTTCAAGTGTGTCTTCAAGACCATCATGAAGCGCGACTACGTGCTCAAGAAGGGACACTGAAGCAAGCAGGACGAAGCAGGGGAATTGAAGCTAGGGAAATAAGGCAGAGTTCGATGAAAAGCTTGTGTGAATATGGGACGAGGCATTATTTTTACAAGGGAATTGTTTGATGTGAGGACGGTTGCGAGACGTAATGGCAAAGGACGAGAAGTTATCAAAGGGCAAACGTGTGTTTGGCGAGCAATAAGTTCGCGGCTTGGGGCACACACACAGAGAGAGAGACAGAGAGAACATTATCAGATTGGCAGTCGATAGGAACGAATCCGCACAGAACACGTCAAATTTCTTCTCTCCCGTGACTGATGTCCAAGTTTCCCCACACCCTCACCGGGATCGTGGCGTCCCCGAACATCAGACGATGTAAGTTGTTCTGGACTTTGCGGGGTTTGAACGCACGCATGTGTCCAGATCCCGGAGGTCCACAAGCGGCGATGACCCCGGGCAGCTGCACGTTGAACCGACCGCCGCCGGAACAACGGTGAACTAAGTTAAGAGCACCCACAGATCTCGCCTGATCGATCCGGAGGAAAACGGCAATCGGGGGTTGTTTTGCCAGAGGGAACATGCCACTCTGCAACGCGGCTTTTGCCCAACACTCCCGGGCGAAGTTCGCATGGCTCGGAAACACGTCCCCCGGGATTGCTCGACGCACACTCTCCCATTCTCTACTTTCAGTCCCCAGGGCTATCAGTATCCGCATTGCTGAGTTGTGCCAGAGCTTATTCGGTTGTTTACCGTCTCCGGAGCCTGAGCTCGGAACTCCACGAACACCAATCACGCCACGAAGGGATTGGCGGCCTATGGAAAGGAACTGTGCAACAGAAGCGTGCTCAAGATGGGTCAAATTTCCCGGTCCGCATCAGTACGTAGTGCCACAGACGGCGTTTGTGGCGTATGCAAGTATAAGGCAATGCTGATGAAGTATGAACGGCAAGTGACGAAAGGCAACCTGCAAGATGGCTCGCAAAGCCCGACGGCGAAGAACCGGGCATCCCATATCAAAGAAGTAACTCGCTGAGGGATGAAGAAACCATAAAAAGGCATCAAAATCACTGCCTAGTTCGTCTGTTTTCCTTCCAGAGTATCAAACATCAAGGCTTCTAGTCCCATACATCAATCAACTCAACTCACTTTGAAATATTTCGATACCAACAACCAACCAACATGCCTATCACCAAGTACAAGGCCGCCGCTGTCACCTCCGAGCCCGGTGTAAGCTTCGCATCTTCCTCCGTTGCAACAGCACAACTGATTTTCCTAGTGGTTCGATCTTGAGGGTGGTGTCCAGAAGACCATCAACTTCATCAATGAGGCTGGCCAGGCCGGCTGCAAGCTCGTCGCCTTCCCCGAAGTTTGTAAGTCACCTCGCCTCCTCCAAAACATCTTCAGCATTCTCACTTGCAAACAGGGATCCCCGGCTACCCCTACTGGATGTGGAAAGTCACCTACCTCCAGTCCCTCCCCATGCTCAAGAAGTATCGCGAGAATTCCCTTCGCGTCGACTCTGAGGAGATGCGCCGCATCCGCCGCGCCGCCCGCGACAACCAGATCTTCGTCTCCATGGGCTTCGCCGAGCTCGACCACGCCACCCTCTACCTCGCCCAGGTCTTCATCGACCCCACCGGCGCCATCATCAACCACCGCCGCAAGATCAAGCCCACCCACGTCGAGAAGCTCGTCTACGGTGACGGCTCTGGCGATACCTTCATGTCCGTCTCCGAGACCGAGATTGGCCGCGTCGGCCAGCTCAACTGCTGGGAGAATATGAACCCCTTCCTCAAGTCTCTCAACGTCTCCCAGGGCGAGCAGGTCCACGTCGCCGGGTGGCCCATCTATCCCGGCGTCCAGCGCCAGGTCTCCCCCGACCCAGCCACCAACTATGCCGATACCGCCTCCGAGCTCGTCACCCCCGCCTACGCCATCGAGACCGGCACCTGGGTCCTCGCCCCCTTCCAGCGCCTCTCCGTCGAGGGTCTCAAGAAGAACACCCCCGAGGGCGTCGAGCCCGAGACCGACCCCTCCGACTACAACGGCCACGCCCGCATCTACAAGCCCGACGGCAGCCTGGCCGTCCCTAAGCCCGACAAGGACTTTGACGGTCTGATGTTTGTCGACATCGACCTCAACGAGACCCATCTCACCAAGGTCCTTGCCGATTTCGCCGGCCACTACATGCGCCCCGACCTCATCCGCCTCCTGGTCGACACCCGCCGCAAGGAGCTCGTCACCGAGGCCGACCCTCAGGGCGGCATCGCTTCGTACAGCACTTACCACCGCCTCGGCCTGGATCGCCCCCTGGATTCGAAGCCTGAGCTGCACGAGCGAGACGATCAGGAGACTGCCAAGCGTATTTCCAAAGAGCCCGCTGCCAAGCCTGTCAAGAAGCTCTAGATGCTTCGAGCAGCAACACGGATCAATAAACACTAGTATTCGCCTGTAATATTCTCACTTGTACTTTAGATGACGATAAGACTTGAACATAAAAAATCTCATTCCGGGTGTTCCGGACCTACTTTGAAACGATAATCCGCACCTGGGGACTTGTTTATTCCTGAGAGCGCGTTGAACCCTACATTCGCTTTTATGGAAAGATAGGTATCTCTTGTATCAATAATGCCTGTCCAGTCGCTTCAGAATTCGTCCGCTCCATCTCGAGGTGAGCAGGTTTTCTGGCCCCGCGGTGTGACTATGAGATGATCAGTTCACCATAAACAGCGCGGGGTTTGAAAATTGAGGGGCAAACCTTGTATCTATTTTGCTTTCCGCTGCGCTTCTCCGGTGAGAAATGATCCGTGCTCTGAAGCTGTAGACTAAGACGACGGAAACATTTCGCATTAGCAAAGCATCAAAGTGACAACTTTACAGACAGCCATCACAATAACCACTGCCAGTCCACCAGCTCATCATATCACAATGTTGACAAATTTGGTTCTTCCATGGTTCTTCATGACCATCTCCTTGGTCTACCTCTGGTTGACCATCCTCAAACTCGCCTTCACCGGTGACGTCAAGATCTTGTTCTCATGGCCCTCCCTCAAAGAGGCATGGTTTGGTGAGTTCTGGAAATTCATGGGACCCAAAGCGAAAGCCGGCGCCGAGGATAAAGTCTTGCCGCTCCTCGAGGGCAGAATCCGTGGCGGGCGAATATTATCCGAAAGGGGTGCCAGCAAGCCGATTGACGGGATTGTTCTCGAAATCGGAGCCGGCAGCGGCATGTGGACGGAATCGCTCGCCACGATCGTCCGAACCGCAAAGGCTGAGTCTCGCGCAGCCCCGACCAAGATCTACGGCGTTGAGCCGAATCCGGTGTCCGCTACATCATTGAGACGATGTGTCGAAGGAGCTGGCCTGAAAGGGACCTACCAGGTTGTGCCCGTGGGTATTGAGGATTTGCAGAACGAATCGGCGTGGGGCGGACGAATCGAACCGGGCAGCGTCGACTGCATCATGACCGTTCAGTGCCTCTGCAGCATCCCAGAGCCGGAAAAGAACATCCGTCTCCTTTACAACTATTTGAAGAAGGGCGGACGGTGGTACGTCTTTGAGCATGTCAAGGCTGAGCAGGGCCTATTCATTCCAATGTTTCAACGTGAGAAGCCCTCACCTCGATACCTCCTCCGGAATTGATTGTCCTTACATGTCTATAGGGTTCACAAACATATTCTGGAAGCACATAATGGGCTCATGCCAACTGTGCCGATCGACCGGACAAACTCTGCAGCAAGTCGGTTCGTGGAGCGACGTGGACTTGGCCCAACCGGCCGATGAGTCTAGCAGCGACGTGATCCCCCATATTATCGGAGTCCTGACCAAGTAGCCAGTGACTCAAGACTTCAAGGGGGTTCAAATATATCAAGTGGTCAACGGGGGGGTTCCATGGCAGCCTCAATGATCGCGGAAGTCACCAGCATCCTAGCCATTGTATTCAGCCAGGTCAACTAGTTTTGAATTTTCGATCTTCATTACGCATGGCACCAAAACCTTCCACATTATGCTGTGTCTTTCATACCTAGCTACATAGAGTCACTTGTTTACCAAGCTATTGCTTGGCAGAAGCAAAAGACCGCGTTTTGTCGACAATGGTATTCCCGAAATTCACATACTTCGGGCCGAGAATCTCAACACTGCGTGCGGTGTTTGTTTGATACAACTCCTTCCTTCGGCGATTCTAGAGAGTACCAGTAGTCAGCACGGAGTGGTACCAAGAGAGATCAAGTGTCCACATACCACCGCCTTTGGAGCATTTTGGAGGAAGCGCGGACTTATACTCCGGGAAGGGTTTGCGAATGATGTCGATGATCTCACGGTTTGAGCAGTAGCCACCAGTGATGAAAAATGCTTATTGATGGCCACTTCCTTTTCCATGGCGGAACAAGAGCGCAAATCATATCTCCGACACAGGCGAAGATGGGGTTCTGGTGCAAATATTTGAGTCAGCTAAAGCGAATCAAACAACAAGTAATCGCAACTCGGTGTGATTCTTGTACCTGAGTGGGAGGAGTCTCTTTCTTGGCCGTACCCATAACGTAGCTACGAATAAATAATTTGGAATAGATTCGATATGTGCCTTCAAGCCCTCTCTTGAGGGATTAGGCAGCGATGCATTTCCTCCATATAACTCATGCAGGCGCTTCTCATGGCTTCCTACTCCGTTATGTGACGTGTCCAGGCTCATACTCTCGGCCCTTCTTCTTCGTAGGTCATGTGGAATGCCGATGTCTTCCTGATAGCCTTCCGATCCTCCAACTCCCCGCTCGGAGCCCCCACACGCCTTTCATCGGCGGCTGCGGGTAGGATGTATTCCTCGCTCGCATTGTCCCCAATCTTTGGTCTAGCTTGCACATTCGTGAGATGAATTCCCTTCTTTTCTTCGCGACCCTGATATGGATGCCAGTCGTTGCGGCTCGTACCGGCGTGGATGAAGTTGCTGTTGTTCGTTCGCGGCGTGGACCCAACGTTGTAGCTGCCGGCAGATGAGCCTTTGTTGGATGCGAAGAAAGTCGGGAAAATATAAGTCAGGGGAAGACGGCACATGGGCAGGCAGGCGCAGATGATGGCGACATTGTCTTCAACGAGCGTCCAGAGTGTGGAGGCGATGTCGACTATACAGGTATGTGAGCACTTCAAAACACGGTTCGATCGGCGACTCGACATAATACTTACAAGTGGTGTCCGGGCTTGTGGTGGAAAAGTTCAGCGTCGTCATGCGCAGGATACTGGTGATGGTGACAAACAGGCCCAGTGCAAAGACAACCATGAGCAGCTTTTTCTGATTTATGGGCAGTTTCGATTTCCACAAGACGTGTTGCGGCAGTGCCATGATGATAATGTCTGTAGCAATCGAGAATCCCGCATTGGCATACCAGTTCATGGTGAGCGAAATACAGGTACCGGGAATCGACTTGTCCCAAGCTCTCGGGATGGGAGTACATTGCCATATAGAAGAGGCTGATGTAGCTACCATGTATGCCAGGATAATGCTGAGAAGTGTGTAGCAAAGAATGCGGAAATACTGCTGCACGAAAATGCGAAGATATAGGAGCAAGATGGAGGCCTTTGTAAGATTAATGGTGATCTTGTAGAAGATCTGGGCAACATAAAACAGCTACCAACAGTCAGACATTCGTCTGATGGACATCGACTCATACCAAAAGGTCCTTTGTTAAGTCACATACCTTCAAAGTCATCACCTTGTTAGATTTAGACAAGTTTTTGATGTGCTGCCCGAACCCGTACTCGCAGGAGATCATCATCAATATCGATACAGTCAGGCAGCAAGTCTTTGGATCGTCAGCACGTTATCAGAGCCTCAAGTGACGTGCCAAGTCAACTCACAAACGAGAACAAGATGGTCCAGTCATCCCAGCCAAGGCCGGATCTCATCTTGATCCTTGACCAAAAGCGGGTGCCCACGAAGATGGGCGTGAGGACGAAGAAGACGATGGCCGGAACCTGTACCATGAGCGCATTGCTCTCGCCTGCAATGTTTCCCTCGACCATGGCGAATGTGCAGTGATGTCGAAGCCGTAGGAGATCAGGCTGGTCTGATGAGGTTGTGGGCCCCGAAAGGCCAACAGTCTGCAAGTAGGCAAGACGCTAGGATATCGGAAGAAGGCAGACACAGATTAAGGGAGATACCAATAAGCCGGGACGACTGGGCCCCCACGAACGGTTATATGTTCATGCCCAGAACTTTCTTGTGCAGACTTTCCACTCGGTGGCTTTGAACTAGGGAGAACCCGTACATCCAAGTACGGCGGGCTCGGCAGTCTTTCCCCGGTAGAAAAGGGGACGGCGGAAAGTTCATTGGGTCGCATGAAAGTGTGTGGACAGTGAGACACAACGGCCTGCGCGTCTGTCTGCCGCCAGGCACAAGTCTGTAGCTCTTTTTTTCCTTCCCGCTTCTGCAGCGAGACTAAGGATGTGGGTGGCGCGGAACGGGCGTGACAGTCTGCACAGTACTGCAGCATTCAGAGAAGCAATTAACCGTCGGCCAGCGTGCGTCTTCATCCAGAAGACGGGAGGAAAGGAGGGTGGATGGCCAACCACGAGGTTCGCCAAGTGATGGGGGTGGAGTTGGGGGCCAGATGGAGGGAGACCAGGGCTGCGGATAAACAGAAAATGGCCGGTGAATTAGATTACCGATCGCAAGACGACGAAGAGAAAACGAACTTTGGACCCTTGCATCTGCCCGCAGTCCGAGAGAGAAGAGGAGTGGCCTCACAAAAGGGTGGGTGAAAGGATTATCGCCTACGCTGTCGCCAGGGTCATATTCTGGACCGTCCACGACATCTCACGCACAAAACATTCGATTCTGGAGCACTAGACGTTTCGGTAAAATGAATAAGTAGTGTCTGAGGAACCGGTTCGGCGGTTTTCATAAGATTGCCGATCAAAGTTTGCTGATGTTTTGATCTGGGTCATCGCCCTGGACTTACGTATGTCAAACCGTTCAGGTGGAAGCTTGAGCAGATCGACCAGTGAATGTGTTGGACCAAATGGCTTGCGTGAAAGAAAGCAGACTTCGAGGTCCCAGAGAGATGTCCGACGAACATGTCCCCGGCCAGGGCTACCTACCCCCTGACACTCTGCTCTCTTGTCACTCTTTGCTTCTTTATACATCGACGAAGAGATCTAGGCATGGGCCAGCTTCACCAGTCGGGTTAGGCTCGGCTGTTTGTGGATGATAGATAGTGTGCCGCTGGTGATCTTAGGCAAATGAGGCGCAGGCGATTCTGTAGGTCCCGTCCTGAATGCGGGCAGGGTTTCACATGTCGACGAACTCGACTCCATTGCTTTCTTCTTCTCGTCGAATTCTTCAACATCCACCACATCTGTCGTTCAGTCTTCATCAGATGACGAGATGGGGCGCGGAGAGTTTTCGGGGTTCTGTAGCAGATTCCGGCGGGTATCTCTGCATAAGCTGAGAGGCTTTCCCCCTTGTCTGTGTGAGGGGGACAAAATCAGCTCACTCATCAGAGACATTTGCGCGCACATAATCTTTGTTGGAACTCGTCATGGGGGTGCGCCACTATTGGCTTGCACAACGTATAAAATACGCCGTGGCCCAGCTATTGGCGTTGGCTCGATCCTTTACTGGGGAATTCGGAATGGTATCCGCCATCCAGTTCTCGTCGTGGCTTGCAGTTCATCTTGGGTAAACTGGAGTTGCATGCAACCATCGGACAGGTTCGTTTAGAGTTCCCTGAGGTACCCATCCGTAGCATCCGGACGCCCGTCTGTGCGTCCTTGAGGGGTGCCGTCGTTCTTCGGGCCCTAATGCCACCACACCACATTACCGTCCGCCTTGTGGTCCCTTTGCCAGGGCCGAGAGCGCGAGGAGGGGCTTTGCGGGCTTGGAGGTCTGTTGGCGCCAACGTCCCGTTCTGGCTCCCGCTCCCGCCAACTCAGTTTGGTGGGATGTCCGTCTGTTCTCGTTGCAACCACTCGAGTGTAAGGTGAGGTGGTATTCTGGCTAAACTTGGCGAACAGATATCGCTCATCCAAGCAAAAGAGGCAGCCGTTACTGGCCACCGAGATCCTCTCATGATGCGGTTACTCGATGGAGCCCTCGGTCAACGGCGCTGAGCTTCCTTTCGGGGCAGCGATATTCGCTGCTTACGGATAGTGTATGCAGATTCTCTCCAGGGGCTGCGCTTGGCATTGCCCAAGTTCCGGGGTTCTCCAGGTGTTTTTCGATGAGGATATGCAGCTCTCAGGGCAACAAAATCCTCCTTCGCTAGGTCTTCCCGATTTGATCATCCTGGTGAGGTGTACGAACACTGTGAGTGATTGAGGGATGGTAAGCCTCGACACTGCGGATACTACATGTACCCACGCACGCAGTAGCATCGAGTCCGGAATATAGGCAAGTTTGCTTGTCAAATTGATTGTCCAATGCACAAGCTTGATATCCCAGCAACAGAATGGCGGCAATGTTCCTAGAGTCTAGCGAGCTACGCCGTGCACCATCGGCCGAGACACCCTTCTGAGGGATTTTCCCATCACCCTCTGTGTGCTTCCGTCGGAGACTGGTGCCCGCCGCGGATAGCCGGGACGAAGCGCTAAACTACAACCATCCCTGTCATTAATGGTAGCTTAAGATGAACTGGCGTGGCGGTCTAAGTACGAAGAGGCTAGTGATCACGTTCCACCTGAACATAACATGGCGGAGATCTCGAAGAGAAATTTGCAGAATCGCGACGACGAGCGGATCAAGTTATCAACAGACCGACGAAATAACGAGCCACGAGCCAACACCCGGCCGATACTAGCATGGCTTCTGTCTGACTGACATACGACCGATATCCCATGTTACCGACTCACCAAGATGTCGGCCGCTGTGCGCCCAAGTACAAAAGACGAGGTTGTGTGGCCAAACGGATGAACATGACCGAATCTGCGTTATGGGAATATGTGCTTGTAGTAGCCACCCATGTACAGCAACTGCGGTAGGAGATGCTATTGATGGAAACCATGGGGATTCTTCTGCCACCGAATCTGGCATCGCCTCAATTGCTCATAGCACCTTGACTGGAAGAGACACCTCGCCTCTTCAATGACCATGGACGCCTCTGGAGCCAAGAACATGGGTCATCTCTCTGTGAGATACCGTGATACCCTCCCTCCCTCCCTCACTCCCTACCAAACTCGCGTTGGTAACAACCAGGCCCCTGCTAAAGTCCTTCCATCTCGTTATTCCCGGCTGAAATCCTGCTGGTCTTCTCTGTCATGATCTCACCATGCTTGCCCAGACCAGTGCAGTAGTGGCTGGAGGCAGGTAAGCAGCAGACCCAACCTAGGCCGACCGTGTCCGACCCGATGTCACCAACCCATTCGCCATGCTCACCATAGAAAGTTGCAGATCAGTGGCCGACTCTCTGGCGACCCATACCATTAGAGACAGAGATGACTGATTTATTGGATCTCTCCCAGTCTTCATACAGGCTTAGACAAGTCCGCCTGAGCCACCGAGCCCTCAACCGCGGCCGTATCCTCAGCGGCCGGCTTGAACGGCGCAGCACCCGATGTGAAGAAATGGCGCCAGCCCACCTCACCGTCCGGGGCATACTCGCCAGCGGAGCCGAAGCTTTAAGGCCCCACTGGCCAGCGGAGATTAGGGTGATGCTCTGGCCATTGAAGACGAAGCGCATCGAAGATGGATCTCGCCTTACGCAGTTCTGCGGCCGAAAGAGGCACGGCGTCATGACCGGCTTCAGTCTTCCTCCATCCCTACCTTCCTCCCTCTCTTCCCCATCTTTCCTTTGCATATTGCAGCTATTCCATATTCCGTGCCTTGCATGTCCACCAGGTGCTCCAACACACGTGTTGGTTCCCGGCAACTCGTCTGGGCTACCATCGCAATATAAACAGAGCGTGCCCATCCTGGGTTAAAGGCCGTTAAATGACTTTCCCTCGCACGCACCAGCTATTGGCACTTTGCTCAGGTCAACGGGTATCTCTGGTAGAGTCGAAGTCGAGTTGTCATCGCTGTTTGGTGAGTAAGTTTCTATTTGTCTCAATTCATCCATTGAAGCTATTCAGAGGCTCTGTAGTCTTGCAGATTCTTATCCCAATCGCGTCTCATAATGGAGTTCTTCAAAACTCCATGTCCAATTGGCACTTTGTTTATTTTTAATTTGTTTCCTTATTGTTAGACGCCGGGTCCGCCCTTTGCGACTCCTTCACGGGGTAGAAGCCGCCTACTTTGGCTGTCTACATTGCACTTTGTCAACTCTCCTTGTCAACCGCATGATGATTCTCATCATGCGGCCCTTCGCTCAGTAACCAATCAGCTAATTCTATCAAGGCCCGTCACAATGAAGGTCTTCTCTCTCATCACCACCCTCGCGGCGGCGGGCGTCGCCCTCGTATCCGCTCAGGGCACAATCGACGACAACTCCGATTCCTTCCCCGAAGACCTCAACGGCTCCAACTTCACCTACCCATGGCCCGTGAAGCTGTACAAGTTTACCTCCCAGCTGCAGGAGCTGGAGATGGCCTTCATGGACGTCAAGCCCAAGTGCGAGCCCAACGGAAAGACCGCAATCCTCTTCCATGGCAAAAACTTCTGCGGCCCAACCTGGGAGACGACCATCCGCGTCCTCGCCCAGTCCGGCTATCGGGTCATTGCCCCTGACCAGATCGGCTTCTGCAAGTCATCCAAGCCCGAGCGCTACCAATTCTCCCTGCAGCAGTTCGCGACCAACACCAACGGCCTCTTGAAGACCCTAGGCATCGAGAGTGTCACGGTGATAGGCCACTCGCTCGGCGGTATGCTCACCACGCGCTACGGCCTGATGTTCCCCGACCAAGTGGACGAGATGGTCCTCGTCAACCCCGTCGGCCTCGAGGACTACACGGCGCTCGGCGTTCCCTACCTCCCCATCGACGACAACTACGTGACAGAGCGCGCCAGCTCCTACGCTTCCATCAAGGGATACGAGCAGGCGACCTACTACGTCGGAGAGTGGAAGGACGAGTACGACACCTGGGTCAATATGCTCGTCAACATCTACAAGGGTTCCAAGGCCGACACCTACGCGCTCAACCAGGCCCAGATCGTCGACCTCGTCCTCACGCAACCCGTCAGCTGGGAGTTCCCTCTGGTCAAGCCCCGCACTCTGCTCATGATTGGCGAGAAGGACAACACCGCCATCGGAAAGCAATGGTCTCCTCCCGACGTCGCCGCGAAGTTGGGCAACTTTACTGCTCTCGGCCCTGCTGTTGCTGCCCAGATCCCGAACGCGACTCTTCACACCTTCCCTGAGCTGGGTCATGCGCCTCAGATTTCCCAACCCGAGGCGTTCCATGAGGCGCTTATTGCTTGGTTATCAAAGTAGATGGATGGTGAAAGAGGTTCTTTGGACGGAGCTCAATGACGGTTACTGTTAAGAAAGATGACATGATACTGTAATGCCTATACACACCGAAATAACTGCTGCAAGGCTTGCGTGCCTAGATTGCGAGAAATCTTTCGATCGCCTCATGACAATATCTCATGTCAACCATGCCTCTGCTCGGACTTGACTGTGCGATGAACAACCAACACAAGTGGAAGACTATCGGTCAAGAAATGGCAACGCCCAATGAGAGACTGTCCATAGCATGCACCTTGGAAGTGCGTTGGCTTGTTTCGGCAAGCTCCAGACGACTGCGCCAGTCGGCATCAAAGTGCGTTTCTACTGCATCTCCTACTCGCTGTGACTGGGTTGGAGCTGGGGTTGTCCGCGGACCAGATTTCGGCAGTGGCCAATCATGAAGGAAAAGTCTCAGAACCCGAATTCTGTCTTGCACCATACGTGGCGCAGTGAAGCTGGATCAGATTTTGGGACAGGCCAATCAACAGTCGCACATAGTCTGCATGTCGTCGCATTTATTTACCAAATCCTTACTTAAACCCGATATCTCTCGGGTGGCATTCGCGAAGAAAGAGAGTTCATCCTCAAACCCGCGATATCAGAACTGCCTCTACTCTACGCCACAGGACCAGATCTCAGAGAGGGCATTCTTGACCAGATCTATTTCCGCAAGCGACTTTACACACTGCGGGCTCTGCTCCTGTCACCATGTCTAGCCGGCAACGGCAGGCTGTCATCAGCGATGCAGAATGGGAGCGGGTTAGGCCCGCCATTCGACAACTCTACCTGCGAGAAGATATGACGCTGGGATTCGTGCTGGCCGCACTCAAAACCGTACACAGCTTCCACGCAAGGTGAGTTCCACCACACATGCCTCTGAATACTACCTTAGTACACACTTCTCGAAACGAAGATTCCCCACGGACGCAAGGTACGGCGCTAACCCGGCCTGCAGCAAAGCCCAATTAGAGTGGAAGCTCAAGCAATGGCACATGATTAAGAACATGACCGTCCAGCAATGGAGGTATGCCGACGTTCGGATTCGCGAGCGACAAAGTCGAGGCAAGAAGAGCAGCCTGTATCTCTCTGGGATCCCGTTGAGACCCGCAGCGGTGGAAAAGGCGAGGAACAGACACTGTTACGTATCAGTCGTTGAGCAATTCAACCCAGGTAAGCAGATGCTTCTTCACAGATCTCTCTTTCAGGACGCGAATGATTCCCGTTTTCGCATACCATTCGCCTTTCTCTCCAGTTATTCTGACCTAATTTCAAGTAGCCTTGGCCACGCCGTCATTGCCTGCGGATTTACCACTTCTCATTCGAACGCCATCGCCTGTTCAGGGAGCTCGGCATTCATATCCAGTGCAATCTCTTCCATGGTTTCAATGTCACCAACTCTTGAGTGGTATGCCCCAGAACAGACTTTGCCTGAAACTCTCCTTCAATTCTGACCGCCACAGCTTTGACGATATCAATACCCATGCAAATGAGCAATCTTCCATCTGCCACAGTCCTCGTAGGCAGAGAGCTAAACCGCATCATCTTCCGGAAGCGGCAATTGCTGGAATACGTACCAGACCTTCACCACACATTTCAGGCTCTTTCCCTTCTGATGCCTGAGAATGTAACAGACAATCACGCTTTCAAAGCAGCTGGTCTTATGCAATGCTCGTCTTCAAGAAATTATACCCCCGAGGCCTTGGAAGTCATGGTCTTTCTTCTATCCAATGGTTTCTGCGGCTACCTAGACGACGGGCCGCACGAGCGAGATGTTGTCAATGAAGCAATTTTGGCCATGTTCCGTGGCGTCAATGCATGGAAATTATTGCTATCACGGCAATGCAAGAGTCTCCCGCTTAGCCTTCAGGCTTTTCTGCATCAAATCTTCCAGAAAGCCGTCTTAGCGTCAGATCTAGCCACCATCGAATCTCTCGTCTTAGCTGGGATTGACGTCGACCTTCCTCTCAATAACATACCTTTGGAAATTGGATGGGGCTATGTCAGCCATCGGAAGGCACTCCATTGGGCTGTCTACACACTCAACTTCAATCTGGTAGAGCTCCTCGTCAAGCTTGGCACTAGTTTAAAATCAGTTGATGTCAACATGTTGGAACTGGCTTGCACAATTCACCACGCCAGGGACGCTCCGGCACTCGAAAAGATAACGAGGTGGTTACTATCTGTTTACCAATACCAGGAGGATGATGAAATCAAAGCCCGGGTCTTCTTGGACGATCTGGGATCCATACCTCACTTGTCAACGACAGAGCTTGTCTTACACTTTTTTGAGTCAAGGCTTCGGAGTCCCACGTCACTCGCCCAAATTCTTATCACGGCGGTCAAGACCAGTAGCAAATGGGTCTTTGAATGGGTTTCGAAGCACCGTAGCTGTTTGAACAACCTTAACTACCTTGGGGAGTCAGTTCTGGGCGTTGCAGCTTTCAGGAACAACCATCAGCTATGCAATCATCTCTTGGAGCTTGGGGCTATATCAAACCCTGTTACCGAGTTCAGTCACCACACCTTTGCCACACCACTTCAATGTGCCGCCTCTGGTGCCGACCCAAGCCTCATCAAATTGCTACTGGGTTATGGCGCCGACATCAACTTCTGCCAAACCTCTCCAGGAGATCATGCTGAGGCACATTCTGACGGCACCCACCGCTACCGGACTCGGATAATAAAAATGGGCGCCGGCTATAACGAACTTAAAGTGAGCCAGGTAGGAAGAACTGCGCTGCAAGCAGCTTTGTCTTTTAAGAATGAAGGCAACGCCCTGTTTCTCCTGTCGTACGGAGCAAAATTGGTAGGGGAGGAGCTAGCAATTGCAATCCGCACTCGCCAGAGTTCGCTGATCGGAAAACTACTGGATCATGGAGCTTCGCTCACGTCTCCAAGCTTACCTCATGAGCTGTCGCCTCTTGAGTCCGCCATATTGGTGCAGGATTCACAATTGGCTTTACATATCATACGCTCAATGGATTCAACGATATTCTCGGCAAGGGCTGTTTTTTCCGCCGTTTATTTTGCGTCCAACACGTCCGATTGGATGATTCTTCATGAGCTCTTGGAGCTAAGCAAAAACGCTTTGCTTTCAACCTTCGACCAACATTGGTTGGGATCGGCGATGTGTCTTGCGCTGATATTGGGCAACGAAGATGTATTTGACCAGATCCTGACGACCGGATTGTGCCCTCGGCACATAAAATATTCAAGTTTTAACTACGAGATATCCAATCGACGTCGAAGGCCTCCTGAGATAACTTTGCGAAGATGTGAGGAGCAATATCTAAGCTTTGTTGACCAGCAAAACCCACAAGGTCTTGCTCGCTCGGCAACTTCCTACGCCCTCTCATTTTCATCGCCCAATTCCATCGCGAGAATGATGCAACATGGCTATCGCTTCAACTTCAATTGCTATCGCGTCGCTGAGAACCGATACGCCCTAGATATTTTGCCTCTCCTTCAGAAACATGGGGCGCTATTAGACAGGGTGCTTCTGACAACAGCTATTCTTCAAAAGGTTCCTACCATTGTCGATTGGTACATTGCCTCTGGGGTTGGTATCAACACTGTCCACTGGCATGATGGCGACAGATATTATGGAACACCACTTCGAGCTGCCGCCATGGTGGGCGATGTTGACCTCGTGGAGACACTCGTTTGTATGGGAGCCGACACTAATGAGGACTACAGCGGCTTCCGCCGTCTTCCACCTTTGGCAACGGCAGCTAAGAACGGCTTTTTCAGTGTTGTGAAAAAGCTGCTTCTATTAAAAGCAGACCCAAATGCCCCAGCGGTAAAGCCTCTCGGCCGGACTGCGCTAGAAGCAGCCTCTGAAAGTGGTAGGCTAGACATCGCGAAACTACTCCTTGATTCTGGTGCCTCGACTGGAGGATCTGGTCTCCGTCAGTATTTCAGGTCTATCATATTTGCGAGAAGACAAGGGTATCCTGCCGTTGAGACGTTGTTAAGAAACTTTCGACGCTGGACCAAGGCCGACCAAGACATCTTCAATGAACACAACTCGCTCTATGAAATCCCATACGCACTTGAGGGTAGTCAGATTGAGTTATCTGACATAGAAGTCAGTGAAGGCGATAGTGAAGACACAGAGCTTCTTAGCTTGCCGCATTGTGAGTACTATGCAACAGCCGAGATGGTGATGACACCAGCCGGCGGATTCAAGAGAACAGGGGAGATTTCCGAAGGTTTAGCATCGCCATTCAAGGCTGGTATGTTGTTCAAAGACAACGAAAGCAGCAATACCGGTACAACAGAGGTGTCTTCAAACAGTGAAATATCTCAGGACTTGCACAGATTGACAGGTACTGGGTATTGCGAAATCGGTGAAGGATTACATGGGGGGGATGGCCGTAGCCTTCATGACGATAATCGCGAAGAGGACAGTGGCAACGATTGGATGGAGAGATATGTTCGTTTCCCCTCAGAAACACCCTCAACTTGTTGAAATGGTGACCTTTTTTGCTCTTTACTATTCAGTTGTTTAAGTATTGGTTTGTTCCTTCTTTTTTTTTTCTCCATTTAGAGGTGAGATTTTGTGGATTATGTTCGTAGAGAATCTACAGGCATACCGTACCTAATGACTATTTGCTCCGAGGGGAAAGATGTGGTGGGTGAAGAGCGAAAGACTGCTCGGACTGGAAGCAAGAGAGATCACCGGCGCTGTGGCATTGACCAAAGATGCATAGAGCCTGCTTGTTCGTCTAGTTCCAGCAGACTTAGTTAGGTAAAGGAGTTAAGTCATCTGAAGGCAGATCGAGTGTCGCTGACGATGGCAGACTTTGACGATGATGAATTATTCGCAGAAGAGCATTTCCTTTCTTGCAGAAGCTATCAAGTGCCTATTACCCTTTCCATCATACATAAGTCATGCTCGACTTCACATCTCCCTCATCCCGGATCCGGCTCGATACAGCGACGGCGAGAGCTCCCCTAACCCATCCCCATCTCAATCTTTGGGCCCGACGCCAAATTCCCCAGTCACATACAGACTTCCCACAGTGACTCCTCTCTTCTCGGCAACCATGCCCATCAGCTGCTGCCCCACGTCCTTGATCTCGTTGTACTCCCGCAGCAGCTTCACGTGCTTCGCGACCACCGCCGAGGCCTTCTCGAACTCTCTGCGCGCGGTTAGACGTCAGCAAAATTTTCTCATAATTTTCTATCATAATTAAGAGTAGCTTTCAGCAGAAAACTAATCCGACAACGATTGTGGTGACTTGCTTGTCTTTTTTATCATCAATATTTGTACGTTTTGGTTTCAAAGACTTGTTTTCATCCATAGAGTCAGCCAATCCGGACTGTGTCTCTTTCATCGCAGATTTCTGGGTCTTTTTAAACTCCCCTGACGTGGGAGACTCTGAAACTTTCAATTTATGTGTTGACTCCCCTTTGATCGATGACAAAATGGCGCTTGCTGAGGAACTGAAGCCGCGTGTTGATGTTGACATGAAGTCGAAAGCACAGACCATGTACGAACCATCAGCCTCGGACAGGCAAGCACCCAAACAGCAGTTGCTTCCACCGAAGGAAACAGGAGCCAAACCAAGGAAAGCCCACCCAAAAATTGACAAGCTCAATTTGTTTTTCGAAGAACAGATTTGCATCCATATGACTTGACTACTTTATCTATGGAATGACGCAAAAAGCATCCGAGAGGCATAAAAAGCAGGGCATGCTAGACATATGGGATATGCAAAACACTGGACGATCTGGGAATCGAACCCAGGACCTACCGCATGCTAAGCGGTCATTATACCACTAAACCAATCGCCCATTATTGAAAATTAAGATTATTAGTCAGACCATGTACCACCAGAGTCAGGGGAAAGATTGCACACAACCAGAGTCCAACGAGGCCCACTCCAAGCAACGATGACAGCCGTCTTCCATATCCGGCCGGCATGTTGAGAGATCGTGCGCCCTTGACTTGGTGACCTCACAGCAAGATTCACCCGTGAACATTAAGCAGTTTCTAAGCTACGACACGCCCACGAGGCTCAGTTTTCATCAGGAGTATCCCGTTTCTGTGCGCAATGGCCCAGCAGGGTTCATTGAATGTCGGACAGGCACCTCGTGCGATCCCCGAACTGTGAAGTCGTTCCAAGGTAGGTAGGCAGGTTGGGGCGGCGGGTCCTTTCGATTGAGCTAGGGCACACCAACGCGTCCCGTCGCGCCTCTCGCGCCAACTACTTGCTATCCTGGTTGTCAGGATTTGAAAATGATCACCCGGAGATGAGATACCGTGAAGGTTGGCGTGAGAGCACTTCAGTACGTGTACGGAAAATGTCACCCTCAATGTTCAATCACGCTTCAAGTCACTACGTTTTTTTCTTATCAATCTGGTGTTTTCTAGAGCCGCGAAGTAATGTCGTCCATCGAATCAACCTCATACTGGGAGTTTATCACTTGAAATTCACAACATCACACTGAGTCCTGATCATGATTGTAATGCAATTACTTCTCTAAGCACAAGACGCCTCGCCAAGGTTCTCCTCCCAAATGCCGTGGTATACTTTTCATCTTCATTGTTCTTTTTTATTTCCGTCGTCTCTTCTTCGAATATCGCCTCATCTGGGACTACTGGTTGTTCGTTGAAGGGAAGCCCTCGGGGGGAAGAAAAAGGTAAGACGATTGAGGAAACGGGAGCCAGTGATTGATGGTTGTTGTTGTTGAAGTGTGTGTATCAATTCCCATATAATTCAGAAGCCAAAACCCCCTTATTTTTTACGGTAACCACCGGAATAAACAATTACACCAAAGCCCATGGACATGAATCATCTTGATTGAGTGTTGTGTTGTGACTTATTGCGAGAAGGGTTGGTTGGTGCGTGTGTTTGGTGGTTGAACCGGTACCGAAAACACCGAGAACGGCGGCGCGGGGGGTATTGAACAGGATGATGATTTTGCAAAGCGAAGCCTTTTCGGACTCACTCCATAAAAACTCTTCTCTCTCCAGGCCCCCAAAATCATCTTTTTTGATCCCCCTCCAATGACCAGCCCATTTGTGCCATCAGCAAATGAAGAATTTCCCTTGTGAACCGCCCACGCCAATCTAATGAGGAAACGCGAGGAAGAGGACAGAAATGCGCGAGAAATCACCCTCCGAGTCTTTTTCTTTCGTCAGACCATCGCGGGGGTAGTGGTGGTGTGGTGGCGGCCAACGGGGATAAAGCCCTCCTCCTCTCCTCCTCCGTCCCTCTGACGGGTCGAGTCAAAAATATAACTGCGAAAGGGATTTGTCGACTACGTTTAGTAGCCGAAGGCCTCGAGGGCCTGCGCCGTCTTCTTGTCAACCTTGGCGTTCTTCTTCGCGTCGGTGAGCTGGCGCTGAGCGACCTTCTTGCGCTCGTAGTAGGCAGCACCCTTCGCCTTGCGGCGCTCCTCGAGTCTAGGAATTCGTCAATACTGAAAGGTTCAATTTCTGTAGGGAGATCCATAGCCGTGACGTACCTGGCAACGACGTCCTGGTACTTCCAGCCGACCTCGTGGGAGAGACGGCCAACAGTGCAGAACTTGCGGCCGGGCTGCAGTCTCAGGACACGGAGGGCCTGGGGAACGACCATCTTCTTCTGCTTGTCGTAGGGAGGGGGAACACCCTCGAAGACCTTGAGGCGCTCAAGGGCGGCAGCACCGCGAGCAGTCTTGTGGGGGATCATGCCACGGACGGTCTTGTAGAAGATTCTCGACGGGGCGCGGAAGTGGAAGGGACCTATAGCGGTCAAGTCAGACATTTGAATGTCCTCGAGTTGATATCTCATCTAGGAGACAGAGCAGAGCCCGGATTTGTATGTATGTGTTGGCTTACCACCGCGAGTCGGGTTGTAACGGGTCATCTTGCGCAGGTAGGCGTGGTACTTGACTATAGCCATTCATCAGTATCTGTTCGATCGGTTGGTTCGTTCGTTCCTCCCGCAGTCGTCGTGTGTTCCAATCATATTCCTCCTCTTTTGACAGACTGGGTGTGGAGTAGTGCTGGGTAGGATTGAGAGTCGACATACGCTTGGCACGGAAGAACTCGCCAGAGATGTTGAGGGCCTCGGTGCGGACGACGACGATCTTCTGGCCGTTGAGAAGCTGCTTGGCGACGATAGAGGCTAGACGACCAAGGAGATGGCCCTTGCCGTCGATGACGACCTGTAGACAGGATTGGAGTTAGCGATCTGCATCTACAAGTGTCCGCGGTTGACCGGTGAAGAATTTCGGGTAGTTGAAGCGGCGGCAGCGCAGCGGGTTGAACAGCGACAGCATCGTTGACGTGGAGGACGACTGGAGCCAAGTGCCATTATCCCCTCGCAAAGTGCTCCTCGCTCGCAGAAGTCGCCCGAAAATCCTCATCGTTGATATTCCGCGGTTCCCATATCTCGAAATGGGAAGTAAAGATAATCGGCAAAGACTCACCACCGGCTCGAAAGAAGACATCGTTCCTGTTCCTTTAAAAACACCGGTTCGCGGTGTTCTGCTGAAAAAGAAGGAAAGGGGGGATTCAAATCTCTGGGCGAAATGGGTGCCTCTGTAGAGATTTGGTCTGCTGCCGTTGGGTTAGTATTGTCGGAGGGTGAGTTTGGAAAGAAGCCGTCGCGACAATCTTGAAATCGGGGCGGGCACACAACTGGCAAGGGGACAGGTCAATGAGAAATTTACACACGCACACACAAAACCCCCCAATGGCACGCCTGGAAATTGAAAGGCGCTAGCCCGTTCCGGCAAAGTGGTCTACATGACAAGCGAGGGTTGGAAGTGGGGCCTCAGGCAGCTTAGGGCTGGAAAGACCTACCAGAGGCGCGGGTGCTGTAACAGTGCTATTGCTGACTCACGGGGCAGGCTCACCTCGGTGTGTTTGGCGGGGCTTCTGCCGGCGGCCAGAACCCAACCGACGACTTACCTTGCTCATAGCTGTCACTGCATCTCACCCACCTACCTACCTACCTTAACGAGGCAATGCCCGGTACCGGCTCAATCGATAACGGCCTCTCTGTCACATGAGATAAGGCCACGAGTTGACTAAGCCAACTACGTCAAAGCCTGGCACATTTGTTCAGCACCAGACCAGGTTATCCCCACGACTTGACCTTGTCGACAACGTCACGCTGCAGCCCTGCCTTTACGACGATTGCTGTCATTCCAATGTCCAGGATTAGGTCTAATCCGATTTCAGGTGCATCATGTGCGGAATGGATGGAGTGAAGATCCCAGAAATTTGGGCCGTTTTGCCATTTCTGTCCACGGCGTGCTATGCGCCTCTCTGTCTGTCTTTTCAACTGCTCAACTGATTTCTCTCGTAGTACAGCCTCCCATCTCAAGCTGTCCTCATGTCCCAATGCATTCGCCGTTCTACGCGGCATGCCTCTAGATGCAAATCTCGCTTTGATATAAATGCAGCTTGACTGAATAGAAACCCTCCGCAAATGCTCATCTAGAAGAACAAAACGGAAGTAGGCTATTAGTAAAACAAACGTATCGCAGAAACCGCGGGCACTCTCGATGCCGACCACCCTTTCTTCTTTTTACTTGAGCTTCGCGTCAAGGCGCTTCAAAACATCCTGCACGGTCTGTACCAAGGCCTTCCTCTTGATCCTGGCCTCCTGGTTGCCTTCCATCTCGACCTCGTCAAGCTTCAGGAGCACGTGCTGCATCGTTGTCTCGGACAGCTTGCGATGCTCCTCCTCTCGCTTCTTCGTGTCCGTCGGCGGTGATGCGATGAAGTCCTCGCAAGGCTGACGCAAATCCGCTTCGAATTTCGCGGCAATGGCATCGAGCTTGGCATGGGGACCGTTAGCCTTGCTGGGAGACGGCGAGGTTTGTCTGTCTTGAGAGGGGATGCCGAGATTTGATGCGCTGTCCCGCGGGCTCGTGTTGCTGCTTCGCTTCTTGGGCTTGCGACTCTTCTTCTTGCCGCGGCGCTTCTTTCCATCGTCGGTGCCGCCGTTGCTGCCCACAGCGCTACCACCGTCCCCGGCCACGACTACCATTTCCTCATCCGAGTCTTCGCTGCTCTCGGCGTCGACCTCACCCTCGGGCAGGACTACCATGACCTCGCTGTTGTTCTTGACACCATAATCTCGGACGGGCGCAGCCGGCTCCTTGAGCTGGCGGCCCTTGTAAAGGAGCTTGACGCGGCGCCCACGTCTCTCGGATAGCTCCAGCAGGACTCCTACGCGGTCTCGAACGTCGCGGACGCGCAGTTTGCCGTCGCCAATCGCATACGCGGGGAAGTGGGCCGGGTAGGTGACGCCCTTGTGCTTGATAAGAAGGATGTCGTCTTCGGGGACGCTGCCGCGGGATCGGGGGTTGTGAGCGTATGATCTCGTCGGGACCGAGCCACCGAGGGAGGTTGACTGCAGGTCCTCGGTAGTGATGTAGCTAAAGTCTTCGTCCGTGACGTCGGGAACGCCGCTGAGGGTGGAGCCGTAGGGGGATATTTGTTCCCGATTTGTCGACCAGCCGTATCGAGACATGGTGAAGGGGACTGCGAGAAGGATGCAGCCAATGGTGGAGTAGAGGATGAGATTCGGGTCGATGCCGGTGGTGTCCGAGATGTACTCGGAGTAGTTCGCGATAGCTTTGGCTAGGCTGGCGATGGACTTGTCGAGGTAGACCTGGAGTGTGGTGGGCAATAGTGCGGTGATGTTGGAGAGGGCACCAGAAGATGCCAGAAGAGGCTGACTGGAAGCCACCTTGGCGGGAGTAGGCGGTCCTTAAAGCTAAGGACGCTGAACCGGGAGAAAGAGGAAAGTGGATGGGAGGGAGGGGGGGGTGGAGGAGAGTGAAGTGAGGCTACTTCAAGGGCGGCAGCAGTGACTCGTATCGTGGCGGATAGGGTGAACAGTGGTCGTGGGTGTCGTGGGGATGGCCTCGTTTGGAATTTTCCGACTCGCGGGGTTCGAAGATCAGGCCGTTCTGCAGCAACGCACGTCGTACGGCACAGGGCCTGCTTAGGGTCCTTGGAAGGGAAAGGAGTCGACGCAATGCAGCAGCAAGAGGAAGGCCGCAGAAGCAGTGGGGTAACCAAAAAAATAAAAATAAAAATAAAAGAGCTGTTCGGTTTGCTTAGATCGAGAGTTTCGACCCGGCTCCAACTGGCGTGGACGATCACCAGCCTGGGTCAAGGATCCAGATGGTGGCTTGTTTGCCTTTGGTGAGGCTGTAGAAGCAGGACTGGAAAGAAGGCAATGCGCTGTCAGCTTTGGGGTGACTGGTGAAGGCGGAAGATGAGGGTGAGTGAGCGGCGGCGGGCAGGGATGCGAAGAGTGTGGTGTGCGGTGGTGTGCGTCCAAGGTGGCCCGACGGGACTCGGAGAGATTGACGGCAGAAAGTCGGGGACGACGGTGCGAGATGAGTGGCCGGAGGAGGTGGTTGCGTAAGGTTGCGTGGTGGTGAAGCGCGGAAGTGGATGTGGAGGGGAGGTTCTAGAAAACCGGGCAGGTCGCAAAGCAGCGAATGACGGGGGTGGGCGCGGAGAGAGGACGGGACCCGGTGTCATTGGCCGGGCCGAGAGACGGTGCCACGGTGGTCTCTTTTGGGATGGGTCCTGAAGCGATTCGGAGGTGATAGTAGCCAAGCACACAAACCACCTACCAGAAGCTATCAGGGTCTTTACAACGGCTGGTAGCTTGAAGGAAGAGAGAACTCCAAGGGTTGGAAGGAATGGGTTTTGTGCAAACTAGGAAATGCAGCATTGAAAACGACTATTGAAGAGGACACGAAGCCTGGTCGAGGACGGCTCGGTGTTTGCAAATACTTAGGTAACTATCATCGGTCCTCGAGGATTCTCCTCTGCACGACCGGGACGGGGGTCAGGCAGAAACAGCGAATGGCTGCGATTCGGTGAGCAGCCGGGGCATGGCATGGGCATGGTAGGATCTCATTCTTGCAGGGGCCCGAGACTCGAGAGGGACATGAATGCAATCCAAACCCAACCCAGTACAGAGTTAGAGTAGCATGACCCATCCAGCTGCGGTGCACCAGTCATCGCGAACCTCAAGACGTGTGCTGCGCTGTAGGGGTGCCCGAGGATCCGGTCAAGCGCTAGACGCGGGTATCATCTGTGCATGATGCGGATAGATCGATCCTGTTACTTGTGATGTCCTCATGCTACCTCAGCCACCCTCGTGTGGACTCTTGGTTGCTTCTCCATAGACCACATAGCCGTGGTGTTGTACCTGACGGTTGAAGCCTTTGACTTGGAAAATCATGAGGTGCACCCGAAATCTTCAGGTACCTTAGGGTTCTCTTATCTTATCCTTCAGGTCGTTTTAGGGTCGCTATCTGATTGCTTACCTCATATCACAAAGGACCCCCAAGCTCACCCGCCAACTCAATGCACAAGCCGGTCTCTGAACCCTCCCTCCTCGGCGCTGAGGTGAGCTCATTGCCCATTTTGAATTAGTCCTTTCTGATCCATCTTTCTCTCCGAGGTCAAGTCTTTTCCGATGTGATGTCTCGCTGTCCACGGGTGCCTCTTGAGAACCCGAACGAAGCTGACAAACATCAGCTGTAACACACGCCGAGCAAATGGGCGTCGGGAGAGCCGGTGTCTCTTTCCTCCCGGGGACGTTAAGTAGTAGACAACGGAATGTATCGAAATTGGAAGCCACACTTGTGAACTCTGAGACCTCTCCACCTTCTAGAAAACTCGTCTTCGACGTGCCGACCTACTTACCTAATCAACTTCTAGCGCCCTCCCCGATTGCATCATCCACTCCCGCGGCCTTCGGGCCCAAATTGCCTTTACCACACTGCAAGTCCCATCCGTCGCAACTGAACCGCATCCAGCACAGCTATAGTGTACGCACCAAGCACCAAGCACCAAGCACCAGGAACCCCGCCCCTCTTGTATTGCGACACTTTGACTGACAAATACCCCCCACCTGTGTCCCGCTGGTCCCTCGGCATCCGCCAGTATTTATTATATCATTGCCCGCCCCTCCACGTCTTGTTAGCCCCTCCCTCTCCCTCGAAATGGCATCGCTATTCAGACGTCTCTTCTCCTCAACCCAGACATCACCAGCAAACATGGCCGCCACCAAGCAGAAGGTTCAGTCCCTCATCGACGACAACAAGGTTGTCGTCTTTTCCAAGTCGTACTGCCCCTACTGCCGCGCGACAAAGTCCGTCCTCGACGAGATTAACGCCGACTACACCGTCCTCGAGCTCGATCAGATTGGTGAGTTGCCTTTTGCTTGCACACACACTTTTTGTGCTTCAATGTCACCCCCACAAGACATCCCTACTAACAGCACCAGATGATGGCAGCGCAATCCAGGACGCCCTCCATGAGATCACCGGCCAGCGCACCGTCCCCAACAGCTTCATCGCCCAGAAGCACATTGGCGGCAACTCGGACCTGCAGGGCCTGCTCAAGGGCGGCAAGCTCGAGAACCTGCTCAAGGAGGCCGGCGCTCTCAAGGCGTAAGGCACCCATTCCGTCCTTGGCGTAAGAGCGATAGAGGAAGAGAGTGTGTGGGGATAGAAGAATCGGTTGGAGAATATACGGCACAGAGACGCTGACAAGCGCGATACCGATATTAAGGCCGTCCAAGTTGTAGCTGTGGCTGCACAAAACCTGCCAACCCATGTTTGAAGGACGTGGGAACGATGGACGACATATTATACGACATATTATACCACGGGGTAAAAGGCACAAAGCCTAGTGCTTAGAGTCTCAAAATACAAGTTTTCCAAAAATGATGTTCGGCCCTCTGTTGCGAGGACCTCGCCCCGTGTGTTATACATTTGGACCGTGACTTTTTCCAACTAATTCTACATTTCACGTTTTCTTTGCTTTTTATACCACCTGCGCGGCAACGGTACCGACGGGCCTCTCGACGAATTCCATGACGCCGTCAATGATACTCTCACGCGCCGGCGGCGACGCAACCTTACTACCCGCAAGCCAGTTGAGCCACAGCAGCCTCGACACGCGCTCATCCTGCACCTTGCCTACGCTCTGTCTCCCCACACTCTTGCCATCATCAAAGACGACCTCGAGCTCGCCCTTTTCGTCACGGCAGAGGAGCAGCTCCTTGTTCTTTTGCACTTTGCCGCGGTTAAACAGCCTCTTGAACTCCTTCATCGCCTCGCCAAAGCCTTCGTCGCTGTACGCCTCCTTGTCGGCCGACGACCGCGCCGTGATGGCGCGCACGAAGCCGTCGCGGAGGTGGGGGAAGTCGGTGTCGCGGACGGGGACGATGCGGAACGCGCTGCGGCAGCCGACTTCTTGCAGGAGCGCCGTCCACGTCTCCTCGCCCTCGACCGGGTCAAAGAGCTTCTGCTTGAGGCTGTCGCGCTCCGAGGGGACGAGCGTCGTCGCGATGGGGTTGATCTTCTTGGTGAGGTAGTGCTGCAGCTTCGCGACGTCCTGGGTGGCGACGTAGTAGCCCACCATGTACACCTGGATGCTGAGGAAGCTGACGGTGCGGATGCCGAGGCCGACGAGGGTGTACTCGACGCCATCCGTGTCCTGCACCGTGGCGGCGATGGGCGCTTCCGGGTCGCGGTGGGTCCGGCTCAAGGACAGGTCGATGGTCCGGGGGAAGTTGGGCACCGCCTTGTTGCCCGTGGGCACGAGCTCCCTTCCCTCTTCGTCGTGGATCACGACCTTGCGCTTGCTCCCGGCCTCGGTGGTGAAGGTCTCGGCCGGCACTGATGAATCGAGCTGGAAACCGATGCGTTTGTCTGTGCTGCTGCCATTGTCGCTGCCGTCCTCCGCGGCGTTGCGCTTCTTCTCGGCGGCGAGTGCCTTGCGGAGCTTGTTGGCCGTATATACAAAGGAGACGATTCCGGCGAGGGCGCCGGCGGCGAGGAAGTATGTGCGGTCCCGGTCGTAGTTTGTGCGGGCTTCGCTGAGCTGGTTGAGGTTGAAGCGTTCGACGGGGCGGGACGGCGAGCTGCGCTGGCGAGAGAAGAGCGTGCGGCGACAAGTTCGGACGGGCGGCTGCGGCTGCGGCAGACCCCTGGGCAGAGCCCGGAGAGTGCGTGGGCGGAACATTGGGGGCGTCGGATGGGTAGAGGGCGTGGAGATGAGTGTGTCGGTCGTGAAGGCGGCAGGAGGGAGTGCGCCTGTGGTGGTTTGGGTCAATGTACTCTGTGTTCTGGACCGTGTGGAGGGCAAATGATGGAGTGGGCTGATGGAGATTCGAGATTCTTCAGATGGCGCGGGATGTTCGGGCGGGGACAGCCGTCGATGGTGCAGTAGACCGGGCTTGCTAGTTCGAGTTCGGTGCCGGTCGGGCAGGGCGGTTCATGGCCAGGTCATGTGGCCAGGGTATTTGACAATTCGTTTTGATGCTGCAGTGCACGGCACAGACTATGGCGAGCTGCGAACGCAATGGGGGGGTAGAGAGAGTCTGATCGTGAGGCTCGTAATCGGCAGACGGGGAAATGTCAAGTGTCAAGCCAGAAATGCACTGATCCTGCGGCTGCTCTGCATGGCAATTGGAGCTGTCCCATTGGATCCACATCAATCTCAACGCCCAATGCCATTGCACCAAAAAAAGAGAGACTGGCGCACGTCAGCCAGCGAGGCACCTGAGTGGCCCGGCGCATGATCGGCTCTTCCGAATGACGTCCTGCTTGAACTCGTCACGTGCCGGCATCTTCCGTCTCGCTTAGGTACGTGCCTCTCGGTTTTGGCTATGGTCTGTGCGGATAACCTCCGACTCCGCCTCAGATTGGGGTCGCAAGGTCCATGGACGCAGAGCAGGAGGAGACAGCTGCAGTTGCATCTGCTGTCTGCGACACATGGCGGCGTCCAAGTTGATTTGCTGCGGCTCAAGGGGCTGGACTGGGCCATGTTCGCCGAGTTGTTGATACTCTGATTATTCTCTCTTGTCCGTCTTATAGGATTGATGTGTTGGATGGTGGAATCAGCGTGTGGGATGCGGATCTGACATGGCACGCGCTGCATCGGCTCCTCTGTTCGATTACAACGGTCTGGTTACGTCCGAGTCGATGGTCCTCCAGGAGGATCCAGCCTCTCAAAAGAGTGCGACAGACTTGACAAGTCGATCTTGCCTCGTCGCTATGCTAAGACTTCCAGGGTCTGCGCTCGGAGACCACCATTACATCACAACGGGGTTGTACGTCTGTGATCCGAAATGTGAAATGGGCAGAGCTGAGTGGTCAGTCGTCTGTGGCCGTCTAAGCGCCCACGCGTGATGGCGTTTAGGATCGTGATGGTATCACGCTGGGCCGCGAAGCCACCGCTCACACACACGTCTGTCTGGGCCGTCACTTGAAAGTGTGCGTCTGTCTTGCATGCAGATGGACCCCCCACCTGATCCCACTGGATCACGGCAGTGCCACGATTGCGCCGTTGTGGGGTTGAGGACGACGTAGTTTCGTCTACTATCCAGATGGGCTTAGCCATCGCTGCCAACCAGGAGAAGCGAATTCGACCTCGACCAACGCAGGCCTTTGCTGATGCCCGTCTCAATGACGAATGAGGTGAGACTGAGCCAGGCAATCGTCCCCGGCGTCTTATCCTCTCCCGCAGACCCTGCACACATTGTCTTCTGGTACGCAAGGGCGATGCTATTCTTAACCACCACGGGAGCATTGCTTATTCCCAACTCAATCGGCCTACCCCACCACACGTTGTGCCTCTTGATCCTCGACTTCGGGTGCCCGGGGGTATCGTTGACCGACCACCCACGTAGCGAGCTGTCTTGATGGGCAGAGGGCAGCTTCTGGATTCGACAATTTCGAACTCCCGCCGTGGTAGGCAGGTGTTCCCTCGTTCGATGCTCGTGAGAGCGAGCCAAGAAGCTGAACGAAAAAGCCCCAAGCCGTGGAAACCCGTCTAAGCCGGCTTGGCATTTGTTCAACGTCCAGGGCCTAACACCACGGACGAGAAAACTCAAATTAAGCAGGCTTACATACCGAAGACGCGAAGTCGGCGATGGCAGTCACCGATCCCCGGCGTCCAACGTGCTCAAGATGCCGTGATGACATGGCGGGACATGCCGTCAGACGAATGTGATTGAACGAGTGGTCTTGCGGCCGCCATGGTTGAAGCAGTTGCCGGAGAATACCTTTCCTTCCACGAATTCAGGCATGGATGATCCAGGTGCGAAGACGTCCTTGAAGACCGGGGTGGGCGGGAGTGAAACGGTATCAGGTGCAGGGCAGACCAACGACATCAATCCTGACATCCCCAACATCCTTGTGCCAAAGTAAAAAAGGCATCAAGGAAGAAGCCGAGATGGACACTCGAATAGGATATCTCGCGAAACACCTGGTTGGAGGTTGGAAGGCTGTCCAGCCTGTCTTGGAGCGGACCGCATTATACTTGAGCATCCGAGGCCCTGACATCCCGTCTCATGAGGCAAGGAGGGGGGCAGGAGTTCTTGAGACCGTCATTGAAAGGGAGAGCAATCTCAGACCATGACAACAGCACAATAGGCGGCGGAAAAAAAGACAGAAGGGGGGGGGGGGGGGGGGGGGCCGGGCCCCCCGGGGCATCCAGGAAAAAAGAACACCCCGCACGCGCGGCGGGGGGCGGGAGGCGGGGGAGGAGGGCCCCGGGGGTAGGGACAAAGGTTTTGTCCCCGGGGGGGGGGGGGGGGGGGGGGGGCGGTGCCCGCGATGCAGTCATGTAGAAATGAGTACCCTGAAGCTCGAGCTGATGTCCGAGCGTGCGGAAGATGGCGCCACGGGTATTGACTGAAGATTTGGTCTCCGAGGGGCGAAGGGCGAGGGGGTTTCTTTTGGGGGTTGGTGTCAGTGTCAATTGCTAAATGGTCCCCGATGTCGACGTAACAAGGTTATGGCGGCCGTTTTCATGCGGGTACACTGACAAGCTTGACATGTCATGTTTTGTTTCTCGCAATGTCGCAGGGTACCGACGTGGCCCTGGCCGATGGTAATTCAGGCATTTACTGGCGCTCAAGGGGTTGGTAACTGCATCTCGGAGATGATCGTCTTCGTCATGACAGAGACGGGGAGATTGAGTCCAGACTTGGCATCGCATACTAGGTATAGCCTACAAGCTGGGGCTAGAGACAACGAAAGACAAGGGGAAAAGGAGTTGAATTTCCAGAAAGAATGCCGCGATTCAAGTTGACACTTTGAAGTCCAACAGCCCGGAACTCTGTTTGTCAAGGGGACTCGGAGGACGTGCCAGAGGCTGAAGACCTTTCCGTCCTCGACGTAGCGTCAGGTACAAGTGGCCGCCTTCGTCTCCCTGGTCTGGCTCGACCATTTGTAAATGCCATGGCCTTTTTTGGTGGATTTGGTGGGAAATAATGCAATTCATCGAGTGGTGGGTGCATGGAATGAACCTTTTTTTAGAGTGACTTGCCGAATTAGGTTATGTACGCAGCAGAATTAACGGGTCAAGCGTAAGCGAATGCCAAGTACTGCTTTGCCGGTCACAGGGGCTTGATATACCTGAGCCCGCTGTACGACACCCGGTTCGCAGAAGGTCTCCGCTGGACACATCTTCTTGGCCGTGACTCAATGCCCTGCCGTATCTCTACCGGCACTTTGGACTGGAAGTGACCTTTTCACATCGCATGAAATAATTACGCATGGCATGCTCCCTGAGAAAAGCGGCATGTGGCAGTGTGCCCCACGCTTCACGCCGGGGAAATTGTCTCGTCTCCCGTGGCCTGGTTTCGAGTCTGTCCGTTGATGGACCAGCCAAGTTCAGCAAACAAGAGACTCTAATGCTCTACAGAAGCAAGCAAGAGGTGTCTTTCAGAGAATCGTCATCATTCCGCCTCGTCTCCCGTTGCTTCGCACTTCGGAACCTCAGGCCCCTGCGAGCCTTTTGCCAATGAGAGTCGGTGCCAGCTGACAATAGAAAAAAGAAAAAGGAGTACGTTCCGGAGTATCTTTTCCATGCTGCACTACCTGTAAGGCAAGGAACCTAGGTACCTGCCTAAGGTACCGTACCTTCCCTGGTGATTACTCACCATACATAGTAGGCACCTCAGCTATGGTATGGAGCACTACCACAGGTCAAGTCGCTTTCAGGTATTCCTCCCTCCCCGGCACCTTGTCCCGGTCCTGTCTCGTCCTTCCAAGTCCATCACTTTGCAGGACCTCCTCCTGCTCCTCCTTCCTCTGGCAGCACCATCTCCAGCTTATTGTTAGCACTGCTGTGTCTTCCTGCTTCACAAAGTCCAGCAACGTTGTCTGCCCGGATTCTGCAATTAAACCAACATCAGTAGGACAAAACCAGGAGCGGAAAGACCTGAAAAAGAGGAAGACGGCAACTACAGCACAGGAAAGCAGGTCACGCGTCGCCTTTGGTCCCGCCAGCCTTACCTCATGACACCCCAGAGAACCTGACCGGATCGATCCAAACCTTGGACTCTAAACTTCTCAAGGCGGCCCTGGCAAGGCAAGTGCCAGAAGCAAACCTAAGCACGACAAGTAATTACCGACTGTACCTCGACAGGTTAGGTTGTCTTTTCCTGGCCCCGGAGCGGAGCAGCACATCGTCAACTTCTTGCTCAACCAGTCGCCGCGCATCGCATTGCATCGCAGCTCGTCCCTTGGTTTCCAGTGTTCCACCCCAGCCCAACCCAGCCGCCGCCCAGCCAGCCCTCCTCCAAGGCCCAAGGCCCAGCCAGGGGTGTCACCTCCCTCCGCTAAAGTCCAACCGCGCACAAGTTGCGACCACGGCCGCTCAGGGTGCTCTAGCCTCTAGGTAGCCTCTAAGGTAGCCTCTCCAGCTCCCTTAGCCTCACCCCGTCGTCATTGTCACCCGCCTTGTCGGTCACTGTCGCTGCCACCATCTGCTGCCCAGTGCCCACATCTCACCACGCTGCACAGCATCTCTCCGGGTCCTCTTGCTTCGCTTCACTGTAACAGAAAAGGGAGAGGGAAAGAGACGGTGCTGCAAAACCTGAATCACAGCAACCGCAGCCCACGCACCACTGCCTGGCCCCCGACGACCCTGTGGCTCTCTCTCTCTCTCTGTGAGTCTCGCGACGCGAACTCTCGACCTGATCTTTTCTCCCTCTCTACTCCATCGACGAGACTTCAGACCAACTTGTCCTAATCGAGGATACAATTTTCCCTCCGCCCGCCGTCTCCGTCACGAATTCCCGTCTCTCTCTCTCCCTGCCGTCTTCTACGAATACTTCTCGTCTCCTCTTCGTCGCCTTGACACTCCGTTCCGTCGCACAAAATACCTCCCGCATCCTGCCCTGTACCGCCAACTCACCAATACGGGTACTTTCTCCTGCAAAGTACAGCCTGTACTCCCATCTCCCGTTTACATGCTGAGGCAGTAATCGACACACACGAGGTACCGGGCTCACAACAGACTTAGCGTCAGCGTGCCTCCTTGTGCCGACGTCCCCCCCTCCACTGTCGGAGCCTCTCCATTTCCACCTTCCGTGGGTCAGGCGTCAGTGTCAGTATTCCAGTGTTCCAGCCGCCGCGTGGGAACTAGCCCGCCTTTCCAACCCTCGCTCTGGTGACAAATCCCCGCCATTCATCTTGTCAACCTGACGAAGCCCGACAACCCTACAAGCAACATTACCACGACAAAATACACCCACGCCTACGATTCACGACTCGGAAATCGCTTGCCGTCCCGACGACCTTTTCTCCGACCGGGGACCCGACACCCCTTTCCCCCCTTGGGACCGAATCATCACGAATCCCACGATCCGCCGACCGTTTGCTCCGTCGCTCACAAGTCGTTGCCCGTCATGAGGCCCGCAGCCCCCTCAATAGACATCATGGCCACCCAGTCAATCTCGCCGGATTCTCGATCCTCATCGTCCACAAACTCGCCTCTCCCTGCCGACAATGAGGAGTCAGACTTCTTCATCGCCGGCAACGATTCGCAGTCGTCACTCGGCGTCCCCAACATCGAGGATATGCAGGTCAGCGATGATCCGTGTCAACCCGCCGTCAACCGGCTCCCTAGCGAGATCCTCATCTCCATCTTCGCCAAGCTCAACAACTCGAATGACCTCTTCAACTGCATGCTGACGTGCAAGCGATGGGCTAAGAACTCTGTCGACCTGCTGTGGCATCGTCCCGCCTGCACAAACTGGAAGAATCATTCTTCCATCTGCCTCACCCTGCAACTTGCCACTCCTTTCTTCGCGTACCGCGATTTTATCAAGCGTCTCAACCTGGCTGCCGGTCCCCTCGCAGACAAGATCAGCGATGGCAGTGTCATGCCTCTGTCTGTATGCACTCGCGTCGAGCGACTCACCCTTACCAACTGTCGCAACCTTACCGACCAGGGCTTGACCAAGTTGGTGGAAAACAGCTCCTCGCTGCTGGCCCTTGATATCTCGGGCGATGAGTACATCACAGACGTCTCCATCCGGACCATCGCCGAGCACTGCAAGAGGTTACAGGGCCTCAACATTTCTGGCTGCCGCCAAATCACCAACGACAGCATGATACAGCTTGCCGAGAACTGCCGGTTTATCAAGAGGGTATGTTTGTTCGTCACTTTCTTGCTCTTTTGCCTCTTATTCTCCCTGCAGCCGGGCCCGTATGCGCTTCGCGCTTGGCTTTCGAGCCCCGCATCGTGTTTTGGAAAATCGCTGACATGGCTCTTCCACAGCTCAAACTCAACGATTGTGCCCAGTTGCAAGACAACGCTATCCTTGCATTTGCCGAGAACTGCCCGAATATCCTCGAGATCGACCTGCACCAGTGTGCACAGATCGGCAATGAGCCCATCACTGCCCTCATCGCCAAGGGCCAGTCTCTCCGCGAGCTTCGGCTCGCCGGCTGCGAGCTCATCGACGACAGCGCCTTCTTGACTCTGCCTCCCAGCAAGACCTACGACCACCTTCGCATTCTCGACTTGACCTCCTGCGCCAGACTCACCGATCAGGCGGTGGAAATCATTATCGATGCTGCCCCGCGCCTTCGCAATTTGGTGCTGGCCAAGTGCCGCAACATCACCGACGTTGCTGTCAATGCCATTTCGAAACTCGGCAAGAACTTGCATTACTTGCACCTCGGCCACTGCGGCCACATCACTGACGAGGCCGTGAAACGACTCGTGCAGCAGTGTAATCGTATACGGTACATTGATCTGGGATGCTGCATAAACCTCACAGACGACTCCGTCACGAAGTTGGCACAGCTTCCCAAGCTCAAGAGGATCGGTCTCGTTAAGTGCAGTAGTATCACCGACGAGTCTGTGTTTGCTCTCGCTCGCGCCAACCATCGCCCACGGGCACGCCGCGATGCGAACGGCAACATTGACGAATATTACTCGTCCAGCCTCGAAAGAGTACATCTTAGTTACTGCACCAATTTAACACTCAAGGCACGTTGTCCCTCCAGTGGATTGGATTTGACTATTCCACTTGCTAACAAATATGCAGAGTATCATCAAGTTGCTAAACTATTGCCCACGCTTGACCCATCTCAGTCTGACAGGGGTCACTGCCTTTCTGCGAGAAGAATTTGCAGAGTTCTGCCGACCTCCTCCACCTGGTATGCTATTTTGTTCCTCGTCGCAGGTAGACAGGCAAACTAACGAGACCTAGAATTCACTGATCACCAGCGTGGCGTCTTTTGCGTCTTCTCTGGCGTCGGCGTAACGAAGCTCCGCGACTACCTTAACTCTTCTCCCGAATACGAAGGTCTTCGCGACTCGCCCGGTCCTCGATTTCCTGGACTCTCGAGCTTTTCATCCCGTCGGCCCGCCGATCCCCGGGCCGTGGTCGGACATGCCGGACAGATCAATGGGGACGCTGAAGTTGACGAAGCGGAGGTACCAGAGGACGATGAGTTCGAGGGTCTCGACGGCAGTGAAATGGCAGTGGATGGCCAGCCCTTGTTGGCACAAAATCTTGTGAACGGCAATGCCCAGAATGGTGTTCCTCCACCCCCTCCAAACCATGTGCCTCCGGCCGGCGCGGTGCCCATGTTCGCGCCACCACTTGGACAGGCCGCCTTATTGTTCAGCCCTACAAGCACCAGCTTCCCGCAGTCAACTCGTTCGTCAACCGCTGAGGGCCCAGCGAATCACCCGCCGCCCTTGGTCATCTCGAGCCATTACTCTCCGACAAGTGCCGGACCCAGTACGTCCACAGCGAACGCACTTTCGCCGCAAGGTACAAATCTCGGCTTCCCCGCGTACATGAACCGGAGGCCTGCACCCCTTGGTGCCAGCACTGCGTCTATGGAGGCATCAATGTTGAGCCCAGTTTCCCATCGCAGTCGGCCGGCGAGCGTCATCTCCATGGAGGCATCGATGTTGGGACCTCTAGACCCGGATATGAGTGAGCCTACCACGCCAAATGGACAGCAACAGCATTGATAAATGGGAGGACACGAAGCGGGCCCGTACACGTTTCGGGGAGCGGCTGAAGAACATGATACGCTGGCATGAGATACGCAACGACTAGATACCCAGGAGCGCGCGGGAAACACCGGTACACAGTGGGTTGGAACAGGCAAGTAAACCTTATTTGGGCTTTTTTTTTCTTTTGGTCCATGTAGCCTTTTGGCATTGTTTGGCAACAGGGAAAGGGCGTGTGCGACAAGCATAAAGGTATCTTGTGGATGGCCGTGCTTGGTTTTGGTACTTTGGCAGTCCTCGCTCGATTTTCAGGACTGCCGATATGACATTGGTCACTTGGCCAACTTTTTTCATTGGACTTTTACTCGGCGGTAGACTATGGATTTTCCATTTCACTTTGTCCTCTCCGAGATTGAGAGCAACACGGCATACTGGAGGGGGTTTAGGTCAGTTCGGCCTCGAGGCCGCGGTGTCAAATAGCACAGCATTGACGAGGAATCACATATTTATTCGGACTAAAGAAGTTCTACCGCTGTCCCAACGTCGACTCAGTGACTGTGACTAGCAAAAAGTTGTTGATTTCCCCGTCCACAACGCATCGCATGTACGAATGACGCTGGAGAAGTTGTAAACAAACTCTGAATTCCTGACCTGATACAAGCGCTATCCCCTCGCTGTATGTGCTATGCTACTATCCGCCGTGATGATATGTGAACCATTTGACTCCCGGCCCCTGTGCCATGGTATCGTACATTGCTCTACAATTTGTGGAGGCCCAGGCATTCAGGAAAGGTACGCAACGTATCCATCTTCCTTTGTGCCCATTACCAGAAACCAGGCATGACCGGTCCCCCAACCTCAGTCGACGCCAAAACCTTCTTGGCCACGAAGCAGTGCACCAGATCCCTGGATGCCAAGGCGTCCTCCAGACTGTCGTGACCGGCCCTGCCCTGTTGGATGTCACGACCTAGCATCTCGGAAGTCAGCGCCTTGAGGGAAAGCCCGCCGGCCTTGCGCTTCATGTGCTTCTTCTCAGCGGGCGCTTCTCCCTCTGCCTTTTCTGGGTCTCTAGGCTTATCGAACGAGATGAGGTCTTCGCCTTCCAGGGTGAGACCAGCAGCAGCCGCTGCCTCTGCGGCCTCCTTTTTGGCTCTCTCCTCCGCCTCCTCCGCTTCCAGTCTCTCAATCTCGGCCCGAACGTCAGTAGCGAGGATCAAAGAGTCCACCACCTTGAGGTGAATCCACCGCAGAGAAGCGAGGTCGTTGTGGACGGCGTGTCCGACGACAATGGTCTCGGCGCTCACCCACTCCCACACCGCGGCCCGGACGTTGGCCAGCCCGCCCGTGATGCACTTGCCCTTTGACCGCGCAGCCTCCATGGCCTGGCGGGAGACGCCCGAGTACCGCGTGTTGTAGTGCTGCATGCGGACTTGTGGGTAGACGAGGCTGTCGAGGAGGATCTCCGAGGTGAAGTAGTCGACGAGGGTGACGCGGATGAGTTCGGATTCGCCGTCGTAGGCGACGCCCATCTCGCAGTCGATGGCGACGGCGCGGCGGGGCGCCCTCTGGCTGGACGGGAAGGGGTCGTCGTCGAGGTCCAGCTTCAGGAGGTCGTGGGTCGGGGTCTTGTGGTATTGGTGGCGGGCGTGGACTTCGCCCGCGGGGTAGGTCCGGACGAGGTGCTCTGGGGCGTAGGTGCATCCTGGCGCGGAGACGTGGACGCTGCAGCAGCTCCAGCGCTGTGGTGTGTTAGTTGTATGGAACGTTGGGGAGTCAAGCAGAGAGCGGGGAGGGAGGGAGAGGATACCATGTTGAAGACGCGGCCGGTGTGGTGTTGACACTTGAGGACCGGCTTTGCTGGCTTCGCGTCCCCGTTTGCGCCCTCGGGCTCCTGGTCAGCCATGGGTGAAGTGCTGGTAAAGGACTTGGTCTTGGGCTGGGTGGACGGAGAGGAAGTAGAAAAGGGCGTCTTGGCGTCCGCATGGGAGCCTTTGTCGTTGGACCTCAACTTGTTCTTGTTGTTGGAGCCTATTGTGGGGATTAGTATTGGAGATGATGATGGCGATGGGGGCGAGAGCAGAGAGTAAGAGAGAGAAGGGAGGCAGGAGATGGGAAGGGTTGATGGTCTGGTAGCTCACAGCGGAGGTTGCATCTGCGGCATCGCTTCTTGTCGTCAATATCTCTCTCAGACAGTGGATTCAGGACGAAGCCGCTTTTAACGAGGACATCTTTCCGGTGGGCCATTGATCGGAGGTGGTAGAGGTATCTCTGGGTCGGCTCGATGACTAGCGAGGGGGAGCCGTACGGGTTCTCGGGTTGCTGGTAGAGAGCCATTTCGATTGTTGGCTCTGCAATGGACGATATTCTTCTGTTTGTTCGTGGTGTTGTGTGGTACCCGATGCATATGGGATGTTGTCGTGGGTGTTGATTCACTAGGCTTCGAGGATGAGCCGTTTACGCCGATTTAGTAAGGACTATCCGGCGGGTGAGAAGAGCGATGGGGTGCAGGAACGTCGTCCGGAGGCGGCTCCCTGGCTTGAAAGAATCAAATGAATCAGTCGCGTCCTGCAGGTGTAGGTGTGAGCTGAGAAAGAATGCGATGAGATTTTATGCAGCAGCTACGAAGGTGAGGGGTGAGAGGTGAAGATGAAGGTGAAGGCAGCTCAGCTGAGGTGATGCGGCGGAAGGCAGCGGAGGGCTCCTGCAGCCGATTGTCTCTCATGCTGGGCGCGCCGTGTTTGGCCGTTTGCTCTCTCTCGTTAGCGACGCCTGTCTCCTTGTTATTCCTGCCTCTTGCTCTATACTTCTTCCTCTTCCCATTCCCTCTGCTGGCGCACCTTGTTTCTTGTCGTATTTCCACTTTCCCTCGAGGCAGACTGACAATGTATTGGGGAGAATGACCGGCCCCACTTTGGCCGCCCCCGGTGACGGGATAATGGCAGTTGTTCTGTTGGTGATGTCCGTATCCGACAAGGCCTCGGCATTTCTGTTCGCGCGGCGGTGCTCAACGTCCTAGGCCTCCGGCCGATTATGCGACCTGGTTGAGAGAGCTTCGGGTTGTCGTGTTGGCTCGCCCTGGTTATGGGCGCTTAGCAAAGGCTGACTGGCAGTGACCCTATCACGTAAGCCGCGCTGGGCTTTGGGCTCACTACAGGACTGTCCAGACTATCCAGTCGTACAACAAAACAATAAGCCAGGATGATATTTGAGTCCGCTACCGGCGACGTTTACTAACAACATCTTTGACTGCACATTGTTCAAGATTTGGTTATTGATGGCAATATTAGAGTCTTGTTGAATTTCAAACCTGATTCGGAGCAAACGGACCAAGCAGAAACAACAAAAGAAATTCCCATCAAAAGCCAGAGATAAGGGAGACTCCCTGGGGACTTCTTGAAAGCAAGCCAAAAACAACCGGATGCCATTCCACGGTCCCCAAACAAGATTAGGGCCTCCCGCCGGGACGAAGTGAGCGAGTCGAGATGCGATGTTAAAATTGCGATCGCACGCGGAACAATCCCCGACGTGCCGGAGCACGGTCGATGCCCCCAACTCAAACATCGGCGCATCCTTTAAAAGGACGAACAAGTTTCAGCGATTCGCGAGACTGTGGAGAGCAACGCCGAGAGCAGTCTAGTGTACCGCGCTTGACTTGCCTTCTGCAGCCTCATGCTGGAGGCCGGCGGGTGCCCCCCAACTTGATAGGCCGACGTGCCTCAGCGATACAAGTAAGTGGTAGCAACCAATCGATAGCGTGTCAAGATTTAGATAGAATTCGGACGCGGAGAAAGATTGAATGACCCGCTTGCGATGGGCCTTCCCCAAGGGAAGGTAGATCGGTGCGAAGCCTACATATTTGGAGCTTGTTGGGCCGGCGCTCGTTTCGAAGCAGCTAGATGACACTGGTGGAATTAAAATAGGCCTTTCATTGACGTTGGCCTAGTCTACAACACCAGCAACTCTATGCTTCAACCTGCTCCCTTACAAGGCGGGGTAGTTGGTGATCATCTCGGTGACGGGCCGTCTCACCGACAGTCACCGGTCTCACCTTGACCCACTTATTGACCTCAACTGCCGACCCTAGCAACATGATAACAGCAACTTCGCGCATTGAGAGCAGCGTGAAGATTGGAGAATTTGGCTTCCTCATACCCAAAGAGACTACAACTTCGAGGCAGAAGCAACCCCTAACGGATTCACATATCTCGAGTCTTCAAATCTTCGCTGGGAATTCGAGGGAAAAGTCAAGTATCATTATCATTGGCTCCAATCATATAACTTCCAAGGGCGAACTATCCTGCAACTGTCAATACGTACACTTTCCACAGTACGAACACTCTTGGGAACACGCTGTATAGTCGTCGCCGTCACTATCGCTCCATTGGAGTTCATCCTCATCATCCGGACTCGGGCCATCCTGCACATCCTTGGTGAGCCAGGCCTTCCACCTGTCAATCACTTCACGAGAGAACGCCGGGGCCAGTCCAGGGCACTGCTTCCGAATGTCAAGCTTGTCAAACTCTCGACGACCAATCTCGAGTCGTCCATCTTGACTCATGCGTGCAAGCTGGACGATGTGATGCAGAAGCGCCGCTAACCGAGAGAGCTCCTGATTCTTGGACTTCTCCCAGGCCTTCACCTCCTTCGCTACGTCCATGACCTCAATTTCGGTAAACATGCCCCTCTGATGGTAAGCAAGGACAAAGTTGGGAATTTGGGCAACCCATAGACGAGGAAGCTCCTCGCCAAGGAAATCGGTGCCCTTCCGCTTGGCTGACCGGGTCTTGAGATCAAACACTGCTGACTGGGGCACCTCAAACCCGCCAGTATTCAGTTGTAAATGAATCGGGTCCTGGGAGACCTTTGGTGTCGTCTCATTGACTTTGAGATTTTCAATCAGGTCATCAACAGAATCCTTCTCGGTCATGGCACGACGAGGCTTGTTCGCAGACGAACCCTGCTTGTGCTTGAGATATCCATCGCCCTCGTGACGAACAATGCAATTGAGGCCCCCAAAGTCATATTGAATGATCCGCTGGTGGGATGCCGAGCCGCGGACCTCAGCGTCCCAGGTCGTGTATGCCTCTGGGAAAGTGTGTCCGTAACCCCTGACATCGGAAAGCGTCTCCTTTGGCGAGTTCTCCCTTCGAATCAAGTGGACAGCATCGCCGACCACTTCCACGAGCATCCGAAAGGGTTTTTCGTTGCCCCGAATGAATCGAAGCAAGTTCCCAATGGTGCTTCCGCAGGCGACGATGTCAACCTGTCTGGTCAAAGGCACTGGACGGGCACTTAGAACAGCTTGGATGGCGGGCTCCATCGGATGAGCGGGGAATCGAGCAGCGTTCTTATCACGATAGTAGATACCATCGTCTTCTGACAACTGCCGAGGGTGTGCAAGAGGTGTCCATCTGGGGGGTGCACCTGGCTCAATTAATACTACGCCAGGAAACGAGGCAGCATCACGTACCTGGGACGAGGATTGAAGGCGCTGTTCTGTCCAGCCAGTTGTACGACGCGATAACCTGGCAGTCGGTCACTTGAGCGGATGATTCAAACTTCAAGGCCGATTTCGATAAGGATGCCACGCTGACTGTCTCTACAAGTGGTCCGAATGGTGGCGCCGGCGATGTCGGCGCAGGTTCTGGTCGGCGCCACCGAGGATTCCGTTCGAATTGGTCATATTTCTGTCGTCGGTACATGGTGCAGGAGCGCAGGATATTGAAGAGTAAGAAAGTTGGGTGGTCACATAGAAAGGAGCAGCAACAATGGAAGAGGTGGAACTTGTTCTCATTTTTGAACTTTGTCCAATGTCGGATCACTCTCTTCATGGCGAGCCAGTCAGCAAGTCGCGAGGCAGCATCCTGCAGCCTTCATGCTGGAGGCCGACCAAACCCCTCACTTCGCGGCCCAACCTCCGCGAAAGGAGGGCTATTGTTGGTGGTAATTCTCTCTACTTCGTTATCTTTCTACGCTCCCAACACGCACCCAACAGAAAGCGTTGGACGTCGAAGCATAATCTTGTCTACATTAGCCTGGGCCGGCCATGGCATGTGAAAACTTTCCGGTCGACTACTTTGGCCAGATATCCGCACCAAGTAACGAGAACGAGCCATCCCTTACAAGAAGCTGCGTTTGAACACTGCTACACATCAATTTTCTCTCAAATCCTGAATCCAACAGCTCTGAAAGGCATAAACATTGCATCATCATCAATCAAACTTCCTTACACACGCAACCATGGTCCTCTTCAAGTCCCCGAATGTCACGGCACCTACAAAGATTGACTCTGGTCGTGCCTCTCGTCTTTTGAAGGTCTTCAGGGATGTCACCAAAGGAGGGAAAGCAATTGCCACGGCCGGTGACGCCCGGCTGTTCCTCGAAGCTATCCGAGCGAACACCTCTCCTGCTGCCTGTCTGGAAATCATCACAGCCAGCGATGTTGCACGCAAGGCCATTAGAAATAGCATTCGCATCGACTCGTCGATCTCGTTCGTACGCACACATGTCATTCCGTTCATTGCCTATTTAAGCGACCCGGAGGTGAAGATGGTGTACAGTGGCCAGCTCCTTCATCAAGTTCTGCTCATCATCGCCCACCCGCCAGTCCTCTGGGAAAGCCTCTTGAATGCTTTCCGAGAGTCTCAGCTCACCGAAGACGAGCTTCATGTCTTTGCGTGGCTCTGCTTCGAGCTTACTAGTCTTCCTGATAGCCTTCCTGATAGTGGGCTCAACAGCATTGTCGAGGATATATCGGATGCTCTGGAGCAGAAACCATTTCAGGCGGCCCAACACCATGGGACTCGCGAGCTCACGTACAGAATCAAAAAGGTACTTGCTCTCAGATCTTCTTCATCTCACGAGAAGGACGTTGGCACGGCCGGTGGCCGCCACGACAACGACTTTTCGAATTTTCGAGAAATTTCAATCTTCCCAACAAGTGATGAATTCTTCTCCAACGCCACACCATTCTATCGAACAGCTGCCGAGGTCGCTGCCACGGATCTTGTTCAGCGACCACGAGTTCATCTGGATAATCAGTTTCGTCTCCTCCGTGAAGACATGCTCGGCGAACTCCGCGAGGATTTGAAAGTCGCCATTGGCAATAAGAAGAGCAAGAAGAGGGCACAGATACTTGCTGGCTTGTCGCCCTTGGGGATTGACACGGGCGATAAGAAGCGAGGCCGTTCCTGTGCAGTTCTACTTACTTGCTCCAAGGGGCTAGAGTTCATGAAAAAGCTCCAGTCAATCAAAAGGAGGACCTTCCTAGACGGCAACAAGAACGTCCTTCGACACCAGTCTTTCGGTGCATTGTGTGGTGAAAATCACATCGTAGCATTTGCGTTCCTGCTACGGGACCTAGATCAGCTGACCAAGGAGCCCCCCATCATTACGCTGCAGTTCACCAGCAGCGAAGCTACTGCCAGAGCCTTACAGGAACTCAAGCCGTCAAACAATCTGAGGTTCATCCTTGTAGATACTCCGGTGTTTGCATATCAGCCTGTTCTGGAGCGCCTTCGGGAAATCTCAGAAATGCCACTCGGAGAAAGCCTTCTACGGCTTCATAACGATGAGACAAGTCGCCCACCAGGTTCACTACAGCAATCTCCTCATATTCAGGCATATGTGCGGCAACTAGAGGGGCTCTTGGCCGCCGAAACGTTTGTTTTTACTATAGACACTGAGACCTTCCATCTCGACCGGTCTCAGATTGAATCGCTGTTGCATGTATTGAAGAACCCTGTGGCGCTTATTCAAGGGCCTCCTGGTACGTGAATCCTAGTCTCGCTCCCTCAAAGGGCAAATGAATTGCATGTTGTACAAGACGTATGGCTAAATTCGTTGAGTATAGGAACTGGCAAATCGTTTGTCGGCGCACTGGCAGCCAAGATACTGCTGACAGACCCTGACAAACGAATACTGGTGCTAAGCTTTACCAACCATGCACTAGATCAGTTCCTCGAGGACCTGATGAAGATTGGAATCTCGTCTGATGACATGGTACGCTTGGGATCCAAATCGACCGAAGCAACTTCGATGCTGTCTCTAGATAAGCAGTTGAGAAACAATATCTACCATCGAAATACTGCAAGGTGGCAACACATCAACGGCATGAAAGCAGAGATTGATGAAGATCGGGATGGGATTGAGAAGGCATTCGACCTCCTTGTCCGGGATAAGGTTGGCACTTTGGAGCTTTTGAGCTTTCTTGAATTCTCCGACGACGACGATCGGGCATTCTATGAAGATTTTCTCTTGCCCGAACAAGAGAACGGGTTCCAACTTGCAAGCAAAAACAAGAAGGTCATGGGGCCCGACTATCTACTGGGCCAGTGGATAATGGAACCAGATGCCGGTGAACTCCGGCACCTCATCTCGCCTGCAAGCCAGCATGTTTGGAACTTATCAAAGGCTCAGAGATCTGAACATGTCCGACGATGGGTTGAGTGTATTCGAAAAGAACGGATCGAAGCATTTCAGCACTTAATCAGGAGGTTCAATGACGCTCAACGACAAGTGGACACGATGTTCAATGAATCTAAGTGTTCCTTCATGCAAACCAAGAAACTCATTGGATGCACAACAACTGCAGCTGCAATGTACAAGTCACTGATTAAGGCTGCCAAGCCCGATGTCGTTCTGGTGGAAGAGGCTGGAGAGATCCTCGAGGCTCATGTTTTGACTGCTTTACACAGCGAGACGAACCAGGTCATCTTAATCGGGGACCACAAACAGCTGCGGCCCAAAACCAACAACTATGCGCTGAGTGTCGAAAAAGGAGACGGCTTCGATCTCAACCGTTCGCTCTTTGAGCGACTGATTCTCCAGGGGCACGAACATGTCACGCTTCAGAAGCAACATCGAATGCATCCCGAAATCTCGGATCTTGTCCGCCAGATGACGTACCCGGATCTGTTGGACGATGACAAGACCAAGGCTCGGAAATCGCCCAAGGGATTTCAAGGGAGAGTCAGCTTCGTTAACCACAGCCATCCAGAGGATCTGGCCGGTGATATTGCCGATCGCCGCGATGTTGGTGTGGTCTCAAGCAAGAGTAATCTCTATGAAGCGCGAATGGTTCTCAAGCTGGTCAAATACCTGGGGCAGCAAGGTTATGGCACGGAAAATCTCGTCATACTCACGCCATATCTGGGGCAACTACGTTTGCTCAGAGACATGTTGAGTTCCGAGAATGATCCATGGCTCAATGACTTGGACTCATTTGAGCTTATTCGCGCAGGACTTATGACAGCAGCAGCTGGGAAAGTGCCGACCGCATCAGGATCAGGAAGAATCAAGCTTTCCACCATCGGTAAGTTTAAAGAAGTCTTACTCGCTAGCACCTATTGACTAACCTTCTCTTCCTCAGATAACTACCAGGGTGAAGAGAGTGACATCGTCATCGCTTCCTTGACTCGGAGCAACAACAATGGAGATATTGGATTCATGAAGGCGCCTGAGCGGCTGAATGTTTTATGTTCTCGTGCGAGAGAATGTCTCATTCTCATAGGCAACATGGAGACATTCATGGCATCTACCCACGGCAAAGCAGTCTGGCTGCCCTTCTTCAGCTTATTGAAAGAGAAGAACTATCTACACGATGGTTTCGCCATTCGCTGCCAACAGCACCCTGGCAGAACTGAATTGCTTACGGAACCAGAGGATTTTGATTCAAAATGCCCCGACGGGGGCTGCGCTGAGGCTTGGTAAGTCCCACAAGCGAGACCAACCGCACATGAACAAATGCACCAACGCTAATACACTCAACTCAGCGATGCCCTGCTGTCCTGCAGAATCCACAAGTGCCTTAGACGTTGCCACAGGCTCAGTGATCACAGCAAGGTCCTCTGCCACGAGAAACTCGCAAAGCACTGCGGCAGAGGACACAAATACCGCGTTTTCTGCAACAGCCAAAATCGGAATTGCACTGCATGTTTCAAAGAGGACGAGGATACTCGAAGGCGGCTGAAGCGAGACTTGGAAATGGAAACGGAACGTGATCTTGCCCAAAAGAAATACGCCCAAGACCTGCAAAAGGTAGATGATGACTTGGATCGCGAAAAGAGACTGATCAAGAATGCACAAGAGGACGAGAAGCAGAAAGAGACGCTGAGAGAACACACGGAGGAGCTGGAAGCTCTCCGACAGACGAGAGTTCGTGCTGAGGCGATGAAAGCCGCCAGAGAAGCCCCAAAGATTGTACCAGGTGCTTTTCCGACGGAAAGAAAATCTTCGTCGGAGCCAGATCCCGCAATTGGAAGCGCACATGAAGAGTGGCTAAATCTGAAGTCACAATTTGGAGCCAGAAGCAGTGCCATGGACCAGCTCATGGGAATGATTGGTCTCGAGAGTATCAAGGAGAAGTTTCTCTCCATCAAATCCAAAGTCGACACGGCAGTGAGACAACAGATTTCACTGTCGACTGAGAGGTTTGGCTGCTCTCTTTTGGGAAACCCCGGAACAGGCAAGGCTCCCGCACCTTTTCAGATTTGTTTCATTCAGCTGCTGATGAAAATATCACAGGTAAAACCACTGTCGGACGGATTTATGCCACGTTTCTTGTATCGGTGGGTGTCATAGCCGGCAGCAGTTTCAAAGAGACATCTGGTTCGAAGCTGGCATCGCTTGGCGTGTCCGGCTGTCAGAAGCTGTTGGATGACGTCCTGAACGACGGTGGCGGAGTCATTTTCATTGACGAGGCCTATCAGCTTTCTTCAGGTAATAGTCCTGGTGGCCGTGCAGTACTGGATCTCCTGCTCGCGGAGGTAGAGAACCACACAGGCAAGATTGTCTTCGTTCTCGCTGGCTACAGCAAGCAGATGGAATCCTTCTTCGCGCACAACCCTGGATTCCCGAGTCGATTCCCGATCGGGATGAAGTTTGATGACTACAACGATGACGAACTTCTAAAGATTCTCCAGTTCCAGATGGAGAAGAAGTACGGAGGCCGTATGAAGTGGGAAGACGACCTTCACCTTCGGGTCGCGTGTCGTAGACTTGGCCGAGGGCGCGGAAAGGAGGGGTTCGGTAATGCGCGAGAGATTGAGAATCTCCTTGCCAATGTTACCAGCCGGCAGGTCAATCGAATTCGAAAAGTTCGCCGAGGGGGCGCAAACCCAGATGATCTCCTGTTCGTAAAGGAGGATCTGATTGGACCCGAGCCTTCAGCTGCCCTCGACCACAGTCAAGCTTGGATGAAATTACAGAACTTGATCGGCCTCGACTCAGTCAAAGACTCAGTCCGAGCCTTGATCGATAGCATCCAGACAAACTACGTTCGTGAGCTGGCGGAGGAACCCATCATCGAGTATACGCTCAACAAAGTCTTCCTTGGATCACCGGGAACGGGGAAGACCACCGTCGCTAAGCTGTACGCCCAGATTCTGGTCGATTTGGGTCTGCTATCAAATGGAGAGGGTAAGTTAGTGTACTTGGCTTCCAAGTTTCGATGCTAATGTTTCATAGTGATTCTCAAAAATCCGGCAGACTTCGTAGGTGCTGTATTGGGAGGCTCAGAGGCCCAGACTAAGGGCATCCTAGCGTCAACTGTCGGGAAGGTTCTCGTCATTGATGAGGCTTACGGATTATATGGCGGCAGCGGCTCTTCTGGGGGCGGTTCTGACCCTTATAAGACTGCTGCCGTAGATACCATTGTTGCCGAGGTGCAGAGTGTTCCAGGTGAAGATCGATGCATTTTGCTTTTGGGCTACAAGGACCAGATGGAGGAGATGTTCCAAAATGTCAACCCAGGCTTCAGTCGACGGTTCCCGTTGTCGTCTGCTTTCGTCTTTGAAGATTTCAATCAAGCCGAGATGCGGGAGATCTTAGACCTCAAACTCAAACAACAGGGATTCTCTGCGACCGACCAGGCCAAGCAAGTCGCTACGGAGATGCTTGCACGGGCCCGCAACCGACCCAATTTTGGCAACGCGGGAGAAGTGGACATTCTCCTGAACGACGCAAAGGCACGCCATCAGCGACGACTGACTTCTAAGGAAAGCGATCAGGTCTCTACGCTCGAAGCTCTAGACTTTGACCAAGACTTTGATCGTGCGGAGCGAGCCGAGACCAATGTTTCCAAGCTTTTCGAGAGCACCGTCGGTTGTGAAAAGATTGTCGCTACACTCGAGGGTTATCAGAAAACTGTGCGCTGCATGAAGGCCCTGGACATGGACCCAAAGGAAAGTATTCCCTTCAACTTCCTCTTCCGTGGTCCTCCAGGCACGGGCAAGACTTCAACCGCGAAAAAGATGGGCAAAGTGTTCTACGACATGGGGTTTTTGGCCAAAGCTGAAGTCATTGACTGCTCCGCATCCGATCTCATTGGCCAATACGTCGGCCAGACCGGCCCTAAAGTGCAACAACTTCTGGATAAGGCTCTTGGAAAAGTGCTGTTCATTGACGAAGCGTATCGTCTTGCGGAAGGGCACTTTGCCAATGAGGCAGTTGATGAAATTGTCGATTCCGTGACGAAGGACAAGTACAAAAATCGACTTGTGATAGTCCTGGCTGGCTATGACGAAGACATCAATCGGCTACTCTCAGTCAATCCGGGCATGTCAAGTCGCTTCCCTGAAGTCATTGACTTTCACAGTCTTGGCCCAGAGAGTTGCTACGATCTTTTGCTCCAGCTTTTACTCAAGAAAAAGAAGATGATTCAGGGTAAGAAGGCATCTAACAGTTTTGCGCTGGAATGCCTGTCGAGTCCATCGTCAGACTTCAAGCAGGGAATAACTAGCATGTTTTCCGAGCTCAGGACAACAGCCGGTTGGGCTAGCGCTCGGGATGTTGAGAGCCTTGCAAAGTCGATTTTCAGCACCGCAGTCAATTCCAGCCAAAGCGGTCAAATTAGGGTCACAGAAGATCTCGTGAAGGAGCAATTTGACAAGATGCTTGGTGAGCGCGAAAGCCGAACCAAGAAAGCTGGAACGATTGGTGGAATGCCCCAACTAAAGCCGCGGGCTCAGCAGATGAGATCTCCTCTTCAACCACCAAACATGCAAATCACGGCGCAAACTGCCGTAGGAACTAGAGAAGACGAAACGAATCTCGTCCCTCCTGAGAGTCCGGTGGCAGATGTCGATGACGGGAAGCGCAAAGCGACACGTGATGCTGGTGTCAGTGATGAGGTCTGGGAGCAGTTGGAGAAGGACAAGAAGATCCAGGAAGAAAAAGACGCCAAGTACCAAAAGATGCTCGAGAAAAAGCGCAAAGCGATTGGTGCCGCTAGGGAAGCTATTCTCAAAGAGCTGATCGAGGAGGAAGAACGACGGAAGAAAGAAGAGGAGCAGCGTAAGAAGGCTGCGATGATGGGACGATGTCCCATGAATTTCACTTGGATCAAGCAAATCGCCGGTTTCCGGTGTGCGGGAGGTTCACATTTCATTTCTGATGAGGAGATTGTACATTCTTGATGCGCGCTCCTCAATCTCAAAGGCGGATAGTAAGAGGACATTGTAGATTGTAAATTTCATGATTAGTGTTTCTGTAAGATGTAATTCGAATTGTGATACGATCTGGTTCAGCCCCTTCGCATCCTGTGTTTTCTTGATGGCCTCAACCACTACAAATCGACATGCCAAAGCTGAGATGAACCGAGGCTCGATCAACAAACAAGAGTAATGTCTCATGACATACGCAAATACTAGGTGTTACAAAGAATACAACCTGCAACTCTCATGCAGCATTCCTACGTCGGAGATATATTGATACATTCCAAACATGGCTACAGCATTACTTTACTTGCTCATCGTAAGGTAGGATTGGATCGCCGAAACAGATGAGCCCCAAGGGACTATCGGACCTCATGATGTTGATCGCAAGGATCAAACATTATGTTCCGGGGTTTCTGAGCACGCTCCAGGCGACTGACATGATTGATGAGCCGAAAAAAAAATCGATTCGAGTGAGTCGCGACACCGGGGTCCAGATGCGATTGGCTCAACAGACCAGTGGTTGGGAGTACCAGCGTCGAGTGCCGAATGACTAGGGGCCCTGGTGCTCTCACCCTGTCAATATTTGCTTCAAGGACATCCATGTACCGGTAACATGAAGCTGCCAGGGATCACGGGAGAGTCGCCAAGCCTCCGACGGGTTGACCAGATCTGGGCGATACCCCGGCTTCAACGCCTGACACGGGCCTAGCGCGTGGTCGCCCAGCTCTTGAGGCATTCTTGGTGATGTCCTTATAGAAATGGATGTAGGCAGTGACGTTGTGGTTAGTTAATAAAGGCAAGAATCATGAACTTGAGGGTTTGCAACCATGCGGGAAAGCTTCTGTCATGATAAGAGTATATGGCGAAGAGGAACGGCATAAGTGATTAGTTATCATGACACAGCGAGTTCTTCTCGTGTTAAACTTGTCAACAAGTAATGTCGTCTGTCAAGTATGGGTGCTGGGGTGGTCAAGGCATTATCGGGCGCCGCGGCATCACAAGGTCAAAGCTCAACAAGTTTGTGGTTCGCCTGCCGCCCATAACAGCCAATAGGCTGTTGACAGACGTAAGTAAGGTTTCGCCAATATCACCAATCCCCGAGGGGTCGGAACCAGGCAGATTTGCGTGGTTAGATTTTCACCCGTCAAAGGAACGTAAACGAGGATCCATTGGAAGGATCAACAACACCCGGCTGTGCCGCTGTGAAGTGAGGTTTTACTGTTGGATCTCTCGTAGGATCGACGGCAAAATATGTTTTATAAACTAGATAAATCCGGAGAATCTGCTACTGCTCTGGTCACGTCAGGCATATAGGACTCAGTATGGTCTTGATTCTCACCATTGTGGACGAGGCCATTGAGGTTTACTGCCAACCTGACTGGCCTGACTGGTGAGGTTTATTAACATACACTGACTACCTTTGTCTCAAATGTGGAATTTAGGAATTCGTTTACGTTTTCGCGTAGTGTTACGTGTGTGGGATACGCAACTTTAAGTATTTGATCCTGACAACGGTTGAAAGTAAGCGCAAGGTTTGTTTGTTTGTTAGTTAGTTTAACGCCTATTCCACCTATACACGGTGCGAATACAAGAGGAAAAAGTATTATTCGTTTGTAATACCAAGTAATCATCAAACGACTTTGATGAAGGTACAAAGGAGCAGAAGCGACCGCCGGGGTAGAAGGTAAATCCCATACGTCGTGATGACATGTAAGCGCATGGTGACGAAGCAGTCAGGACAATGACTACATCAGAAGAGTCAGAAGTAATTGATACTATCAAAGTTGTAGTGAAAGAGAGTCTCAATGATGATTTGCTACAGGCTAAACAAACTGTAAGGAGTATTCCCATCTGTACTTTATTGCTCGTCCTCCTCTGCAGCGTCTTCTGCGAAATCGACCACATTTGCCTTCGTCGCACCAGTCCCTCCTCCAGCCGCACCACCGCCAAGACCGCCGAGTCCACCGAGAAGTGCGCCAAGTCCTCCAGCGCCACCAGCGCCCGCCGCACCGCCAGCTGCACCTCCCGTGATACCTCCGAGGAGGGCACCCAAGCCTCCGGCGCCGTTGGCACCGCCAGCACCACCCGCACCGCCGAGGAGACCACCGAGCAGACCCTCAAGACCCCCAGCAGGGGCCTTGGGAGCAGCAGCAGGTGTCTTCGGGGCGGCAGGGGCAGCAGCAGGAGTCTTGGGTTTAGCGGGAGCAGCAGCAGGGGGAGCGGTGGTATTAGTTGCAGGTTTGGCTGGAAAGCAAGAGTTTCATGGTTAGTATTCGATTATGTTTAGTTTCTCGGACGGACGGACGGAGACGGGGGAGGAGCCAGGGACGGCGCGCGACGGAAGGGGGGTGCTCTACGCACCACCTGCGGGAGCGGCACCACCGGCGGAAAAGGCCGTGATGCCCCTGTCGAGAGCGGAGGAGATCTGGTCGATGCTCTGCTGTGCGATACCTTGACCGATGGCAGGGACCTTGGAGACAATGGCGGTTCCGAGGTCGCCAGAGGCCGCCTTTTGTTGCTGGAGGTTCTGAAGGACAACGCTGGAAACACCGATCATGTCAAAGTTGGGCTTCTTGGAAATGAGAGTGTCAATCAAGGCTGATGCGGACATAGTCAGGTCGCCGGCGGTCTGTTGAAGGCCGAGAGCCTCCTGGAGCTGCAAAGGCTGAGCACCCTGAATGTCGGTTGCGGCCTTTGACAGAACCATCTGAACATCAGTTGAGGCAGCCAGAATAGGTTGCGCAGATGCAACATCATTACCAACACCCTGCAATGATCAGGTTAGCGAATCTGATCATGCTGCTGTTCCCGCGTATCCCATCTCCACTTCAGATCGGGCCCGGAGGTTTTCACAATGGTACCCGTAAACCGTCTGTGAACGTACCTGGACAGCGGTGTTGAGCTTTGACAGAGCTCCCTGCACGGAGGTCACGGCGCCCTGGATGATTGCGAGTTGACGCTTCTCGATGGGGGAGGCGAAGGCGGTGCCAACGAGGGCGAAAAGGAGGGTCTTGGTCAACTGCATTGTGGTAATAAGTCACTAGCCAGAGTGATCTGTTTTGGTATCAGAATAGGATTATAAAATAGCTCGAAATGAAAAAGAAAGGCTCCAACCGGGGAGTGTATAAGTGAGAGCGTTATAAAAGTCTGTGCCGACAAGGTTTGATGAAGTGAAGAGGTCTTGATTCACGACTGTGAGCCGGGAACCATCAGCTTGATATACCAGTAACCGAATGGCCGCGCGCTGACCTCATGTGCCACGGGCAAGCATTTCTCGCGAGTTCACCTCGGAAGCAACTCTAAGTCCCTTGCACCTAGATAGGCCGAATGTACGCATAGCCTCCGAAGCCTGAGACGATGGAAACCATAGAGGTGTGGATATTATTATCACACCAAACCAATGGCACCAAGGCTTGCGGGCAGTTTCTTCGGACGTCTCAAGGTATTCGAGAGCTCTCCCTTGTTTCTACTGCGTAGGAGGGCACGGATTATGTGCCACGTTGGGCCCATTCCACACGTCCAAGTCAGCTGCATCTTCCTAGCTGTCGTGATTGAGTTGAGGGGAGCAGCACTAGCTTCCGCGGCGTCTTGGCAAGTAAGTCGCCCCCTGCCGGTGCGTATTGACGAATCCAGAATTGAGCCATGTCAGAGTGTGTGTGTGAATTTGTGTTATGTGAGCTGATGGAGTGGGCAGCCAAATTAGTCAGTTGTACGTGCTTGCGAGCCTTGGAGTTCAGATGAAACGGTACTCGGCCGTGTAAGTCGTCTCACGGAGCTGACTACAGCTACCCTTTCCGAAATATACAGGGAGCCCCCTGTTTGAGTGACAGTGTGTGTTCAAAAAATCGTGAGACGTTTGGATCAGTTGAGATTTTAATGCCAAGGACTTCCCTCCGGATGTTGTGCGGCGAGGGGGAAGGGAAAGAAGGAGAAGGGGGGGGGGGAGAGGCCGCAGGGCTGAGGGTCTGTCTCCCTCTCACCATCTTACCGCTTTTGGGTTGATCTGCACCATACCACCCTTCACAAACGCTTCGAGTTAGAGAGTCAAATGTTTTCAAGCGCGAAGACATCTGTCATTCGCCGATGGCTTACAGGAACCTGCTGACGATCTGCACACTTGTATACAGTAAACAACGCACCACACCAGAGTTCTCCACCCAGCCTCCCGCGCACAAGCCAGCGGAGCACTCGAGTGATTTGTGGATTTCCTGTCTGGGAAATCTGGAGGAGAAACTCTCCACATGTTGGTGGCCTCCGCTTTACCGGGATGGCCGCAAAACAGATCCAAACGAGGTCAGGCTATAGATCGCCGCAAGGGTTACAAAGAGGAGAAGCAAGAGTTGACGGCTCACATCTGGGGGGCCATGTACCATGAATGCACTAGATTTAACCTTTGCAATAAGGTAAAAGGTGTCAGATGTATGAGGGAACTATCGATCCCCACGGAAACGAGGTTTAATATGGCATTTCTGTCTACGCCAGAGTAGTGTCCCTCTTGGCTCCTTGATACCTTTTGATCTGGAGGACATGCAACATCATCATGGCTGTTAATAGCTTCTGCTGCTGGAGAGACGATTATGTCGTCGTCGGGTTGGCCGTTTCTTAGCCGCAGATGGCATCGTCGGCTGAAACGCCATGACGGTTGATCGGCTGCCACCCAGATTCACCGGCGCAAGGCCCTTGTGTTCATTGACATAAATCGAGCTGGAACACGAAAGGAAAGCCAGAGATCCAGATCAGAGACTGCCAAGACATAGATGGATTGGCCCCGCCAGTCTCTATCGCCCAATGACACTGCATGATGGACAATGCGTCGCCTCCTTTGCCCACACATTTTCCTCTTCTGGCAATTCACGAGTCAGCTGGAAGCGGAACTAGAGGCAAAGAGGGCACGTGGAAGGGTTTTGCAAATGGGCAAACGCGGCTTTGGGGTTTGGTATTGAGTTGCAGACTGCGCGGCGACACGGCCTATTCGTTCCCTGCAGGGTCGCTGCACAGAAACGCGGGAATTGTTCGAGAAGACTGTCAGACAAAGCCGTGGTAGTGTCACCCGCAGGTCTTGTCTCCGCCTACGACGAGAGCTTGATGCCGATGCGAGTGCGATTATTCGCCGCACCGGAATGGCGGCAAAGACGGCCAACAAATGGGACGAAATGACCAAGTACCTAAGGCTGATGTGACAATTGTCCGCGGAATGCGATTCGTAGTTCAGCTGACTGGAGCTAGTGAGGCTGAGGACCTTGACTGACAAAGACAGCTGGACATCTCCGGGAAGGCCCTACAATATTCTCGGAGGTTGCCCGGGTGTTTCTCGAATCAAAGTAGGCGGTGAGCCTCCTGTCAGAAGGCCGAAGGGTTCGGCCCCGCCTTCGGCACGGGGATAAGCAAAGCGGGACCAATCTCGGCACCCCGAGACCCACCCGGGCCTCGGGGTTATCGCTCGGTAAATTCATCACCATTCGATGTGAGTCGGACCTTCAACTCAGCTGCCGACTCTGCTATAGTGCCTCGTAGATAAATATCGGAAAATCGTCCAAGTAAAGGCAGAATTTCCTCTCCATCATATTCCATCAAGTCTCTCACACTCACATCGTAATAATTCAAATCAATCGCCTCTGTCGCAATTTCAGCCATGAGTAATTACTCCGAGACCCTCTCCGCACTAGCATCGCAGCTTTCGCAGCTGGCGACTTCGACCTCTAGCGATGTTGAGAAGAACAGCACCGCTGTCGACATTGCACAAAAGATCCTTGTAGCAACTCGAGGACCGACGCCAGACTGGATGGACTGGATGATCAGTGTTTTGGAATTAATTGGGCTGAAAATATTCCTCGACTGGAAGGCCCTGGAAATGATCCCGCTGGAGGGCTCTATTGAATATGCTGATCTGGCTGGGAAGGTGGCAGCGGACGAGCCTCTCGTTAGTAAGTCGGTCCACTGAACCAGCAAATCAATTTGCTAATAAACGTCGAAACTTACATCAACAAAGGACGGCTCGCCTGGGTTCTTGTCTCTGGTGGGATACTGCATCAGATTGACGAGGACAAGATTGCGCATACAGAAAAGTCGCGCCAGTATCTTCCTGGGATGCCCAACGAAATCTTACTTCACATGATGTGAGGCTTGATCGAGACACTGACTTGTATAATGATCTAACACATCAATCAGGTTCGAGGAGCACGTGGTCACAGCCCTGAAGCTTCCAGAGTACTTTGAACAATATGGCCGCCGGGAGCCGGCTACTCGCCGTCACACGCCCTATGCCTTTGCTCATGGTCAACCTGAAAAGGAAGTTTGGGAGATCCACCAAGAGAACCCTGAGCAGGTGAAAAGATTCATGAAAGGAATGGAGATGGTGCAGCAATTCATTCCTTTGGCGGGTATCTACGACTTTAGCTGGGTGGAGGCGAAGCTCTCCGAGCAGCACGACAGACCGATTCTTGTAGATGTGGGCGGTAGCAAGGGCCATGTCATCAAGGCGATCATGAAGGAAAACCGTTTCTTACCAGCCGATCGCATCATTCTCCAAGACAGAGATGAGGTGATTGAACAAGTTGCCAAACTCAAAGATCCGGAGCTTGAGGGAGTACAATTGCAAGTACACGATTTCCATAAAGCGCAACCCGTCAAAAGTACGTTTATGTTCATTCAACGTCTACCATGTTTTCTTGGAATCAGCTGACACATGCAGACGCATTGATTTATTGGATCCGGCGTTGTCTGCACGACTACGGAGACGATGACTGCGCCATGATGCTCACCCACTTATCGGATGCTATGAGTTCGGACAGCAAGGTACTAGTCGTCGAATACGTCCTCCCAAACCCTCCTCCGCCTATTGGCGCCATGACCGATTTCAGCATGCTTGGAATCGGAGGAAAGGAACGAACTGCCACCGACTGGGAACTGCTCATAGCTAGGTCTGGGCTGAAGATCCAGGAGATTCATGGCTTGGACATGAAGATGCAGGTCATTGAATGTGTCAAAGCCTGATGTGGCATCGAGCGATGAAGAAAAAAGGCATCGTTAAGCTGCCCAGATACTATTAGCTGACGACCGCAGCCTCATCGTGGTAGTCGAAATATGATAACTGCTAGTTGTCACGCATCTGAACCTAATTTAATTCAAGTGCTAAAGGATCGAACCACTGTTAGGCCCTTTGTCAAAAAAGTCTATCAAGGATGTTTCGCGTGCTATTTTCGTGTCCAATGAGTACCATACTGGGCAGCATAATTAACCCTACGAACTTTGAGAACGCCCGCACATGAACGGAACTGCAGGCGAAACTTCCCTGCTTGACGAACGCAAATTCATGTGTCCCCGGAAGTTTCTTTTGACTCCATGTTTGTGCAGGAGCCTGTGATGAAACAACCTTAGTCCACCGGCAAACCCTACTTTCTTTGACATACGCCCAGAGGCGGGTATGTGCGGGCGAGTCCCCGCGTCATCTGCCTACCTCAGTCTTCAGTCATTGAACATTGGATGATCCTACCATCGTCATAGTCAGCCACGGACCAGGGCATTAAATGTGTCAAAATCTATTGTGGACAAACCTTGTGCATCGCCCAAATTTCGTCGAAATAAAAAGCGCGATCAAGATCAGGTCGAACATCACCGTTGCCGAGCCACGCCATTCGATGAACATATTCTTCAGATCTTTCGTAGTTGAAGTCTTCCCATCGAGGGTGACGCAGAGCGGTATAGCCATGCAGACAAGAGCCTGGCCACAAGGTTCGGATCTTGGCCTTGCCAGAAGCTCCGTTTTTGTACCATGACTTGCAGTTGCCTAGAATTCGAGGAGTACAAGATTAGTTTTAATCGGAGAGGGCGACAAGTCGAGTCGATTGACCGAGGAAAAAAGCAAAGCTGCGACTCGCTTACCATTATAAACAGTCCTGTCGAAGTAATTGTCTGCGTACTCAAGAAATGATTCGACAGCTTCGTCCTTCACAACCATGCTCTTGTACCCTTCTCGGATGCATTTGTGGATGCACTTCGTTACGTAGGCGATTTGTTGCTCCATCAAGACAAGCAAAGAACCTGACCCAACGCCAGACTGTGCGCACAGAATTGGGAAGCTATCAAGATCATAAGCGCACGGGACTTTTTAAAAGATTTGCCGTTCAAAGACTGCTTACAAGTTAGGCATTTTAGGAACACAGATAGCTAAGTACTGCTTGACATCTGTGGCCCACAGGTCTTGTAGATTGATGCCGTCAGAGCCATAAATCGGAAATCCAGGTATGGCAGAAACATCCTGGGTATTTTGGTTAATCATGGAGCAAAGTATTGAACGATGAAGGGAGCTCACGAAGCCAGTGGCGCAAATGATTGCGTCAAATTCATGTTCGCGGCCATCGGCTGTCACCAGACCCTTCTCGGTAAACAAGGCTAGCTCTTGAGAACAAAACTCAACATTGTCTGCCGTCAGACTCTCCAGATAACCTGAAAGAAAGCGTTGCGTCAGTCAAATTTGGTGTTCAGTAAGACTAAGACTATGGAAGGAGTTGTGAAAAGCATGCTCTGGTCAGCTTACCTGGTCCTGGCGTGAGGCGTTTGCAGGCAACTGGAAAGTCGGGTATCAGATTCTCAGCAATTTCAGGCTTGGGTGAAAGTTTCTCCTTCATCATTTTCTCCATAGCCTTTCGAGCCTCTAGCTGCAAAGGTTGGCCCTGCTCAGTGATTTTGTGCACGGAGTTGAGGCCCCGCTCCAACTCTCGACGAAATTGAGAGTAGAAACCTTCATCTGTGAAGCTTTTCTTTTCCTCGGGAGAGAACACATCTAAGGGAGAGTTCAGTATTAAGAGGTGAAGATTGCCGGACTCTGAAGTGGGGAGCCTTACGATTGCTAGCTCCTGCACCTCCCTCGAGTCCTTCTAGAAAGGCAGAAGCGAAAGTCGACGAGAGCCAAGCTATGAGCATTTTGTAAATAAGCTTGCCCGTTCGCGAGGACAATATCATACTTACTCCGGCTTCTTGCAAAGTTCGTAACATGTCTTGCTTTCTTCTGCATCTGTGGCATGATCTGAATTGCACTGGATCCCTGTGTAGATACATAAGTAGTGTTTAGGCTGGAATCCTGTCTTATTTTATGGCCGTTGCTGCTACTTACTATACCAATGACGGCGACTCTCTTGTCCTGCCATGAGAAGCCTTCTTGCGATTCCTCTTTGGCTGCATCCCAAGTGGCAGAATGATGCAGGACTCCCTTGTATCTTTCGCGGCCTGTTTGCTATATGTCAGTTCTGCAGTGCTTGCCTAGATGGCATTGTCTAAAGAGTCTTCAGTTGCCTGGCTTGGACTTACCCGTAATCGACGGCCATTTTGGCTTTGATAGAAGACCAGTGGCATATAAGAAGAAATCTGCTTCGTCTACTTTCTCCTCATTCTTGTCTAGATCTAGCACTTTGACGGACCACTTCCCGCGCTCTTGGGACCATTCAGCGCCAACGACTCTGTGCCGCAACTTGATGTGGCTCTGTAATTCAAAATGATCGACAACCTTCTTCAAATATCTGTGTATCTCTGAGCCGGGTGCATAGAATTCTGACCACTGGGTATTCTGACAGAACGAATACTGGTAACTGTGAGATGGGATGTCGCATGCGGCACCAGCATATCGATTGTGGTGCCACACACCGCCGATATCATCTGCAGCTTCGTAAACCTGAAAGTCAATGTCGGGAATATGCTCTATCATGTGAATTGATGCCCCAATTCCACTGAAGCCTGCGCCGACGCAGATGACCCGAACTTTGCGATTGTCATCGATGGGCCGCTCAAGAAGAGGAGCCGCCCAGGCGTAGTTTACTTCCGCCCTGTCATAAGGTTAACTGAGTATATGTAGTCACCGATTTCAGGGGAGGGAATGCAATATCGAACTTACTGTACATTTCCCGGTGAGTTACCATTGGTAATGCCAGACGAATCCCCCTCACTCAAGCTCTGAACCATGATGGATCAACACAACCTCAGTAGGCTGCTGGCAAATGACGATGAATGAATATGACAGCGCTGAATGTTACCACAAATATTCTTGCAAGATGGGAGAGATTGCAGATGGATTTGGCTGCCGCAATCGAGTCTATGATGGTGCAGTTAAGAAGGAGGATCTGGATCACGGCTGTAGTGGGCTTTGTTGACGCGCTTTCACGGCCCAAGGGATTCCGAGTTAGCCCATGCAACATGAGCTGGCATGCCGAAGTCTGAGCCGACATTTGGAGCTAACCGTCCATTTCTCCAGAATTGGCAGGATAGGCAAGTCTGTTGTTTAGATCGATGATTACAGAAGAGGGGTAAGTTCGGTAAATGGTAGCCGTCCATTCGCGTTCACGAGGATGCCCGTCATATGTACACGTGAGTAACATCTTATTTAAGCAGGCGTCATATATTACCCTAGATCTACATATGGCCCGAGTCACCCTGTGATTATGATACGTCGGCCATATTCATCAATTGGCCGTTATCATCTCACCGCAACCGTCACCTGCCTCATTCTATCATCGTTTGATTGATTGTTTGATTGATTGTTTGATTGATTGTTTGATTGATTGTTTGATTGATTGTTTGATTGATTGTTTGATTGATTGTTTGATTGATTGTTTGATTGATTGTTTGATTGATTGTTTGATTGATTGTTTGCTTGTTTGATTGTTTAACGCCGGTTCCGCCCGAAAGGGTAAAGGGCGCCTACATCGGCTGTCTGAAACTGTCCACTTCTATATACAGTGCGAATACAAGAGAAAAGTAACTTAAATCCCGCTGAACCCGGGTAATACGAATCGATCTTGGTGAAGGTACAGAGGGTAGATGCGTCAGACGGAGTAGGGGGTGGTTCCCACATCGTGGGCCACCCGCTATCTTTGGCCCGATGCGTGGGTGCGGCGGGACGAAGATTTGAGAGGGTCAATGAAGATGATAAAAGAAACAAATGTAATGTTGATTTCGCAATCACTATCATGTATATTAAGAAAGGCTAGTGGTTCTCATAGGTCCTGGACAACTTACTGAAGACCGACATACTCGACATCATTCTGTAGTCGGTCGTCCTCCCTATGCCCCGTGCGAACGAAAAAAATACGCCCCCGAGAGATTTCGCAACAAATATAGACTAAGTGATCTGAGGTTATCTAGACTGAGAATCTTCCTCGGAGCTTATGCTCTTTCCTTCCATAATAAGGTGATAGAAAACTCAGGTCACAGCAAGCCCACTTCAGGGACTACACTTTCATCAACGAGGTACCTTTGGTAGACTAGAAAGACGCGCGCTGAGGCTCTTATTCGTTGTTAGTTGTGGAGCATTGTGGAGGTCAGTCGGATGATACTCAACTCACTTCGATAACTAGAAACCATGCCTATCACTAAAATGCTGCGATCCCGTCTTGCCGATGACAGAAAATCTCATTTCTGATCTGTCATAGTCTGAAGGTAGTTCTGTTCAGGAAATGCCATGCAAGGCCGAACAATGGGCTTAATTCAATAGAGGTAAAGGAGTAAATGAAATGCTGATTTATAATACCTATTGGAATATGCTGCTACTGTCATCTATCGACTTACGATGTGGTCTAGAGCTTGGAAAGCATGAGATGAGAGGTTAAACCCCTTTGGTTGAAGTCTCTCTCACGTGCATAATGACTATCTGCCCCCTAACTTCAATTTCTTCTTTTGATCATATTCCGCGGCTCGAGATGGCGGGCGTAAATCCGGAAATGGCTTTCTGCATGGGCAACGTGAATTTCCAAAGGCTGAACCATGATGGCACACACAAGAGAATCGGATACCATCTTAAGCGAATTTCAGCCGGACAGCTCGTGAAGCTGCGAGCTGATTTTCGTCACAATGAGGGAATGGCGATGGTCTGGAGAACAGCGTTTAGTGAGGCTGAATAGAAGCTAGATAGATAGTATTTTTTATTAATTGACGGCATCTGCTTTCGTCGGGCCAATGCCGATCTCGGACCTTCCAGATCCCCCTTGCATCATATGGCTTAATGTGATTGGAATGATTGGAACAACCTTTTCTCAATCAACATAAAAGCAACGTTGTTGTTCCTTTTGTTCTGGGAATTTTCGCATGCGCAGCGATATCGCAGGGTTCACAACAGAGGCTGATGACGCCATCTGTGAACCGATAGCGTGACGTTCCACCAGAATGGTGAAAACCACAAAACGAATTCACTAAAGCAGAAAAGCCCAGGGAAAGCCCCTCATCCCCAGACCATCACGACATTCAGGGGCCAACCGAAGGGCGCGAGATCTGCGCAAGATCTGGTGCGTTCCTGGCGGTGAAGGATTATTGTGAGATTGACTTGCAGGTGCACTAATAGAGGGGGGCGGCTTACCAAGCACGCAATCCAGCAGTACGACTTACAAATCCGTGTCATACCGCTTTGTTGATCTATAGACTGGATTTATATAAGACGACCTTGGAATCCGTTTCACCGTGATTGTTTCGAAGCCGGCCACACAGACGATTGAACTCTATCATCTCACATAATTATAACCTACCGCTGCTTTTCCGAGACTTCCGACATTTTGCTCAATTACCCCTCACCTCCGTATCGCAACAATGGCATCAGTCACCGTTTACGACGCAGTTATCCCTACTTTCACTAAGGGTCTGAAGACTTTTGATCACATTTTGACAAAGGCTGAGGAGCACGCCAAGGCCAACAATGTAGACGTCAACACATATGCCGAGGCCCGCCTCGTCGAGGACCAACTCCCCCTCACTTTTCAGGTTCAGAATGCGACAAAGACTGTCAAGACCAACATCAGTCGCCTGACGGGTGTTGAGTTGGAACCTTATGAGAACACAGAGAAGACTGTCGCGGATCTCCAAAAGCGTATCAAGGATGCTTTGGATCTGCTCAGCAAGGTCGATGCTGCCACTGTCAACGCAAAGGCCGAATCCCAGGTCGACTTGTAGGTGATCGAGCCGTGTAACGAGACAGGCTGAAGGCTAACAAAATGCTTAGGCCCATCTTCGGTGGCAAGACGTTGAAGGTCACAGCGAAAGAGGCTGCGCTGAGCCATGGAGTTCCCAACTTTTTCTTCCACTTGAATGCGGGATACGCTATTCTTAGATCGAAGGGAGTACCCGTTGGGAAGGCCGACTATCTTGGCAGTTTTGTTGCTCAGTAGTGTTGGAGCTTGGTTTAATAAATAAATGAGCTTGATGATTACCAACAAAATCAATCGATGAGAGTCAGACAATATGCATAAACCTTCGTCGCGTTAACTACCTAAGTTGCCATATGAACCAAGCGAGGTGTAAACTTGGTTTCTTGCGGGAGGCCACATGGTTAATGCCGTATGCTATTTGAACCAACAGCGAGAGGAAAACTCAAAGATTGAAAACACAAAACAAGACCACGCATAGTCTCGCTACTCTACAGAAATAATGAGGCTTGCTCGAAATCAAAAATATCATACTGCACACAGACAAGCAACATGAACGACCAACCTGGGACTCGAACCCAGAATCTTCGGATTAGGAGTCCGACGCCTTACCATTTGGCCAGCCAGCCAGATCAATGAGCGACTTCCCACAAGTGGTTCATTTCGTAGGATGGATCGTGGAAAAGATGGGGGGGAGATTCAAGAGTTTGTTGCAATTTGCTGCACCAATATGGGTCTTCGCAGAGCTCGGCGGGTCTGTGCCATTGTGAATACGTAATCTGGTATGCTTCATCTTTCAGAAGCTTAAAACCTATGGAGTTCAGAACTTTGTCTATCAATGGGAGCTTGGAGTTCTCTGGGAGATGGTCGGTTCTGTACGCCTCGAATGAATGTGCGATGCTTTCTGCTGTGGATTACATACTTTAGACCCTAGTCTCCCAATGGGGTTGGTCTGATCTAATGAGGTTGGTCACTTGACGAAATTCAAAGTTTACCAATGGCGCGGGACAGCTCAGCACGGGGGGTTAGAAGATAAGACACGTTGATGCTCCACGTTGATCGCTGACTGATATCCTGAAGCCGTTGGATACTTACCAAACAAAGACATTAGACTCTAGGAACACTAGACTAGCCAACTTGACATGCTGAATCGGTCTTTATCATGGCACCACCGTGTCTCCTTTCACCTTCTAGGAATGAGATCCTTCTACCCCACTGCAAAGACCTGTTACCGGTTAGATCGGCCCGCCATGGAGGACGAGTGACACACCAGGCGGACATGCCAGGGGTTTCAGCGGGCTACTCTGGCTCGCACAGTGGAGTTCAGCGAGGGATCAGCGAGTGACCCTTGTCTTTGTCAGCTGGTTCCTCAAAAGGAGCGTCTTTCCGTGTTTCCCCTCTCCCGAGTCCCGAGACGTTCGGTCTTGGAGCATTAACGAGTCATTGAAAGTTGCATGCGGTTTATCTCTGTAAACTTGGGACTTCTCATAAGCGTGATAATCTTCAACAACGAAGAAGCCGTGCTACCCGGCGACTGTCGCGGAGCAGGCCACCTCGAAGAGTTATCGCCGACAGGTTGTAGTTGACGCCAGACACTGAGCTGTAGAGTCCGTGAGCCTCTTCTGTACGCCGTTGAGCGTCACATCGGCAAAGATAATGCACCCGCGGGACTTCGGATCGGAGAGATGAACTCTATGCGCGGGTCTCACTCAAGCTTGCCAACGGTCGTTACAACCGGCTCATGTGTCACCGGGATTTGCGCCATGACGATCAACACGATGAATGGTAATATTCGTGTGATAAATGAAGCATGGAGCCTCGGGATATGAATGCCGAGAATCACTAACGGTGGCCGATGCTCTACCGAACGAAGCCTTACTACGTACTGCCGTACTGGACTTATTTCGAGGGTCTATGGGGCTTACCAGCATCCAGGATCTGCACGTTGGCGGGATTTGGCGAGCTGCGAGCAACATCATAGCCATAGGAGCATCGGAGATGAGACCGGTTCACTGGAACTGTTTGGTGCACACGTAAAACTCATTGGAGACTCGGTTTCCCCATTCGTCCCGCTCATCTCACTGCCAGGGTGTGCGCAACATCAATGCAGACAGGAAAAACCAGCACGATGCTGGTCCATCCCCTACCTACCGCAGGCGTTGCACCGCGGTAGCCTCCAATGGCTTAGAATCAGGTTGAAGGGGCAAGGTGGAGGTGTCGAGGAGGAATGTAAACAAGGCACAAACGCATCCCGCGCGGGAGAAGCTCGTTCCGCAGCTGCATGAACCCACAGCCTAAGCATCCTGTTCCTGAATCCGTCTTGTGGTGTAAGCTTACTCTACCTTACTCGGTGGACCATGGAACTTCTTCTCCATGTTCTTCCTCCATGTACCATTGCAAGTGGAGGATATCAGCAGACGAACGATTCAGTCAGTCCCCTGCCAAGTCGGTACGTGCAGATGATGATGCAGAGACACAGTCGACAGCTGCTACAGTTCTTGCGTCGCACATGGACCATGGGTTCCTGGAGCTGCCCCGTCTGGACAAAGGTGTCACAGGAAACACACACACACTTTTGGGATGCGATTCATTTATCCAAACCCTCGCCTGAACCAGCAGAGCTCGACCCAATTTGCTTCCCAGTGTGTGTGTGTGTGTGTTGGACGATCGCTGCAACCTACTCGGACGTCCCCCATCTTTGAGAAACGGTCTCTAAGCCGTAGAAGCCTGGCCGGACCCGGGCCGCGTTTGTCAACCCTATGAGGGAGGGAGCAGATATGGAGCGGCCAGAGATACGGGCATCCCCGTGCAGCGACCTCCCATGTTCTCCGTCCCCGCGTGTCTCCAGCAGACGTTCACAGTCAGCCCCAACACCCGGTAATAATAAACGAAGTCCGGATGGAACTCCGCTTTGACCCCCCTTCAACCCTCAAAATCCAGTAGATCCCGCGAGACGAACCTTTCCTGGTGGACATCGCGCACCGACGAAGCCCACCTGCAAGATCAAGTCGATACGATGTTATTTACTCCAGTAGAATATGTTCGTCGTTTCCGTCAATGGGGCGTGTAGGGTCGTTGTGATATCACCCAGCTCTCGGACCTCTCCATTGTCAGGCTTCCATCATGACAGGTGGCGGGGGAGTGGAGCAGCACACTTTGGGAGCTCCATGGGGGACGAGTACTATCATGGACTTTACGATGAACTTACCAACCTTGCCGCCGGTTGACGTGATACTCTTTATCATAGTTCCCATGACGAGCGGGGCTAGTTCCGGTCTCTGGGTGCCTTTCGAAACCTCTCCTTTCCGCCACAGACGATGGACATACTCAACAGAGAAGCCTGCCGGTACCATCAGCACGACAACAACTTGCATTTGTCGTGGGGGGGTCGTACGCTTGACACCAGGACCGTGCCCTGCAGAAAGATGTACCTGTCAACTTCTTCTTGTCCACCAATCAAGCCGCTGAACGGAACGCCACTGGCAATGGGCTGAAGTTTATTCTTCATTGCCGCCGCTGTGGCTTGGAAATGGTACGAAAAAAACATGCGGTGCGTACCAGACACGCCCGCATCGAGTCAAACGTTGAAGCCGATAAAAGGCCCCTCTTGCTGACGGTCGTCCGAATCGAGTTGGGGGGCGTCGAAACTTGAAGAATATTCCTTGCCCGCTTGTCCCCTCGGTTCGTCCCTCCGACAGCGTGGTTACGCTCAGAACCTCGTCTGCCAGGTTCTGACCAATGCAATTCATTGTGAGGCATAATTTACCAGCTTGCCATGCGTGCTAGGGTCCTTCAGCGCCAAGCTGAAAGGGCTGGAGTCGACAACGAGAGCGCGAACCAGGTACTCGCGTGGGCCCTCTCCAGCGGCTCGGCCGCCGTCGCCGCATTTTCTCTATTAAGTAGCGATAATGATTCTGGCCCCATAGTGAGTAATCGGCACCGGTGAGAGCGCGGCCGAGATGTCCAAGGCCCGAGGCTGCTACCTCCGCGAGCTATATCCGTAGGCAAGGCGCTGCCAAGCTGCTCACACGCTGTTGCACAAGAGTGTAGCCATCTTTGATCTGGCTGGTCTCAGCCTCCTAGGAAGCTCTGAATTGTATCTGTTTCACCCGATTCTGGCAGCCAAAGTAAGTTTGCCGATCAGATGAACAGATAGTCTGGTCAAGACCATTAGTCCTTGGTATTATCAACATCTGTCTTCGGCTCGGCAGAAGACTTCGGGGTCTCTGTCGATGGCCAATTTCTTTTTCCTGGCCGTCAGCGCCAATTACGCCGCTGCTTGCCAAATGCGACAAAAAATCACTGCCTACGATATGCGAGTCAGCCGCTACTATTGCGACATGAATCCGCGCGATAGTCTGCTCGTTCACCGAGGAGCGGACAGGACTTACCCCGGTCCCTCCCCCAGGCTAGCAGGGGCGGTATACGACTTTGGATACCCGGGGTTCAAGCCTATCACCCTGTCTGGCCGATCATCATTGGGTCATCTCTCCGACACACAGACCTCGACTCCAGCCCGGGGCCGGCTCTCAAGTTACCAGCCCCATATTTGCACATGCCAGGAGGCGTTCTGAGACCTTGCGAGTCTCTCTATCGAGGGCAACTGAATCGCGGCATCTCCAAATTCCCAGAATGCCTGCCGCCTTGACTGGTGAGGAGAGAAAGCAGTGCCGCCAAGCCGTGCGTCGTCAGCATGCCAGCGTACCAGGAAAGCCGGGAGATTGCCATCATCGGGACTTCGAGAATAACGTTGCGTCCCTGGGCCGGCAGACCTCCAACACCGCAGACTGTCCACTGCCTGCCACCCTCCTCCCTTTTTCCTACATGCACCTTCTGGTTGCAGTCGAACATGATGAATCGAACGAAGTCCGTTACTAGTTCGTCTAAACCTTCATAACGACGTGCGGAGCCGTTCCCACATAGCTTACACGCTAGGTCTCTTCCCACTAGTCAACGAGGTGTCACTCCCCATTTGCCAATTCGTTAGGTCGTGTCATGCAGGTGTACAAAACTGCACAAAGAGTGCCATCAGACAAGCCACGACCGTTGTGCTAGTCTGCCCAGCTGTCTTCCTATCTTCCGAGCATTCTACCGCGCGCACGGCTCCATTGCGTTCTTTCTGCCCAAAGCCAATCGACAATATCCTTGGAAATAGATTTCGTGGATCCCACAGTGGTCTCCATGTCTAAACCATATGAGACACGGAATATCGAAATCCTGAGGGTCCCTGTTGTGTCCGAGGCGTGCTAGTCTAGCATGCAGCTCCTCCTCGTGGATGTCTCACACCCTCTTTTGGTTCGACCCCTTTATCGAGCCACACCCGCGCAAAGGTGCCCCTTCGATCTAAGACCAGTCAATGGCTGGCATGTCGAAGCTTTTACCAATATAGAAAGACAGCTTCCCTCGGCGTTTAGATTCTCATGCATTTCTTCGTCCGGCGTCCCACATCTATCCCCTTCATCAGCGTCCTCCATTGAAAGGAACGACGAGCACATTGCCACGTGCCAGTCCTCGTGGACTACCAATGCTTGAGTCTTGATTCCGTTATCGACCAAGCATATTCGTCGACAGTATTCAAGGGAATTTCACAGGCAGCATGGAGGCCCCTCCAGGAATGAACCCGGACGAGTCGCGGGCACAGATGGTCATTGGCGTCGCGTGCTTTGTGCTTTCAGTTGCCTTCCTGGCTGTGTCAATACGAGTATACACCAGAGTCTTAGTCATAAGACAGTTTGGCATAGATGACTGGGCATCTGTTTTTGCTTTCGTAAGTTTCCCAACTGCGTTCTTCATCTCAACGACTTAGTTCTGATCATGAATGTTCAGTTATTGGTTCTTGGATGCGGCTTGGCTGTCGCACTAAGTAAGTCGCTCTCGTCCTCAGCGATGTTCATCAATAGTTTCTAACAAAATGAAGACACTAGAAATGGTCTCGGTCGCCATGTCTACTTTCTTACCTCTGAGCAAATCCAGGCCTATAACATGGTCAGTCTGCGCCTGATGCGACTTGCTCTGCACGCTTGCTGACAGTTTCCAGACATTCTACGTCACCATTGTGTTTTACAATGCAGCACTGTCCGGCATCAAGATGACTTTCCTCTTCCAATACTACCGAGTCCTAGCGGTCCAGAAGATGAAAAAGGTCTTCCTTGCGGCAATGGTAATAGTTGGCGCATGGAGCATTTCGCAGATTCTTGTCGAGATCTTCATCTGTACCCCTATTGCGGCCGGATGGGACAAGAGCATTAAGGGCTCATGCATACCGAACTATCCCCAGTGGTACATCAACGCGGCAGGCAACATCATCACCGACATCATCGTCTTTGTGCTGCCGCTCCCGGTGATCAACCGACTGAACCTAGCCCGAGGCCAGAAATACGTTCTGCTTGGCATCTTCTGTCTGGGATTCTTGTAAGTTGTATCCCAAGCTTGCGTCTAGCTACATGACCTATCCGGTCTCTTTCTAATACTCTGACAGCACATGCACTATATCGTTCATTAGAATCCGATTTCTCAAACTCGAAGAAGACTTCACGTGGCAAAATGTCGAAACCGCCTGCTGGTCCATCGGCGAGCTCAGCTGTGGCCTGGTCTGCGCTTGTCTCCCGACTTTCCGACCTCTAGTCTCTCGATTCATCCCAGCACTCTCGAGTAACAAAAACAAGTCCTCCAAGTATCGCATGAACGGAGACTACTCTGAGAACACAGCAAATACCTCACGTCACCGCAACGCCGAGCTCGGTGTTACACTAGGCAACCCGAACAATTACTACGCCCGACACTCGAAGCGACGAACCGGCTCATCTGATAGCAAAGCGGATCTTTATGACATCGCAAGCTACGATTTGAGCCACTCTGACGCGAGCCGCCAAGGGGGACTGCCTATCCAAGGCCAGAGAGAAAGCCCGGATTTCATCAGCCACGCGGATCAAATGCAGTCTTCACTACGGCAACAGGAATCTATCGAGTTGGGCGGGTATAGACCGAATCATCACGCTATTGTCGAAACGCGAATCGAAGCGGGAAGGAGAGTCTCTGCTGACGAGATCAGGCTACAACCTGGAGCGCCTATAGAAGTCAAGTGCGACATTGTGCAGATTTCGTCTCAAAAGGTGGAGGCAAGGGGGTTCCCATGAGCCAATCCTTCTGCAGATCATGATGTATTTTTATCCTTCAGATGGCCTGTCAAAGCCCAGAGATTATGTTAGCGTTGGAGGCATCATTCTTTTATTAGATACCATTTTCATTGACGATTCATTACGGGCGGCTGATGTGGGACATAGGTCGGCGTGGGCTTTGGCGACATATTATTATTCCTATAGTCACTATTATGAAGCCATTCTTCTCTACATTTTCCGACTTTGTTTGGCGTTGAAATCCTATGCGATCGTAAGAGACTACCAGGAACCAAAAAAATCAATGTCAAGAATGTCGATCATCTTTGGGAACCATTCTATAACAGGGTAGAACATGATCGATTGATTTGATCCTTTTAGTCTGAACAGCTCCCGTTTTTGCAACTTACGATGTCGACCTCAATAGTTCCTGTCATTGGTGTTTGCGAAAAGAGTCATGATCCATGCCCTCTTTCAGAAGTGGTTCCCATCCGAATTGAATGATTTGCCATGTGGTAAGAGAAAACGCTTCCCATGAGGAATGAAATCGGCTGCGCTCTCTCAACGGCGAGATTTTGCGATAATTTGATCATTTGGCCTCACCAGAACAAACTAAATGAATCCGTTTCCACACAGGCCTGTCTTATCTCTGCTTCTGGGTCTTGGAATTCCATATTCATTTCTCAAGAACAATGCTGCCAAGACTAGAGACATTTCCATGGATGCTTTCTTGGATCGAAGAGTCAATACTACTCTGGTGTATACTACTGCATGTGCGGTAGGCCCCCTTACGTCCTTTCTCGGCATGTCCTCGGCCCTTTGGAGGGATGGAACAAACCACGCCGACATGTCCTTCACCCTGGACTGGACATCGTTGATCTTGCTCTCTGGGATGAATCCATTGGGTCGGTCGAACAATGGGACATTCTTTGCAGAACCATATCCGAAACGCCAATTTTTGAAAATCAGCTGTTGGCGTTCAAGGCGGATTACAGGCCGTATGCTATGAATCCGGACTCACTTTGAACAAGAGGTACGTCGTCACTATTTAACAGCAGATTCATTCATCATGCTCAAACGCCTGGACTTAACATGACTATATGATTTCCGCGGACAATTCTTCTCTCCAACTTTGACCTCGCGTCCTAAAATTAGCGAGTTGATTGCCATGGGCTTTGAGCCAAAATTTCAGTCAAATAGAGATGCGACAAATGACGTTGCATACTATTTTTCGACAAGAGCGGGAAGGTGGTTGAAAAAAGCTGGATCCAGGCCGCTCTGCGTAGGAATGATGCTTGACATGGCGGCGACTTAGACCCGGATCGTCTTCGTACTCGTTTCTCTCGAGACCTAGCCAATCGAGATCTCGCGACAAGGCTCGAAGCGTCTCGCTAGGGCTGAGGATAAGCCTCTGACCTTTGATCCTCAGCTACATCGTAACCTTAGGCCCGAAGACGTTGGGTGGTTTAGCTTCAAAACGCCTTCTATGGGCATAGTGGAAACGCGATCGAAGGCGAATATGGATGTGTTCACCTTGGTGCGCGCCTTACTCACCACATCAAGTAAGCATTCTAAATACATGTATCTGAGAAGCGTGGTCTAAGTCGTATCCTAGTTCTAGTTCTTTGGTCCTTGAGGCGAGAACCCGTTTTCTCGCGAGAAATCAATTGCAGGTCAACCTGCCAGTCGTTATTTGCGCTGGAAGCTCGATCTACAACAAGCTCAAGCTTCCCTGCGGAACAGAGCTAGTCGCTCTCGATGGCGAGATGCCCAAGTGATAAAGAGTTCGCTACCAAAGTGTGCTGCAGATTGTTTCTATGTGTTCACGACGTTCATGACCCGAAGGCAAAGTACATTCCCGCCGGTGGGACCTATAACACGGTCGCTGATGCAGATATAAACACTGGAAAGTATACTCACTGGTCAGCTGGGGACCATATTTCTTTACACGAGCTCGTCACAAGGTTCCCAGACGGTAAGCAATCTATGAAACAACGCAAAGAAGTCAGAAGACGGGTCAGCTACTGGCCTCGTACCTATGCAAGGGAACGGTTTTCTCATTACGATTATCATCAGAAGGGATTCAAGGCCCTCTTGCATCTTGATTCTTGATGTAAATGACCTAGAGCTAGACCCCGTGGCAGCCAATGAACTAGCCTTCCGGCTACGATATGGCATGCACGGAAGCTGGGTCAATCGTTCGGATTGATTGCACTGCGAGAGTCTTTTAGCAATTCAAGCATCTTTCATCTCTATATATTGTGTCTTATGTATGAACCCTTGGCGCATAGCCGCTAAACTTGTGGGTGTTGGATAATTGGATAATTCTTTTCGTTGAGAACTGTGTCACGTCTACGCATGAAGTTACTGCCAGGAAGAGGAAATCATTTCGTACGACGTAATGCTGCGGATTGCCTAGGCTAACCCAACTGCGCCTCTACCCTCTCTGAGGCGCAGTAGCAAAGATGCCCTTCAACTTGTTGTCGAGCCACTCAACATCTTCGAAGTTCCCAGGAGGACCACCGGCCCAGTGACCCCATATGGAGGGGTAGACAGCTAGTTCGCCAACGCCTTCGCTCATGCATTCGACTTCGTACTGAGAGTCTTCGGGCCTGTTATTGTTAGTCCTAGTTTCCGTCGCGTTCGAGGATGAAGTTCTTACGGGAAGTAGAGGTCAGTCTTGCAGGGCAGCACCAAAGTCTTCGCCTTGATGCTTGCCATGGCCTTCTTGAAGTCGCCGTTGTAAGGCTCTTGGTTGCTCACGTCGGCGCTCTGCCATGTGTGAATCATGGCCAGCAAGTCCTCCGGGTCGTTGCTCAGAGCCCACTTCTCCCAAAATATCTGCATAAAGTCTTCGAGATCCTTCGCTCCATAGAACTTCTTGTGCAACTCTTGTCGGTAAAATGCCTGTGAGAATCCCCATCCCGCGTAGCCACGACCGAAAGCCTTCAGGCCAATTTCCTTCTCCTCATCTGACCAAATGCGAAGAGACTTCTCTTCAGCCGATGCAATGCGTCCCAGAGTGCTACCAGCTGAGCTTGTTTTTTTCGCCGCTAGGAGCGCTGACTTGATGCCCTCCAGGAAAACTTGGTTGTGCAGAGCGCATTTGGCGGAACCACAGAACGGGACGGCGATGTCCAAGAAATCGGGATATTGCGTCGCCCATTGGAAAGATTGAGCTGCCCCCATGGACCATCCGAGAACGGCTCTGAGATGTTTGATCTTGAGTTCCTTGGTGACCAACTCGTACTGTGCTTTCACATTGTCGAAGAAAGACACATCGGGAAATGGGTTGATGTCTGAGTTGGATGGACTGATGGACTCTCCATTGCCGAAGATGGCTGGAATGATTATGAAATACTTCGACGGGTTCAAAGTTTTATCTTCTCCAATGAGCCATTCGTTATCCGCGATGGTACCAGAATACCACGTAGGATAGACAACCGCTGGGAGAGACGGGTCGCCAAATGTTTTATAGGCGATCCATGCTCCGGGCAACGAGCCGTTGTTCTGGAGTGCGAAGTCCCCGAGCTGGTACTTCTTGATATCAGACATGATGGGTCAGAATATGCTGAGGCACCGGATGGTCCAAACCACGGTGAAGTTGGTCTTTGTAGCTTGATTTTCTCAATGATGAGGAGACTAGTGAAGCCGAGGTGATGTAGGAGCGCTGGAAACTTTCTGTTGATACGAGACGAACAAGCTTCTTATCTTTCGTTCGTCATGGTATGCCGCCGGCGACGTGAGGGGAAGCAGGGGTCAGCCGGATCAAGCCGTAACGGACCCCGCATTTTGTGTCGTCCGCTCCCTACCTTATCGGACTATCACATGCGGCTAGAGTTCATGATAACGTTAGATTGTCGTTCGTTCTGAGGCTGACGTGGGAGAGAATTAGAGAATGTTTGTACTCATTTGTTACTGAGGAGACATGCAAGATCCAACATTGGTAGTTCTCCCCTGATGGATTGTACTGCAACAGGCCACAGTTGCGTCACACATCCGTCATCTTTGAAAATGAGCATCAATTGTCTTGGCAGCTGACCGGAATCTACTGGGTTCTTCATCTCCACGTACAGAGCTCTCACAGGCAAAGCCTTACTGCATAGTCTAGTATACTCTGTTAGGCGGCTAGGTTTAGCATCGTCACGAGATGGTGTTTTGCAGAGCCATCTCAAGCGAAGAGAGGTGACCGGGGCTAAGATCAAGCTTATGCCTCGAGAAAAAAGTAAGTGGCATTTCTTTGGATGGAATGGTCGTCGTGAGAAAGCAATTGTCTGCACAAGATGAGGAAGGAAAAGGTGAATCGACCAGAAAATCTCATTCTATACAATTTTTGGAGGTCCATCCCTCCCTTGTTATAGATCTTTGACTGACGATTAAGTCCCGCAAGAAGACTCCTTGGCAGAGACCGGCAAAGCCAGGTACGCTTCGATTTCGGGCCATATGAAAGCGAGCCGACAACGTGATAAATCATAACGCTTCAGGATTCAAGAATTACTCAGAAAAAATGTAGCAATTCGTCGAGGGCCTTCATATCCGATCGTGCCCGACGATGTAGCAGATCAGATTGGCCAGTACGGCATGACTTCAACGTCCGTATGGCTGCTTCTATGTATGCTTTATATCCCCGCGTAGAGTCCGGGCCATAGGAGTCAAGATCGTTTGGGTTTATAACCGATCGCGTAATCCCCAGACAGGACAATATGGCCAACCATCAGTTGGAGTTTGATGAGATATTCGGCTCGAGACGGCAGCTTGTAAAGTTTCTAGATGGATATGGGTCCTCAGCTGGAGTACACAAAGGTAGTCATACGGAAGACTTACATCAGATGAGAAACAAAACACTTGCCCCACTGGTTGATAATTTGCCGAAGACGGCATTATCTTTTTTGCCACCTTTGTGCTTCCGATTCGTGGGATCTTCAAGTTTTGTAAAGAATCTGGACTACCTACCTTACTTGATGATCCGGCTGCGGTCGTAAGCCAAGGTCGCGCCTCTCACATTCAGTAGTAAGATAATGCAGACTGAGAGATAGTGTTGCGTTGAATCAGTCCACGAGATGGTGTCTGTGGTGAAATGATGGGCCAAGAAGCATGGCATGTGTCCTTCTACATAAGCCTCTCGTCAACGGAGAAATTTCTTTGGTAAATTGGGTGAAGCCGAGAACTCGCTCAAGCGGCCAAGTACTAGCAGCTGACTCCAAGCCAATACTGCATAGTTGATCTAAGCCATTCCCTCGCTGCTCATGATCATCTGATGCCTACCAAGTCGCAGTACAAGGCTATGGAGCAAGGTGATGCAATAGTAATTGGTGGTCGTCGTCCGTGGTCATCCTCTCAAGCTCAATCGGCATGGATACCGTGCCTGAATCAAATTATTAAAGTAGTAAGTTAACACCAGTTGGGAAATGCTTACAGCCGAGGGGATCGAAAACGGATGTAATGTTGGTGTTGATTACCCCGCCCTCTTCTTCAGATCCGTCGGTGGCTTTTCCGTATGGCCGCTCGGAGACTGTGGAAACAGTCTTATTCGTGCAAAATAGGTCGACCGCAAAGGTTGCTAATCAAACCGGGCGATCTGAAAGTTCGGCAAGATGCAATCGCCGGGACGGTGTCGTGGAGGGAACAGTCGTTGGGCTAGGGAAGTCCCAAGATAGAATAGTAGCACAGCGCTTGCCGACATTTTCAGCACTCGATGGAATTTGCAGAAGCTACTCAAGACTACGGTCGAGTGCTCGAGGGAGAATGCTCCTCTTGCAATACTCGTTTTCGCAGATCTTGCTCTCTCCTTCTGCAAGAGGACCTGGCGTTTCCCCCTTGGATGTGGATTTTTGCTGATCGAATACGAGCCGTTTGATGTTCAGGTCCCAATGTCCAACGTTGTAGAATGCCAAGGTTGAATCGATTTAAACCTCTTGGCGGTATTGCCTCAGTTGGACTGGCGAGAGGCGAGGAGGAGGCCAGGGAACCCGCCTTCAAAGGGCGAAGCAACAGGACCGGCAGTCATTGTTTTTTGTCTCCGTGCCTGGTAAGTGGTAAAAAACGGTGTGGCGGGCAGTTGGAGCGCACGATGATTGGGAAGAAAGGTCTGGCAGTGCAGAATGCCAATATTCGCAATCTTGGCATCTGATTCCCCTTTTCGATAGTGCAACATGCCAAGGTTGCGGGTAGATGCACAGGTCAGTCACCGCCCCTCTCACTTCTCTCATCATGATGGGCATGCTGTCTAAGAGTTATAGATTTCGCTGCTTAGTGATCGGTAAGTGCCGACAAGCTGCAAGGAAGCTAGTTGTAGAAGTTTGTGTCGCGTCTGTGTTGCTTTTTTAGATGAGAACTCGCCCTTCGTAGAAGGCCTTTAACACGAGGGTAGAGGTGTAAAGAGGTGGGAATTGGGAACCGTCTCAAATTTCATTAGCAAACCAAGCCAGGGATTATCCCCTCAATCTTGTCATGACAACTCGTGACTCCCATCAGATCAGCAGCGCATCTGCTCAGATGGGCGACGGCTTCCGCTGTGCGCAGGGCGACGCTCTGCTTTGAGTTATTCCTCCAACGACCAGGCCGCGTTCATTTGGACAGGATCTTGGCGTTCATCTATCTCTGGGGTGCCGCGCGCAAAAGCCACCCACCCTGCTGATCCGAAACATTGGAGCTGGCAATTCTTGCGCCAGGTTACACCTTCAGCGTTTCTGCGGATGGGTGCCCAGCTGGGGGCCGACTGGTTCGTTCTTCTGCCTTTAGTGGGTTGAGCTAGACCCTGCCAGTGACAGCCGAAGGAGCCTATTCCCAACCCCTGCACTCCCAACCCAACCTGTCGCCCTGTCCACACAGTGAAGTTGCTTCTGTAACGATCCCAGCTCTCTTCCTCCCGCGCTCTTTTAGGGTGCGAGCATATTTACGCCCAGTCGTCTGGTTATGGTACGCCGGTCGCCATGGGACAGGCCAAGACGAGAGTCTCCCTTACTCGTGCCTTTCATCTCAATGTAACGGTCTCGTTAGAGGCCAATCACCTCTTGTCATACGCATCGACGAAGACGTCTTTGTCGACGGAATTTTCATCCTGTCTCTCCGATGCCCTGGTCTGTTTGTAAGATTATCCTGGCTCACGCAAAATGTGGTGAAATGAACAAGGGTCTCGATGGAGTTAGGGGTTGTGTTTAGTTGGAAACGCCCAGCATTGCAGTTGTCAACGTGGACCTGCCTCCTTCCAAGTTCTCCTGACCAGCAATGACACTATTTTCCATATTCTAAGCTAGGAACCGAGCTTGGAAGCCTGTATCTTATATATAAGACGTCCTTCATCGATAGGTCGAACTACCAGTTCTCTCCTTTCCTCATCGCGCCTTTCCAGTCTTTCATTCTTTTTGCTATTCATCCAATTCCATCAACTTCGGTAGTGCTAGTCACCCGCTTGAGGACATTTACCTCTTATTTCATCCGAACCATCCAATTCAACAACAAGCCTTCACAGAACCAAGATGAAGTTCTCCGCTGTCACCTTCATGGCCGCTCTGGCTGCGGCTTCGCCTGCCAACATCGTCACCGCTCGCAACGAGCTTGCCCTCCGCCAGGCCGCCGAGGCTTGCAGCATCGGCTACTGCACCCAGGGCGGCGGTACTACCGGTGGTGCCGGCGGCTCCAGCGTCACCGTCAAGACCGTTGATGAGCTCGTTGCCGCTGCGAAGAAGGAGGGACCCCTTACCATTGTCATCTCCGGTGCCATCTCTGGCAGCGCCAAGGTCCGCGTCTCTTCCGACAAGACCATCATTGGAGAGAAGGGCAGCTGTAAGTATTCTTGAGTCTGCTAATATAGTCTCTTGCTCGCCGTCGGTTTAACATTGTTCTCCTCTCAGCTCTTAGCAACGTCGGCCTGTACGTCCGCCAGGTTAAGAACGTCATCATCCGCAACCTGAAGATCGGTGGTGTCAAGGCCTCCAACGGCGACGCCATTGGCATTGATGAGTCTACCAATGTCTGGGTTGACCACTGCGACCTTTCCGGCGACCTGAGCGGAGGCAAGGACGACCTTGACGGCCTCCTCGACATCTCACACGGCGCTGACTGGATCACGGTCTCGAATGTCTACTTTCACGACCACGTAAGTCTTGACCTGGCGTCGATCTACTCATCTTGAAACAGTTCTAAGTTGACATGAACATCAACAGTGGAAGGGATCTCTGGTCGGTCACTCCGACAACAACGGTGGCGAAGACAAGGGCAAACTCCACGTTACCTATGCCAACAACCACTGGTTCAACATTAACTCCCGCACTCCCCTCGTCCGCTTTGGCACCGTCCACGTCGTCAACTCCTACTACAACAAGCTGTTGCTCACCGGCATCAACTCCCGAATGGGCGCCCAGGTCCTCGTCCAGAGCACCGCGTTCGCCAACAGCCCTGCCGAAGCCATCTTCTTCGCCGACTCCAAGCAGACCGGCTACGCCGTGGCTGAGGATGTCGACCTCGGCGGCTCCAAGAACTCTGTTCCTGTGGGAACCCTCACTTCTGCCTCGCTGCCTTATAAGATTGCCGCCATTGGCTCCGGCAAGGTAGCTAGTACCATCCCCGGCACAGCTGGTCAGAAGTTGTAATTGGGTGTCTTTATTGTGGTGGGATGAACCGATATTTCTGTGTACATACTTGACTCGGTATATTTGAGTGACGTCGATGTTCTGTTGATGTACATACCTACTTTATTTATTGTGTACATATTGGGTCAAATTGTTTGCCAGAGCTGGATTATTGGAGGGCATCGTAGTTTATTTTCCAGACTAAATAACACTTTCCCTTCCTGCTTGACCGCTCAAATCTCATCCGTGCCTAGCCTCTTTAGGATTGCTCACTTGATTCTACCCTGTTTCTCATGTATGAGAGGCCATCTATCGTTCAGCACCCAGTCAAATGGGCGGTGGATAAGTGACGTTAAATATCAGAAACAACATTCTCATCCCGCTTCTTGATCCGCGGGAAGCAGAGCCACACAATAGCTACCACGACGATGAGCGATAGAATGATGGGCTGCAGTACAGAGACACCTTTACTTGTCGCAATCGCGCCGATGATGAAAGGAAAGACCGTTCCGCCGGTACCGCCAATGGCCATAGCAAATCCAATAGCACTGACATGAGTGTGCTTCGGAAGCAGCCTAGCCGTCATCATGACAGCCCCGGGGAACATCGGCCCAAGGAAAAAGCCGAGGAAAGCCACAGCGATGGCCGAAACGATGAATTGCGGGACGAGCCAGAAGAGAAGCTGAAGAGCGAGGCAGATAGTGATATAGATGCTGATGCAAAGCCTTTCTCCGTACCGCTCGGTCACGAACCCCAAGGTAGCTCGTCCCAGAGCCTGGCCTGCCCAGAAGCCAGTTGCTGACAGACCAGACGCGTAGGCGGATGCCTTGCGCACACGCAACATGAATGTGACGATCCAACCACCGAGACCGACTAAGAGCCCAATTAGCAACGATGTTCAAGCATCGGGCGATTCTATGATTGTACCTTCGACACCCATGTATGCGAAGAAAAACAAGGAGCAAAGCCAGGTGACTTTGGATTTGAGTGCAGTTCTGGTGCCCGCACCTCCACTCCCCTCGTTCTCGTGTGCGTGTTCTGCGCGGTACACGGCACCCGTCTTTTGCCAGAAGGACACGGTGAGGCCAACGAGTTCGAGGACAGACGCACCGACCTACGATTCGTTAGCAATGCCAAAGGCATAGACGGACTTTCTTTTGACTAACCATGACATAGTAGTAGTTGTACCATGGCATCTTGGCAGTGACAACCATCGAGGTGGCGATCAGCGGGGAAATGAGGGCTCCTACGGAATAGAAGGAGTGCAGGAACCCCTGGATTGTGTTCGCCTTATCCATGGCGCCAATCCAAGCGCAGAAGCACGCATCAGTCAGCCCGTTACCAAAGCCGCTGATCATGTTGACCACAATGAGCGCTGGGTAAGGAGGATGCAGGGACAGGACGACATAGGTGATGATGTGACACAGAGGAGCCATGATAGCCACGCCTCTTTGGCCAAATCTCTGATGGATCCTGGCGTTGGTGAATGCCGCAACCGAGTACCCGGCAAAGGGGGTCAGAAAGATGAGCGAGACAATGGTGTAGCTTAGTTCGTAGTATGTTTCAAGCTGTGAAAGGATGAGAATCGCGAGTCCGAAATAATTTCTCGAAATGTATCAATAGTAAACCTACATAGGGAATCAAGGCCTATAGAGTGTGAATAGTAAGTAAATGTTCGCAACTCGAGGAGGCATTGGCCTTGAACTTACACCAACTGCAGCATCGTTCATACCGGCAATGACAAACGAGAAGAAGGCGAACCCCAGCCTTCCCATGTTACCCCTTGGCGAGTTCCATCGTTCGATAGCTCCGTGGGCAGTCGGTGGCGGGGTGTCGTCGGGAACATCTGACGATTGATGTTCTTCGGGCCCGTCCTTCTTCGGCGACGAGTTTCCGAGTGCGCGTCCACGGCTGGAACTCAGACGGCCGAGTTCGTAGGCCTCGGGGGTGAAGTGCCCTTGGTGCTGCGCCTCAGATCGCGCCTCAGTGGCGGTTTGCGACATGTTGAGGATGATGACCAATGACCACCACAACCAAATCTACGTTACTCGACGGAACCTGTACTCGGGGAATGGGTCTTTGAAAAGAGAACAACAACAGTAAAGAAGAGTAAATGGCAAATCGATGACCACGATCATTAAAAGCCCATGGAGCATGGCGGTCTGACGACTCGCTTCCCGGTAAATGGGCGGCGGGGTGGAGACGACGGGCAGCCTGCACCGACGATTATCCGGGGCATCTGGCATTGATTCCTTTCTCGGAGTCAGACGCGGAGCGCTAGCGGAGTATCCGTCGGGAAGATTCCTGACTAACACACGTTGATCAGGCGAGGACGCGGTTTTCCTCGTCGATGATTCGCTACGTAGCTAACTCTCAAGTTGGCTCGGCCCAGTCTCTGGAAAAGACGATCGGATTTGCTCCACTGGGCCGAGCCACCCACCTCTAAAGAGACAAGTAGGCACGTTGGTTCGCGAGACCGAAACTGCGCACACCCATTCCAAGCAACAAAAGACGAGAATTTGAGCGAGTATATGTATAGTGAACCAACCTATTGAAAGTAATTTGCAGCTTAGAACATATCTGTAAAAATATACAGCAAACTTGACTGCAGTAAGTCGAGATAGTGATAGGATAGGAGTTTTGATTAGCCGTGTAGAGGTTCGAAATAGCGCAACCACTGTCTTTCTAGTCGGCTATGATTCTGATCTTGAATCTTTGAGTGAAATACATAAAAGAAGGAAATCAAAAATGCATCAGGAAAGGAAATATTAGAAAGAAAGGAATAGGTTCCTCATATATCGGAAGACAAAGTACTCCAGGTATGGCCATAATTCTCTGTGTCAATACTGCACTGATTCAATCCTGAAAAGACCCAAGTGAGTTTGATGAACTTTGAGAGGCCGGAATAAAGATGTTTTGGCACTACTCCTGTTCAGCAGTAGTAAGATGGTGTTTGGAAACCCTTCTACTTCCGACGTCGCCAAAGACAGCGTAGCCAGGCTCTATAATTCACGCACACCGATCGGCGTTCTGAAATGCGATCCGTCATGCCTAGAGATCGCTCTTGGATCTCTTATGTAACAGAAGAGAACTTAGCGTCCAGATATTCGCCATTAGCTCGCCGTGTAACGTTTCTCAACTCAATTTCTAGGCGAAAATGGGTGTTCTACCCGATTAGCCAGCGCGGGTGCCAAGCGCCCATCTTGGACTACAGAAAAGCCTAGAAGCTTACGTGAAGAAGACAGTCTTACATTTTACTTTTATTTCTAAAACATTGCTGGTCTTGTTGTGTTTCGGAGCAAATATCCAACCACAAGCAGCGCCAAGTACAAATATCTGCATTCTGTGCCACCGACAATGGAGGGTTCTCGGACGCATGGGAGGGAAAGAGGTGAATCCTTGGAACGATATCTCCAGGCTGCTCTTACAGCAAACTTCATGACAAAAGAGAGTCCTTCACACTCCAAGGAATTACTTCAAGGTGAAGCGATCAATCTGTTCCATACACATAAATCTTCGAGTGTCATCCATTACATCAAAGCCTTTCTCGCAAATTTGAGGGTCACTCTATTTGTACATCATTCTCCTTGTATCTCTCTAAGCACTCTGGATTCTCAGTCTACCAAGTACGTATGAATGGGGAGATGGGTCACACAAGCTGAGGCAGGGTACCGATTGTGTTTCCCAGCATGTCGTACAGATATTGGCTCTCAATCACTGCAGCGCCTCGGACATGCATCCACCCATATCTTGACCAACTAATGAACACAATGTGCGAGATAGAGACATCCCTGTTGGTGACTTTCAAGTACAGTGTCAAATCACCCTAGATCGAAGAAATGGTAAGGTAATTGACAGGGGGCGCAGGCAGGGGTGCTTGCGTGTTTGGCCCTGTAACAGTTCACTTACGTCGGCTACTCCCTTGTTCGAAAAGCAAACGTGTGCATTATCCTTGATGCCCATGCATGCCAAGTAGTGATACAGGCAGTGAGGTTGATTGCATCCTTAAAATAATGGATGAATCACAGCGCCTGCCAACGAACCAGGTTGGTCGAGGCGAAATGCCAATGCTGTTCGTCCTCCTCCCGGGTTGATGAAAAGAGACGCCAGTGGCACGTCCCGATCAATCGTTCTTCTCGAGTGAGTTGTGTCACCAAACTTGGAACTTTCTTTCCCATTCATTATCAAGGCTTTGGAACCGTTCCCACTTGCCATCGACTTTACCACTCATGCTCAAGTTCCTAGACTTGTCACCAGCATACAATCCAAGATTGTGAACCATCTTCCGATCGTTTTATCTCTTGACACGCTTTAGTCTCCTCAAAGATGACAAGGGGATTCGGAATTTTTGAGTACGGAAGATCTTCATCAACAGGCCATGAGCTAGCCCGGGGTGGCAACAATGACGGAGCTGGTATAACCAATACCTCGTATGAGGAGAAGCCCAGCTACGCTATTGGACAAACAACAAGCGATACCAATACCGATTTCATCGAACCGAGAAACGCCGAAGAAACTGAAAAAGTACGATCATCGCTTGTTCGCAAGTTTGATCACAGACTGGTGCCTGCCATGTTCCTCGCCCATCTTCTCTTCTTCCTCGACAAGAGCAACATTGCTCTCGCTCGGATCAATGGACTCGAGAGGGACCTCAAACTGACTGGCAACCAATTCAACACCGCTCTGGCAATGTTCTTCATTCTCAACATCTTGTTCAACATCCCAGGAAACCTAGTTGTGCGCAGTGTCGGAGGTGCCATATGGCTGCCCTCGCTGATCATAGCATGGGGACTAGTCACCACTTTCAGCGGCTTCATCACCAACTTTGCCGGCCTCTGCATCACACGCGCTTTCCTTGGTCTAACAGAAAGCTCTTTTCTCGGTGGCGTCTTGATCTACCTTGGGTTTTTCTACACCGCAGACGAACTCATCCTTCGGGTAGGCTTGTTCTACTCGAGTACTGCACTTGCCGGGTTCCTTGGTGGCCTAATGGCTGCGGGATTCGGACAGATCAAAGTCTCAAATTACGATGGCTGGCCCTGGATCTTCTTCATTGAAGGATCTTTGACTGTTTTGCTCGGACTCGTGCTGCTTTTTGTCTTGCCGCACACCCCAGCTGACGCCAAGTTCCTATCATCAACAGAAAAGACTCTAGCTGTCCAAAGAATGCAGACGCAAGATCGATGGCATTATCTCGGGGCTCCCAGATTGAACGACCAAGAATCAGCAGGAGATGACCAATTGAGTAACAGAGTCCAGGCGAAGAAGGACTCTCTCACGTTGATGACAATTCTGAGCGCCATAGGCAACGCCGTCACTATTCTCATGGCCATCGGCAGTTTCTTCTCCATACAGGCTATCTACAGCTTTTCCATGTTCTTCCCGACCATCATATCTGCTATGGGATATAAAAAGCTCCAAGCATCATTGATGACGGCTCCACCGAATTTCGCGGCTTTGGTATTCACCATTGGAATCTCTGTGTGGAGCCGCAGGTCTGGCAAGACCGCGTTGCCGTTGAACGTTTGCAGTATGACTGGCATATTTGGGTATGTTCTGATGATTATTGGAGCCAAGGTCGGTCCGGCACCAATATTCATGAACATCAAGATTCAATATGCCGGAAGTTTCTTCATTGCCATGTCGGTCAATGCGACACCCCCTCTGGCACTCACTTGGATGAGCATCAATGCCTCTCCGCACTACATTCGAGCTGTTGCTTTGGGCTTTCTTCTATCGATCGGGAACTCGGCCGCGTTCCTCGCCTCATTTACCTACATCAAAACTGAAGCACCCAGGTATGCTCATCTGACAACTAGAATTCACATCATGGATTACTGACATTGTGTTCTTTCAGGTATCTGAAGGGGCAGTCTATCAATCTTGGCTGTCTATTCGGTTTGTTAGTAATAGGAATCGTGTTGCCCTTGTACATGCGGAGGGAGAATCGGCTACGCGACCAAGGAGCGCGCGACCACCGACTGGATGAGAACCACAGGGGTGCCATATCCTTGGAGGAGCATGAGTTCAGACTTGGGTGGATGCATCCTGCTTTCCGTTTCAAGTTTTGATTTGGTACAGGCTGATATCAGTAGCTCGTGTGTGCCTAAGAAGTCGTTTCTTACAACAGGTACATTCAAATGGTGGGCATAATCCGTAAATAAAGTATGTATGTGTATATAGATACATATATATATAGATACATACATATACATATATAGATTTATATGAACACACGCAGGACAAGCTGAATGGTTGAATTCATTGATTTGCTTTATGGCGATGTGCATTCGTTCCCCCATCCTCCAGCGCGCATCACTCAAAATAAAACAACTGTTAAATGCATTATGCTTCGAGAGACAAGGATCAATTTGTGCCAATTCTCGATGGATGACACATAATGTGGACACATGCTGAAATCGTAATGTCGCCGGCGGAAAGCCAGGTGAAGCTATCACGACATTCATGGCTCGATAAGTAAGGTACGTACCGTGTGATAAACGCCGACAGAATTATCTCCGACAGGGATGACGCTAAGCGCCTGTCAATGTGCGATTCATTGCCGAGGTGGATCTCCCGTCTTTCAACCTCCCGTCCTTTCCGCCTCCTACTGCCGGACCTCTCACCTTCAGACAACGTCAAATCTCGGCACAGAGCCGACAGAATCTGTGCGGGCCGTGCTGTGTTGCAAGACGGCTTCGCCAAAGCGCAAGAAATACACCACCAGCCACAGACATGGCGGGACACGGCCTCTTCTTCTTCATTCCCGGCAACCCAGGCCTCGTCGATTACTACACCGACTTCTTTGATGCGCTGAAGGCCCGCATCGGCTGGGCCGACGGACGCATTCACGTTCACGGCCGCGATCTCTTTGGGTTTAGAGATGACAGCCATGAGCCGTTCAGCAAAGATAGCCCACCATACGACGTGGAACATCAGATTGAGCTTGTTTTTAACCATTTGGCGTCGTTGCGCCGGACAGACTCTTCGCGCAATGCGCCGGGCAGAAAGGGAGAGCCGTATGACTTTGTCATCATCGCAGGCCACTCTGTCGGCAGCTACATTGCTCTGGAGATTTTCCACCGGCACCTCAAGGATCCCTCGCGTGCGCCGCATTTGAAGCTCCTCACGGGCATGCTGCTCTTTCCAACGGTCACGCACATTTCCCAGTCTCCGAGCGGCAAGCAGATGGAACTCATCCGCACGACACCGCTTCTTAACAATACGGCACACGTCGTCGCCCAAAAGTTCCTCAACCTTTGGCCGGCGGTGGCGCTGCGGTGGTTTGTTAGCAATGTACTAGGCTTCGGTCCCAAAGCAGCAGACGTCACGACCAGTTTCTTGAAGAGTCGCGATGGAGTGTGGCAAGCGATTCACATGGGCAAAGATGAGATGAAGGTTATCACGGAGGAGAAGTGGGATAAGGAACTCTGGGAAGTCGAGGAGGACGATGTCGGGAATGGCAAGTGGACAGCTCCAAGATTCTTCTTCTTCTTTGGGAAAAAGGACCATTGGGTTGGAGATCACTTCCGGGACCATTTCATCAGAGCCCGAGAGAAGCATATTGAGAATGGTTGGGCAAGGGTTGAAATTGATGAGACCGGACTTCCTCATGCCTTTTGTACGACGGAAAAGAACAGTGAGATCATCGCCGCAAAGGTCGCGGAATGGTTGAAAGAGGTCTGTGATGGCTTCAAGTTGGCCCAGCCGGCAGCATGATCTTGTGGTGAGTCTCTCTTTTTGTCATGATCCCGAGGGGGAGATGTGTGTATAATATTAGACAATAGACAATAATTGTATTCTCAGACCATTCCAACGCTTCTGATCTTACTTTTAAAAATAATAAGAATGGGAAGATCCAGCAAAGTCCTGACCTCTCTCCCGATCAAGATAACCGAGAAGGTGTCCTTTGTGAGATGTTTGGGTATGTTCTGTTTTTACTCTCAACTCTAGACCATGAAACTGCCTTGATGAAACGGCTAATGATCTGGTAAAAAGTCTACAGCACCATGCGTCACTGATTTTGTTGAAGAAATCAGGAGGGCATCGGCCTTCCAATCTGCATGCTCTGAACGCTGGCAGTCTGAGACTTCGTCAGCTTGTGACCAAGACCCGCAACACATCAGAAACTTACCTCTGCCACAGTCTTGTTCTTGCGTCTTCTCATCAAGCCATACACAAATGCTCCCATTGCCAAGAGTGACACGCCAGCTGGGCTCCTTATTAGCTGACAATCGCAGAATGAGATTCAGAAGATTTTGCGTACCAACACCTCCAAAGACACCCAGTAAGACAACGGCTGTGGGAGTACCGCCCGCTCCCTTGGGAGTACCTGTTGATGACGCTGAAGACATGGGGGCAGACATGGAAGCCACTGGGGCCGGCATAGGGACCGGACTGGATCCGACGAGAGGCATAGTAAGCCCACTAGCTGGAGGAGGAGGTGGAGGCGCAACCACAGGTGGAGGAGGGGGCGGCGGCGTGCTCATCGCTGGCGGCGGTGGCGGCGGTGGTGATGATGGTTGGACTGGCGGAGCTGGTGGTGGAGGAGGAGGAGGCTGATTAACTGGAGGCGGCGCTGCTGGTGTCGCAGTCACCGTAACTGTTGTCGGGACCATAATCACTACGGTCTGTGCCGCAGCCGGGGGCGTCACCGTCACAAAGATTGTGACTGTTGGTACGTTGGCATTATTGTTCGGAGGCAATCCCGTGGCCCCAGGCTGTCCCGGTGCTGTTGGCGTAGCTTGAGGTTGGCCGCTGAGGAGGCCGAGGACCGAGAGAAGCTGGTTCGGGTCGAGAGGTAGTGCGTTGGCGTTGGGTGGTCCGGGTAGCTGTGCGGCGGCAGCAACAGCTTGAGCGTTTGCTGCTTCGGCGTCTAACTTCTGTTGGCGTACATCTCTAATCTCCTCCGCTTCCTCATCGCGCTGGGCGACATTGTGCTTTTCCGTACCCATCACTTCTCTGCCTCCACGCCGGCAATGTTGATGTTGAATTACTTGGCTGGTAGATATTCTACTTGGTTCGGCACGTCGGTTTACTGTCTAAAACATTTCCAAATTGGTAGACGAGCGAGTGAGGCACTGTCAAGCGTATCACAGATGCGCTTGATGTGCTAGTCCGGTATTCAATAAACGAAAGAAGGGTCCTGGGAAACTAGGTTAAAGATGTAGGAGGATGCGAGTGAGGTGGAACCCATGCACTTCTTATTCAGGCCTTGAGCTTATCCTTTCTATCAGTCTTGCTAGCCCGTCTTTCATTTGACTTCTAGCTCGTGTCATAATTTCACGGCCGAGGCGCCACCACTCGGGCCCTTTCGCGCTGGTCTTCGGAGTTGAGATGTGTCCCAAAGAGGCAAGTGGGCGTCAAGCTTCCGGCTGACGGGTGGACATGATGGGAATTGGGTGTCAATACATGGTCGCCGAAGACAGGAGGAAAAGAGGGTGGTTAATTAGGCCGGTTTTTGGTGAACGTGCGCTCCTCGACCCTCTCACTCTCCTCCAGTCTGTTTCTTGTAACCTTAGAGCACCTCTACTGTTTGCGTTTAGAGGAGAAAGAGGGGGGGCAGAGGGTCGAAGAGCCATAGGCTCGATGTGTCCTGGGCAACGGCTGAGACACTGCGTCGAAGCAACGTCGGTGTTTCATGAAGGAGGCAGAAATGGTGTTGAAGATGGGACGTCCAATGGATTTTGTGTTTTGCGAAACGATTTTCTGTAACCTCTTGAGCCTCCTTGCGCTTCCCATGCATTTGGGGTGGGCGGCCGTGCGGTCAGTCGCAGGCATCCCCGGGCCATCGCGTACTAGGGTGGACCTGTTCCTCCCATCAACTTTGAGCTTTCTTTCTCGAGCTGATTCCCTGAAAATCATTTAGCGCTTTCAGCCGTATTCACGATCTTAGTTGACGTCAGGCCGATGGTAAACACCAGTCGGCTGCGTCACAGCGTGGCGCTGAAAGCTGAACTGGGCTTCCAGACCTGCCGGTGGATATGATCAGTGGTAATTCTTTATATACATGGGATAACCGAGCGTGAAAACTGTCTACAGGATCAAAACTGGTTTCCATAGTTCCTTTCTTTCTGAACCGAAAAAATAGAGGTATCCAGAGTCAAAAGACGCTATGAATCCCCGTCGGCTACAGCCGCAGCCGCAGCCGCAACGACCCGACTTGAGGAGGGGAGTCCTCGGGAGTCTTACTGCTGCGTCAGCTGCAGCGTACAACTTTCTCGCTCATGACTACGAGTACATGCCGGACCGATACCGTGACGAAAAGGCCTATCCCACTCGGTTATCTCGGGCCGGCACCAGCATTCGACTAGGAGCCCCGCGCGGCCGCAACATTCTGCCGCTGAGACCATCACCCATCCGGAAGAGGACTTGGCAGAAGGACGGCAATGGCGAGCTACGTCGCAAGTCGTTTGAAGACGCCCAGGACATTCAGTACGATGAAGGAGGAGGAGGCCGAGACCAGAACCCCTTTGGCGACTCCAATGAGGCGGTCGGCCAGCAAGACGACAACGAAGACGACAACGAAGACAACGACGATGATGAACCTTTTTCAGTCTTCACAAAGAGACAAAAGTGGTCTATTCTCATCATTATTGCTTCGGCTGGTCTTTTCTCTGGATTGTCGTCAAATATTTACAATCCTTCCTTGGATGCAATTTCAAGGGTATGTCCTCCAGTCAATACCGCCTCCTTCCAAAGTGACTCAAGGGCGCGACAAAAGCTAACATATCAACACAGGAGTTGATGGTGAGTGCATCGCAAGTTTCACTTACAATCACGTCTTACTTGATCATGCAAGCCGTTACACCGCTACTTTGGGGTCCGATGTCTGACACGCTGGGTCGGAGGCCAACTTACATCGCCTCTATGGGTGTCTACATTGGCGCCAATATCGCCTTAAGCTTCTCGCCCAACTATGCGGTATTACTCATTTTCAGGGGGCTTCAGGCTGCAGGAAGTGCTTCCACTGTCAGTATTGGTGGGTAATTTGTCTTGGCTGTCTCTTCAATTTCCGTAGTTGGCAGCTAACGGTTGTTACAGGTAATGGTGTCATCCAGGATATTTCACCGACTGCCGAGAGGGGTGCATACATCAGCTTCTATCAAGCAAGTGAGTCTTGTTTCTTCCTCCGAGGTTTGAACGGCATCTAATACTCTACAGTTCGGAACTTCAGCACGGCAATCGGGCCGGTGTTGGGCGGTGGTCTCGCCAACTCCTTGGGCTTTCGATCCGTATTCGTCTTCTTACTCGTCGCCTCGTCGCTAATTCTCATCACTATCATGGTCTTTCTACCAGAGACGTTGAGGACTATAGCTGGCAACGGATCACTTCGTCTAAACGGCGTTATCTATAAGCCCCTCTACAGATATGTGACGAAAGAGCCCAAGTACATGGAAGATCCGGAGGGACCTCTGAACCGAAAAATGACCATCTGGACCTTTCTGAGGCCCTTTAGACTATTCAGAGAGAAAGACTTGGTGATCAATCTCGTCTGGGGTGGTGTGATCTATGCCATCTGGAACATGGTCACCACTAGCACGACGCCACTCTTCAAGGAGCGGTTCGGACTAAACGAGCTCCTTCTTGGTGTGGCCTTCTTGCCCAATGGTGAGTGGAGACACTTCGACCCGAGCGTTTAACACTGATTGGACAGTATGAATCCCGATGGAAACGGGACTTGTCCGAACGTAATTGACCTGTGAGCAGGAATTGGGACCATTGTCGGCTCCGTGTTTGCGGGAAAGCTCCTGACTCGAGACTACAAAGCCGTCGAGGCCAAGTACAAGGAAGCCCATAATATCTCTTTTGACGAGGAACTGTCGCCCAAAGACATTGCTCCAGATTTCCCTTTAGAGCAAGCCCGTCTGAGACGTCTGCCGTGGATCGTCTCCCTATTCGTTGCCTCCATCGTCGGCTATGGGTTTTCTCTGGCGTATCCCACGGCAACATCCCGGACTGGGTGGATTGCGTTGCCCTTGACAATGCAATTCCTTATCGCGGCCTCGGCAAATGCAATCTTCGCGATGAACCAGACAATCATTTCGGATCTTTGTCCTGGTGAAGGCGCGAGTGCCACGGCCATCAACAACGTGGTCCGCTGCGGACTGGCGGCCCTCGGCGTAGCATTTGCAGAGCAGATGCTCAACGCTGTGGGTCCTGGCACGGCTTTCCTGGTCCTCGGGATGGCGGTCATCGCTGTATCACCCATTCAGGTTGTCAACCAATTCTGGGGGCCCAAGTGGCGGGCTCAAAGAGAGAAGAGGAGGTCAAAGGTGGGTGTGGTGGAACACCAGGATCGGCAGAAAGCCTAGAGCCTTGATCTGTCAGCAAAACAACGTAAGGGACATTGATTTTCATTTTTTAGCGAGGCGTTCTAGACACACATGGACCATCTCTAGAACGGTATTGGTTTTATTCGCATCAGCAACAGAGAGAGCGGCTGCCATCTGCCATGGTGAGTACACGCAGTCCAGAGGAACGTAAACAGGTAATATCATCTACAGTAATCAATTCCTTTTGAGCCACAGCGAAGTAAGATGCTCGAGAAGGATAAGGAAACACCACAGCTCACTAGCCCAGCTTCAAAATGTCTGCTTAGCCGTTTAACCAGGCCAAAGTTCCACCTCATCTGGGTTAAATCGTTTTCCCATGATCAATTACCACTAATTATTCTCAGAGACCATCCACTTTCCCGGGATACCCTGTCCGTTGACCCTAATTGTGGACCGATTTCTTTCAGCGCCTGAGAATACAGAGTTCCTCCGTGGCGATTTTTGCTGTAGCAGGTCATCTGATGTTTCTGCTGAAACTTGGTACAACGCGCATCCTTGGTGGAAGTTAACATGGTGCTCAAACGCCTGGCTTCGGTGACCTGTACTTCATGCCTGTATGCCGCAGTGCTTTCCAAAAGGAGTAAAGTATTGCGCTACAAATATGCATGGAAAGACTGTACCCCATCTTTCATTTGGAGTCTTGGCTCATTGCCTATAGGCAAATGCACAGTTTGATAGATCAGACAGCTTACGTCAAAGAATGGGGTAACGGGTTGAGGCTTGCAGATTCCCAGGGGCCGGGATTGGGCATGAGCTCTCCTGTCATTTCGGCAGATGCACGTGAAGATGCAAGCCAATCATCATTCTCAAGCGTTAAGCAAAAGCCATGAAAACTGTGGTAGGTTTCACTGATTCGTTGATGATCGAGAGTCTATTGCTGGTCAAAACCTACTTGATCTATCTGATTCATGTCCATAGATTCAACATTTTCATATTCTCCTGAGAGTTCGTATAGATAGAATCAAGATCCCGTGGCTGCGGGCCCTCGGCCCGAGCCTGTCGATCTAGGGGGTCCCTGCTTTGTTGCTGGACCCCCGGCCCCCACGTTTTCCTTCAGCGTATCCTTAGATGACACGAGATTAACTATATAGAAGCCTAGAGTATTATCATACGTAGTATGCCCGACGATCTCAGTCTCGTCTTATTTGGAAAAATATAGCTGGAGCGCAGGCGATTCATGGTTGGGAAAGGTCAAACACAACGCAGGTTATGCCCATTAGCAATAGCAACACTACGCACTTTTGGCAGCGGACATATCAGCTAGAGGACTTCCGATGCGACTCTCATTGAGCAATTCAATGACCTTCCAATCGCTGAGGATTCCATGTCCGAGCTCAACGCGGCCGATACGGTCAAGTTGTCCGAGGTTTCAGTTGCACTGTGGTGTCAGCGAAATAGCTTATACGTGGTATAGAATCTTATTATGGACTAAACGTCTAGCATTCGATGTGGATAAACTACATTGGAAGCCTTTCGAAGTGAGCCATTCCTCCCATTATTTCCTATGCATGAGGGCTGGATTATGGCTGGGCAATACCCATCACAGCTAAAGTACTACTAGCACTGCTGAAGGTAACATGACATTGCAAAAGCATGAACGCCATATCAAGACAGAAAACAACAAAAATCATAGCCTCGAGACGTCAAATCTTAAGCTCCGTCCCCGATCAGGAATAGAAATTGTCTTGCCGAGAAGGGGGAACTGTCGGGCGTCGGCAGAGGCGGCCGCTGCACCCGCAAAGGTCCACCATAACATTTATCGCGAGATTGCCGAAATGGAAATCAAAACAAAAAACTATGTGATGAAAAATAGCCCAGAATATAGAACAAGAATTATACGTTCTTAAACGGTTAAGCACTATTTTAGCCTAAGTAACTTCGTCGCTCCACGGTCATTATTAATCAAATAACTAGACACCTTAAGCGAGATACACCACCATTATTACTACCTAGGCTGCCTAAAACCTATTTCTAACTTTTAAGAAGCAACTTTTAAACTATTTAATAAGGGTGAGATATAAGCGACCCTTCTTGGTGGGCTCCTAGGTAATAAGACCCGTTCTACAGCCAAGGCCGCCTCCGAGGCAAAATTCAATAGCGTCCACTCCTTGGGAAACGTGGTGTGGGGCAATATCGACGACCCGAATTGTTTCAACGCCGCGTTCGGCACCGGAGGCTGGGCCAATCCGGCCGGGGCCAGGTTTCCGCGCCCGGGATCCGGGATCCGGGATCCGGGGGGACGAGATGGTCCATTTTCGGCGCCACCGAAAATCCCACTAGGACCATCAACGGGCAAGGCGTCGCGATCAATATTGGTGCACCGGCTCGCATACAGGCGGCTGTGTTGTTGTTCTTCTTGTCCGGCGGTTGATGGTGGAATGGCTCCTTAGCGAGAGGGTTCTTATATGTGTATATTTCATAAACATTTATTCTTATAGCTGCGTTTTTGCAAAATACTCCTTTTAAGTAAGGTATGTAGAGAAAAGAAAAGAGAGGAACGGCGTAGATAAATATACATATGAGTCTAGAATCTACATTTGACGAGTCAACTTTGACAGCATGTGGAATATATGCAGACTAGAACAAATGGGTTAAGTAAGCTCCCAAGGCTTGTGTTTCTGCTTGTACTTCTAAAGCCCTCCCAACCGGTCAAGAGTGAAGAAGCGTGTCCGTATCTTTCAAAATTACTAAGTTCTAGGCTGGCGACTCTGCCCGACGGTAAATGCGAGCCGAGGTTCTATCTAGTCTGCATCGGCAAGTCCACTCCATCATCTGCTCCTCGATCACGAGCCTTCTCTTTTTAAAAATCGAATACGCCGTCAGGGATAAAATGCTCATAGAGAATATCTACCCCATACCGGGAGGAAATCGACGCCGACTTCCCCAGCATCTCCAAAGCGACCTTGCCCCATGTGAGTAACGGCGCTTCGTCGTCCTCGTTCTCATCACGAAGACGCCAGCTGACCATCAGCCCTCTTCCGTACCAGCGGTAATTAGCCCTCTCCTCCCTGTCTATACCCGGGTCCCGTTACTCGCTTGGGAGAGTGTGTGTCCAGGCGAGCGTGTCCTGCCAACGGGTAGGCCTGGGCGGATTCTTGGGTTCATCCTCAAGCCTGTCGACAACAACGACGTGACGGGTGTAGTAGAGGCCGCCGAACAATTCTGGGAGGTACCACGATAACGCCTCCGCCCTATCCGGAATAGCCAGACGGCTCTGGACTTCCCGCTCGTAATGGTTTATACAAGCGGCGGCGTGCTGAAGCCAGTGTGCGTCCTGGGGATCTTGCGACACGCGTTCGGCAAGACGGGCATACCAGGAGCTCCTTTATGAGAGGATGAGGTCAAGCCCCAGCTCCTCGGCGGAAAACAGGCTCCCGGTCTCGGACAGAGGTAGGAGAGGCATGGCAAAGACTTCGATTCTTTCCGGCAGTCCGTCAGAGCTGCGGTTGTTTTTGGTGCCGTCGAAGATAGAGCGGGCCAGGTCCTCGGCACGTCCTGGGTTAAGAGCCCCCGGGGTAGTGTCGTAGAAGACGTAGGCCCATGCCGGGCGCATGGGAGTCAGGTCGGCATTGTCTGGGGTGTCTGCGGGGACCGAGTATGCCATGAAGGCCGGGATGCCGTCATGGCTAGGCGCCGAGTGAACGATGGATGGTCTTGGGCTTCGGTTGGAGCTTCTTTCGAGCCGCCGGCCTGTCAAAGTGTTGTGGCTGCGGCTGCGGCTGCTCCTCGTCCACCCGGTTGTCTTCTGGGTCTGGCAGTGGCGAGGGTTCCGCGAAGCCGAGTCTGCGGCAGCCAGAACACATTATTGCGAGTTCTTGGGCTATAATTAATAAGGGAATAGGTTAGAAAAGATATGTTAAGTAAAATTAGTTTGAATTCGTATTTTTTTTAGAATAATAATTAATAAAGAAATAAATACCTTCGAGAAGCGGCAGTATAGCTAGTGTCACAGGGTCAGTGTAGCGTAAAACGCTATAGACTATTCAGGCCCCGTTTCAGCCAGAGGGGGCTCCTTTTAACTAACTTCTCGCTACCTAATAGCAAAAGGCTAAAATTTAACTTCTATTTAATATTAAACCTATTTTTTAAAAATATTATTCTTATATTTAATTAACTTACTTATTATAATTCTAAATTTTTTATTTATAATTATTTATAAAAATAGTATTTTATATAAATAATAAAACGATAAAAAAAGGCGGTTCTTTTAATAATGTTATTATTAAGCCGGGCGGAATATTCATAAAAAACCCGGTAAAAGCGGGGTTAAATATTTAATATAACGATATTAAATCCGTATTTAAAAAACGTATTATTTAATTTAAAAAAGCTTTATAATAATTTCGTTCGGCTTTTTTATAATTAAACGCTTTAATAAAAAGAATTATTAAAGCTTTAGATTAATAAAATCGTTTTAATAATAATTCTCCCTTTAACTATAAAGAAATTAAAATTAAAAATATTAAAAAGCTTATAAAAAAAGCTATTTTTTATTATTAAAACGATTAGGTTTTAGATATTAATCGAGCTTTTTTAAGTACGTTTTATAAATTTTACTCCGATATTACGAAAATCGTTTTTATTTTTAATTATATAAACGTTAATTATTAAGCGAGATAGTTTTAATATATTAAAAAATTATTAAATAATCGAGCCGATAAAGTTTTAAATTTTAATTATTTTTTAAAATAAATTCGATTTTTATTGTAAGATATTATATACCGTAAGTTTAAAATTATATAAAATGTTATTTAGGTTTATTAAAAGGAATTTTAAAATCTTATTAATTTTAATATTTATTTTTATTTTTTTAAAAAGGAGTTTATTTATTTTTTTAAAAAAGAACGTACGTTTTCTTTTTATGTTAAGTTATTAGATAAATTTTAATAAAATATTTATAAATTTAATTTTATTTTTTTTGAAATTAAAACCGAAATAATAGTTATAATTAATTGAATATAATAAATTATAAATTAAAAGAGAAAAAAAAAGTTAAATAAAAACGACGATAATTAAAAACTAAATAAAAAATATTAAAACCGTAATAAAAATAAACTTAATTTTAATTTTATAATATAAGCCTTAACTTTTATTAATAATGCTTTTAAACTTTAAATAAAAAGAAATAAAAAACCGTTACGATATTATATTTATAATAATACTAAATATTTAATTAATTTTTATTTAAATAAAGGGAAAAATAGATAAAGAAAAGATAAGGGTTCTTCCGTTACTTAAGGGGTTAATATAAAAGATTATTCTTTAAAAAAAGCTTTAAAAAGAAAGTAAATCTTTATACTCCCTCGTTTTTTTTATTAAAGACTTATATTCGTTTCTATATTTTTATATAAATTAAAGGCTTTAAGAGTATTTTATAAACGTTTTATAATTTAAATACCGATGCCGAGTATAATTTAGTTTTATACTTTTTTATAAAAAAATTCGGATTTAATTAAGCTAAATTAACCTTCTTTTTATTAAAAATTATTAAATAGTTTTATATTTTTATATATAAAATATATATTATCCTTTTAATTATTATAAATTTAAAAGGGATTATTAAGTCTTTTACTTAGGCTTACGTTATTATAAATCGGAACTTTTATTTAAATAAAAGTTTTATTTTTTTTTATAACTATTATTATAAATTAAAATATTTATTTTAATAAGGCTAAGCGATAATAATAATTTAAAATAAATTAAAAGTATTAAAAGTCTTTTAAATCCTTCCATTTTATTAAAAAGGCTTAATAAGCTATTTATATTTACGTTATTATTACGTTATCGGAATTATTTTTATTACCGAACGAAAAAGAGGTAAAAAGCTTAGACCCTCCGCTTTTATTTTTAAAATTATTTTTTATTTTTAATATTTTTAATATAACTAAGGCTATTATATTTACTTTATTAAAATTTATTAATTATTATATTAAGATTATAAAAAAAAAAGAACCCTTTTAAAAAAATTTCTTTTTTTTTCGTAAATTTTAAATATTTCAAAAATATATTAACGCTAAGTTTAAAAAAAGAAAAATTTAATTTTTTAAAAGTCTTACCGGTATTTTAATTATTTTTATTTTTTAAAAAAATAAAAGTTTTTATTTATATATAAATTATTAAAAATTAAATAAAGTTATAATAAAAAACCGCTATTTTTTATATTTTATTATAGAGATTTTAAATTAAATTATTAAATTATAATACTTTTTTAAATTAAATTTAAAGGAAGCTTATTATCGAATTTATATTTATAAAAAAATAAATAAAAAAATAGCTTTCCGTACTCGTTATAAGTTATATAAATATTTAGTTATACTTTTTAGTTTAATAAATACGCTAGCTATATTTTAAAATTATATTAATATAGCTTTAAAAAGGCTTATTAATATATTTTATATTATATATTTAAATAATATTTTTATCTTTTTAGAAAATAAGGATATTTATATAAATTATTTATTTTAAATTATAAATAGGTTATAGAAAGCTTAGCTTTATATTAATTTATTAAAATATATTTTTATTAAAAAGAGGTAGAGTTTTTAGGATTTATTTTATTAACTAAGGGCGTTTTTATAACTTTTGATTAAATAAAAGCGATCTCGTTATAACTTATATTTTAAACTTTTTAAAAAATATAAATATTTTTTAAATTTTATAAATTTTATTAAACATTTATTTATAAATATTTATAAATAGTTAAGTTTTTTATAAATTTTTTAAAAAAGAGTAAAAATAATAAAAAAGCTAAGAATATTTAATTAAATAAGAGAGCGGTATTCGCTTTTAAAATTTTTTAATAAGTTTTTTAATTAACGCTTTTATTAAAATATTTCGTTAATAAATTATTAATAAAAATAAAAATAAACGTTTTAAATTATATAGCTTTTAAGATCTTTTTTTAAAAATAATTTAATAAGGGATAGTATTTTATTATAGGAATTAATATACCGGCGTCGTAAATTAATATACCGGCGTCGCTTTTATACCGGCGTCGCTATTCGACTTTTTAATTAGCTTAAAAAAAGAATACTTTTTTATAAAGGCGGTGAGGGTAACTGTATTAATATAGCTATTCCTACCTTTTTTTTTAACCTAAGCTCTTATTTAAGATTTTTAAAAGTACGTATTATAGCTTATTTTTATTATAGTTTTATAAATTTTAAATAGGGACTATATAATTTTTAGAAAGGCTTATTATTTAATTACTTTTTACGACGTATTTATAAAGACTTATTGTTATTATAGATTATTTCCTATTAATTTCGTTTCTTTTGAATATTAGGTTATATTAGCCGTTTATTTATATAATTCTTTATTATTTTCCTTTTATTAAGAACGTTAGACTGGCTTTTTATTTATCGTTGGGATAAGCTTAATATTTAGCTTTAATTTAGTTAATTTATTTTTTATATAAGCTTAATTAACGTCGATTTATTTTTATTTTTAGGTAGGCGACTTTGTTATTTATTATTTACGTTTTAGCTATTATAGGTAGTGCGGGCTTGATTGGTTAATTAGCTTTTTTTAAGTAAGGCTAGTTATGATGGGATAGGCTGCGCTGTGTTTTTTAGCCTATTACGGAGGGATATAATAATTTTAAAGTTAAGGATCCGTCGGTATGGATTTAAGGAAGACGTTTTTTAAAAACGCTACTAAGGGTATATTTCCTATTTGTTAAAAATAGTTGAATTTATTATTTTAAAATAGATCTTATAGTAGTATAGGATACCTAGTTTAATTAAGATAGTATAATTTAGATTATAGTTTTTAAAAGGGGCTAGGAATGGCCTTTTACTAAACGGTATTACTTTTTTTATTAACCGGTATTACTTTTTAATTAATATAAAATATTTTAAGGAAAGTATCGTTAGAAATTCGTTTAAGTATTTAAAGCGAGTACTTATATATTCCCGGCCTATAAGTATTTTATCTTTAGTATAAGCTTGTTTGAAGCGTATCTCTTAGTTACTAATTATGTTTTATATAATATTGATAAGTCGATATAAGTGATTAAGACCGTTTAAAAAATAATTTTTAATATTATTATTATTTAATTTAGTATTAAAAGTAACGCGAATATTAAAATTTTAGTATTTTCGGATAGAGTAGCGGGCCTATTGTGCTTTTAAAGGTAGGTATATTGTGTAGAGGTATTAGAGGATTAGGCGTTAGTTATTAAACTTTTTATAGAGCTTAGTCTAGGCTTTTTTAAAAGCGTGCTTAGTTTTAATAAAAATAATAAGCTTTTATATTATAAGGACCTTACGATACGTATAAGGGGGGGGCTTATTAATAAATATATTAATATAAGCTTTATTTTTATTACTTAGCGTAGCTATTGTTTGTATTAGTAGCTAATATCCTTTATTATTAAACTTACTACTGTTATTACTATAGTTACGTTCTTTAATTTACTTTTATTTAGCCTTAAATATAACGTTAGAATTAATATAGTAGATATAAAGTTGTTGCTGAACGTTTGGGAACTGTTTATTTAATGTAGCTTTTATTTACTTATTATAATTTATAATAATAATAATAGGGTAACGGACTAAGTATTGGTTTATAAGTTAGCGGATATTTATTAAGAGAAATTAGAAATTTTTTAATTTTTTATTATTAATAAAGTTAAACATAGCGTTATAAATAGATTTAAGGTAGGTTTATTTAATAGTTTAGAAGAGAGGGAGTTTAAAGCGATTAGTATTGTAAGTATTATTAAAGCTAATTATTTTAAGGAATCGCTTTTATATTTAGAGATAGTAGGGAAAAGTCTAGATAAGGTTAATAAAGCGGTTTG